TGTACTCAACCAGCGAGGTCACCTCTCCCGGGCTGATACCGTCAAGGCAAACCTCCTCAAGCTCGCATCTGAGGCAGATCATAAACCACTTTCTGGTCCAGCCCCTCGCGCCATTGTTTCCACCAATTCGACGGAGCTCTTTGCGGCCAAGTTTCGGATTGCTGATCAGTTGACTAAGTCATCAGCGGTTCAGGAGGTGGAGCGGTTTCTGGCTCAGGAGGTACCCATTTCCATGGAGGGCGAATGTAAGGCCCGGGAGCGACCCCCGGCGGGGATCCCCCTGGACAGGCTGACGGGACGCAGGAATGAGGCAAGGTATGGGTAGACATCTGAATGTAATAACGGATGTAGAGCTATTACAAGGGTACTAGTTCTACATCAACATAACAATACCGAAAAGTACCCCCGGCGGGAGTCGCATACGGGAGTCGCGTACGGCGCGTCCGACGTGTCACGTGACCGCTATAACAGGATCCCCCTCCTAGATGCGGACTCCGAACGCATCAAGCGTCGGCGTACTCTTGTCGACCGGGCTGGGGTAGATGGGGGTAGCGCTTGTGGAACGCCGCAACGACTTTGTCGTCGTGGTCAAACTCAGCGGGGCTGACCCACTCGTTTGACTCGTCCCCGTACCCTTCGAACCGTACCAGGTATTGGGTCTTCTTCCCGGACCTCCCGGATCGTAACGCCTTCGAGTGTACGATCTCGGACACAACATACCCCAAGTCGCCGTTGTCGAGGACTTTGGGGGTAGGTGGCTCAACCACCTCTCTTCCTTCCAGCTCGTTGGCCCGATAGGGGATAAGCAACGACACGTGGAACACGGGGTGCACCCGGCGTAACTGCGCGGGGAGTTCCAGCCTCCTCGCCATCTTGCTCTGGCCGATGACCTCCGTGATTCGGAAGGGCCCCAGCGTCTTCATCGAGAGCTTCTGGCTGGGGCGCACCGATGTCAAGTTCTTGGTAGATAACATTACCAGGTCCCCTACGTTGTAACCCTCGTCAGGGACGGCGGTACGCTTCCGATTTGCGTACTTCGCCATGTCTTTCCGCGCCTGTTCCAGCGCCTCCTTCACCGACTTGTAGATCCCGTCGAGTCGGTCTCGGTACTCTCCCGCCGATTCCACCGCCTCTTCCCTAGTGCCGGGCACTGGCAGGGAGAAGGTATGTTCCCTTCCCTCGGACGCCATGAATGGCGACATCCCGATGGCAGAGTGCTTCGCGTTGTTGTACGCAAACTCCGCCATGGAGAGTAACTCCGCCCAATCGTCCTGGAGGAAGTTGACGTACGACCGCAAGTACTGCTCCAAAGTGGAGTTACTTCGCTCGGTCTGTCCGTCCGTCTCCGGGTGAAACGCCGTGGAGTAACTGTTCTCCACGTTTGCCATGCGGCACAAATCTTTCCAGAATCGCGAGGTGAACAATGTACCTCGATCCGAAATGATCTGCTTCGGGAACCCATGCAAACACACCCATCGGTCAAGGAACAACCGCGCCAAGAATGTGGCGTCGTTATCCTTTCGACAAGCGACGAAGTGCGCTCGCTTGCTGAACCGATCGACGATCACCAGGATCGAGTTGGACCCCATAGACTCGGGCAGGTCCGTGATGTGATCCCAAGTGATCGATTCGTATGGTCCCGCAGGTACCGGTAGCGGCGCTAGCTCGCCGACAGGCTTCATCCGGGGCCGCCGATTGCGCTGGCATATGCTGCAGCTAGCGACGTACTCCCCGATCCACTTCGCCATCCCAGGCCAGTAGAAGTCCCTACTGGTCAGCTCCACGGTCTTGTCCCGCCCCCAATGGCCGGCGGCCTTCCCGTCATGTAGACGCTTCATCAGCTCTACCTTGATGTTCCCTGCGTTGGGGACATATACCAACCCGTTGTACAGGAGAACCCCAGTGGGGCTCAAGCTGTATCGCTCGTTCGCCAAGGTTCCCGCCTTGAGCTGCGCTACGAGCTCTTTCGCCACCGGGTCGTCCTGCGCCGCCGGTATCAGCGCTTTCACCATCCAATCGCCCAGTGCGGGGATGGTGCCATTCAACCGCAAAGGCGGTCGCTCAACCGGACTACACCCCTCAGAGGGTGCGTCTTCGACAGGCCGGAGCAGAGTCTCCGCTCGCTTCGGTTCTGTCTCCTCCATCAACTCTTCCCGCCGACTCAACGCGTCGGCCTTCCCGTTCTCCGTCCCCGGTTTGTACTCCAGGGTGTAGGAGATCTGGTTCAACAGCTGCGACCATCGCGCCTGCCGTTGAGACAATACCTTGTCCCTCTTGAAGTACTCCAAGTTCTTGTGATCCGTGAGGATCCGAACGGGGTACTTGTTGTCGAGATAATGTCGCCATATCCGACTGCAATAAACGATGGCCAGCAGCTCCCTGTCGTGCACATCGTAGTTCCTCTCGGCGGGCGTCAGACTCTTCGACATGAACGCCACCGGGTGGAGCTTCCCATCGTCCCCTACCTGGGACATCACCGCGCCGATCGCTCCAGAGGAAGCGTCGGTCTCGAGCACCACTTGGCGCTCCTCGTTGTAATGCGCCAATATAGGCGCTTGGGTGAAGGACTCCTTCAATTCCCGGAACGCAGCGTCAGCGGCTGCCGTCCAGGAGTACTTCACCCCTTTCTTCGTCAGGGCCGTCATTCCCTGAATCTTCTTGGAGTAGTTCTGAATGAACCTCCGATAGTAATTTGCAAATCCTAAAAAGGACTGCAGTCCCCGAATGTTCTTCGGGGGGGCCCAGTCCAGAACGGACTTGACCTTGGAGGGGTTCATACTGACCCCCGTCGGGGCAATATCGTACCCCAAGAATTCGGTAGCCACCGTATCGAACTCACACTTCTCCGCTTTCGCATACAGGCCATTTGCCTGCAGCCTCTTCATAACCTCCTTGACCTGACCATCATGGGTCTCCTGGTCGGAGGAGTAAATAAGTATGTCGTCGAGGTAAACGACGACGCACACATCCAAAAGGTCTTGGAAGACCTCGTTCATCCACCGCTGAAAGGTAGCGGGGGCGTTGGTCAGGCCGAACGGCATGACCAAACATTCGAACAGACCGAAACGTGTAGTAAACGCGGTCTTCCAAATGTCTTCTTCTTTTACGCGTAGCAGGTTGTACGCGCCTCGGAGGTCCATCTTCGTGTAGACCTTCGCGCCCTTCAACCTGTCTAGCGTCTCTGAGATGAGGGGTAGGGGCGTCCTATCCTTCACCGTAATGTCGTTAAGGCGACGGTAGTCGATGCACATACGCATCTCGCCGCCTTTCTTCGGTACAAACAGTACCGGGCTCGAGCAGGGCGACTTCGACGGCCTGATGAACCCCTTCTCCAGATTCTCCTTCAACCACTTCTTTAGCTCCTCACTCTCCCGCTGGGAGTGGTTATAGAGCTTCTGATACGTCGGCGACGTACCGGGCTTGAGTTCGATCGCATGGTCGATCGATCGCTTCGGGGGCAGTGTATCTGCCTTCGTCTTGGAGAACGCTCCAAGATGTTCATGATACTTCTCCGGTACCATGTCCCTCAGCTTCTCCATATACTCGGGAGGGTCCAGGTCATCCTGGAACGAGTCTGTAGGTTTGACGTCCCAATCCCACAGGTCCGGGCGCCTCGCCCGCTCGTCGTCCTCCCGGGTCATCTGCATTTGTGCGACGACCAAATCCTCCGTGATAGACCCCTTCATCTTCTTGAACGGGTCGATCCCTCGTGTCTCCACCTCTACTTCGTCCGGAGCATACACCGTCTCGGGCCTCTTGAGACATCCCGTGCTGATGCAGACATCCCCAAACGTCACCGCGTTGGAGTCCCATTGGATATGCGGATTGTGTCTCCGCAGCCAAGGGATACCTAGTACGACCGGGTACCCGCTCAAATCGGTGAGGTGGAACTCGGTCAGCTCCAGGTGCACTCCCGTACGTACCAGCGTGCGAGCCTTCTGGGTGATCCTTCCTCCCTGGATCTCCCGACCATCGATCACCGTTACTACCCGCGGTGTCTCGAGGTCCGTTACGTCGAATCCATGTAGCGACGCGAATGTCCGATCCATGAACATCCCGGTCGCTCCCGAATCCAACAACATGAGTGCTTGGACCGGCACTCCTTCCGGGTAGAACACTCCTACCAACGTCAGATGGCTATCTGGACCGTTGGGTACTCCGCTTGCACCCAACTGCAAGGGGATCCGGCTACCTCCCTGTGCTCCCCCATTCGGGGTCCTTTGATGATCCGTTATTCTGTAAGGCCCGGGAGCGACCCCCGGCGGGGATCCCCCTGGACAGGCTGACGGGACGCAGGAATGAGGCAAGGTATGGGTAGACATCTGAATGTAATAACGGATGTAGAGCTATTACAAGGGTACTAGTTCTACATCAACATAACAATACCGAAAAGTACCCCCGGCGGGAGTCGCATACGGGAGTCGCGTACGGCGCGTCCGACGCGTCACGTGACCGCTATAACAGCGAACAGCCTCTGGACTACTTCCACAGGAATACGATCACCTTCCCTTGGCTCTCCCAGTTTGCCCGGGGTCTATACGGGATGTCTGCCACATCCACTTCTGTTGAGCGGATGTTCTCTCTCTCTGGTCAGGTTGCATCCACTCTTCGTTCGTGTCTGTCTGCAAAGTCTATCATTGCGCAGACTTCAGCTCGCATCTGGAGATCTCAAGGACTAGTCGTCAGTAGCCATATCAAAGAGACTGAAGTGGAGAAAGTTGAGGGTCAAACAAGCGGCAAATCCATCTGATTGCAAACACTGTACACATGGTTATCTATGATTGCGCTCTTCCATATTGCTCAATCATGCCAAGCGCGCGCGGAGGCTTGCCTCATTGGATGGATTAGACGATGACGCCCAAACTATAGTCATACTCCAGTTTTGACATCATTGGCGACACAGTACTTTGTATTTCTTGCCACTTGGTGTCTGCCCGGTTATATCCTGGTTTTCACCGGGAAATACCGGGTTCTCGATCTGGTGCTGGTGATTAGGTTTGTCACATAGTCTCGGTTCCGGTAACTGGGTCAATTCTATAATCAGCCCCGGTACAAAACCGAACCGGAACCGAGCCAGCCCTGCTTATATTGGTCAACAGGCGAAAAGAGAACAGCCAACGACTCAGTTCCATCTTAACACCGTTCGGGTAGGCAAATGAGACGAATCTGTGCGGCGATTGGCAAGGGGGCTTCCGAGCCCTTAGCACAAGCGCCCCATCTTGCTCTGTACTAGTATACATCCGAGAGAAGAACGTTCAACAACAGATTGAAAAGGAAATACAAAGGAAATCGAAATACAATCCAGGGGCGCGGCCTGGAACAGCGCTGCTCTTGGCTGTGCCAAGCGGCGAGCAGACCTAAACAGTATTCTGAGTTGAACTCGAAGGTGGATGACTGGTATGATCAGGCTCAACGGTCACGGTGACCGCGGTACAAGCGCTCTCTGATGGTGGAGATGTATCGATCGTACCTGAGTGCAATGATCCGGACTCCAGGTTCGAGTTCTGATCATAGCTATCTCCAGGCATGCCAGGTGGTCCTTGTGGAGGGCCATAAGGTTTGGGCGCCGACCCCCTCTTCTCTGGGTAGTCGAATTCGACTACGGGTCTCTTATCTCCAGGAATTAGAACCGGAAGTCCTTCCCGAAGTGCCACCATGCGGATGGACAACTCTGCACGGCGCAAGCTTGGGCGGGTCCAGTCTGGCTTCTGAATACGCCAAGAGATTTCGTACCAGTCGCCGTTATCCACTGGCATCTGGAAATGCTCGGCCATAGCCTCTGCGATCTCCTTTGCCATTGCATCCTTGCGCTCAGTGAGGACCTGTTTGGTCAGGACGTTGTTCATGTTGAAGATTTTTGCCTCAAGATCCGAATCCGCTTTGAAATATTCCTTGAGCTGCTTGGTCTGCGCGGTGAACACACGTTCTCGGACCGAAATGAATCGTTTGATCAGATCAGGAGTCCACTTCTTCGGGGTTGCCTTCTCGATGGTGACATTGAAAGGGATTCCCAGGGATCCTAAAGAAAGGGTGGGCATTCTGCGGTAGGTTCGAGAAGTGGATATCGCTGACTTGATATCCCTCCTACCCGTCGAATCGGATCAGAGACTCTCGGTTTCTCCCTTCTTATATAATTTGCCTGAGTTGTCCGGGTTGGCGCATCTCGTTGTCTGCCTTGCTTCGCTGCGCCAGAGTGCTTCCTTTGTACACTTCAATCAGGGTCACGAGACGTGAGGACTCGATTTATAGAGCTGACGGAGGGAGAGTGGATGATCAGATGATGACCCGTGAAGGCGTGTCATAATCGTGGTATCACCTGATGCCAGATCAGTTACCGTTATGGCGAGCTGCTTGTTTCGATCACGTATTGGGGCAATGGTCACGCGCCGTGATAGTTCGCAGTATGGCATGCAATCACTGGGTGTCGTCGTGACTGAAGATGGTTCTTGCATCAATTTCCTTTGAACTCACTCCTGATGACGTTTGTTTGGCTTGGGATTCTATCACGCTGTTACGAGAGGCAGAGTCTCGTGATCTCGTTTCGATCAGGTGCAAGGCGATGATACAACCCAGTCTCGTCGAGGATTAGAACTTGCAGAGGCGTTCCCTTTGTTGCTCTGAATCATGGTATTGAGACCGTCAAACCTAGTTGGAGTGCAGAAAGACAGAGAGGGGGGGTCAGCTGATGCCTTGTGATCAGATGACAACCCCTGATTCTCGATGAGAGGTGCTCAGCTAGCCACCAACGAGACAAAATATCAGCGCCTGCTTCATCTGCTATCGATAAGCTTCACTATCACGCATGTATCTAGAGAAAGGCGGTTTACAACAACAGAGAAAACTGATCGACAAGTACACTGGCAACGAAGATACGGGGACAGCCAAGTACGAGGGGAGGAACCGTGGCGTGAATCAAGCAACAAGTTGTGCTTCAGTGATTCAGGTAGAGAAGACAGTGCCGCTTTCTCCCATTCCGCTCGGAGGAGGGTGTTTCGTTTCAACAGATGGCTGGGGAATGGATACACTGGGCCCCACTGAATTGGCCGTGTCGTCTGGAACATTTTGAGAGACTGTGCCCGGCGGTTCCGATGAACCAGAATAAGGAGGTTGTTCATGTGGAGGTCGCTGTTGATCGGCGAGTCCTTTCGGTGGGTCCTTGTACCAGAATCCTAGCGGTTTCCTGGAGAGCGATTCGATATGGAATTGAGAAAAGGAACCGGCAACGCTCTGGCTCCTCATTTCAATGCGCAACTGTGCGTAAACCCAAAGATCTTCTCCGCGCCAAGAGGCACCAGAATCGAACCAACGGATTTCGTACCATTTTCCATGAGCTTCTGGCATCTGGAAGTTGTACTCTGTCAGCATGGCTTGCTCGATGTCCTTTGCCAAATCCTGCTTTAGGGATGTCAGGTTCACGGTCGATTGCAACGCGACCTTTTGTTCAAGGGTCTCAGCGCCTTCGAATTTCCTCTTCAGTTCCTCCTGCAGGGCGTCGAACTGTCTTTCGCGGACTCTCATGAAGCTCGTGACCATGCTGACACTCCATTTTTCGGTGGGTTTGCCTTCTGACTTGAAGAAAGTCATGCTATGATTCTGTCGAGATGCTTGGTAAAAGTCCTTGGATTCGGATTTGGTACTGTCGTTCGCGCGACTTTGGCATATGACAGCCTCACGATTTCTATTGGTATATATACTGCTTCTGAAAGAGACGCCTCCTTTGTTCCTCTTAGAAGGTGCTACAAGCAGCAGTAAGAGGACGAGATGTGGCGGAAATGCAGCCATCACATTTTGATCCATGAACATGACGCCTTCGCCACTCTGCCAGCTTGCCATATTATGCGCGATCGCCACAAAGCTCGTGATTAGATGATTGCATTCAGCAAGAGAGCAAGCACATCACAATGAAGTATACAGAACCAATGCCAAGATGACATGCAGATGTCATCCTTTGAGTGTAGCTCCTCGTGACTCTGTGTGGGCATGATTTGCGCCGTTATCGCGTAATCACGTCTCGCGATCTGGTTCTGATCAGGTCACGAGGACCCTCGCTCACGTGCAGAACCACATCGCCAACGGAGAACCATGCTTCATCGCAAAACTGCATAGAATGGTTATACAAGAGAACGTTCGGGCCGAAATCATACTCAACGGCGATCGTTCGCTATACACTGCGGGCTGAAACGCGACTGAATGATTTGGCGAGAAACGCCATGAAACGCCAAATACCCATTCGAGGTGGAAACAAGCGAGAAAAGCGGGGTCAGCGCAACTCCGAGCTTATCGGACCGGAACCGGAAGCATTCTCGTAGCGAATTGCGTCCGATCCGTAGATAGGGGGAGGACGAACAACTATCGAGTAAGGGATCGAGTAATAATCGAGTAATTCGAGGGAGAGAGAGTGAACTGCCAGCACATTGACCCGAGTCAGATCAACCATTCACGACATCGAGGCACGTTGATTTTCAGGTCTTCAAGAATTGTTGCGCATTCCGACAAGAACTTCAAGCTACCACACATCTTCTAGCTGCCATACGATCCCTACCTAGGCATACCGTACTCTAGAACCGAGAAGCAAACAACGGATCACTCGCAACATGTCGAAACCAACCTACGAATCCATCCCTCTAGAGAGATTCCAAGAGGTCTTCAAGGATACCTCTACTGGTAGGTTGTGCCGGTACCATCTATCATTCGAGATCCGCTGCTAACGATGTTACCAACTGCGGCATGTCGTTCCTAGAGGTATCCTCGGTAGCTCTGGGTGGAAAGATCGTCTCCTTCTCAGACGAGTTCTTTGCCGAGGCTAGCAACCTCCTCAAGGTCCACGTAAGCTCCTTGAACGACCTAGCACCATGATGTCGAACTGTATTGACATGCTTCTCGATCTGGTATGGGCGTTCCTTTGACTACGACAGCCCTCGGTCTCCATGAAGGGTCAATTCGGACCTAAAGGAGCCTTGTACGATGGCTGGGAGACCAGACGACATAATGCCCCTGATCACGACTGGTGAGCCCCTCATCCCCCCTCGACTGCTTCTAGTTCGCGTACTCACCGCAGTCAAACTCTATACTACAATATCAGGGTGATTATCCGCCTTGGGCCTCCTTCGAACATTCTCACCGGTTTCGATATCGACACGGCCAATTTTACCGGTAACGAAGGTCCGGCCGCGGATGTCTGGGGTCTGAAGTTGGAGGGTGACGAGAAGGAGGTGGAGAGGCAGGAAAAGGGGTTGCTTGGGGACGATCCTAGGGTGAGTCTGCGGTATTCTCAGAGAGGTCCGTTGAAATAGCGGGACTAACGAAAAACTGGCGATATGTGGTGGAATGGCAGTGGGAGCTGCTCTTGCCCGAAGTCCCGCTTGGACCCAATTCGAGGCATCTCTTCAAGATTGAGCCTACCAAGAAGGTCTACTCGCACGTCAAGCTGTCCATGATCCCTGATGGCGGATTCGTACGTTATATCAGGAACGATCCGCTCCATACCACCACCGAGCTTAGCTGATACCTCGAATACTGCTCGCAGGGCCGATTCCGAGCGTACGGTTGGCCGCAGGCCCCTTCTACATCCGAACGGGTCGACCTCGCCTACGCTCTCAACGGCGGTCGGATCGTGTCTCAGTCGGACCAACATTTCGGGATCGCGTCCAACCTCTTGTTGCCCGGTCGAGGTTTCGACATGGGAGACGGATGGGAGTGCAAGAGGAGCCGGACAGAAGGGAACAACGAGTGGACCGTCGTCAGGCTGTAGGTCCGAACTGAAAATCAAAGGGAAAGAGATGTCGAGGCTGATTTGAGGTGTTTATAGCGGTGATGCGGGTTACATCGATAACGTCGAGATCGATACTGCTTATCATATGGGAAACTTCCCCGTCGTAAGTCTATTTGCGTACCGTGTGTCTCGGTTCGTCACTTGAATTATATCCATTTTTGCAGTATGCCGAGCTGCACGCTATCAACTGCTCCGACGTGAGTCTTCTGGCTGAGCGACGACGATTTTGCCTCGAAACTAATCTCGACCCATATCACGCTCGCAGAACGTCCCCGCTCTCGATAGCCCGGATTGGGTTTCGATCCTGCCCAAGATGAAGCAGGGTCCGCATCGTCAACACTTTTACCCAGTAGAGAACGCCTTCGGCAAGGTGTTTACCCATGTCAAGTTGACCATCTGGCCTGGTGAGTTGTCTAGCTGTAATTATAATCTGGGACGAGAATAGTGTGCTGACAACCATACTGTGCTCTGCCAGACGGTGGTCTCAAGCGGTTGAGAATTTTCGGGTACCGAGCTTCGACATACTCGTCGACCTCCCTCCCGGCTACGCATACCGCTAACCCGATCCCTCAACTCGAGGCCCTTCCTCTTACCTACGAGGCCTTCCTTCCTTACGGACGAGTCGCGCAGGCCTATTCGGTTCCTACGGCCGCCCCTCGAGGGGTACCGAAGACGACCGCCAATCAGGTCACCGCGGCCAAGTACCACAAGATGGCTCTGGTCGAGGACGATTACAAAAAGGACGGAAGCGAGAACCACAGGACTATCATCAGCGTCATGACTGCTCAGCCAAAGGTACAGACTGGGGATGTGTGGGATATCGTTCAGCTCGAAAAGTGAGTTTTTGGCAAGGCTTGCAGAGCGATGCTCGATAACCGATTACTTTCGAACAGACACCCGCGAACGACCCAGACCTTTGTTCCGTTGGGTGCAACCCAAGGGCAAGGTTCGGCGGCTCAGGACGGCTCATATGTCGTGACCGTAGCTCTGAGCGATGCTAGTAAGCTGCGTATCACGCTCGAGCTGTCACCATGCTTGCTCACGATGACACTCCTGCAGGTGGTCAACCGGACTTGAGCACGATGCGATCGTTCCTGGTGCTTCCGAGCCAGAGTGTCACGTACGGCAAAGATGTTTGGCGTGAGTCAACCCGATTGTTGCACGGGTACGATTCTGTAGCTGATGCTTCCTCGGATCCCTGACAGACCATGGAACCCTGACCGCGGATAGTGTGAGTGAAGCGAGCGGTGGGGATGGCAGAGTATCTGCCTCTAACTCAATGTTTCCCGGTCTGCCTTTCAGCCTCTGACCTACGCGGCTATTGAGAGTGTGAGAGTTCTGCCGCCGATTTTGTCGCGAAGTCAATCCATCGCTAAACAGATTGCTTCCTCCAGATCGCCCCACCTCTCCCCGAGGCTGACATTGACTTCTACAAGCCGGGCAACACGATCGCACAGATCACGTTGCCCAAACTGCCATCGGGCTCCCGCTCTACTCTGAAGAACGCCGTCACACAGGCCGTCCAGAGCGGACCGCTGAGCACCCTGAAATCAATGGTCTCCTCTTTGGGCGGTTCTGGTATCACATGCCAAAAGCTTACCGCCGACAGCTTCAAGGCATACGGAAACGTTATTCAGTCCTATGGTTCGGCAGAGAATGCGCCTCAGGGTGTCGCCAGCCAGGTCTCTCCTGACGGCAAGACCATCAAGTTCCACGAACTTTCGCCTGTCAAGAACAGCTACGCCGCCGAGACCGGTGCCACGACCGGAATTAGCGTTTTCCGGTGCACCGTCAAAGATGGGATGGAAAAGGCCAAGCCCTGGCCGGTCCGTCTCATGGAGAGGCATCCCTCGACCGAGCAGGCTTTCATCCCGATGGGTATCGCCGAGGTAGGCTTGAGGCTGTAATTCATGCTCGCACCGTGCTGGTCTGATCGTAATCTCTTGCTAATGCGACAGTGGACGGGCAAGGCAGAAGAACCTCTAGATGGCGGAGCTGCCTACGTTATCATTGTGGCTGATGGCGGCTCAGGTATGACGATGCAGGCCCACTCAACGACACCAACTGAACTGATGATTGAATTAATACGATAGATGATCGACCGGATCCTGCGACGATCAAGGCGTTCTTCTGTACCGCCGATCAGGGAGTCAATTACCATGCCGGTGTCTGGCGTGAGTACACTCGACCCTGACGACGCGACCTTTAGCGATATCTGACAAACCGCTTCACTACAGACCACCCTATGCTCACCGTCGGTGGATCTATCGACTTCGCCTGCGTTGAGGCCCAGATCGGACACCGTGCAGATCCTCGGGATTGCGACTTGATCGAGTACGACTCGACCATCGGCGTGGTCGACATCCCGGACTTTTAGATATAGGGAGAATTCACACTCTTTTTGGCATCCAAAATTGCATACAAACCACATGAATTACTTCAATTTACTCTGCCTTTGCCAACGCGTTGTTCGTAATCTTGGGCCAGTTTTCCGATTCTCTGAGCTCCGTGGCGTGTGCCCAAGGTTTCGCGTCCACTTCATCCTGCATTGCACCGGCGAAGCAGTTCGACCAGCCCGGTCGAGGGTACTGCTTGACGATTTCTTGGACAAGATCTTTAGAGATATGTTCTTCATGAGCATGGATATTGTCTGCAATGGGTTAGGGGTCAGAATATGCTGGTATGAACTAGAACTTAAGACTGACCGAAAAGCGTTCCCAGCTGTATGAGCTGTCCATTCGAGGAGATCTTGCCGCTGTTGAAGTCGGTGTGACGGAAGATGGCTTCGGCGACCGAGTCGGCGAGGTCGTTACTGGCTCCATGACTAGATAGCCACTATCGAAGCAGAGTTGACAGGCAATCACGTGGAAATGAAAGTCGAGTACTAACCTCGCGAGCTTGGATACCGCCCCAGAACTCGAAAGACATCTTGGTCCTGTTACTTGACAATATCAGCTTCATCTCTATCTGTATTTGATTCGGCATTGCTGACTTCTTTATATTCTCCGGGACACAACCGATATCGTGGAACAGGCACGCCAAATAGAAGGATTCAGCGTCGTAGTCGATGTGATCGGAGAGTTTCCCTTTAGCGATTGCCGAGCCTGTGAGACAAGACACGGGGTATCAGCCCGAGGCTCGCCACCGTACCGATCACAGATACTCACCAAAGAGAAAAGCTCGATGAGAGTGATTCCAAACGGGTTTCCCCAGGATGGGCCTCAGAGACTGCTTAGCCTCTTCGATCAGATCGGAGGATGGCAACGGCAGGTCAGCGAGCGTGATGTCGAACGCCGTGGCTGCATAAGGGAGCTCCGCAGGATCGCGAGAAACGGGTCGGAAGCCTGGTGCGTATGTCATGATTTCTGGACTGTGTCAACAGACGTTTTAGATTCCCTGCGAGATCGTGAGAATGTGAGGACAGAATGAGTTTGATGAGCTCATCGATTGCTTCAGAAAGCCGGCTGTTGTAACTTTGATGTATACGTCATCACGTATTCATTTAGCCCGGGCGACGCGATTTTAGCTTTACTGCTAGCACTAAAGGGTAAGAGGATGACAATCTCAAACCATCTTGACTTGCCGCCGAGAGACTCAGGCATTCGAAACTAGTACCTACGCGCCGCTCAAACCAGTTGCAGAAAGTCGAAATGTGAAGCAGGCGCCTGGCTTTACTTGGTATCGCTTCAGACGCGGACGGTATGAATCTCGTACAACATGCAATCAGAACCACAACCCGTCGTTACTTGCCAGCCTTGGCTTTACGCTCCTTCCTCTTCTTGCCAATCAAACCTCCCATACTCTTGCCAGCTTTGCTCTTGTCACCTGCCGTCTCAGACGGTGTCGCTGCAGCGCTATCTGATTTGCCTCCTGTCCGGGCCTTCTTGCTAGGTCGGTCGCCGGTCTCGCCATCACCTGACTTTTCACGTCGAGGCTTGCCCTTGCCCTCCCTCGGCGGCCTCGACTCTCGCTTGATGGCGGGACGACCCTCATCATCCGAGTCGTCTTCTGTCGGACGTGACTTGCGCTTGCGATCCGGAGCACCTCCTCCTTGTCGCGCCTCACCGACCTTTTCGACACGTCGCTTGACGACCTGTAGGACACGAAGTTAGCACTTATTCCGTCGGATCGAGCCTGGCAGGATTGTTATTCACCTGCACATTCTCGACACTGAACTCGATCATCAGCGTCTTGCCTTGTTTCATCTGGTCGACAAGCCCGTTGACGCCGTCCTTGACCTTTGCCTGGAGCTTCTTGTACCTGAGCTCCATCTCGTCGATATCCTTGTTCTCCTCCTTACGGGCGGCCTCGAGCTTCTCCTTGGTCTTCTTCTCCAGCTCTTCGAGTTCGGTAGCAGCCCATTCGCGCATGAGAGGTCCAACCTCCGGGTTGTTGTTCGCCCATCGAAGCACCTTGAGAGCGTCCTTGTGCGAGCGCATTTCCAGGAAACCGAACCCTTTGCTCTTTCCGAGGTTGGTCAACGGGTCGACCCGATCGGTCTGTCGCAAGATCTTGCTCTGAATGACGGCGGTCACTCGCTCGCCTCGCGTCTGCTTCTTGCCCTTGGCTTCGAGCGCGGGGGACAAGGTCTCGTCCATGAGCTCCTCTCGCGACAGACCCTCCCGGTCACCAGCTTCGGCCTCCTTGTCGAATTCCCGAACGGCGTGGATTGCTAGCCGCTTGAGGGTCCGGTCGGTAGCATACAGCGGGATTTGTCGGATCGATAGACGCGTCTTGCTGATGTACAGAGCCGGGTTAGATTCGAGCAGCTTGCGTCGAGCGCTGAACGACGATGCTCGTTTCTCGACTTCAGTCTCGGGCAAGAGCTGGGCGGCGGGGGTGTTGGGAAAGATGACTATCATGGAGATGACGGATCAGCTTGAGATCAAATAAGTTCAGAGAACGCGCGCCAACTCACCTCCTTCCCTCATCAGGTAGGTGTTTCGCTTATCAGCCTTCAATCTTGACCTCTCTCCATCCTCCTTCTTCAACGCCGCGTCTTCCCTCGTCAAAGCCCTCACGACTTCGAGCGTTCGTCCGTGCAGGACCAACTTGCTCGCCGTCCCCGCCGACGGATCGATCTGCAGCACCGAGGGCATCGCAAACGGGTTTTTCGGCGTCAAGTCAATGGTGTTGGCTCCAGTGATCTCCTTGACCCGGTTGGCCTCGTCCAGACACTTGTCGGCGTCTTCGCGTTTCCAGAAACAGGCGAACCCGGTCCCTCGGGATCGGCCCGTTTCACGGTCCATAGTAATTTTAGCATATCGGAGCGGTCCAAACGTCCAGAATCTGCAGAGCAAAAGATGGTAAGTTCTCAAGATACCACGTCATCGTGAGCTAGGCGAATGCGCACTCACAGAGTACGAAGCTCCTCCTCGGTCACCTCGAAGGGAACATTTCGGATGAACAGCGTCGACCCCTCTTCGACAGCAGGCAAGACGGGCTTGACGGGCTTTTCTTCCTCCTCGTCCTCGGCTTCTTCGTCGCCACCTTCCATATCCACGTCCTCATCCTCGCCCTCCTCCTCGTCTTGGTCGTCGCCCTTCTCGCCGGCCAAGACAGCCTCGACCGCCTCCTTGTCATCCACGTCCACCTCCATCTTGTCCTTTTCCTTGTTGTCCCCGGCTCCTTCCTCCTTCTTGGCCTCCTCGTACTTGTCCTTGCTGACAGCCCAATCCACGGTGATCTTCCTCTCGTTCAACTCCTTGTCATTGAGCTCCTCGATAGCCCGCTCGGCATCCTTCTTGCTCAAGAACCAGACGAACGCGAACCCTCGCGCTCTTGGCGGTGGAGCGGGCTTGGAAGGGTCTTTGTGGGGCAGCTTGCTTGCTACCGTAGGGAGGTTGATCCCCAAGATCGGACCGAAGGGGAGGAACTTTTTCCGGAGGTCCGTCTCGGTCGTGTTCCACGTCAAGTTCCTGATGATCAACCTTCCTGCCCGGTTGGCTTTCCCCGAGCCGTCCTTGTCGCCGCCCGTAGCCGAACCAGAGGTTTCTATCCGTTTCTTCAAGACGCAGGATAAGAGCGCTCCTTTGTATGTGTGCGCATGTAGCATGGGGATGGCTTCGACAGCCTTTTGGTGCGTGGTAAAGATCACATTGGCGGTTTGTCCTAGAGTCTCTTTGGATTCTTCCCCGGGAACGACGTCTACGGGGAATTGCAGGGCTTCATGCTTCCCTCCGTCGATACCGGCAACTTTCCGCACTCGTTTCCACAAGGTCGATTTGTCCACGTCGGCGGGGATACCAGTCAAGACGAGCGTACGGATGGAGGTGGGGTCGGAAGAACGTTTGGCGGGTTGGCCGCGGGGTTGAACCGGTTTTGTTCGCGGAGCAGAGGTAGAGGCGGATGAAGTGGACGGTTGGCCGGGAAGGGAGGGGATGTCGGTGTCTTCCTCGGTGGTCTTGTGTTGACTCCGTTCGAGACGAGTGGGCTAGGTAGATCAAGGTGTTCAACTTTCGAAACACATTCCACATAACACGTCGCCGCGACACTCACCTTGACATCAGCCAAAGACACCCTGATCTTTCTCGTTGAAGCGCCGAATGACCCGTTGTTCAATTCCTCTACCGCCTTCTCCGCATCCTCGACCTCGGTGTATGTGATGTATCCAACTCCTTTCGATTCACCCGACTCCTATAGGCGAAAAAATACACGACAGGGGCAACGAAATGAATACGCTATGCCGGATCGACTGGTCAAGGCCACATCCCGCACTCACTCGGTCCTTGACCACGAAACCGTTCTTGACAGGCCCGATGAATGAGAAATGGGTGATCAAATCCGTCGTAGTCGTCTCATAGGGCAATGACGAGACGAACACCGTGGTGCTATGATTTCGCAGGACCCGGGTATCAGCCTCAGGCTATAACAAGGTAGATCGTTTGCAAACCGCCGCTATAAACTCACTTGACACGCTCCTTCTTGGCCTTTTTCAGCCCGCCCTCTTCGAGCTTGACCTCGCTCGTCGATGGTTCCATGTCCTCTTCGTATGCTCGTTTTCCTGACATGATGATGTGTATAGGTTGAGTTGTTCTGAAGATATTGTCAGAATATGTTGAAGTGTGAGAGGATTTCGACATCCTCTTGAAGTTGAATCAAAAGTCGACAATTGCAACATTTTGCTTCCGAGAATGAACCAGGAAGATGCCGGCATATAGCTGGGTCACAGGAGAATCACGTGACCTGCTCGGAGATCGAGGGTGATCGTCGAGAGCTTATACCATAAAGTTGGTCACAAGTTGTGCACTTGCGTACTTGTGATCGACAGACCTTGCTCTGTTGCGGAATTCGTAGTTTATGAGCTTAGAGAAATGCTCTCACGATCACTGCTTCGAATAGCGGCGAGCAGGACCGTCAAGTCGATCCCGCAACGCTCGACGGGGATTGCTGCCGGTGCACGAGCGAGGTCGTTGCATTCGACGGGCTCGAGAAGGAATGCCGAGACCGTACAAACGCCTACAACGAAGGAGAAGGGTTTCGAAGCTCATTTCGGTAAGTAATAGGTTGCTTCAAATTTAAATATGTTGAAGCTGATTAGGTTCGACCTGTTACTCGAAATGCAGGCCCGCGAGCTAGCATCACCCATAAGATCTCGTCTCTCGGCCCATCTCTTCTCTCGAAGTCGACAACCCTCGGCGGCTGGCTGACAGGCCGACGTCAAGCCAACCCCACGCTAGCCTTCTTCAACCTGAGCGACTCTACGGGTCAGGTTCAACTGGTCGTTAATGCCAAGGATCATCCGAGTGGAGATGTCGAGCAGGGGAAGAGGCTCATAGAGGAGTTGATGAGGGTACCTCTGCATAGCGTGGTGCAGGTGGAGGGGACGGTCAAGTCCAAGTTGGCGGCCAAGAAGGTGGATCACCGGGTGAGCTTTGTCGTTCCGTACTTATGGGTCGCTGGCTGACGAACCTTTTGGCAGGACACCGTCGAAGTCTCGGTGACGAAATATACCATGCTCAACCCTGCCGACAAGGTTCTTCCCTTCTACCCAAACAGTCGGGATTCAGTGAGCTTTGATCTATTTCTCTATCTCGTGCATGACCTCGGTACTGAATCTCACTTATGGCTCTCGTCTCGCAGCCAGCCAACGAGACCCTCCGCAACCAATACCGGTACCTAGACCTTCGTTCTGACAAGCTTGGGGAGAACATCCGCAAGCGATCCAGGGTAACGAAGATGATCAGGGATTATCTACACGATCTCGGTCAGTCCTAGGCTTGGTCTTGCTTCTATTCGACATCATTGGGTTGCTGCTGATGCAGTATGGCTGGGTGCGAACGTAGAGTTCACCGAGGTAGAGACGCCGGTGCTGTTACAGTCATCACCAGAGGGCGCGAGAGAATACCTCGTTCCGACCCGCCTGACTTCTCCCATCACTTCCGACAACTCAGCCTCAACTTCCGAAGACGCCACTCCGACGACCTCGCAAGAACCCCTATTCTACGCCCTCCAACAATCGCCTCAACAACCCAAACAACTCCTCGTCGCCTCGGGATTGACGTCCAAGTACTTCCAGATCGCCCGTTGTTTCCGGGATGAATCAGGCCGAAAAGACCGTCAGGCCGAGTTCACCCAGGTCGACTTGGAGATGAGTTTCGTCAGCGGGGCGCCGCAGGTCGGGGACGGCGCAGAGGGTGGAATGAGGAGTACGTGGAGGATCGGAGGTGGAGAGGTCAGGGAGATCATTGAGGGCTTGGTCAAGAAGATTTGGAAAGAGGTGGAAGGCGTGGATCTGCCCGGGTGGTTCCAGGTCATGCCGTACGAGGTGGCCATGGATGTCGTGAGTCTCGCACAGGTTCGGGATATTAAAGAGGTTTGGAAGCTGATCGCTTATGATTCGCGGTTAGTACGGATCTGATAAGCCGGATACGAGATTCAAGATGTATGTGAGTAGACCGCCTGTGCGACTGATTCGGCAGTGCTGGGGCTGACAGACCATCCTGTTCTGGTAGACCTTGCCCATCGCCTACTATCCAGCTCTCTCGGATGCCGACATCGACAAGCTGCTAGCCGACGACAAGCCGGATACGGTCGAATTCATGATCACCCCGAAACAGGATGTCGGTTCGCTGCAGATGGACAAGCTCGCAGAGGAGATGCAGGATGTGGGTCGGCATGAAGCAGGCATCGAAATACCGCATTTAACCATTGAAAGCTTCGGCTCGACAGGTAGAACGGATTGAGATCACTTCGGCAAATCGTACGACGTGGACATCCGACTCTGACCTGCTTCGACCGCTAGGCCTGCAGCCCGAGTCATCTAGACCGGGTGGCGCCGAGGTGGGCGACATTGTTTGGCTCGCCAAGCGGAGAAAGCAGCCGGATGTGAGTCGAGAACTTTGCTTATGAGTCGATCTGATGAATCGCTGAGCTGACCTCTCGCTCTGTCACGTTAGTCTGGCTGGACCAAGCTGGGTCGACTGCGAGTCAAGCTGCGGGACCAGCTCGTCGAAGCCGGTGCCCTGCAACTTCCATCAGATCCGCACTTCTTGTGGATCACCGAGTTCCCCTTGTTCACACGCTCGGACGAGGACAAGGAGTTCCAGGCCAAGGGCAGGTGGTCTAGCTCGCACCACCCCTTCACGGCGCCCATGTACGAAGACATGGAGAACCTCAAGAGCGGCAAGATCGAGCAGGTGCGCGGACAACATTACGATCTTGTGCTGAACGGGATGGAGGTCGGGGGTGGGAGCGTGAGGATACACGATGCCAAGCTGCAAGAGTACGTGTTGACAAAGGTGCTCGAGCTGGATGAGAGCGAGGTGGCGAGGTTTGGACACCTGTTGCAGGCGTTGCGGTTCGGAGCGCCCCCGCACGCCGGAATCGCCCTGGGTCTGGATCGACTGGTGGCCATCTTGTGTGGCACGTCGTCGATCCGGGATGTCATCGCGTTCCCCAAAACGGCCGGCGGCGTGGATCCGGTTTTCAAGAGCCCATCACCGGGGCCGGCCGATGACGTTCTAGGGCAGTACGGGTTGAAGCGAGCATAGATGAGCAGGTTCGAATTTGTATCTTATTCATTTAGCATGGGATCCCAACGACATTTCTCCATTCATTACGAGCAGACAGGTTTAGGCAGACTTGGCCTCGAGGTTCTTGAGCTCCTTCTCCAACCTCTTCTACGGAATCGAAGATCGTGCTACGTGTCAGTGACGGTTCTCGATATAAGGCCTCAATCCGACTTACCCTCTCGTCCTCGTTCTTGGCGAGCGACTCCTTGGCCTTGGCCAACTTCAGGGCTTCCTGCGGATGTGAAACATCATCTGATCAGTACTTAGTCGTCACGATCCTTTGGCATGATGAGCGACCCACCTGCTTTCGGAAGTAGACGGCCTCCTCGGCCTGCTCCTTGTTCCTGCGAGATGAGATTGACCGTCAGTAACAGGTTGACGTACATGCAGATGCACCACCCACTTGAAGCTGTCACCACCGCCGGAAGAGGCGGCGTTGCCGGCGTTGTCGGCGTATCCGCGGGCAGACATGGCGGGCTAAGAGGTCGTTCCGATGGTCAGCGAGAAAAAATAGCGTCGAGCTGTTGCGACCTGGACTCACGGCGACTCGGAGGGATCGGACCTGAGTTCGGGCGACGGTTCGGAGGGAGAACATTATGGAAGTGAATGGTCGTTTGTGTTGAGGTATGTATCGTCTGAATTGGATAGGTATAGGTCATGTGGTATGAGGTTGATCGACCTTGTCGGCTGGCCGACAAGGTGACATCATGGAACCCCGTGACGTGCCGCGCTAAGCGAGTACGATGATGCGCTTCTAATTGGGTGCGCGGGGCGTGTCTCGGTTGCTGTTTCACCACGGAGTCGGGGCGGTGATGCGCAACGGAATTGGGTAACCTGGAACGGGTCGTCTGGATACGGACATGTCACAGTAGAGGTGAGCAGTCAACGCCCAGTAATGATCCTGGTCAATTCTTGAGCCCGATTTGATGATTACCTTGGTGTAATAATCGGCGCGTCGATCCACACCCAAAATCGACTGACTGACTGGCTTTCTCGATAATCACGCGGTACTGCTGTGAATAAGGGGTAACTGCGTCAAATTGTGTCCTTCAAGCCTCCTACCTGCTTTAGACGGGGCTTTGGTCAGATCAATCGTCTTTTGATATCCCTGTGCCAGGTTCACGTGCGTAGAATCATGAGTTGAGGTGACGAGAACTCCTGCATTTCGATCTGGCACAAAAAGGCTGAATACGAGATGTGTTCAACCAGCTGCGCGGTATTAACAGAGGTGCTTCAATTGGGAGCTGTGTATCATTCTAAAAAGCTCTGGGTACAGATGTCCGACGGGACATAGTTCTGGTCTGGTCGGGAAGCATCATTCGATCGGTTGATGGTAGGGCGCAACGAAAAAAGTAGGTCACTAACATGATCACATTGTGTCACTCTGTTACGCCTCCCCCATATGTGCAACTTCCGTAGGCACCGATTGCCCTTTCATGGTCGGCCGAGCACGAGGGTGGCACAGTTGGCCCTCGCGAGTCGGATCGGCTGACGTACCAGGACCAAGGCGTTCGAGGTCAACCTTTGCAAACACCGGTACTCAAGTGTTTATGAGATAACGTCATCGAGCTAGATGGAAGAACCCGACTGCCTAGGCCGATCAGAAGACAACACGGGGACGGTAACCCTCCTTGAGGTAGCCAACGCCCTGACCTTTACCGGATGATGATAGCGCGTCCAAAATAATCATCCGGTATGTGTCGCCTCACATACCCCTCCGCTTGACAAGACCATCGACGATATGGAGAGTCTGTCGGTGCGATCAGACAAAGGGTGTCGGCGCGGCGGGCATACGCACGAGGACATTGGACTACTCTTGTTTGTGGCCGTGTCAACAGACCGAGCTTTCAAGTTCCCGACTTATGTCACGGCATCACAGGCCATGTGACCATACCGGTAGGACGGCTTCGAGTTTTGCAAGCAGCTGAGCGAGCTATGTGAAGCGCGCATGAAGTGGCTGCGCTTCGCCTCGTCCGGTATCGACTGGTACATTGACGGAAGATGTTCCCCCGGTGAAGAAGACATCATGCGACCATAACGCCAGCGACCACTAGTCGATATGTGATGGACGAGCGCGGCTATGGATCACAGGACCGTCTGACTGCGATGGGCCATCTTGCCGGGTTTTGATGCGGTAATTAGTCTGACACCGTCACTGGAATACTAGAGGCCATATTTACCAAGCCAGAGTCGTTTCATCCAATATCATCTGGGCCTGCTTGAGGTATGAGCGGGAGACCCAGCTTCCGGAAGCAGAAAAAAGAGTAAAAGTACTCTTTTTTCTGCTTCCGGAGGCACACGTTTCTGAAACAACCTTTTCGTGACAACCTAGCAGCGAGTACTACTCATCGAACACTCAGAGTACTACCCAGTGTTCCGACTCGATTTCGTCCGCTACCGAGGTCGCCCTTGGTCTGCGCGCACGAGATTGCGTGTGAGGACCCGTCCCGTGCCCGCCTTGTCGAGATTGGCCTCGGCGGGAACGGCAGACGATGAGTGTGTTGGGGCGGTGTGGTGTGATACTCTATATCGGCTACACTAGTCTGCATTGTGGGTGGGTTGAATGAATTCGCCCGAGACGTTCACAATTCTTGTCCCTCGAACCGAATGGTGAAAGATACACCGTGCGTGAGTTGCGGTTCGAGGGCGACTGGCAGAAACGTAACCCATGGTTTCAGGGAACGTCGAAAAAGAAGCAGCATATACGGTCGTTGCGTCACCCCTCCATATAGGATGGCGCGCATATGGATACAATGGGTTCCTCGAGAGGGCTGAGCATGCGAGATGTGGTCGGTACGAATGAATCAGCGATGTTGCACTGTTCATTTCTCATTACGAGACCACGTCGTGAAGGGTTGAGTGGATCCTCTAGACCATACTCAACGTCCTTGAAATTCGCGAGAATCCATACTCACATCACCCGTCTCGGCGGCGCCCCAGATCGGATCACGACGGATTCTGTTGTCGCTTGCGATGATCACTGAAACGTTTCGGGGATAATCAACCTGCCGAAGCCCGAATCGCTCGGACCCGGACGCAAGCGCCCTACGCGAACGCCACCGCCCAATCCTTCTATTGGTTCTTCCACCTTCGCGAACCTCGCTTGACGATGGCTATTTGAACCACGGTGGTTGCGATTTTTACCCTCCTTTGGATCGGTCGTCGAGATCGCAGGATTGATGAGGATCGAAATCGATGACCGGGCGATCGAAAACTGTGCTACCCCAGAGTCAGTATGGTCGTTCGGGTTTTGATGAAAGGAATCGCGACGACAGAGCAAAGCTGTGTACATTGTGCACGTGCACACGGGAGTACCGGCTATATCAGAAGAATCGATGTAGATCGGTGGATCGAGTTGCGAATCGTCTTGTCTCAATCGTTGCTTCGCTAGCCGACCTGATTTGGGGGTGGGGGGGTTTCCCCGATTTTACGTTTCATGTTACACCGATTCGGCCGAAAGGGATAGACGAGTTCTCGCCCAGCGAGCCAGCAACCAGGTGAACGCGTTAGCAGGGAAGCCATTGTGTCAAGCAATCGAAACACTTGTTATGGGTTGAGAAAAATCGGACTGGACATCACGAGCGTGGAATGGTGCTTGGAAAAGCCCAGTCGAGCGCCTTCTCGAGAACCTCGAAGACTCCGCCGATCCGAGAGTCGGTGTTGTTTCCCTACAGGCCGACCGAGCCGAAAGTCTTTCCTGTAGATATCGAAATGCGGCGGCTGTCAGCTTTTGCAATCGGAGCAGCTCATGCATACGGGCAGGTCGTGGTATCAGGGCAGCTCGTGCAATTGAGGTAGCTCGTGGCGTTTGACATAGACGGAGGTTGTTCTCATGCATAGGGATACAAAGGCATCACGCTAAAAATAATCATCTCGGTGTTGTTGCAAATACGCTTGAATGGCTCGACCAGTACGAGTCTTGATAACATCACTGGCAGAACAGCACCAGAGATACGTTTGAGCTTTCATGAACCCTACTTTCTCAGCTTTTAGCAAATTCCGGAGTTGACCCTTTTCCTTGCGTGTCCATGGCGTTCCTGACCTGGTATCGTCCACGGCGGCCATATTAGCACACATTGATACGTTTGCCAGACGATCAGTAATCAGGACACCGTGGATGCACAGATCAACAGCCCTCACCTGGTATCGTCCACCACGGCCATCCTGGATATATACCTGAAGAGTCTGTTACGTAGGTTCTCGTTGGTAAGTTTAGCAGTTGAAGAGGTAGAAGATTCTGTGCGGGACCAAAGAGGTGTTAGGGGTCTGCAGGTAAACATCGAGTTGGGCCTCAACTTACCAGCAGCTCGCACGTAGGCGAAGAACGCTTTCCAAGCGGGACTCGAGCTGGAACGATCTTCAAATAGCATGTTGCGCTCCACCTTTTCCCCATTCGAACATAAATTCGAGTGTAAGTACGAGGAAGAACATGGTCACAAAACCACGGATCCCCACCTCTTGCATCGTCGTCGACGAGGGGAAGACGCTTCGGACGTGGTCCATAGCGTCGACAATCTTTAAACCTAAGTCATCATCTCCAGTCACGAACGCTGTTGTAGACGGAACACATTGTCAGCGGTTTGCTAGGTGCGCGTTCTGTCCGGGCGCGGACGTACCTGTAGCGAAAGAGAGTGGACGAAAGCGAATACGGCTCCAATCACTCTTGTGAGTCCCGTCTATGGCGACCAGGCCTGTCTCGATTCCGTACATCATGAAGAAGAGATGACACCTCGGATCCTGCACATCCAGTCGCGCAGTACAGATCCAGTCCACAAACCGTTCCTCAGTCCATCCCAGCGCTTGTAGGAACCTTTTCTTCACTGTACAGTGAGGTTCGCACGTAGACGGAACACGTCGTTAGCGATTTGCCATGCGGGCTTTCCGTCCGAGCGTGGCCGTACCTGTAACAAACTTCCTGGCTAGGGAGGCTGTCGTCACCTGCTTCGATAGCTCTCGAGCCGAGAGTGACACGACCTGGCTAGTAGCAGTAGACGGACCGAGACTGAAGTGGTTGGTAGCAGTAGTCGGACCGAGACTGGAGTTGTTCAGCCAGCTGTTGAACGCTTCTAAGGGTTTGTCCGTCAACCCCGCACAGACGACAACCGCCATGGCTTGAAGGTGGTCGGTCGAGCTACGTCGCTTGATCAGACGAGAGACTAGGGCACTTGGTAGCTGACATTTGTTGATGAAGAAATCTTCCAGTTGATCCTGTTGTCGTGGACCGGGATGACGTGAGACGTGATTCTTGAAATCTCAGAAACACCGGCTCACCTGAACGACATCCGATGGAACTGAATCATTGTTCCCATCCTGAGGATCAGCCGCTGACCAGAAGCCGAGACGCTTATAGCCGCCGCCAGCAAGCTTCGAGTCGATGTATCGATTCGATTTGATCATCCGTGCCGCGTAGTCGGCTGTGTTGCTTTCGTTTGGAAGCGCACAACCGCGACGTAAAATTTCGTTGACTTTATGATTTGTCGAAGCCAGATGGCTCTTGAGATTGCCGACAACTACAGAGCATGTAGTGCATGTTCCGCCGTACGGGTACCTGGACGGCATCGTGGACGTGGTCGGTGCCTCGTCTCTGTTATCGAAGAAAAGTAACGGAGAGGCATAAGTATCACCGGTCAAGACCGATATCCCGACTGGTCGGTCACCTGTACTCACAATGGTAGAACGATTGATCGAATAGGCAGCGGCTGGCCTCACGCAGCTGTAAGGGGAATAGCTAGCCGTGTGGAGTCTTCCAGCGATGTTACCATCGTGGTCGATCTATCCCCAGCTCCTCAGTCTGATTTATATATATCGTCAGGGCAAGCGATTGCACAGCGCACAGTCACCTTGCGCGAATGCGCTGTGCCCGTCGCCCGCTCGCCCGTGGAAATCCAGGACGGCAAATCCGGGTGAACCTCTTTTCGGAGGAGCCTTGCTTTCTGACCCAAACTCCTTTGAAAAGCTGTGCTCGGCCCATATCGCGCGACCGTTTCAAAGGATGTCTCGCCTGAAAATCTCGGTCGTGAACCGCCAAGATATGCCCGAGAGCGACAACACGGGTTAGCGCGATCTTGATGTTGAAACGTATAGGCTTCGGGTTCATGTTAAGCCCGATCAATTTCGGCTCCGAGTAGCCAATCCGACCCTATGAGCTTTGTTCTCTGTTGTTGCTCGGCCGAGCGCGCGATCGCATTGTGCGAGCCTCCTTTGCTATCGTTGCCCGAGACATTTCGCCGAACACAAGGTCGATGGCTGTGATGCCGTACCAGAGCGTCTTACCGCTGTTCCTATCGTCACCCCAAAAACCCCTGAACCTCCACCCAAAAACCTGAACCTCGTCCTGTGACCACTTGGGCAAATCAGTAGACAGTATTTCTGACCGAGATGTGCTTACAAGCTCGAGGTTTTCGCAACGCCTTTTTGTTTTCCAATGATATGACAATGCACGATTACTAGTTCACTGATCATTATTACTTGATCACCCGATAACTCATCACTCCTAATGATTTCACTGGATTCATCGCACGGCTGATCGAGCGATCGCAACCTCGATGCGCTGAAACGTGAAAATGGGGGGTGCACAGCCCGGTGGATCGTGTTCCAGACTGAGACGCGCACGGGCCTCCGGTTAGAAAGAAAAGGCCCGCGATATCGATGTAGATCTGTAGATCGGTGGATCGTGTGTCGTTCTATCGCACACTGTCAATTCATCAGCTCATCAGTGATAAGTGATAAGTGATCAGTTGTGATCATTTGGGCACGACTTTGTCTGCCCCACTTCGCATGTACACATGCGCTCATCGAGGGTGTGGCATCACCCGGGAGCAAAAGAAAAAGAGTCGATTTTGATCTTTTTTTCCCGCTTGATTAGGAATGAGAGACCGTCCTTTCGATTCGAGACATCTTGTCACGTCGAATTCTTCCCTGTTCAGCATGTCAGGGACAGTACCGGACACTCAAATTCCCCCCGAAACGTTTGATTTCGATCGCCTACCAGATCGCCAGCGAATAAATCATGACGGATGACGGAATCGCCAAATGAGGCTTCGCTTCACATGATCAGAAGAACGGAAACGAGCCGGGAGCTCAGCATACCCAAGACCGACAGGGAATCGATGAATCTGATGAGCTTTCGACCGCCATTTTACCTATAAGCAGCGTCATTTCCGTCGCTCCGTCGCTCTCTTGAGCACGTTGCTCCTCAAATTGAACGTTTGCTAATCAGTCTTCACCGCCACAAGTAGCGAGGTCAGTCAGTTTCTGAACAATCTAACGCGTCATCTTTTACTGATAAGGAGATCTCACAATTCAGCATGACGTATCAAGAGAAGCTGCGTCGGACGCGAGAACTCTGGAAACGGTTTGTCGGCCAAGAGAACGAAGACGAAGATGAAGACGAGGTCGTCCTTTTACTTGAGCCGGAGCTTGTGAAAGTACACCGTCAGCAATCCAAGTACATTCGTCATGTGTGCCTACATGATCAGGACTGTCAAGCTATCACGGAATGGTTCGAGTGGACTGCCACGGACGTGAAGGACCGAGGTGGGTTGGAAATCCGAAACCCAAGTGGTACGAATATTGATCTATCGGTCGCAACTCACAACCAGACATCTCTGAGGAGAAGCTCAAGATAGTGGTAGAATGGATAAAGACTCGTCTAGTTGAATGTAGCCGTAACAAGCAGAAGCAACATTTCAAGAAGGAGGGTGGGCTACTCACATTTGGGGAGGGTATGTCGCCTACGGAGAAGACGCTTCGAGCGCCTCCAGCGATATTTGTGCTACTGTGTTTAGGCAAAGCAGATTCTTACCCGACTTGAAGCCTGACAGGTGACTGCGGGAAGGGTTTCCAAGACCACTGGCTGGATTGGGTAGTCACTGATGAACATACAGGTCAAGGTAAGCACGTCGCAAGCGTACATGACCGTCTCAAGCTGACTCTCGTGAGTAGGGTTCCAACGACTTGACGCGGCTGTACTCGTTTGGATGAGACGCTCCTTGTGGACCAGACATATCGACTGGAGCACAATCCGAAGCGGCAGACCGATACCTACTTCCGTCATTGACGAGCTTGTTGCCGACGACGACGCCCTCGGCACTATCGGTACCTATGCGATCCGGGTGGCCGATTGGACTTATGTCGGTAAGACGGAAGTTGGATTCGATCGCCGGTTCCGCCAACACAAAGAACAGCCTGGAACCAACCGAAAGTATCGGATCCTCAAGGAAACCGGTTTATTCGACTACGCACACTTCGTACCCCTTACGCGAATGAACGAAGCATACGAGGTAAGTCAGCATGCACCATTCTTCTCGTCCCCTTCCTTCTCGACGGTGTAGCCTAACCTTCAGGTTATACAGGAGACTACTGGGAAAAGGGTGTCTACCGACTCGTCCCTTGTCGCCATCTTCGAAATCTTCGACATCGCAAGTTTCGACACTACCGACGCCAAGAGAGGGTTCAATCAGAATCTTGTGGATGACACTTTGTTAGTGGCTCAGACGGAGACGTATACCAAATCCCGACTGATCACCCTCGTCTGGTCACTTTGATAGCTACAGGAAGATCCTTTTGAGCCGTGATGTTGAAACCCTGCTCAACTATTACCTCGAGCGGCTAGAAGCAGGTGTGCAAGCACCTAGGATGAAGGATCTCGATGGCTGGGCGGTCTTTTTGCGACCTATCATGCCAGATACTACTCTTGAGGATGTTGCTGTCAGTAGCCTCGCCGTGATCACCTACGAGCCGAAACAGTGGCCCTGCATCCGGCAGAAGCTGGATTTCGACAACAGGCGAGAACGGCTCGTCCGCCTCGTCAAACCTTTATATGCTAGAGGCTCCGCGCCTTCATCGAGATCAAGGAAGGCACAGGAGTCGAGCGAAAAGAAAAGTCCGACTCGCCATTCCGGACCGATCAAGCAGCTCAAATCCGTCCAGGGTTCCTCTGTCGCTACTCGGCCAATCTCTGAGACATCGGACGTTCAGCTCGAGCGAACACGACGGGATCGGGCGCTAGAAATCGCAAAGGGGAAAAAGAAGGTACGCAGATGTGCTCGTGTAGGTAACAATGCTTTGCTGACCATATGCTACGTGGGTGCCTCTCAGTTAAAGTTCGCCCATCGCAAATCTCTTCCCCGAGCCTGAGTCGAACTTTTTCTCCCTTGGCAGCCTGCGATCCACGTCTTCACATTGCATATCCTTATCTTCGAATGTCCTCTCCGCATGTCATCCCCCATCTTCGGAATTGTTTCGCCAAATTACAGTTGCCAGATTAGTTTTATGCAGCTCGCGACCTGTATCGTACAGCCTTCGGCCGATGTCCTTGTGTAATTCGCGAGAAATTCAATCCTTGCTGTCGACCCGGCTTCTCTGATGGGTCCGAGATTGCATCAAATAGCCACAAAGGAGTCACCATCCGCTTCCAGAGATTCAGCACGATCTGCCGTCATAACTGTCTTCGTCTTCGATCAGGACAGATCATCAGACCTAACGGGGCGATTCTGCACAGCGAAGACATGCACCATCCAACGAGTCCTATGCAATTACGTAGATACAGTGTCGAACGCTGAATTATGAGGATCGAGCAGAGTATCGACGTTGCAGAATCGAGGACAAGCGGTGTCGTGAATATATATATTTCGTTAAATGACATGAAGCGGCCTTGACGCGCCGATCTCGCATACAAAGGGTAGAGTGACAGCTCGAATAGAATGGACCGCACGATTGACTGCTCTACTTGTAGTTCTTGCCTGCAATACGGCACAATAGCTGGTAAGGCACAGACAATGACATGAATTCATGATCCCCAGCTTACCGTCGGCCCAGGTCTTGCCGTCGACTTCGAGGGTCCAGTCAAACGACTTCTCGATGAACTTGACGTCCTCCTCGTTGTCCAAGCTAAGTTTCTGGTAGGTGAAACTCTCCCAGTCGGGTCCTGTCTGAACGACGGGCAAGATGTCATCGCCTCGGCAGACCAGCACCCCGGAGATAACGCTGTTGTTGGAGGTACCGCATACGCCCATGGATCCGAACACTGTTCCAAGAAGAGCAGGACGCGTCATTATACATCGCGATACGGGAAATTACCTAAATTGACTTACGGTATTTTCTGTGGAAAAAAAGCAAAAAAAAAAAAAAAAACCGAGAAGAGTGTAAATGATAGTTCCCTCAAGCGTTTCCACCCTTGTACTGGCCGTGCTGCTTCCATCCGGGTGAAGTAGCCGCCTATGAGGTTGCTACTCACTGCGGGGAAAGATATCTAAGTAAGCTGGATGCGTAAATGAGGTTGCGAGGGGATAGCTTACTGAAAACTTGAGTCAACTCAGAGCTACCGCAAAGAAAACGAATACTGATCAGTATTTTGGCTAGGTGTAGTGTTCCGCTTCGACTCACTTGTACTTGTAGTCCACACGCCAGATGGAGAAACCGTTGGTGTCGAAGCTGTCGAAGGGAGACAAAATCAGATTCGAACGTTTACTTCCGCTGCGGATGCAAACAATGCGCCGGAAGCATTTCACGGGCACTCACTTCTCCTTGAAGAACTGCGATAACAAATCAAGCAAATTGATCTATGTCAGTGATATTCCAAACGAGCACCGCGATCGGGACAACCCCACCTTCATCGCTACATCACCATCTGAGTTCGAGTATACCCGTTTCCAGTTCTCTGCAAGCACCCAAGAACATCAGCCTCGACCCGCAAAAACCGACCACACCCAAACCCAACGCACCCAAGTTGAACTCCGACTTCGGCAGATCGTCCAACGGGTTCTTGGCCTTGGGCTCCTCGGGAACCAAGGGCTCCTCGTCGTCGTCGTCCTTCTCGACGGGCTTCTTCTCCTTGGGCGCCTTGGGGGCCTTTTCAGCCTTGGGCTTGTCCTCGGCCTTCTTCTCGGCCTTGGGCTTGGCGTCCTTCTTGGGGGCGACGTACTGGGGGGCCGACTCGACGTACTCGAACTCGCCGTAGACCTCGACGAGCTTGGGGTTCTTGACGATGGTCTCCATGTGTCGGGCGACGTTGCCGTACTTGGCTCGGGTGGCCTTGTCGACGTGTCCACGGCCGGTAAAGGCGGAGAAGACGGCCGAGGCGACGAAGATGTCGGCGAGGGTCATCCTGTCACCGACGAGGAAGGTCTTGTCCTCGAGGACCTTGTTGAGGGTAGCCAATCGCTGCTCGAGCTTGGTAAAGATCGAGGTGTAGGTCTGGGATGGGAGTACATCGTCGACAGATCAGCCTTCCCGCGACGTGATCCAACTTGACTGGACCGGCAATCCGACTCACGGGCTTGGCGTAAGCCAACCATCCAGCGACCAAACCCTGGCAGACACCGTGGTACTGAGCGATCTCGGTGTCGGCGAAAGCGCACCACTCGGCAATCTTGGCGGCGGTGGCCTTGTCGTCAGAGAGGAGCTTGCCAGAGGGGGCGGCCATGGCAGCTAGACGTTTGCAAGTGGATGTTTGCCAATGTCAGTTCGCTTGTCCGTGATTGCGGTGATCGAAGCGGTCAGGACGAAGACGCAATCGGAAGCGGGTACCATAGGAGGTCCGGGCGTGTGTCTGTTTTTTCAGAAGTATAACGATACCACTCGTCGGAGAATTTGTCGACAAAAGTCATTAAGACAGGGATAACTAGAAGTTGTAAACTCATCATAAAAACACACGCCGGGCCGAGGCCAATTGCGAATTGGGAATAGGGGGAACATGGGTAGGAAAAGGTCGAAGGTCGAAGGGCAAGGATGCGTGCGCAAACCCGCAACCCAAACGAAGTCGCTCGAACGGACGACCTGACACTCACCGTAGGTAGCGATAGCACCCGACTGCTGGATGATGGTCCCGTCGGTAGCCTCAAAAGCGGGAACACAACCGGCGGGGAACTTGGCGAGGTAGTCGTCCCTCTTGGTGGTCTGCATGTCGATCATGATGAGCTCGATGTCGCTACCTCCGAGGACGGCGGCGGCACGGGCACGGGCGACACGCCAGTTGTCTGCAGTGGGGGAGAGGGAAGAGGAACGTTTTCATGTCAGCGACATCGTCTCGTTGAGATATCTAACGACGACTTCTCGCCGGACGCACTGGGGTAAGAGTAGATCTTTCCGAGGGAAGACATTTTTGTGGTTGTTTTTGGGCTGTCAGAGGTGGAACACGGTCGGAATGAGCGGACGACTCTCGATCACAATGTTCAACACCGGATATGGTCGACTTACTATGAGAGAGAAAGAATCTGGATTCAGGCGGGAAAGCCGGCGTCGTGACCTTGGGAATGCTTGGATCAGTTGTCTACCTTTGTGCTTTTTCGAGAATTCCCCCTCAGCTGCTCGCTGGCTCCGCAAACAAACCAACACGCGCGCGAAAACACAGAGACCTGCGCTTCTGAGTGGCGCAAGTGGCAAGCAGGGAGGGTGTACTAGCCTGTATGCTAATCACGTGACAGGAAACGCGGGTTTCAGGTAGCGGTTTCAGGACGCGCTCGCTGAATCATCGCGTCGTCGTGGTCGTAAAGTATACCGATTACTAAGAAGTGTTCTTTCGCATTAGGCTTTCCAGACGTCCTACCAAAATTAGTGTATCGAAGACAAGGCTGATCGTCAATCCCGAGGCCTGACCATGATACCGTTTTGTGGAAGGCGGCCTGGGATGCCAACCGCGATAAATTTGGCTGCGCTAACCCTATACGATGATGAGGAACGATCTGCTTACAACTCGCACACGGCTTCCCGCTTGCGCAAAGAGACCTATTCGCACACTTTGATCATATACCAGGATGGATTTCAACTGCCAAGGTCCGAACGCCGAGATGTTTCCAGGAGGGTACTGGAGGCATGTCGAGCTGGAATTATTGGAACACCCTATGACATGAAGCGGCTACTGCGTCGCGCAGGACAACCCAGGCACGAACAAAGGCGAAGGACTGGTGCATTGAACACAGCGTTTTTCCTGTCCAGATCAAACGCCGCACCAGTAAGACAGTATTTGGACCGCTCTTGACGGCTATATCAGCATGATTCAGTTCTATTAGAAGAACGATGTTTACATCAGGTTACCAGCTAAACGCCTCCGCCCTCGCATCCGCTCAGAGTTGTGAGAAACCTGCCTTCTGATGATGAAGATGGCTAAATTATCGAAAATCAACGTATGCTCAAGAGACAAAGGCCAGGTATGTTGATACGATAAAGCCAGGGTAGCGGGAAATAGACATGGTGAAGGAGCTCCTACGCGACCCGGGTTTGATTTCAAGTTCACTCGAGATAGTTTCGACAGTCGATGAGCAACTGACCTCCATGGCTCAGGCGAACCTCGCTAGAATTGGAACTGAAGCAGATACACCACTTGATACATACGAGCTTCGACGCGCTGGGCATAGTGTAACACGCATTCGGCCCGGGACGGTAAAGTGAACTGATCGACGCTGGAATGCCTCGAACGAAGAAAACTTCGAGCGGTGGCTGTGAGCGGGAACAGTATAGTCACGAAAGTCTCCAATGGGTCAGAACGTTCTTGTAGCTCTTGTTTTCCACGTGCTGGTGGGATGAGTAGCTGTCGTTCCCCTTGCAAGCCCTGTATGGCGTACTAGCACTCCCAGCCCGATTGCTGGCGTTTCTAGCGACACATGAATGAAGAACGAAAATCGTGGATTTGCTACACTATGGCAGGAATTCCTTCCTTCTAGGTTCTCCCATATCGCTCTGATTGGCAGACTCTAGTTTACGGCTGTAGTACTTTGAACTAGGTTGTGCGGCAGATACAGCTGAGCAGACGGTCGATTGGATACCCTGCCGAGCTGTATCTTTTCGTGTTTGGCTTCTTTTTGCAGTTCATTTTTCGTTACTCCAATGAGCCCAAGTGAAAATTACTGCGCGGTGAGCGTAGTTACTAGGTGATCAGTTCGGAGCTTCGGGCGATTTGCCCTTTCTTGTGTGCGTTGTGGCTCTCGCCCAGGCGCCCAACTTGTCCCGAGCTTTGTACGTGAGCCAAATCGCGTTTTCGTGCTTTCTTCTTTTCGTAGCTAGGTCTATTCCACTGCGCGCTCGAAATTTCGCAAGTAAAACCCATCGAGGAGGTGGTTTCTCGTTGCAAATCGATCGTACACGATCGCCAGGCGTCCGATGTCATCGCGTCCGATACCGTCACATGATATGCGCTGCGGATAGACGGTCATGTGCGCGAAAGGACCAGTGATCATGCCCGCACAAAAGAGGACGCTACCCATGTCAAGTGCAAAGCGATGTCCAAAGCGGATCCTGTAGCTGATACGAAGAAGCTTATTTGATGCGCCTTCCTTTCATCAGCCATAAGCAGCGTTCTCAATCTGCAAGGGCTGTGGTATAGTGAAGTGGATATAATGGCTCGACACTTTCTGCAGAAGCCCGCTGTTCGATAATCAGTTCTTTTATTTCCGGATGTTCCTGCGGTTCTGCAACATTCGCGGAATCTCACAGTCACCATGTCGCGCACATCATCTACTCTGAATTTCGAGCCTGCGGACCCTTGTTATCCTGCGTCCTCGGCAAGCACTCTCTCAGTGTTTCCGCTTCCGACGCATGTATCACCTGCCAGCACGTTAATTGTACCAGACTCTTACGCGGATCCTGGATCAGTCCATACTTTAGGCTCTCGGCCATCCGAAATGGCTGCCCCAGTCCTTTCTCGGCCCATGACAGATTTGATCACTTGGTTGTGGAACCGATATCTTCCTCACGACTTCGTCATACCTGGTGCTTGGGATCAACAAATTGCGGCCCTGATAGACTGCTGCAACAAGTCAGTCGATGATCCAGACGCCACAACTGCTTTTGCATTTTTCTTAAATGAGATCCGCGACCTGGACTGGTCGAGTGCGACTGCCCATGAAGTGAAGCAGCGCGAAACACAAGAACTGTTCCAGCTTGCCTTCTCATACAAGTCGAGGCTCGAGAGAACAGGGCCTGGCTCTGCAGGGCTACCACCTTCCGCACCGCAACAGCCGGCTTCAATCCCCAAACGAAGACGCTTTTCCCTCGAAAGTTCTGTGGTTCAGCAATCATTCTCCACGATGACACACTCAGAAGCGAGGCACTTCGGCTCATCAGCCAGATCGAAATTACCGACCAGTCCAAAGCCAGGCTTTGAGAACGCCATGACACCGAGCGCATTAATGGTTTTTGCGCCTGTATCATGGTCTCCCCAGACCTATGAACAACACAGATATGTTCCGGCCGACATGGGTCACCTGGGGTATCCAACGGTCGCCGATGAAACCCTTGTAGTTCCTGATGACCTCGCTCCGGGATCATCGTCCCTATACGCGTTCCACCCCGAAATTGCTGATACTCGCCCCCCTGAATCGCTTGGATCCAATGGTGAGCCTGATCATGGCAGAGGAGGAATGCAACTATTCAGACTGAACATCTTCAAGTGCCATTCTCAGTTTCCGCGGCAGGTCAACCATTCATGCAAAATTTACTCACCTGCAACGTTCCCCAATCCATCAAGAATACGCCAATTTGGCCCGAGGGGGAATACACAGAGCCCCTTCTTACATGCACATATGGGCATAAACCTATTCAACTATTGACAGGAGTATATGCTGAGCTTTTCCGCCACATCTACCAAGGGCAGACAGGGAAGGTGGACCTAGATTGGGATGTTTTCCTGCCATCAAACCGACACATAAGCGGAGGAGGAAACGAGAGGCTAAGTAGAATCTTTACGAGAGACTCTGCCAGACGCAAGGCTCTTGCATTTCTGACTCAATGTCGTCGCTTAATATACGAAACGCATCATCATGGTGAGTGCTTGTTCCTACAGCAACAGATGAGGCAGCGAAACCATTATCCCCCAGCAAGGAAAACCACGATCGGGAATCCACTGCTTAGCACTTTCAAAGCGCTGCAAAATTTGAAGTTGGAAGATTGGGAAGATGGTGAACGTCCGAAGCTATTCGATGACGATGAGGAGCCTAGTCGATGAGATTCCTCCTCTCAGAAAGCAATGTAAGAAGGGTAACAGACTGTGATCAGGCTTGCGTACTGAGCGTAGACCGAATTGATAGAGCTTGAGAAAGAGGTGTGCTTCGAAATCCTTATTGACACCTCGTCCAAACCAATATATCCACCTTTACACGATTTCAACGAACTGCGCGTCAAGGTGTTCGGGTCATAAACGACCAACTTCGCAACCAAGCTGGGTATTCGCTTGTTTCTGTAGCTGTTTGTTCATTCCTACTTGAGGTTATGTATACTTCCTTGGAGCCGAACCATGAGTCTGCTTGGATCATCGTTTGAGCATAATGATCTTGTCGACTCGTCCTTATTCTACTTGAGCCGTGTAGTGAAACGTTCACAAATCGCCGATGAAAAGCTCTTTATCGTAAGCACTGCACTGTTAGGTTACTCACTCGAGATCAAGGCCTTTCATATAAGTATAACGCGCCCAGATGGAGATGATACCCTACACATAGGAAATCATGCTCACTGAAACGGCACGCATACATAAGCATTCGGCGACCCGCGTTTCAGGTCGCAGCAGACTTTGAGCCAACTCCTGACGGATCCGTAACAACATCGATCTGCACTCCTTTGAACCCCTTTGTCGGTCGAGGTTTGAGTTTCAAGGAAGGTTGGGGCGAGCTGAAAGTACATAGGCAAGTGGAAGTTTATAACCCGAGTCTAGTGCCCTTTTGCCTACCCAAGGGTATGCAGTCCACCGAACGCATCACCCATCGCGCTACCATGTTAACCGCTATCCTATTCTCGACGCTAGCAGCCCAACATCTGTCGGTACTCGCCCTTCCATCGAGTAAGTGATGGGTTGATCTTCGTACCCAGCTGCCACCAGTGCTGACAGCCATCGATCGTAGACATCGCATCTCGACAGGAAGCCGATGCCGCGACGTTCGACATGGCCCAGAACTGTTTCGGTGGCTACAGCCTCCCCAACATCACCGCAAGTAGCGTGACCTGGACACCGGAACCGGGCGAATATCAGGCCAAGACGATCATGAACTCGGTCATCCGCGCCACTTGGTTGAGCGATGCTCGACGGGTCGCGGATCTGGTCGGCCCGGGCAACTGCGATGTGCATCTCCTGACCGAATATACTCAGCCAGGGGCACCTGCCTGGTATCGCGCTGCGGCCGATATCGCCGAACAAGACTTTCAGGCTCGCGGGCAGGGGTCGCTCGAGCGAGCGTGGCAACTCGTGACCAATGCGTCTATCGACTTTATCGATCTGCCTGATTGTGAGGCGGGAAACATCAAGAAGGTTGCGGATGTTCTGGCCACTCGTGGTACTAGGCAGGTAAGCTTAGGCCGCTGTCGTTTCAAGATGTTGTGGGCATAATCTGACCTGTACATGACAGCCATTGACAGTACAATGGAATCCCGCCAAGATGCCTAATCCGACACAGCACGACACCGCTACATATGGCAATGGGTCCATCCTGAACTACGGCGCCGTATATGGAAACAGCGACGGAGGCAATTCCGTGAACATCGGTGCTGGAGATTCAGCTGTCAGCATCGCATACCCCTTGCAGGACCTCTGTAAAGCCGACTTTGTCGTATGGGGTCCGTCTTGCAATGTCACCGTGCCTCAAGGCATGAGCGAAGACGAAACTGTGAAATGCAGTTGCTTTGGTCCTTACAAACAGCAGTAGCACAATCGTTTCCCCACGAAAGAGACCAGTTCACGTCTATAGTCGTGTAGCATTTGGGACACACTAAATTCTTCGCTCACATATGCCCTCATCCATGTCACATTATTACTGTACCACCTGAAACTGTTTCAAGTGCGGACAACAAGTGTTTCAGACTGCTGCGTGCCGAACAATAGCCTTGGACACGTCATTCTTCCCCCTTTCTCTCTCTTCGGCGGCCGGGAATTGCGAGACACACAGCCTCTTTGGACTGAACTGCGAGCAATCTACTCGCACTCGTACACCTCATCTCGCAGTTCTCGACTCTCTTACTGAAATGCCACCCTAGACCTCATCTTAACTCCTATCCTGGTTAATTGGTCGCCATCGATTTAGGAAATATCTTGTACAGCTGAAGATCTGCTGCACAACCACGTATCTAGCCCATTATGAATCCGCAGGACGCTCTCCTCTCGCACGTCATCTCCCAGACCATCTCATCCTTGACCTTTTTGCAATCGCAAAACATCATCTCCTCATCCCCTGAACTGGATCAAGTTAGAAATCAGCTCATTTCCCGACAACATGGAGGTCTGGCAGCGAACATGAGCTCTTTATCGCTAGTCCCGACCGCGGTCGCAACACCATCACCACAGATGAACCACGCTGGACCTTCTATACAGTCTTCATCGTCATCAACACATACAGGTCCACCAATGCCGGGTTTGCCTCCCCGTCGGAACGGACCTGCCAGTGTTCATGAACCTCCCAAGGACAGGGCTATCGCGCTCTGGGACTACAATAGCACTTCGTATGGCGACCTTTCGTTCAGGAAGGACGACGTTGTGATCGTAGACGAGGAAGGTGAGGTTGAGCCCAGCGTTGAAAACGGAACTGCTCGCTAAGCAGAAGATTGACTCCAACACAGTCAACCCCGAGTGGTACAGAGGACATCTCGAGAATGATCCTTCTCGAACAGGGCTGTTCCCGCATAACTATATCAAACGATTATCACCGTGAGTGCGGACTGAGAGGTTGAATAGCATGTCGAGACAGAAGTTGACCATCGTTCCTCTATGATCGCACAGGCAGGAGGCACCGTCCCTTCCTGCCGACCAACGCTCTCATTACAGCTCCCAGGCCTCAGTGTCCGACCACGGCTACCAGCCCAGTCCACCTCAAGGCTACGCTACTGGAGCAATGACGCCGTACCACGCTCCACCTCCTCCTGTAGCCTACCAACCTCCAGGCCCACCGCCAGTCCACCAGCCCGTTCAGGCCTATAGCGGGGCACAGAGCCAAGTGGTTCACGGGGGAGACGGCGAGAAGAAGAGCAGGTTCAAGTTGAAGCCGGGCAGTACGGGTAGCACGGTAGGTCCACCTCATTTCGCACGTCCAAGCTTTCACACGACTTATCATTCGCTTTGTCAACTCAGCTGGCACACAGTGCCGTCGGAGGTCTTGGATTTGGAGCGGGAGCGGCTACCGCCAGTACGATCGTCAATAATAGTCAGTGGGCTTGGACAGTTCTTGAACCTTGGTTGATAGGTGAACCTAAAGTAATTCGACGTTTTTGCTTTTTCAGTTTTCAACTAATTCCGTAGATGCAACTTCACCACCACCATTCGAATTGGTAATACTATTTACGGCAACCTAATTTATGACTACAACTACGTGGCGAGCCCTGTCGCTGCCATCGAATTGACAAGGAATAGATTTCGTGGTTCGGCGGACAGATCCCGCACGGAAATCAGGAGTCGCTTTGCCTCACTTACTCCATGTTGTGCCTGCGCGAATCGCCTGACGGATTGGTGATAGTAGTATCGCTTACCAGATCTCTAGGTTATAGGGCACGTAAGCCAAATATCCCGCAAGATGCTTTGCAGTAGACAAATGCAAGGCTTTGGTCCTTAGGCAGGCAAGCAATAATGACATACGCAACCTCTTCTTTCCTGTCTACATTGAGGCCCTGGATTTCGAGAGGGTAAAGATACTGTGATGGCCTTTGTCCACACCATCTGAAAGAACTCGATCCAGGTGATCATGGCGATGGCTATAGCTCCTTATGTCCAGGGAAGAAACATTGAAGATATCGGGAAGTTATTCAAGGCCTGGAGAAAGGAGAGCAACACTTTTGCCTACTGCAAGAGGGATCCAGTAAAAAAGACTGAGTATGTGCTGAAAGGTCTCCAGGACATCGAGGCAGATCCGGGCTACCTCGACGTGGTCTAGATATGAAGTGGTTCGTTTTCCGTGTGCCTCCTCGTATCGTTCTTGGACCTCGTATGTATGGTTGTCGACTTCGCAAATGTCGGTATTCTTGGCTACATCGCTATCGAGCCGCCTTGACTTAGAATAGCCATGCAGACTCACCGGACAATGGCGCAACGGGAGTCTCGCCGGATTGATCGTTATGCGAGCTGACAGCCGCGTCGATATGGCATCCAATCGTTTCTTTGCGATATATACAGGCCAGCAAACACTTTCGCTATTATATGGTTTCCGAAATACAACCGAGATATCATTTCCACGCGACACCTCGACTAGACGGCGATCTGCTGAGGCACTTCACTCTCCGCCCGAGCGGAATTCTCGAACAGCTTCGGCTTGCCCCGAATCTGGATATCGCCGTAAGCCGTGTCTTGCTGCAGCTTGACCATATCCCTCGTCCCCAAGTTGAGTAGCTCAAAGAACATTGTCGATGCCGCCCGTTTCGAAGACTGCCGGGTGAATATCATCGTTAAGAAACCGGGTCGGATCCAAGCACAAACACGCTTCTACTTACCGCCTTGGCAGCCGCGTTAAAGCTCAGACTTGCATCCTCGTCCTCGCCATTCTGCAACTCGCCCTTGAGGTACTCCACGGCCATGACCGTATTCCTGCTCCACCCCTGTCCAGTCGACGTCGATCTAAAGTCCTCGCTGACCTGACTCTGCGAGCCCCCAGCTTGAGGAACCCCATTCACTCGAAGACGTGTGTCGAAAAAGGCGATGGGGCACTCGTCCGACAGACCCGAAGCTTCGACCCTGGCCTCGATGATGCTTCGTGCCACTGATCCCGCTCGAGAGAATCGCTCTGCCATGGAGGGGGCGAGCGAGGCGTCTCGTTTCCTAGCAAGTTCGCCGGCGGCAACGTCGTCCAATCCTTCGACTGGCTCGAGTTCCAATCCGGTATCATCGCCAAATCCTCCAAACCCGCCAAGATCCTCGTCCAAAGTGATATCCGCTGCACCCTGTCCGAACCGCTCGCTCGCACGTCGTTCATCCCGTCGACCGACTTCGACATCGTCCTCTTCCTCCTCCCTCTCGGCAGGCGCGATGGGTCCACGTCGAATCCCGCTCCTCACAGGAAGCATGAACAGTTCGGCCAGCTCTTCCGCCATCCCGCTGACGGGTCCAGCCAGGTAGTAGTCCTGGTTGTTCTTCTTGACCGTAGGCGAGTAGAATGCTACGGGATCTTGACGGATCTGCAGCAAGGCGATCATGTCTTTTGACGCGGGCAAGTAGTTCTCCTGCGAAACAGCACTGGGTCAATTGAATGGTCCCGAACTTCTATAACGGAGACATCGCACACTAACCTCTCCCAAAATCGCCGTCACGTCCCGCCTCCCGACCCCGTCCTCCAACTCGATATCGTCATCCACCGCGGCGATCCTGACCCTCTTCTTCGGCTTGGCCCTCTCGGCCCTCTGTTCCTGCTGAGCCGCTATTTCCGCGATCCTTTCAGCCACCCCTGGCGACAGGTCCCTTCCGAGCGAACTCGGATCCTGTTCATCCAGCGGTGGAGGGGTCGACAACCTCGTCGACTCTCGGCGTGCTCGTTCGCGGTCCTCGTCGTTCAAGTTCATATCCACGTCCATGGCGTCGCCACCCATGTCAACATCCCCAAACCCGCCCCCGAGGTCCAGCCCGAGGTCCAACTCTTGTCCGCCGAGATCGATATCCATCCCGTTGTCCCCGGCGTCGGATCCTAGTCGCAAGACGTCCTCGTCGTCCCCCCTCACCGACTTGACCCCGCTCAACATGCTCATACTCCTCTGCCTCCTCCGACTAGCTACACTGCTAGCCCGTTCACTCCGAGCCTCTCGTCCGTATTCGATCGAGATCGTGTCGTCCCCCATGTCCAGACCCAAGTCGATCCCGCCCGACTCGAAGTCTTGAGAGTCGATCCCGTTTTCAGATTCACGAGCGATAGAGGATGATCGGATGGAGGAAGCGTAGTGCGCTCGAGGAAGGGTGATGTCTGCTTCGTTGGCAACGTGTAGACCGAGCGGGATGAAGTTTCGTGCGATATCCTCCCTGTCGAGCCAGAATTCATACGCAGTCAGCGTACGTATATATCATCGAAACTATTCAGATTCTATACTCACCAATCCAAAGCCGTGTTAAAGTTGGCCATGGCCAGATCGCCCCCATCCTGAATGGTAATCGCGTTCCTCGATGCCTGTACGTGGTCCAACGGCAGATCCACATCCCCAGGTCTGAACGCCATAGAAATCTTGTCCCTCACGTCCTTGGCGTCATCCATCAGGTACTGGGCCTTTCGAGAGTAGATACGGACGACTCCGAGCATGAGTTGACCGGACATTCGGAGTGCGATGGGTTCGCCATCTTGTTCCAGAATGGCCTCTGTGACGGGAAACGTCATCGTCATTGTCGTGCATCAGTCGATCAGTGAACCTTGACAACACGATAAAGGGCACGCCCGGCCAGCACTCACCGACAGTCTCTCCGACATCGACCTGCAACGTCTGAGCCTTGCTGAGTTTCCTTTCTTGATGAGCCGAGATCCAGACCTTGGCGAGCGGTCCTTTTTTGGACAAGATGAGCTCGGTGAGGAGCATCGCGCCGTTCGTGCTGTTGTGATTGAGGAGTACAAAAACAGATGAGGGGGTATCAAGGGTATAAGGACAAAAAGATGAGATTGTACAGGGAATATCAGGGCAAGGGAATGAATGACACCTAATAGGATATGACGATGACGATGATATCAACGAGGGTGATTCATTCCGATCGAGGGTCGACTAGGGGGACAAAGTGAAAGTGCAAGATGGCGCGTCACTCTCACGCGTCGCGACGCGTTTGGGGGGTACAAAAGAGGTAATCAGGCATCATCAAACCTGAATTATGAAGCGTTGTCGCCGTTCACCTATTGTCCTTTAGAGTCTGCAAATACAAGACAACATCTCTGATGGGTTCGGCGTCCAGCCAAGCAGCTTGATGCCTTGGTTCCGATTCAATGACTATCCTTCGATATCGAGATTCCCCATACAAAAACTGTGTGTGGTACGCTCGTACCGACCTCAACTCGCGGGGGTCGTCCCATAAACAGCCCTGACGACCGCCACGATCTCCTCTTCCACCTCGACAGGATGCTGGAAGAACAACAACTTGATCCCTTCTGGTAGTTCTCTCTGCGCCCTGTACCTCCTGTCCGTCCATTCCGCCGCCCGTTTGACCAGCTTGAGCTGTGTCGCGGATAATTCTTGCATCTCGGCCTCGGTCTGCTTGACAATCATGTTGTCGTTAAATCCCGGTGTACCAGGCGGGGTAAGGTCATCGCCGGCTCCGATATCCGCGATGGCCTCTTCCAGGTCTTCCGGGTGTCGTCGCAGCGGGTCGTGATTGATCTTCCGGGGAGTCGAGCTTCCACTTCCTTCGCCTGACGACCTCGTAGACGGGTTCAGCCCGGAGCGCAGAGGAGCGTCGCTATCGTCGTCGCTGCTGTCCGATCGGTGCATCTTCAGACGACTCAAATCGAGATCAGATGCCTTCCTAGCCAATCGTCTCGCCGCGTCGCGAGTCCTGCCCGCGACCCCGCTCTTGGCAGCCTGGTCGACCCCGGAACTGGAACTTTCGGCAGCCAGAGCGTCACTCAACGCAGCCAGATCGATCTCGCTACTCGAAACCGTAGATGACTGGCGCACGGGCGTCTTGACTTCAGATCGAAGCGACGAAGAGCTCGACGTGTTTGTGGCGAAACGGCTCAGCCCGGCGGTGAACGGCGTAGTAACGTCTCGGATGGCGATCGCCAGCACCTGGTCCTTTCTCTGCTTGGCGATGGCGACGTAGAGTTCCAGACTGCCACACAGCCTCGGCATAAGCTGTGATTCATGCCAGGGTGGTTCGCTAAAACTCACTCTTGTTCTCCGCTATCCCCGATCAGCACGAACTTGGCTCGCGGGAACGAATCCATCACATCAATGATACCGGGCCGCTTCCTATCACCCGGCGGTTCAAACAGTCCGTTCATTAAGTTCCTCCCTCCATAGTATTTAAGCTGTCAGAACCATAATATCAGCCATCTTTCGTTGCCTCCTTCCTTCTCCACTCTCGTTTACGTAGCGCTTACCTTGAGCGAAAATCCAGTGGGGAACGCATGATGCTGGAAAAACTTCTGCAAAACCGGCAAGAGCTCGTAAGGCGAATTCGAGACGTAGTGGAACCCAGCGACTCCTTGTGTTGCCAGATGTCGGTACAGTTCCGACATGCCCTCGGCTTCCGTCTCTTCGACCGGGCGACAAAAGGCGTTCCTGGGGGACCCAGAATCACAATCAGCTTGTCACGCCAGGAAACAACCACCAACGACCCGGACTCGCTTACCTGAACACCTCCCTTGTGCCACTTAGGATATTGCTAACCTTGACCGTATCGTCGAGATCCGAAATGACCCGCACGCCACCTACACTGGCGATCGGCGTCCACGTCGACGCTACTACCCTAGTTGCACCGAGGTTCATCAACCCACCTCCCGGACCACCGCTCCCTTGGTGCAGCGGGACGGCGTTGGGCGAGAAAAAGGCGTTCGCACCAGGGTCCCACATGTCCGCGTCGAGTTCGACGGGTTTGGGGCCTTCAGATAAGGTTCCCGTGGTGAACGATGGCGAGGAGGGAGGCTGCAGTGCCGTGGCTGATGGCGGGAGTCGGTTCGCGCCTCCTTCAGACAACAACTCGGCCTTCAGATACAGCCCCCACGTCGACGTCCGTGCCTGTAGTTCTCCCGTCGAGTACTCAAACTTGGGAGGATCGTGGAACGCCATCGACAAGCTCGGTCCGTGGGAGATGATCCTCTCCCACGGAATAACGATCTTCTGCGCAAACAACCCCTGCGCGTCCGTCGTAAACACGTTCCTCATCAGCGGCTCTTCCTCTGGATCAGGCGGTTCGACGGCGACCTCGTGGCCCTGCTGCATACCATGCCGAGGATGTTTGTCCATGGGGACTTGTACAGCATAGATCGAGAGTTGGACTCGACGTTGCAGGGCCGAAGACCAGAACGGCTGTAACCTCGCATCCAAGTTTTCGTGAAACGCCCTCAGTTGTTCGTGCGTCATGTTTAAGAAACTCGCCTCCATCGACGAAAATGACGATACGGACGCCGTCGACATCGACGTGGCCGATCGCTTCATCTGCGGGTTCCGGACCATTCCATTGCTACGAGCGCCTTCGACCTCAGTCCTAGGTTTGCCGATCCCGATCCCGGTCGTCGCCGACTCCGAGAGATCCATCTGGCTCGGCTCTTCGCTCAAGCTGGGCTTCTTATCGCCTGGGGTAGGCATCGCCGAGATGTTCAGCTCTCCACCTAGATCCTCTGCGATCCTGGCGGGCAGATTGGGAAGTGCCGCGAAGCCTTCATGAAACGATCATGGAAGAGACTGGTCAGCGGGATCTCCGACATTATCCTCTCGTTCCTGGAGAGGCTCACTCTTGGCAATCTTCATAAACACCCGTTGACTTCGACTGGCATTCTCTGGACTTCGTAACGAGTTGGCGAACCCCGACGTCGAGATCTCGAGGTCGAACGGTTTGACGTCATCATCTGGACGTGCATGAGCCCGACCATGGAGCGTTTTCGTTAGCATGATAGACAGACAACTTGCACCCGATTGCATAACTTTAACGACGACCCACCTGCATTCCCGCTCGTCTTGGTCTTGTCATAATCCGCTCTGGGCCGGAGCACGACCCACCCGGGCAACAAGTTCAACGACTCTTCCGCCTTGCCCTCCTGAGCCCTGCGGTCTCTCCAATCCCTAGCCCACTCTCCCCACGACTTCTCCTTGTCGTTGCCCTCGGCATTTCCCCTGACCGACCGATCGGGTATGAGACCGGCTTGTGAAGCTACATAAGATCCAGCTTGAGCTAGGGCGGAGCGGTAGGGTTTAGAGTTGGACGCTAGGTAGGATACGGAGGATTTGGCTTTCGAGCTGAAGAAGGAGGAAAAGGAGGAGGTTGAAGGGGTGGTAGGTGTTACTGGAGGTCGAGCAGGCAGAGGCGGAGGTCCGGTTCTTGCCAGAGGAGACGATTGTTGCGTGTTCAAAGGCGATGGGGTCGGTCTCGATGCAGATGACGATTCCGGCTGCGACCTCTCGTTCGACTTGACCTCTTCCCGTGGCACACCGGGTCGATCTCCTTGCGGCTGTCCCCTCTGATTAGACATGTTCCTAGCGTTCAACATCTGTGGAGGTGTTCTTGGTCTGACGAGGTGTGAGCCGATCGAGGCTCGAGCTCCGGGCATCTACAGTGAGGGTTCCTCAGCGAGAAGGCCAACGAAGATATGAGGTGTGGTTGCGTTCGACTGCGGCGGAACGTCAGCTGTTCACTCGAGCATAGCTTCTGGCCTTGCTATTTTGTATCTCTTGGCGGCGACGGGCCGAGCATGTGAGTATTTGAACTGCGAATGGACTGAACTAGAATGACAATGTTGTAGATCGAGTATAGGTATGCTTCCCCGACGTCATTGAGCAGCCTCCACGGCGGATGCGAATCGAACGAAATGATCGCTCACAGCCGAAAGCAAAGGTAGTAGCATTTACAGAGATCACAAGTAATACAATCAACAACCAACTGTCATCCCATCTCTCTTCTCTCTCCTGTCGAGAGGCATAGCGATAGAAGCACAGGGTCTTTCCATTGACATTCGCTCACGATGAACCCATACCTCATCTCGACAAATCCACCGCCGCAGCGGCCACCGCGACCACCAGAACCGTCTAAAAAACCTCACGAACAGCATCCTATCCCGGACATCCCAGGTCGACTGATCCCGACAGAGACGAGAAATCAAGTCCAGTCCCTGTTGGTGGGGCTCGTTCCGGGATTTACTGGTCGGTCAGTCGTTGTCTTGGGACAGTCGCTTGGGCGCGAGCAGAGGTGCTAAATTTGCGGAATGATGGCCTTTACACTCTCGATCATGTCTAGGTTTCCCGGTGCTCAACCTGTCAGCATGACCTACTCAAGTTTGACAAGGCTGGAAGAGAACAAGCAAGTCGAACTTTTCCGGGCCACCTTTCCACAACACTGTTCGAATGCCCTGCTGATCTCTGCCATTTCGCTTTCAATCTCGTCTCTCGTCATCATTACAGCTTCTGGGTATGCGAAAAGACGGACGGCGTCAGGGTGCTCTTGTTGATCGTGTGGAACGGACGATTAGGCCGACAAGAAACCTTTCTAGTGAGCCGCCCTCTCGTTGAATGCATTCAAGGTCGTCTGCCTTTTGGTGCCTAACGTTGATCACGACTGTCTTACTGCTCACCTGCAGGTGGACAGGAAGAACGACTACCGGCAGATCGAGCACCTTTATTTCCCTCATCATGAGGCGCCGATGTTGAGACCCGGATTTGCGGGAAATCCAGGTGACGAACGGAATTGGTGCAGCACGACGTTGGTGGACGGGGAGCTGGTACTAGATAAAGACAAGGTGACGGGACAGGTGAGTGGAGTTGCGAATTCTCGATCAATTTTCTATCTTTTCGATAATCTTCATTGTAAGAGGAAGTAAACGCTGACAAATTCATGTTTCGCTTGGAACGATCGTGATGGCGATAGTACAAGCTCAGATATTACGTCTTTGATATGCTAGTATACAACAAGGAAACCATGATGCTGAACAACTTGGAGAAACGATACGGGGTTCGTCGCCTTTTCCTGATCACCAGTGCCTTCACTAGTGGTATCTTACGACGAGACATTGTCACTGATGTCTTTTCCTGTTGCTTCACGTCGTGTTCAGAAAATGCAAGGCTGGTTGATCAAGCCGCAGAGACAGTATTACAAGCTCGATGACGCATGGAGACGGATGGCGCCTTTCGAGTGAGTACTCTCAGACAAGGACTCGCCTTGCGCAACAGCTGATCCGGTTCTTCCACTTTCGCCAGAGTTTTGGCTAAACCGATGGAATTGGCCTATGGTCTGGATAAGGTCTTGCTGCAGGAAATCCCGAAACTGGAACACGGGCACGATGGTTTAGTCTTCACTCGAGTGGATACGCCATACGTAGTAGGGGAGGACAGCAACATGTGAGCGCGTTGTCGAAACGATTGCCTCGCCTAAGCGAACGCGAGGACTGATCATGCTCGTCTCTTTCACTCCTAACAGCCTCAAATGGAAACCCCCTAACGAAAACTCGGTCGACTTCAAACTGACACTCCGATTCCCAGCTTCGGCCGAGAATCCAAACCTGCCAGATTTGTCGGAAAAGCCAATATTCCTTTTACACGTCTTTCGTGGAGGACGGGGCCAAGAAGCGTACACGTTTTGCGACCGGATGGTCGTGAGCGACGACGAATGGGAGGCGTGAGTGCGATGCGCTCTTTCGGTCGGCGGGTAGTTAGGTCGAGCTGACTCGAGCGCAAATTCGACAGAATAAAAGCCTCTGGTGAACAGTACGATGAGCGCATCGTCGAGTGTGCCTGGAACGAGGATCTTCAGTCCTGGACATTCATGAGGTTTAGGGACGACAAGCACGATGGCAATTTTATCGATATTGTCGACAAGATCATCGACAGTATTCGAGACGGAGTCGTGGAGGCTCAGGTGAGTCGAGTGATGATGGACTGCGCTTGAAGTTGCATTGACCGATGTTTTCCTCCAGTTATTGGACCGGGTACCAGCAATCCGCGAAGGACACAGAGAGAGGAAAGCAAAAGCAGCTCAGACGGCCAGACCGCCGCCGGATCAGAACCGGCCTACGAAACCGACGATCCCGACTGCGCCACGACCGACGGCCTCACTCGGCATGCCTAAACCTACCGGGTACCCGATGCCGACAGGTCGATATGGAAGTGGTATTCTCGGCGGTGGTCTACGACGTTGACGACGATGATGATGAAGGATAGATGTCGTATTTTCTCATGTTGTATATCGTCGTAGCGGCATGCGATGAGCATGTGTTCATGCGATAGCGTTCTCTGGTGGCCCGTGGCTGACGATGGGTCACATGAGTCGGGTTATACAAGTGCAAAAGATCCCCTTCCGGACGGTTAGTGATGATGGTCGTTAAGCAAAATATTGAATCGTTGATTGCTGATCGCTAACCACCATGATACCTGCCAAGCTGTTGCTAATTACCACAAAGCATTTCCAGATGGGCAAAAGGGATTTCTTCAGTCTGGCAGAAACTCAAGCATATAATTCATAATCGTTCTAGAAACCCAAAGAAACAGCATTTTGATGTCAACTAGGGGGTTCAGGGGAAAGGAAGGTGTGCCTGACTGATCATTAGGCTTCGTTCAGGTTATCTTTGCACCCCTATCTTGCTCGCGCTCATACGGCACCTCAGTGACAATTCACCACCTCCTCTGCCTCTCTGTCACTGCTTCTTTGCCGTTCTGTCGCCTGATGTCGTTCTTTACCTCCTCAATCAAGTACGCAGCGCGATTCGGCAGCATGATATGGCATTGTCGTTTTCTCCTCCACCCATTTTTTGCTGCGCTGAGTTACAAGAAAAGGCACATCGAAACTCTCTTTTTTTGGTTTTTTCGCTAAGGTTTTCTGTCCAAACCACCACGTCGAAATCACAAAGTACAACAGCTCGTTCCGTGTTCCAGATATCCAAAGGTGGTAAAAGAAGACGACTCTCGACGGTCCAAGATCCTATCGCTAGGCTCAGCAGACACCTTGCATCCGAAAAGACGCGACGTCAGGTCAACGACCTGGACGTGCTTACTCCTTTCGGTAACGGCGATGCAAGGCGTCCTCGAGCGGGATGAATGAGGCGGTGAGGGCGTTTTCGGATATGTAGAGGTCCGAGTGAGAAAATGAGCAGCATCCGCGTGTATGTGGTGGATAGCTGCTTGTTGTAGGCGAAAAAGAGGTCAAAGATGCGAAAGGTGCAAGGCGGTCCGAAAAAAGGTTCCCGAAAAGCCGAGCGAGGTCTTTGCCCTTTTTCGCGTGTGTTGCGCGAGGTGCGAGAAAAGATGTCCAGTGTCCATGTCCGTCTGATAGACGGCTGTCCTTCTGTCCAGATCCTCGCTTCTCCTGTCAAAGCCTCGCTTCCGTCTATTCGTCGCTTCCCGTCGTGCGACCAGTGATCAAAGTGTAAAAAGTCCTTGTGCGTCCAGAGCTCATTTTTTTATGTGTTTTTGGGTGTGTTTTGGAGTTGGTAGCCACGGTTCAAGGTTACGGTTCCCGTTGTTCCCTGATCTTTGCCGTATGCATCCAATCGTCTTGTCTTCGTATCCCATCGTTTTTCGCCGTTGCAAGCCAAACCAGAGTACGCATTCTAATCTAATCCAGAAAGAGATAGATAGGTGCAGCCGAGGCTGCGTAGTACTCCAGTGAGGTTGAGGGCGAGGTTGAGAAGGATGGTAGGCGAGAGATGATAATGCTGGTGCAGATAGGGGATTCGAACGGCTTCCATAACCTAGTCGACCGCGGTTTCCAACTCGAGCTTTGTCATTCACAGGGTGAATTTAAACCAAGAGCCAGTGGTCGTCCAGATAGAGTCGAAGAAGAGAGGTAGTCGAGAAAAGGAGAAGCGGTTGAGATTGGTAGATGGACCGAACGTTGATATCCAGTCGATACCGTCGGCCGGGTGATGTGTAGTAGTATGGGGGGAATGCACGATATCGTCCACTGCGATTCGCGTCTTGTTGAGTCTAGTCGGTTTGAGCAGGTCCGTCCTTGGCTTTCGGCGGAGGGACTGGAGCGATACCTTGTCCCGTCCTGGCCTTGGCAGCCATCTCTCGGGCGTGAATTCGCTCTTGAGCACGAGCCAAAGAAGGAGCGATCCCTTGGACCTTGGCGTCCATAAGTGGGCCGTCGGAGTGAATCTAGGGAGATAGAGAAATTAGCGATGTTCGAGTCGATCTGGCAGAACCCGACTCACTCCTTGCCTGTGCCTCTCGAGATCATGCAAGCGCGAGAAGGATCTCGGACAACTTGCATGAGGGCATGGGTAAGGCTTGGTCCTGACCGGGTCGTGAGTGGCAGCGTGGGACTGAAGCGCAGAAGGCAGGTTAGTACAACCGTTGTTGCCAGATGTATGATCTAGACAGAGCGCGGGCTCACCTTCAAGTTGAAGAGCCTAGCAAAACCACGTCCACAGACCTCGCACTTGTGCTTCTTGCTAGGATCGTCTGGGGTCTCGCCTGGAACGTAACCTCGTCCACCTCCGAGCGGATTCCTGATCTTGGGTTTCCCGTCTTCGTACAGGATGTTCCTCGAGATGACGGCCCTGTCAGAGAGGACGATTTCCGAGCCATTGGTGGACCCTTCGGCGCCTGAACCTCGGGATGAAGAGGATGCCGTGGCCGAGATCGACTTGGTACGACGCTTGCCGGTCTCGACGCGATCGGCCTTGCGGTCGTAGGGCGTCTTGCGGCGCGACTTGGCCTTGGCAGCGGCAGTGCTGGGCTTGCGCAACTGCGAAGGCCGTCGAGACGAAGACGCTCCTCCCAGCGCAGCCTCGACTTCGGCATCGAGCTCGTCGACCAAGCTCCCAACGCTCCGCTCGTCGTCATCGTCGTCCAGATCATCTTCGGCGATTTGGTCGAGCTCGTCCGTGCTAGACTCGTTGTTCAGCTTAGGCGAGGGGCGTTCCTTCTTGACGGTAGACTCGTCACCCGAACCGGTCATAGCGCCTCCGCTCATCAACAAGTGGTTGATATTGTCCGCGTTCTGAGTGGCCATGTTGCGATGATAATCGCTCAACGGGCTTTGGTTCAGCCGGCTCTCGGGCGAGTTCAAGCCGATGGAGGATCGACCTTGCTCTTGACGTTGTTGACTCGGTTGTTGCTGCAGGGGTTGTTGCAGCTGCATATGCGCGTGCGTAGGCGAAGCCTGAACGACTGCTCCGATGCTCGCATAGGCGGGCAAAACTCGGCCATTGAATGTCGGCTGGAAGGAATCATAAGGTCCCGAGTCGTAGTGGAACGAACCGGACCCGGCAGTCCGACCCGAGACGCCTTGCGGCTGCATCTGGTTCGGGTTCATGCCCGACATCCCGGCGTAGATGTTCATCCCCCCGGGGCCCGTACCGTTCGAGGACATCGTGGTCGGCACTTGGCTGCTGTTGCCATTGACGACGGCATTCGAGTACTGTCCATCTCCGGCATACATCCCGAACCTCGACGAAGCGTCCATCATGACCATCCTACCCTGCTGATGCGAAGGTGGGAAGCCTTGACCGTGACCTTGACCCTGGTCAAATTGTGCGCTGACCATCATCTGGTGGCTTGGATTCATGGCGTTGACATTCGAGCGGTAAGTAGGCTCGTACCCATTTCCGCCGTATTGGACTTGCATCCCAGTTCCCATGTCGCCCATCGGCCTGGCCGCATAAGCAGGCATCTGCTGTAACTGCTGTTGCTGCTTATTTTGCGGCTGATACATCTGATCTTGCCCCATCATCTGTCGTTTCTGTACCAACATCCCGTTCGGCTGCTGCTGCTGCTGTTGTTGTTGGTGTTGACTGTGGTGAAGACCGGCCCGATCTTGATCCTCGTACATGGAAGCGTACGAAGTGATGTCCGTCCAATCCTTCTTTACACCGGTTGTCGACCTGAAGACGTTGACGTTGTTTTCCACCAAAGTCGACCCTTGGTTGAAGCTACCGTAGGGAGAAAATTCGAAAGCGGGCTCGAGGTCCAAGTTCAGATTTACCCCGAAAGCCGCGGCGTCCCAATCGGAGTCGACGACCTTGTTGATGCTGTTGTTGGTCGCGTCGAGACCGGCGTGACCAGCAGAGACGGAAGCGGGAGGAGAGGGCGTATGGATGACAGTCCCGCTCGAGCTCGAGATGGACGACCTGGACGTCGAGTTCGATTGAAGTAATTCGACGATAGACGCGTCGACCAGCTGATTATCAACGAATCCAGCGGCGGTAGGAGGGGTGGTAGTACCGTTCGTGGTGTGGACGGGCGAACTAGAGTCTTCCTCGTACGCGATCAGATCGGCAATCGTATCCTCGACAACCTCGTCCGATTTCGAACCCGACAAGTCGATCTGAGAGCCGGGGCTGTGATAGATGTACGCCGTGCTGGGATCGACGCCCGGTACTTGTGGATGTTGTCGCTGTTGTTCGGCCTGGGCGAGAGAAGCTATCCAAGCCGAAGTCTTTCCTAATCCTTGTTGTTGTTGCTGTTGATCGTGATATTGATAAGCGAGATCAACCTCGCGTTGCAACCCGATGGATTGGCTCAAGAACAGCTGTTGCTGTTGATTGTCCTTCTGCTTTTCCTCCTGCTCAGCGAGCTGGCGGTAGTAAAGGAACTGCCTGAGATGATGTTGTTTCTGCCGCTCGAGGAGTTCGAGTTTGCGGCGTTGATTCTGGTTTTCGCGTTCGTGTTCGTCGATCACGGACGACGGCGGGCTGATCGAGTTCGGGTTGATGTTAAGATTGGCCGTCCCAGAGAACCCGTTGTGACCTTGGTCAAAGATGGCGGGCGAAGGGGTGGTGGTTGGGGGAGACGAACCGAGGACGAGAGGTCGTGCAGGGTTCACGACGTCCATCAAAGGGAGGCCAAAATGGCTAGGTCGAGGAATGGGGCACGGGTTGTGATCAGGATTCGGCGAGAAAGATGGTCGTGATCGAACCAAATATAGAGATGAACGAAGGGTCGAGATGGACCTGGTTATCTATCACTCGTACTGGTACGATGCAGAGGGGTATGGCGGGATGGAGTACGTCGACGTCGATGGTCCCCTTTGCCAAGGTCTCGGTCGATGGCGGATTGACGGGAACTTTTGGTTTGCGTTTGCGACCGAGGGCGTACCGTCAGCTGATCGTGGTGTCGTTCGTTGGCCCGTGATTGTACAGATACACAGAGGGTGGCTAGGTCGTTTGTTACAAGGTCGATTGAAGAATTGCTAGAGTTGCAAGGTTGACAACACCTTGATAGCTTGATCATATCCTGGTTTGTGCTGTGTTGATGTGGATGATGATGAGCTGAGGTCGCGCGGGAAATGAAAAAGGGAATATCCACTCTCCTATCCCCCTCGTTCCCACGCCTGGCTGTGCGGCTCGGCATCTTCTTGCTGCCGGCATGTGCGCCTTGGCTCCGCGTCATAGAAATACATCCCCCTCCCATTCGTGCTGTGTCGCGTGTCAGGGACCAAGCCTAAAAATCTTCCTCGTGTGACTCGGCAATCAAAAAAGGCTGGTGCCGGGCGACTTGCCGAACTCCTTCTCGTTTCACCTTGGAACATGAAATCTCTCCGACGGAGCTTTCGCTGTCGAGGTCGATTGAGCGCAAGGTAGAGCGAGGAAATTTTCTCGAGCCTGTTCGAATCACAAACCCGGCATGTGAGAGTATCTCTCGTCCATCTTAATACCCCGAAACTTATCGACCGAGCGAACATCGTTCGATGGTTGATCTCGAATCTTCGACCAGTTCCGCCAAGTGCATCTCCCTTGTACCCCTATTCTTCCCGATGTGCCTTTACAATCGGGTGCTCGGCGGTCAAATTCTCCTTCTTGACGATCCGTACGTCATGTACCACCCAATCCCATCGCCTCGAGCGTAGTCGATGGGGAGTAGGCAGCTCTGGATACTGGTGGTCGTTATCGTAACAACCAGAGAGGTCGAGACGTCGCAGGGTATTAAGTGATCTTGATCGACAATGCTTACTGGTAGGAAGAACACGAGCGATCTCCTTACCGTCATGTTGCTGTTTGCGCTCGTGGAAGAACGTACGTCAGGATCAAGCTGTAATACGGTTCATGAGTTTCATGTCTCCATGCCTCAGATCACAGGGTAAGGATTGGCGCTTGACCGACATGTTGGTCGAGTATGGACCAGTGGTATGCACACTGAGGGGTTCCGTAGACAAGCTATAATCGATTTCGACCCCATCAAGAAGCGTAATGCAATACTGTACAGACCATTGCTGCATCTCTTCGATAACGTTCTCAACGCCATGCTGCGAGATTTGCTGCGGAATATGATCCGTTCGAGAACGCCACAGTTCTCCATTCTGGAGGACAAAGGAGGAGCGTTTCAACTGCGAGTCGTCCTGCGCAGCTTCTCGGCCTGAAGAGGTGAGTGGCGGTGTGAGTGCGACAAACGGTATTTGGGGGAAAGGCGGCGATAGTAATGGCAATTCTATATCGAATTGTATCGGCATTCGTTGACGTGCTGGCAGGGAGAAGCTACATTCTGATGGCCACCTGCAGGTGAAGCAGGTCGTATCCTTTGTTTTATCTGGCGACATTGGCCAACGAAGCCGAAAGCCCGACGAGAAGCTGAGGATGAAAGATGAGGGGGGAGGGTGTTTTTTCATGTGACCGAACGTAGAAACTCGAATGACTTGACAACGAGATCAGCTGTGGACAGAATGGCCGAGGTCAACCTTTGTTAGGCATTTCGAAGTCATTCGTCCCAGGCCACGTCAGAAAGAAAAGTGGCGCAAGCTCTGTGGCTTGATGGTGTCCTCATTGTAAGTAAGGTTGGCCTGCTCGAGGGGCTCAAGGGCAGTACAAGACACAGGAGGTCTCCCTTTATGCTTCCTATCAACGTATCTCGTTGAAATCATGCGCTAGCAGTGCCTTCAGGCAATGTGATATAGGTATGTACTCCAGCTCGCTCTAGAGAGCAAATGTCCCTTATATGACCTGGCGCATATACTGTAGAATCGCAACTTTTTAGCTGTACGTCAACAAAACCATCAATTACGATAAGCAATGGGTCAGTACGATAGCAGTTGGTTAGGACATCCTTGGAACGAGCCTTCAGCAACGAAGGACGAATCGGTCCAGTCTCCGCCTATCTCGCAAGGTGGGCCAGTCCCCTCTCAAACTTCTGGGCCTAACCTCACCGATCAACAAGGCAGACCCCCGACAACCCAAAGCTCAGGCGACTCCGGAATTCACGATGGGGTTGACACGGATTTGCGACAAGCTGAAGCCAGACGTAGACACCTGAACATCATGAGGCATGGCTCTGTGAACCATCAAAGAGTCAGCAATCTCTCTATTTGGGCCTTCGTTCTTCCAAGACCAGGCCACAATCACGTTTGTCTTGTGGCCCGGTACGACTCATGGCCTTATGTTTCGCTGCCCCTTCCCAATGCGGCTTTTGACGTGATCTGCGATGTTGAAGCGAACAATTCTCTCGATCTGTGTTCCGCGGTCAGAGCGTCGAATTTGGACGAGGATTCAAAAGCTGGAACTCTGATCCTGATCAGCAATTGTCTGAACAGATAATAGTGACATAGTCATTTTCACCTTTTCTTTACCTTGTGACGGGAGGTTGCTCTCCCACACCCTATTTGTTTCGATCGTAGCTATACACCCCTATCCCTTACAAACAGCTACTTCTGTTATGACTAAGCCAGCTCGTCCAAACGATAAAGATCTTGATATGCAACCGAAATCATACTCCATCAGCCTTGGCGCTGGACGCATCTGCCTTTCAAAACGTCCTCGTGCCCTAGCCGAACGAAAGCCTTTGCTACCTTTGGAACGTCTCCCTGGCAACGAGAACAAAACGACATAGAACGCTGCGACTAGGTGTGAACACGAGCATTGCGTGATTTTCGCGTACGGAGTTGATCGGCCCCAGGATACAAGGGATATCCTTTGTTCGTCCTTGAACCAGTGTTGACCTATAAGAACAGAGGTCATGATGGGCAGTACGAATTCAGCTTTATCCGTCATTCCATTGATCAGTATCATTGAGTATGCCGATATACCATAGTATTAGCATGCCATACTTGCGCACCCCTTCATCGCACGACGCTGGTCCATTGTAAGATCGTGAGACTCTTCAGCACCGACTGAACCGATGGAGTCAACGACCATTTCGGACATGTCGATCCCCGTCCACACATCCAGTGGCTACCAGAATTCATTTTCTCAGTAACAACTGTCTGGGGAAGGTATCCGAGCGGGAGTCGGCGGTGATGCAATAGTCACCTGTCACGCTCTCGCGTTTCAGCACGTCGCCGGGAGCTGTCCACTCTGCTTCCGCGAACGCCACCTTGACGGAAGTCAGTGTTCAGAATTTGAGTTCATGCGGGAGATCGGCCGCGAGGTCTTCGGCCCCATACCAATCCAATCTCTGCTGGAGTCGTTCTCCTTCAGATATCTCGCTTCATTCCGTCGTCCTTCGAAGGAAGAGCTTATCATCTTCCGTGTTGCTTTGAGGAGAATGGTCGTTCGAATTCACCTCGACGGCTATGCAGCCGTTCCAACCTCATTGCTCGTCTTGCCGGCCGCCCATCTCGGAACCTTCCCACGATACTGATCAGGAGATCTACATGTTATGTTGATCGTAGTGGGTATGCGTGCCAATATCAGGTCTTTGTGTCTAGGAGTCGAGACCGTATACGACATGTTGGAAAGTTTGCAGTATGAATTCGATTGTTACTCGAGCTGGTAGACAGATGGCTATGGGCGTGGTTTGCGATCTGTTTGTGGTACGCATGATTTGATGTGGTAGTGTACCAGAGGTCTCCTAGATAATTGTATTATGATTTCGCCAGCGGGGCACAGAATGGAAGTACTGGTGCATGTCAATTGCATCTGTTCGTTGAATGCCTTGCCCAACATAAACGCGAGCAACATGAAAACACCGGTCGCTTCTGCGTTGTACGGCATCCTTTTGTTTCTGTGTCATTCTATTTAATATCACATAACAAGGGGTTCACCACCGTAAGCACTGTATGCAATGGGCCGGCGCTGCTTCAAGCCACTCCCGCATGACGTATACGACCTGTCCAGCAAGTAGCGTCGTAGTGTCGCTCGATGGACCTCGTGCCAGCTACATCAACCTCGTACTAAGCTACGAGGCAGATACAGCCCCGCTGTCTTTCCCGAGTACGTATATACTGATATTGTACATCATGGCGCCATTCTTGCCCGAGGCAAGCTAATTTCGGGTCGGAGATGGCAATGGTGACATGGCATACACCATTCGGCCGATGATTTCGATCGGTGTCCTAAATTGCAGCCGTAATTGCACAATCGAAAGGCAGGACGCAGCGGTTTACCTTTGTTGCGATCATATTATTCCGTGTACATATATAGCAATCAAGCCGTGTTGTCCTGTCTTGGCTGCTTTCGAAAAGAGAATAGTTTAAAGGCAACGGATTTGCTCAGCCGATCTCATCCCAAGCATGCCGTCAACCGAATCGTCCCTCACCAATGGAAGTTTTAACCAGAGCACTAGGGTTGCGACTTCACTATCCGCGACAGACTCTGCCTATAGCACATACATCAATATTCTTCCGACCCAGAGTCTCGACAACTTCACCCTCGCCGAGGCTTCGAGCCAAGCAGCAGACGATGGAGGCTTCTGTCCGCTTTGTAGTGAACAACGGCATGACAATGGCAGGGTCTGCGACGGTAGACAGACCTTCAAAGCGATAATAGGGGTCATGTTCGGTTTGGGTAGTTCTGCCACTCTGACTCCGGCAGTTCGCAACTTCATCTCCTCCCATGTCACCTTGATCAACCCGGTTTCCCGGCCGCCAAACTTCCAGGTCTGGTTACTGATGATGCCGTTGATTGCTCTGCGCAGACTTTGCCAACAAGCTCATCTACACCTTCTGCTTGTCGTGCAAATAAGGCGAAGCAGGACCTCATATGTAGGTTGGGGATTCAGAACGGTTCAGGGTATGAAGGATGCGGTCAACCCCGGGGGACTCGGCGGCGTATTGTCGGAAACAGAACGAAACAGCGTTGTTCAAATCCTAGCCACGTTACCGACTTCTGATTACCGGCTCGAAACAGGCTCGTAGGACGGTTACGGAAACTTTTGCGTCAGCCTGAGTTCGATTGTATCGCTAGATCTTTATGCGAGGCTGATGCACATCCAGATGCTGGATATCAATATCGACTTCGTCCTTGACCGTGTTTCGTCAGTCACCTGTGATAATACTGGAATTCTTCCCCCGGTGTCTTTGAATGAACCATTTATGCGAGGCAGTCCCGTTTTCCTTTGTTCACTTTTCTGATCGTGCATCCTCAATTCTAACAGCTGATCCTTCAAAAAATGTTGACAGCAAGATACATGCATGCAGTGCCTGTCGGGGCAGGCGTGAATCGGGGTCATGTACGATGTCGAAACTGTTGACCTGGCCAAGACGCTTCGAGGCGAGAGCACTGCCAACCGAAAGACCGCTGCATGTCAAATCGATCAATACAAAGCTCTAAAAGAGATACAACAAGTCATAATTGCGTGCATACTGTAGTCTTGGAAGCACAGGTCCCACAATCTACAACGCTTGAAGGGGCCTAGCAGTCTTGATTTCGAAAGCCGTCTGCAAAATCGTGTATTGGGCCAGCATCAACACCTGCCTGAATGCGCCCATTCCGCCTTCCTGGAAAGCCTCCTTCATGAGTCGCTTGGCATAATCGATGTCGACGAAACCTAACGCCTCGAGCTTTTCCTCGGTGACGTGTTTCAGGATCAGCGCGTGGACCGCTCCACCCGTCGGGTAGTTGGCGGGTGCCGAGTAGGGATGTTTAGTCCGTTCGTATAGTTCGTCCGAGATGAAGGGACGGCTTGCCTCTCGCAAGACACGTTTCTCCTTGACCATGCCCTTCGCATCGATGGTAATCTTGGCCGAGGGTGGCAGGTGATTGACGTAGTCGGTAACTACTGGATCGAGGAAAGGCGGACGGCCCTCGAGCGAGTGTCCCATCTCGGACCGGTCACCCAGAGACGACAGGACGATCCCGTCCATCGGTCGCAGCGACATATACAGCGCCGAGTGTAGCGGATGCCAGGAGTCTCGAATCTTGGATCTGATCACGCCATCGAGCTGATCAACGAGGGTCAGAATCGGGTTGCCCCGACCGTATCCCTCGGTCCACCCGGCAAAGACCTTCATGTCGCTGACCCCGTTCGACTGGATCTGGGGGTACTCGAGGTGGTTGATCGAGCGCAAAACGTTCGACTTGCCAGGGAACTCGACCGGGTTGCGAACAAAGGCGTTCCGACCGGGTTCGTCCTGAGCCATATCGCGGACTCGAGTCAGGTGTCGCTCTCTGACTTGATCGTCTATGGCCATCTGCGGCGCGGTTTTGTCGGCTTCGGCGAGGTAGTCGGCCAAGAACAGCGAGTAACCGCTGCGCACGCCAGAAAGAGATCAAGATCAGTCAGGAAACTACTTTGATCTCTCACAAAGTCGCGAAACACCTACGCAAAATGCTCGTCGGCACCCTCGCCAGTCAAGACGACCGGGTAACCCTGTCCACTGACGAACCGGGACAACATGTACTTGCCCACAAAATTCAGATCGTTCGCTGGCTGCTCGATAGCCCAGACGGCCTGCTCGAAATTGTCCACCAACATCTGTTCACTAGCGTGCATCGGCTTGAAGTCGACCCCGAGAAAATCCGCAGTCCGTTTGGCGATGGCCACTTCGTTGTGGGCTCCCGCATCGAACTCGATGGTGAAACATTTCAATTTGCGGGAATCCTGACTACCGGCGGTCAGACCATTCTTGAGGAGATGAGTGACGATCCCGGCGACGACGCTCGAGTCGATCCCACCCGAGAGGTAAACTCCGATGGGCACGTCGGCTCGCAGACGGCAAGCGACCGAGTCGATCAACCTCGATCGGACGCCTTCGACCATCTCTTCGAACGTCCTGTTATCGGGCACGTTCTTATCCGGGTAAGAAGGTTCCCAATAAGGCTTCGACTCGATCGTGCCGTCCAATCCGATGACAAGCATGTGACCGGGCCTCAATCTGTTTACCCCGCGCAAGATCGTGCGGGTGTCATACAACCACCCACAGTCCCTCAGACACTTGACGTCCCACTCGGGAACTAAACCTAAGCCGAGAAAAGACTTCATCTCGGCCCCGATCAAGATCCTGCCTTCGGGTGTGACGGTCCAGAACAGAGGCTTGATACCGTATCGGTCCCTCGCAGCGATAACAACTCGTTTGGCGCTGTCATAGACGATCAGACTGAATTCGCCGCGAAGGTGTTGGAGGAAGTCTTGGCCGTATTCCATGTACAGGTAGAGGACGAGTTCGGAATCGGAATGCGAGTGGAAAGTGAACCCACGCGATTCCAGGGTGGCTTTGAGCTCTTCGTACCTGCATGTCGTCGCAGATGTTGAGCTTCTTTTGAAGTTCTATCCGAGCAAATCAGGACTCACATGTAGATCTCTCCATTGACGACGATATGTACATTATCATCATCCGAATGCATCGGCTGCCTGCCTGCAACCGACAAGTCCCGGATCGATAACCTGTTCCGTCGCGAATGAACAGTACCGTTAAATTGCGATCAGCATCCAGCGTCCCCCATTCCACCTGCTTCCCCTAACACCTCGCAAAAACCTGAAGTGACTCACCTGACATGCCCCAGAGCGACCCTACAATCCTCCCCGATCCAAACTCCTTTTCCATCGGGTCCTCGATGCGCTATCGTCTCGAGGCTCTGCAAGAGCTCGTTCTCGAGCCGGATCCTGTAAGGCGAGCTAGGTTCGGTAGCGGCGGTAATCGATGGAGTCGCAGTTTCTGACTGCGCGGAATCTGACGAGGGCGGGTCAGAAGGGGAAGCTGATGGAGATGAAGGGGCAGATAAGACGGCGGTGGAAGCTGCGGCCGGGTCTTTGCCCTCCTGGGCGGCCTGTTCAGCCCGAGCCGTATCTACCCAGACAGACTGTTCGCCCGGATCTCGTGCTCCTGCATTCCCAGTCCCGTTTCCGTTTCCTTCCTCATTAACCTTGCCATTCCCTTCCCCGTTCCCAGTCACTACACCTTCACCAGCCCCATCGGCTTTGATTCTGGCGCTGCGATGCTCGTCCAGTCTCGATCTGGATCTGGAGATCGACCTCGGCCTCTGGATCTCGGTATAAGGCGGCTCAGAGCCAGGAGTCCTCGGTCGAGCGTCTTTGTACCTGAAGGATGCGGCATATAGGTTTAGGTGAGTCGAGGAGGAAGAAGTCGATGAAAAGGTCGTGGGAGTGGTCGGGTGGAGTAGGTCGGTGTCGTTGCCTACGGTGTGGTTCGGCTCGGCGATAGGAGTAGAAGCCGAGGTGGGCTGAGGACCTGGCCGTTGAGAAGAGCTTGTGACGGCGTCAGGCTCGGGAGTCTTACCAAGGTCGGAATCGACGAGGTCCGCTCCATAAGGAGTAATGATTGCGCAGATCCCACACATGATCGATGCTAATCAAGGTGATTCGTCTGATCGATAGTGAGGTTAAGAGTCGTGGTTACTGATTATCGAATTTAAGCGTCCGAAAGCCGGGGAATATCGTCGTCCTATGATCAGAAGTTGTATTTAAAGTCAAGAGGTCGAAAGGTGAGATGGCCATCCCACTATAAAGCTGGAGGATGTTTGGCAATAGGTCTGATAGGTAATGGGTGGCGACAAAGATGAGTGAATGGACGTGAAACTTCCGGGGAAATTGAACGGTCGACTGTTTGGTGTGACCCCTTGATATATTGATATAGCTATCGAGACGCCAGCGGCTGGGTTGGACTCGTGAAACGGCGACGCTTGAGCGGATCGGGGTTGTAAAAGAAGAAGAGGGGTTGTGTGATCGTCGGTGGATCGAGAAGGTCGAGGTGATCGATGATCATCGTTTGTGCTTATCTGAGATGGGAGCAGATAAGGGTCGACCTGGCGATCTGGCGAGTTGATGACGAATAGCTAATGGCACGTGCAGATCCACAGCCTCCCTCGAATCGGGGAGGGGTTATATCGGGACATGTCGAGGAAGTACCGGCCTAGGTAGCTGCTATAACTGCTACGCTGTGCCACAACTATACTCTCGCAACCTTGCGGAGTGGTCGATTCATCTGAAACACGAATTTCGAGAGAAATAGGCAAATGAGCATCCAGCTTGTAGCTGCATACGGCTTCGGTGATCGGTGATCTCCGTGAACACCCGGAGACTGTCGAGGAGATACTATAAGTACTATAGACTCAACCCAACGATTATTCCTCTCACAGCGCTGCCAGGCTCCGAGCCCATGACCAAGAGCATGTAGCATGCATGTATGTTGTGTAGTTTCAAGCCTGCGAAAATGAAACCGGTTGCATGATACAGAAGATCAAGGATCGATGTCGCGGTAGGCAGTTGCGCAGTTGTGAAGGTCACGTGATTCTGAATTGACCACGTCAGCACGCTTCAGCCACTCTCGGCCTAGACCCTATCATATCGCTCACAACTACTTCTTTCATATACCTACCTCCTACCATCCTACTCGAGTTCTCCTCTCTCCGGACGACTTTCACACCAACCTAATGTCCAACTCGAACGACGCTTACAACCCGTTAAGCTACTTTGAGAACACGACCGGACTCCTCGTCACCTTCATCTCGATCGTCGTCGGGTGTTATTTCTTCGTCTATCTACCTAAACAGTACGAAATCAAGGAGAAGGATCATCGAAGGATGGGAGAGCAACAGGAAGGCAACTCGATCCAGGGGTTGAAGAATGCCGCGGTTGGGGCTGGGGTGGAGAAGGTACGCTCTCGCTGTCGCAAGACATGAGTGCATCGCCTGCGGCATATTCATCCTGTTTTTGCATTTCGTTCTCGCGAGTAGACCGCCTCCATCATGTCACCCCCTTCCGCCTCTCTCGCCGCACCCAAATCTGACCCCATTTCCATCGCCACCCTCTCTCAACACGACGGATCGGATCCAAACAAGCCCATTTACTTGGCCATAAAGGGAACCGTCTTTGACGTAACGGCCAAGAAAGAGATGTACGGACCCGGAGGTAGTTACAACATCTTTGCTGGAAAGGATGGGAGCGTCGGACTCGGTATGTCTCGTCTACGTTGTTTCTTCTTCCCCTTGTTACGCAGTAGTATGTGGTGATGTCTCTTACTGACCCAGCGTTATTCGGGTTGCACAGGCAAATCATCCTTGAAGCCCGAAGACGCGATCCCGGATTACAAGACGCTCGAACCGGCCGAGATGAAGGTCTTGGATCAGTGGTACGATTTCTTCTCAAAGGTAAGCTTGCCGTTGGACGGATTTCGAGGGAGAGTGGTGGGTGAGGAAGCTGATCGGAGGGTTTGATTTGGCTTTGGGGTGGATTAGAGGTACAATGTTGTCGGCAAGGTCTCGCAGTGATCAGCGTGCCTTGCAAGCAGAAGACCGACGAGCCAGAGGGAACAAGGAGAACAATCGCTGAAGTCGTCCTTCCCATAATCTGTTCAGGGGACGTGAGATTCGATACAGACAATACGATGAAATATCATATTCGATTTTGGAGCTGTGGATACCGAAGCGATCGGTCGATCACGGGTAATGGTTGAGGAAACGTGATGGATCTCAAAACCACAATTGTCTAGTCGATACTAGCGCTATGGCTTCCGGGAAGACGTGCTGTAATAGGCGGATGTCGGTGTAGCTAACGCGACCGATCCGAGCCTAAATCAGACGTCAGCGATTGTCACTACCGGATCGCTGAGAACATAAAGACCAGGCGTACCTGGTGTGGCGGGGAAATCCTTAAAAAAAGGTTTTGAAATCGATTTGTTCGGCAGTACACTCCCACTTCACTTTCACCCCCATACCAGAGACGCGAGGGTATGCCTTGACTAGACAATGCCAGGCCTTGAAGCCCAATACTTCGACCGAGCGCCACTCCCAATCGGCAGGATCGTTGAGTCTGAGATGACGGATCACATACTGGCAAAGCCAAGCGTCCCTGGCTCGAAAGGCGTATACGAGGCAGTCGTAGTTGGAGTCGGATTGGTTGCTGTCATGTAGCGCCCTGATTATAGCAAGTGAGAGGGCATTGTGCACGGTACCAGTAACGTCGTATTTATCGGCCAGAGCGACAAAATCGACGACGATGCCATGCGATACCGGATTTAATTTCGTGGTGTCGGTAGGGCTGTCGTAAGCGGTTTGCATGAAGTCCAGAATCGCCTCCATGACGTGGCGTTTCTCCGGTAAATTGATGACCCCGTCGGTAGCAAACTCCATACTGTCTCTCAGCACGGAGCTACGACATGCTAACAGTGAGGATCAGCTACCGTTGATCAAACTCATCGTAGATTCGACCTGCCTGACCTTAACTTGAGGACTTCGATCGGATATTCTCGGCCACAATTCTTGTCGCCGTCATTGTCATTGTTGAACTTGACTTTGATCATGACCATCGTCACCTGCCGGTTCTTTTGCCTAGTATGCACGCGATATGCAAGATACCCGTTGAAGATTTGTCAGTATTCGCAGCTTACAGACTGTTGACTAGTAGCTCGATGAGGAAGACTGACTCGGCTCTAACGGTTGCCAGTCTGTCCCGAATTCAGAACGAGATAGTACTCGGTCGCTGAAGCTAGACACGAGATCCAGTGATCGTGCCGATGCTCAGTCCAATACTTATATGTTGCTTCCCACGACATTGTGTTATGACTCACAAGGGATGATACTGTCAGCAGTAGCAAGCGTTCAATACCAAGTACGCTGTACAAACTCGAGACGGTGTGCACGGTAATGAGATTACTTTTTTGGCCGGATGAACAATTATTAAAGTACCCTACGTCTCTATATATCACGAGCGACGGACGCTAGGTCCTCGAGAGAATGGTATCACCTTTTCCAAAGGGTCCTTTGAGGTGGATCTAGGTGGATCGATCGGATGATCCTTCTAGAACGCCATCAGAATCACGGACGGTTGGAAATTGATCATCATGTCATCGTGGTCATCACCCCATCTCTCATCGGTCGCTTCGGCGCATCGGCTTGCCACGCAATATTATCCAGATTACAGTGGAACCTGGAATGGTAATAGTACTAGTATTACGTACCGAGAAATCGAGCCAGTGCTTATCCTAGTAGAGTCGCTACGTCAAGCGAGACCCGACATCATTCACGCGCGCTTACCCCAATGTGCGTTGTGGATTTCAGGGCCTGATCAAATTATCAGCATTCCAACTCACAATGCTATAATGCTTGATAGCATTCCCTTCCGGAATTTAATCGAGGGGTCGTCTGAAATCTGCAATTCTGCAATCAATATGTTCGTTGCATTTCGTTCCGATCGGATCGAGAATGGGGTGATGAGCCATTTGCCACATCGAAAATCACGCGAATCTCGCTGCAAGCGACCCACTTTCGCTTAGCAACAAACAAAAGCGAAAAAGTCGTTGATTTGGCTTCCCGAGAAGCAAGATATCGTTACATTTCCCTAGTGTAGCAGAAATCCCTTGCGTATGTAAAGAGGTATGGGCACTTGAAGAAGGCAATCCCGACGCTAAAATCACGCACTGAAGACACTTCCTGCAGCACGAAGCCTTAACGTCTTGATTCGTCGAAGCGCAAACAGGAATCTTCAAGATGAGTAGCAAACGGTCCGGCGGCATAAAAAGAAAAGGTAAGCGGCGGTAACAGTCAGCGACAGAAAGCATGACTGATCATGAAGCGCAGCGTACGAAGAACCGGATGTAGACAGTGTGACCCCCGTTAAGCCGGATCTCTCGTAAGGGAATAGAACCATGTCCACAAATAGACAGAGTCTGACAACGAATCCCCAATACCACCTGAAGCGTACTTCGGAGACCGATTTCGATCGCGTTGTTTCAACCTCAGATCTGCGCATGGCCACCTTCCCTCCCCTCTGGCATCGATGAGATGGTCAAGGTCTCTTTCGGACCCGAGAGTCACGCATTCGAATATCCGATAGATGTGCTACGACTAAGGTGAGCCATCTGGCTTCAATGGTTATGAGACCACGCCTTGGATGCTCATTGTTGTCGTGATTGCATAGCTCGGTTTTGAGTGATGCTCTGAATCTTCTCCAGCCTCACAAGACGATGACCATGAACATCGACGAAGACCCTCAGATCGCAATCATACTCTTCGAAATCCTGTGGAGCGTCATCAGGCCTCAAGAACAGACAGCCAACCTCATGCTTGCATCTCAAGCTTCCGACCTGGTCAAGCTCGCGGATAAATACAACGTGTCCGGCCCCGTCCATACCGCATACACCCTGCTGATCATGCAGGCGGAAGATAGAGGATATTTGAAGACTATTCAATCGGCGGCCTTGGCATACGCCGCCAATTCGAGGGACCCATGGCTCTGTCATTACGTAGCATCGCGTTTGCAGATGGGCGATCCTGCGAACTGGCAAAGATGTACGATCGATCAATTGGGGTTCGAATTTTGGTATTCGCTCGTGCAGGCGTATCCCAGGGCTACGTATTCGACCAAGGACCAGGAATCTCTGTGGGCCAAGGCGGCTGGGGAGGTTCCGTGGAAGAAGCTTCTGCAGAAGTGATCGTTGTCGCGAACGGAGTATGTACGGCAGGTTTGCAACCTGTATCGAAGGCCTTCATCCGAGATCGCTAATCTGGTTGTACTGACAGTTTATGGGCTAAGTATTCTGCCTTTACGAGCTTTTGAGGACTGTATACGCAAAAGCGATCGACCGGAAATGTGTCAGCACCGCGATTTGGAAGGTGGAACATCGCTTGAGTTCCGATATTACAAGTATGCGATTACATTACCTGGTGGCGTATGTCACAAGTTATGAGACCGATGATATACGATCTGTGGTCAATATAGAAATATGCTCTCGGTACGAATTTAAGCTCGGATAGACCTGAATCCTGTTTCACGCTCGGTCCATAATCAAGCCTAACAGCATCGTTCACGTCGTCATGGATCTGATATTGCAGTCAGGGCTTATACAGTATGCACACTCCCTCATGTGCCTTTCGATGGCTGATAAACGTTTCGACCGCTCAGTGGCGTCTTGTTCCCTCTTCACTCCACGCGACCCGACGTATCCAGTAAGAATTAGCGCATTCTGTTTGTGTTTATATTACTGGCTGTCCGACCCTGTGACACCGAACAACAATCGAAAGGAAGGTTGACCATTCGATTAGCGCGCCCAGCCTAAACTCTGACGGTCCACATCGGTTGATTCGTCGTGTATCTCTTCCCCGATCATGGATCAGAGACGAGAAGCTAGTCTTGTTGTCGCGCATTCTGCTAATACGACTTTGACGGAACAGGGGACACATGATTACTTTTCGAAAGCGTCACTCATGCTGCTTCGTAAATCGCCCGAAGGGGTAGACAGACTACACAACGATCCTGGATTTTGCCCGGTCAGATCGGACGATCGAAAGAGATGAGGACATAAGATCTTCGGGCTATCGGCAGATCATCGGTTGAAGGAGGCTATCCATGATCCACCCCGAAGACAATCACACCCAAAGGAGGCTGATCAAACAGGATGACAATCTGTTGTCGCAAGGTTTTCTACTGAGATATCGTCTTCCTCTCGTCCGCCACAATATAAAGGCTCGACACGCAGAGAGACGATTCTGGATCATCTCGAGATCTTGGTCTGAACCGAAACCGCTGCGCAGGTCAACAACGATGTACCCTTGGATTCACTCTGTTCTCCAATCTAATGCCGTCAATGCTACTCTTGTGCCTTCGACCGGCGGTATGAAACGTCACTCAGCGCAAACTTATGGCCTCGACATCCAGGTAATATGTGGAAGCTCAAAAATTTACATTGGTGCAGGCAAAAAAGCCACTATCGAAACTGCCGACCCGGTCGCTGATCGCGCCGTTTGGACGTAAGCGTTGTGAGACATGTCAGGCTGAAAGGCAGAAAACTCAACGCCGACTGTAACTCAACAGTAAAGAACCCGGCCGCAGGTGAGCGAAAGTCGTCGACAAGGGCGAGATGGCTAGCATCAGCTTCGATGACAAGCTTGCCCCGGTCAGCTATCCCAAAGAGGTCCTCCGAATCAGGTTAGTCAGATATCTCACCGCATAGCGTTCCTCGAGAACTTACACATGGGCGATATCTGTTCGAAATGCAGCTCGGTCTTCAGGAACGCGATGGACTTGACTTCTCCGGCCCTCACGCCTCAGGACGAATCGGGGTCAAAGAGTCTGAAGCTGCCTGACGCGCGGCGTGATATGATTGCGGTTCTCAATCTCATGTGGGGATCCATCCGTCCGTCCGGTTGTATGCCCTCACTGGTGCCTGCGGAGCATGCGGTGAACATCGTACAGATCGCCGACAAATACGACGTCTCGGCGGTCGTGCACAATGTCTACACGAGTCTCATCCTTCGAGTTGGTCTCAATGATCCGGCGGCACAATTCAACTCACTGGTCTACGCCATCAAATACGGTGACCCTTGGCTTTGCACCCATATTCTCTCTGCGTCAAACATGGAAGATCCCGTATATTGGACCCGCTCCCAGGTTGAGTTGATTGGATACGAAATCTACTTCGTTCTTTTTAAGGCTTTTCCCCGCCCGCTCGCCGCAAAAGGTGCCGAGAGGGATTGGAAGGCGGCTTCGGCCCGAGTGAAGTGGTCGATCTGCGCGAGGTAGTATCGCAGCGTTAGTTCTTAAGGCCTGGTCGTTGTTTTTTTGTGACTACAAAGCTGAAAATATGTTACCTTGGAAGGCTCTCGCGATATCGTGAGATGTACAATTGGACAAAAGGAGTTAAAGGCTCAGCAAACCTCTCACATAGCTCAACCCCGTGACTCAGAAGGCACATAGAGCGTGGAATGCAGAAGAACAGGTAGTGAGACAATGCAAGGATATAGGTAGCGTGAGCAGAGTTATACAAAGCGCGAGAATGCAGAGGAATAGTTAGCGTGTAATCATAGGCGGGATAGACAGTGTGGATGATACGATAGGAAGTTCCAATTCATCTTCTCGTAATGAAATTGTTCCTCTGATAGAATTTGAGTTTCACGCCGAGGTTGTCGAGTGATCGAGATAAATTCCCTTCTACTGCTTCCCGACCAGAAGCAGAGCAAGGTATTCGTGTAGAGGTCAACTCAACCTTCTTCACCATGGCTGCTCTGCAAGTGAAGCTGAATGCGGACGGCTGTACCTCGAAAATCCGCGCCACATTGTGTTCCAAATCCCAGGACTTCAGAGCTGAACAAGTCATCCGATGATCCGTCACTCGGGAGTTACTCATGAATATGCGCAAATTTAGAAGCGATATACTTGCCAGGTTGATAAATGGTGGAGACAAAAACTCAGTAACAATTGAGTGCCTGTATTTCTGTAAGTTCAACGACAATCTTCAAACAGACTGTTTCTCCGTTTTTCATGACAAGAACGCCTCGCGCCTAGAGACTTTTCCCGTCACAACCTTTTAGCGCGTAATCCGTGACGAGATCGGTTGAATCACCCAGATCAGATCGACGATGGCTGGGTGAACCAAGTCGTCGAGAGTATGATACCATTATTTGCATACCTCGATGATCCGTCAGAACTCGACGTACACATCGTCTCCGAATAGCAAGCGTGAGCAAGCGTGTGAAAATCAGCAGAATGGACTTGGACGACAACGCGAAAGGCTTGCTGGGAGATGATAGGACTCCGGTCAGAGCAGGTCAATCATGGTACTCCGCCCTGCCGTCAATATCGATAGGCTTACTTGGTTTATCCTTACTCGTTAGACGCGGAGCCCGGCGAGACCGTCGAAGTGATTCTGTCGGACGGTACTCGCAGATCTATATCGAAAGAAGCTCTATATCTCAGGTACGCAGTCTCGAGCGGTGCCTTTCTTCATCCGCATATGTGAGATATTGAAGTCATCGATATTAGTCCCGTCATTCGCAACGCTTTAGCGTTCTCAAGTACATCCCCTGGGACAACCGAGTCGATTCCTCTGGACGAAGATCCCGTCCCGATGGGACACCTACTGGATCTCGTGGCCGCTCTTTGGTCACCATGGAATGAGAGCGTTTTCGAGCTGTTCCCGCCGAGTGAACATGCAGATGCCGTATACAAACTAGCGGACAAGTACGACATCGTGGGACCCGTATGTTACACCGCTGCGTTCAAAATTCATCAACGTATGCATGGCTCGGACGAGCTGCACTTTGACTGCTTAAAATGGGCCGTGACCACCGGGGACCTCCGTCTAGCAAAGTATGTGTTGAATCATGCGGAAATGTTCAATCCCATCGATTGGGATCGCAAGCAAATAGAGATCCTGGGATGGGCGAGGTGGTACACTCTCATGATGTCTTATCGCGAGGCCATCCGTCTTCGCACCACTTCCCCTTGGACAGTCGTCGCAAAGTCCATGAGTTGGGAATCTTTTTTCGAAAAGTAACTTGCACATCAGGGTATGTCTGGGACTGGGCAGCTGTTCTCTATCAAGAAGCTGAATATCATCTGTCTAATCTGTCTAATCAGGCGTGGCAAACTCTCAGCGAAGGATCGCACGGATCGATGAGAGGCGTGCTGCAGTGCCAATGGTAGAGAAATGCCTTAATCGATACCAAGCCTTATATAAAGTATCATGGTTACAGTACTGCATTTATCTTGCCATTCAAGTTTTGCTTGCCTATCTCTAGTGGTTCAGCCATTCGTCAGATATGGCCAGGGTCGACCGTCGATGTGTTTTGGGCTGACCTGAGACTGCTAGCGGGCGTCAACGTTATTGTTACTTGAAACACGAGTACGACCCTTCTCACGGCGAACTGCACTAGCAGCGTAGCGTCACGAAGATCACGAAAGCGGCGATGAATCTCATGCCTTCATAGATAATAGCGAGATAGTCAACAAAGCAAACCATTCGAGTCCTCCGTTGTCGATGCACCCTCGCGGCTAATCGAACAAAAGGTTGAAGGGAGGGTGCTTACTGCGGTCGCGGGATCTAATTAATGATGGCGACGAGCGATTCGCCATGAGACAATTTCGGAAGGTTCCATCAGCGATCAGCGAGAACAACAGGCATCGCGGCGTCGACAGCTCTACCTACGATCATATAAAGGAATTCTAAGCGTCATCAGGCTAGAAGATCGCTGACTTCTAGCTTCTGGCTTTATCATCGTTGTCATCTTGCCATCCTGAACACTATCTTCGTATCGAAACGCGCAGCCATCCGACTGGATAATTAGCAAACCTCAAGATCAGCTGGACTCACTCATGACAGCGACCCAAGCTATGTTCTCGCGTCAGTAGTCCCGGGCTCTTTGCCCTTTCTCGATTGCTGAAGGCATTGCGCTACAATAGTACCCGGATCGACTGATGGCATTGAAGTGGCATTTACGGATGGGGCAAGATGGAAAGTATCACAGCAGGTGCTCAGCCAAAGGTGAGTGAAAAATTAATCAGACAAACTCATTCGTCTCGTTGATGTTAGTCTGGCTATACGATTACTCCCCAGCTCTGTATTGCGGGATGCCTTTGACATCGCCAGGACCTCAGATTCACCCCAGACCGAAAAATCAAGGCCTTTGCTGTTTACAGAGTATCCCGTCGCCATGCGTAGCCTGTTGAGCCTCATGAAAGCCTTCAAAAACCCTTGGACCATCTATCGGATTCCCAGTGGAGCTGATGCACGTCGCGTCTGGGAGTTGGCAGATAAATACGACGTCGTCGATCTTATACGCCACACCTGCTTATTCGTGATCCAAAAAGATGAGCAGTACGAATATAAAGATCGACAATTCGACTACTTCGTCTGGGCTGTTATGAGCAAGGACGTGCATTTGCTGGGATACGTCTTGCAACGTTGGCCGATGAGTGACCCTGTCGACTGGACTCGCGCGCAGATCGACATCATCGGTTGGGAGTTGTGGCATTGCCTTATCAAGTCCTATCCTCGAGCGCAACCAGATGTAAACCGGGGCCACTGGAACACAGTGATGAGAACCAATAAGGTGATAGATCTAATCCGAACAGGAGCGGTACGTCCAAATTTGCTGACATGAATCGCCGCGCACTACCTGACGACACACGAGCTTTGTTTCAGCTTATTAGCAAAGAGCCATAGGACCTGCTGAGCGCTCCACATCGCTTTCGATACGCACGCTCGATACAATGAGAATAACATGTCAGTAGAATGGGCCGCGATATTGGGAAGACATTGGCTACTGGCGCATTAGAGCGTCGAGCAGTGTGGTTATTTACTATTACGAGATTCTGCAGAATGTTTTAACCGACCAGAACGGTCGCATACGTCCATTGATCTATTGTCATATTGTCATCATCATTCTGAAAGCTGCCCAAATCCCGCTTTGTTGCAGTCGTATTTGGTCTTCAGCGATAAGGCGAAGCGGGAATTGACGGCGCCTTTTCTTAGGAGGGTCATTCAACCATCTGTTGTCAACTTTGGTTGGAGCGAGACAGATTGCGCGACAAGCGATCGTCGACGATCGAGTCAGCATCTTGAGCATTCTGGTATCAACACCCCAGCCGGAAAAGGGATTCAACGTGTCCGCCATGGCTATTGAAGAGATGGTCTTGCTAGAGTTCGAAGACGAGAAGGACGATGTACAGTTCCCGAAGTCCATTCTCATGCTAAGGTCAGTCCAAGTTGTCGTGCTGGGTCTAAAGCTCGATTTCATAAGGCCGCTTCCTGTATCTAGCTCGGTATTCCGGGACTCTTGGCTGGTTTGCCTTCCGCCACCAACGATCTTTCCAGCCAAGATGTTCTAAATTTCTCGGACAATCGCTATTCTATGCTAGGATTGCTGGGTATGATACGCCATGTGATCGACCAGCTCAGTCAACCAAAGGTGCTTCTCGACAACTATTGGTTATCCAACCTTCATGATATGGCGAAGAGATACGCATTCGCTCCGATGTTGCACAACATCGTCGTGCTCTCGTACTTGAAGAGTGATCCGGCGGATCTCAACTATTTGGTCTACGCCGTGCGCGTGAAAGACCCCTGGCTGTGCAAACACTTCGTCACCCATCACTATCTTGGCGACCCCGCTGAGTGGGAGACGGACAGCATAGAAGCTATGGGGGTTCGTGTATTCCTGCCACTCCTTCATATTTATCGGAAGAACCGGGAAGTGTTTGAAGATGAAGAGGATGAGAATCGTACCTACGCCTTCGAAGTGATGGAAACGATCGACTGGCACGAACTCCTTGCAATCGAGCCGGAGAAACCCAGGTAAGCACAGCTAGCTTCGGATCGGATCTCCTGGCTAAGCAATCTCGTCGTCCTCGTCAGGACTTCAAACGGAACCGCCATCAAACCCGACCCTTGATTTAGCAGGTGGAAAGTTGAGACTGTAGTTGCGCGATATCGGATGGGATATAATTTGACTGAACGTCTACAGCATGTGTCCACATCGAGCGCCAAGTAGCTTATGTATGCTGATGTCATGACGTTGATGATAAGAAACGCAGATGACATTCTTAACATACAAAGGGAGATACAAGGCTCCTCACCAACGTCATCTAGTATTGCTTGAGGTCAAGATCGACGAAACCATAGCGCTTAGAAAGCCGTCCGTTCCTCGGGAGAACGCCACGGCTGGACAATTCTTGGACGAGCACACCTATTCGGACGAGACCCATAGAAGACAACGGACACCAGGAGATATCATTAAATCGGTCGATGCCTGTGCATGTAAATGCTTTGATACAACTACTGTGTTGAGCCGTCATTCATCTACCATGGATTGTTGAGCGCCCAGTCATCTTTAGGCTTGCGATCGGGGTAAGTCGACCAGTCTGAAGTCGCAACGCCCTTGCTCTCTCTTCCGAAACCACCTATGTCGCCTCCTTCGTCGTCTTCGTCATCGACAGGGCCGCCAAAGTGAGAGAGTTCATCCAGATCTTTGCTGAAAATGTTGGTTGCGGACTGCAAGACATGTGAGGGGAAACCACGCGCGGCCCTTGTAGATGTCGGTTGTGATGTGGCTGAGATGGGCGCGGCTGGTGTTGCCCACTCGTTCGAATAATCGGGCGTGTTCGCGATGGATGCGGGTGGAGAGAAATCTGCATTGTGATCGAATGTGGTTGCCGTAGACAAAGGCGGCGACGTTCTCGCCGGAACAGGAGAGGCGGAGCGGTAGTCGTTGCGTGTAGTACTAACCGCCTCGTATTCGAGCGGAGGAGCGGACTCCGCTCTCTCGAGCGGGGCACGGTCTTGTAGTCTTCGAACGCTGTCTGGTACGACGTTGGAAGGTTGAGAAAGCTTCACTTCCTTCGGGTCCACGTTCTTGCCCAGCACGTCCGAAATCTTTTTGAAGTCGAAACCAGCGGTCGCTGGCAGATCGCCAGTGGAACTTGTCGTCGAGGAAGGCATCGTGGTCGGGTTGGTCGGCACGGTCAGTCGAGCCTGAGGTGTCGCGACCGGTGGCGTAGCGATGCCTCCCTTTCCGATATCACCATCATCCTCGGCATCATCATACTCGGCTGCCTGGCTTACAGCACCAGTGGGGGCGAATGATGGAGGAGGGTTGACTTTGGGCGTAGATTGGCCTGACGTCGAGCCCTGCTTGCGAGGGAAAATGCCCCACAGCTTCGACTTTGCCTTCTGTTGCTCTTCTTCTTGCTCGTTAACGATCGTTCTCTTCTGGATACTGAGATCTAGCTCAGGATCCTGTTAAAGTAATATCAGTACAGAGACACCAACCCGCTGAAAGCACCGTTCCGACTCACATCAGGCTCGTCGAACCAATCCGCCGTAATCGGCAGACCGACAAATTCAAGCAGGGCCGGCATGCACGGTCGATAACTCATGTGTCCAGCAATCCGGTCCGTGACGTCAATGTTTTCGAGTCCAGGAACGTTTTCTATGGCCCTCAGTCCAGCAACGGTACTGAGTCCACCGCTTGTCGCTCGAAACAGGTAGCCCAGTACCCAATCGTTGGTGGCGTATGCGTTCACAAATCGTCCCGACACCACGCTACGGGCGTTCATCCAGGTCGCTTTAGGCGCGGTCACGGTGGCCCCGAAAAGGTAAACGTCCTGTACAATACCGAACGCCTTCTGTTTTGCCAACTCGTCCAGCGCATAAAAGATGACACGTGCTCCCAAGCTGAAGCCGATGAGCGAGATAGGACGAACGCCCGCATGCCGCTGTATCAAGACGTCCGCTAGAACGAGACCTGCAGCATACGCCCTGTCCAGTGCGTTCGACCACGGATTATCAATGAGATAACCCAGCTTTGTGAGGACTGGTGAGAATGACATCAGTATCGGTGAGGTCAGAGACTATGTACGATCGGCGGCACATACCGATTGGGAGCGAGAGACCGCTCATAAGCCCTCCCATCATCATTGTTGTTCCCAGCACGGACGTGCCGACTGAACTCAGCACTTCGCTTGTCAAGATTTTCAAAGCGTTTCCCAATTCGTTCATCATTTCAGGCTCCCAGTGAACTGAAAACACGTCGCCGACGATCGAATCGAGCGTAGAAAAGGGCAAGGTAACGTCATCTACCGCACTAGCCATGTAGCTGTGATCGTCAAATTTCGCACTTCTGTCAACGTATGCGTCATACGAGAAGCTGTGATGTTCAGGCTTACCCAGGTACGGTAATGAAGCAATTGACTCGCTTATTATTATGGATGGGTCGGAACTCGAAAGTCCGTACGCTTCTCGTCCTGCGCAGCATTCCCTTGCCTGCAATAGCACCTCCACTCAAGATACCTCCACTGGTGATGACAGCAGCGCCTCCCGCACCTCCCAGAAAGGCCCCCGTTCCCGAGATACCGATACCAGCAAATGCCGCCCCGAGTCCAGCTCCAATGACCGGTGCCAACAGCCCAGCCGAGAGACCGATGACCAAACCTCCTCCCAGTGTGGCAAGACCCATCATCGCGATTCGCCTCCGCTTTGATTGTTTGGCTCTGCCATCGATGATCTGCCCATGCTTCTGACTTTCAATGCCTTCTTGGATCTCCAAAGCATCCGTGACTCGCTTCTCGAATCGCGTAACGTCTAGCCATGTCAGGCCTAATTTCGCTGCAACCCTTTCCAAAAACACCCTCGACCGTGCGTCGTATACAGAGTCACCGATCAGTTGCAGGAACATGTCACAAAGCTGATAAAAGTTGACAGATCAGCTTCATTGGGTCTTCTCGGTCACGCTCATTATGTTACTCACCACAGTCCACCTGATGTCAAGCGTAACGTTTTCATCCGTTTTCGATAAGGCGGTGGAGACTCCGGGCAAAGCCTCGCTCTGTTTAGGTCCCTCCTCCCTGATACCTCGTTCAACAACTTCTGCAGCGTTAGTGGGTTTCGAGGCGCTGACTGCTGGTGTGGACTGTGTCCTGTCCTCGGGTATCGCTACGCTTTCCCCTGGGATCCGCGCAGATGGTGGTTCGTCCGGTTTGTTGTTACCCAAAACAAGATCTTCTAGCGTATTTGCGATATCGCCCTCCTCAATCTCAGGGTAGTTAGGCTCCACTTTGCTTGCTGTCGGTTTGTCAACCTTTTCTGATGGTACTGATGGGCTCCCTATATCCCCCTCGTCGAGGTCGCTATCATCGCCGAATGGGTTGACGCTCTTACTAGACTTTTTCCTACTAGGCTTGGGCGCCTCGTAAGGCGGTGGCGGGGCCTCTGCCCTATCTTCTAGCTGTCCGAAAGGGTCCGACCCAAACAACTCCGCTCGAAGACTTGAAGCCTTCGGAGGATCCTGCGAAGTGGCAGCTTTCTCCACGCCTTTCGATACTCGTGCTTCCTCTTCCTCCTGCTCCTCTTCGCTCTCTTCCTGCTCTTCGTGTATTACCTTTGCTGCCGCGGGATCATATTCGGGATTCTTGACGGTATGTGTGGTCATCAGTGCCGGGACAAGGTCCGCAGCCAGCACTCCATGTTCTGCTAGTGATTCGATCATCCGTTGCTCTGCCCGGTGTTTCATATCAGCTGACATTGCCATAAAACAGCGTGCGAAACAGTCACTCACCGTCCGCGTTCAGGTTCATGTGCTGATATAGCCTGGCCATAATCTTGAGCATCCAAAGTCTCCCACTCCCGACTACTCCTGTCTCTTCGTCTTTTCCTTTCTTCGCTGGCGGCCATCCTCTGCCCATATCGAGAATCATCTCCCTAGCGACTAGAGCAGAAAGACCGACATAGGCGATCCTCTGACCTTCGGTCAACATCTCCTTGGTGGCCTGCATCTGACTGAGCGGCGTCATCGCCTTGTCATCATCAAACAGGTATTTTGTCCTCATATGCACTTCTTCCGATTCTTCGTCTTCGAACAGCCGTAACCGGGTATAATCGGATTCGTCCTGGTCGGCCTTGTCCTTCCAGGTGTGCTCGGTCGTTACATCTGGTGCCAGCTCGAGCGCGGCGCCAGCAGCGTTTCCTCCTCCTTCCTTGTCGTCATTTTCGTCTATCCGTACAGGAGGTAGGTACTTCCTCTTCCTCGGATCATCTTCACTGTCGAATCCGGCAGGAGCGTTGCCTGTCGAACGGATGACCGGCATGTCTGTGAACGGCAGTGGAAGAGACTTAATATCAAGCTGTACATCAAGCCGTTAATCCTACAGATGTCTCGCTTACCTTGCCATCCTTCGTCATCATCCTCTATATCAAAGACCTCATCTCTCCTGGGCACGATCGGTGTCGACACCGACCGCTTAGGTGCCGGTATCATGGTCGTCTGAGAGGATGGCAGCTGGCGTGTCTCAAAGCCCGGTCGTCTATGCCTGATCTTCAAGATTGACGGCAATGACAATCAGACCTTGCGTAAGGGCACTCTATCTCATCGGAAATATCGTAACTAGCGGGAAAACTCTGTATAGAGATTCCGAAGTGCTTCGATTGGTAGACTTGAGAGAGATATGGTCAACAAGGTGAAGCTCAAGATCTCTAACCTGGTCACCGACCGAGGACACGCGGATGCAAACTGGCGATCTCGACCTCGCAGGGTGCATATGAACATGTTCCCGATCTCGACCTCACAGAGGCTCGAATGGCTGTGGCTCACAGGCCGAGCTCGTAGGTGCGAGTAGAAAGATTAGAGGACCCCGTTTTATACCAGATCAATTGGGATCAATATCGCAGTCGAGATTGCCAGATTTCGCATCTACCTCACATCTACGTTCTACACATTCCGTGGTTCCGCAATGGTCTCTGCGCTATAGCTCGTCCTTGACAGCTTGGACAACATCGTCGACCTTCTTACTGGCCTTTACGACGGCGGCGTGGTTCTCCACCAGTCTGTGCTCGATCTTCTCGAATACATAGTCGACGGCGTGTTCGACGGGCTTGTCGAAGAGGTAGGGCAAGAAGGGGACGACCTGGAGATTACAGGTAATGTAATGAGTACAAGACTGATTCGCACGCCCGATATCAGGTGTCACTCACAGCTAGACCGGAGAGAGTAGGCCCCCATGCTTTGACTCGAGGGTTAAGAGTGTTCTTAAAGACGCGCTTGGAGGCGATAGCGACGGTCTGGTGAATGGTGAACGCAGGCAGAGCCATCGATGCTACCGCTTGGAAACTATGTCATGCATAGATCAGTAAATCAGTTCTCGAAAACATCAATCTCAACTACTAGCGACCAGCGACTGTTGATACTCACATACCACGCTTGGCAGCGACCATCCCTAATCTACTATTCTCGCCGAGTCCCGTAGCGAGATCCAAAGCAGTCGGACCGTTGTGCTTGGCCTTGTAGGTTTCATACCTAGAAGTATCGCAGATAATAAGGCAGCTCAGTACGGTGAAAGGAGTATATGGTATTGTCTGGCCAGGTGAACTAACGAGACGTCTCCCAGGAGGTACAACCAGGAGACACCGTAGGCAGCCTTCACTATAGGTCTCAGACGAAACTTTCGTCAGACTACAGTCTGATCACCCAGTCTGGAGTGCACTTACCGAACAAGGGGTTCACGACTGGTCGGAAAGCCTCACCGACATCCGAAGCTGTGGAAACAGGATCAAGCAATCAGCTCGAGCTCGTGACGATCAAGCTGTCAGCTCCCGAAAAGATTGGGCTCACTGTAGGCAGTGTACCTCGAAGCCGCACTCAGGGCGGTCCTCAATCGGTTAGTATAAGCCACTGTAGGTGAGCAGAAGATTCTGGTCAGATAACGTTAATCTCCACAGCCTCGAGACAGAAGGACACGTACTGTATCGAACATTGCTGTCGGTACTGTCAGCTGAACGGGAGCGGAAAATCACATCAGCGGGGGTACCATCTGCAGAACAGCAGATGGAATCGACTGACCATCCTGAGCAGCAAGCTTGTCCAACTTCTCCTCTCCCTTGTGCTCCAGCTCGATGGCCTGGTCTACGATCTGGTTGTTCGACATCTCTGACTGAAACTTGAATTAGGGTATTTGGATGTGGCTTATATAGCTAATGTCAATTGGTCGGAGGTTGGTCAGATCAGTATAGATGGCAGATGTACCAAGTGTGCAAGTGTACAGGTATACAGGTGGTGGTGCAATAGTTGACGAAAAGAAACAGACACAACACGACGAATACCGGCGAGGACGGGGGTGGTCCCCGGGAGTGACCGGGACCTTTTTGGCTCATATGCTCGACTTGTACGCCTCTACCACGTCCCAACCTCGGCACCAGCACATATCACTGAGAATGCACGGCTGCGTCTGTACATCTTGGCTCATGGCTAGCTACCGATGTAAACAAAAGCGCAATGTTCATGCTTCATGCCCTTACGCCCAGCCTCTGTTTGCCGCTCTGCCATACACCTATAGGGGCGGGACGCCAGGACGAAGACTCGGCCATCTTCCAGCCCGGCGCGCTCTGCATATCGCCAGCCGGTTGGGCGGCCGCCGGCGTTTCCAAAGACGATTTCGAAGTGGATATGGATCGTGTTGCGTTCTGAGAGGTGATGTGGGATGTCTCAGTAGGCTGATGCCATAAACGTTGTGCACCAGGTCAAACACGTACGAGGTTGCGCAATGAAGCCAATCTAGCCTCCATCTCGTCTAACGAGACATCCATAGTCGCATCGTGCTCGGTCACCATCTCTTGCGTTCCCGGTATGATCCGCTCCGTCCGTGTCTCGAAGTCGGTATCGCATTCCCGTAGAGCGTGGAACAATGCTAAAGCACTATATATCCGGTATTATATCAGCTATGCCAGGCTCTCATCACAGCCAGACCAGCAAGGCAAACGGTCTATTCACCTGCCGGTTTCTGTACCGTTTCCACTGAGCAGCTGATTCATAACCCCCTCTCCCAAAGTCCTTCCCAGATCCTCCCTGGCCGAGCTTGACAGCCCAAGATCCATCTCAACCTCGCCCACCCTCTTTTGTGGCTGTTCGTCCATCCCGTTCGTCCATAACGCAACCAACCAGACCTGAATGGCGAACCTATACGTCCGTTCCTCCATGGCCGCCGACTCCTTCTCCTCTGACTCTCCAGTAAGACCCTGTCCCTCTTCGTTATCGCCGGCATCGATGACCATGAAATCCTCGTCCATATTCAGAGGTGCCGATTCTCCCTGATCGACCTTTGTTTCCTCGCCATACTGAGCGGGCTTCAAGGAGATCTGGAGACATTTCCTTGCCAACGCTTCGGCGAGGAAGTCAGCGGGATCTTCGGATTCTTTACGATCTTCGATTTCGTCGTCCCGTCGAGTGGTCTGAGCGATGTTTGATAGGACGGTCAGGACGGGTGACCAGATACGGATGGTAGTCGGGTCTAACGCTGGGATGTTGGTCGGGTCCGCTCGATTCGCTCGGGGTCGCTTCCTAGTACGCGGAAGCCGGCTATGAGTTTGGTATCTTTACGAAAGATTGATTTTGAAGACCAACACTCACCGTATTGACGAGGGAATCAAGCATCCAGGTTTCAAGAGAGAAACCGTCAAAACATCCACGACCACCTCGGCATCTTCCTCCTCGAGAGCCTTCTCAAAAAGATCTTCAATCTCCCTCAAGACCACCCTCAACTCTTTCCCCCCAGCCGACCCGGATCCGATACTCTTGCTCGTCCGTTCCCTGAAGTAACTCTTCATGACCTTTTTGTATTTACGAAATATCGTATCCAGCCGATTTTCCAGGTCCGCTCTTCTTTCTTGAGAACGGGACGATCCCACATTTCCGTTGGTTTCGGAGAAGACCAAAGGTTCGAACGTCTCCACCCGAAGGTACTCTAGTGCTTTCCAGACTCCGTCTCTGAGTACTTCTAGACTCGGCAGGTCCTCGTGCGTAGCCTCGTGCCTCAGTCCGATCAAGCCCGGTGGAAGACCGATCTGTCTAGCGAGGAGCGACATCGGTCGAGCGTGCATACCCGTCTGGAGTGGGTCGACGAGACCGTTGGTGAACCTGATCAGAGAGAGTGCGTGGGCTTGTCGGGATGCCAGTCTGGATTGAGAGGATGTCGGAGGGTAAGGGAGGAGCGTGAGGGAGAGGAGCGAGTGGAGAAGGATGAAGGCTACCGGTGCGGAGGGGGAAGAGACGTAGAGCGACAGCTGTATCGAAGATTGCTAAAATCAGCATCGGAGCTGTGATAAGTTCGGCCCAAGCTCTTTGAGCTCACCCTGGCGACCGCCTGAGCTCTGGCTTCAAGATCGCTGAAATCGTCCCAGATCATCCCGTACAGATCCCGGAGCTCACGTTCGTTGCTCCATGGTACACGTCGAGGGTTGACCATTTTGATGATAATATTGCGACCGGATGCTATGAATCTCAATGGAACGATTCTAGATGGATTTGTGCTTCAGCTATGAGATTGCTGGCGATCGATGTCGATTCTTCCAAGGTTGCAACTTGCAACATCTACTTTGACCATCCAAAGTTCGGCTAGTCACGTGATGTGGTGATCCCGGAATGAGAATTGCTTCCGATCGGTCCTCACCCTTGGCAGGGGTCATGACCGAACACGCAGACTTCATGCAAAGTGTGAGAGTTGTTGCGAGTAGCATGTAGCAAGTAGCTAAGTAGTATATACAGATATACAGATCTGTTGATATCGGGAGTGTGAGATAGCTCTACATCGCTAGCCATCATGCGCACATCCCTCGTATTCCTTGGTCTATCGTGGCTGGCTCTTCCATGCTTATCCAAGAATCAAGAGCTCAATACCGAGCGGTACATCGACGGGCTCGATCATGACGATTTGCGAACGATATTAGACCTGAAACCAGATCCATGGCGGAGCGTCGAGGAAGGACATCTTGCTAGGCTGCTGATACCGAGAGCATGTGAGTCGGATCATGAAGAGTCAAAGTGAAGCGTGCCAGAGGCTGATTTCGAGCTCGTTCGCTCCTGTCTCTTGCTCAGCCGGGTCACAGAATAAGTAAGCTTGGCTGGTGTTTCCACCGAGATTTAGGGTACTTCAAGCTGACCTTACTGTTTTCTTGCTATCTCTATAGTACCGATGTGAGAAATTATATGAAAGATATCTTCGTCAAGCTAGGCTGGCACACAGAAGAAGTACGTCCTCGCTCCCGTATCTACGACACATCCTACATCTAAACGCTGACACGCATCCATCGACGGGAATCTGACTACATAGACAGCCTTCACCTCAAAAACGCCAATAGGGGATGTTACTTTTACGAATTTGATCGCGACATTCGATCCGGAAGCGCCGACGAAGCTGGTCTTGTCAGCACATTTCGATTCCAAGCATTATGATACGTACCCCGCCAACCAGGTATGTCCATCCAGATTTAGGGAAGTCGCTGAACTCGGCTTACATTGCATTCATATGTCTGTTATGGGCTCCCAGTTCATCGGCGCAACAGACTCTGCCGCTCCCTGTTCCACTCTACTCGACGTGGCTGAATCCCTTACCCCCCTCCTCCGGCACAAACAGACGCTCGTCCAGGCGGACGAATACGAGGGAGACGAAGAGTGGGCGCATACAACATTGCAGATCGTTCTGTTCGATGGCGAAGAGGCCTTTCATGATTGGACGGCGACGGATAGCATTTACGGAGCCAGGTGAGGCAATCGTCTTTCTTAGTAGTCGCGAGGTAGAAGCATAAGCTGACTTGACTTCCGCTCTTGAACGTCAGACACCTCGCTGAACGGTGGGAATCCACCTATCTTCCTGACACCCACGCTTACCACTCCTCCTACCTCGCCACCCGACGATATGATCCCACCCCATCGATTCTCTCTACCATCGAAAACCTGGTCCTGCTCGACCTCCTAGGCGCAGTCGACCCGCACATCTCCAGTTATTCGAAGCGGACGCACTGGTTGTTCAAGCACTTAGCTGATGTAGAAGATCGGCTGGAAGAGCTGAGCCGGGAAGGGCTGCCGAACAAGGGCAAGGGGAAGGGGAAATGGTTCGAAGGGTTCGGCTGGGCGGGAGCGATCGATGATGATCATCGGCCGGTAAGTCGAGCCTGGGAGACATGCGATTGCTTTTACATATGTGACCAGTATACGCGAAGGACTGAAGGCTGACAGGAGTATATCTACTCGGATACGGCAGTTCTTGGAAAGAGGCGTATCGATCCTACACCTGATCGCCAACCCGTTTCCCCGAGTCTGGCACACTCTCGGTGTAAGCCCGTTCTCCAGCCAAACTCGACGACATATCCCATCTTACAATCTTGCTCTGTATCTCTGCGCTCATATGTATAGGATGACGCCAGCGTGTTAGACATGCCGACACTACGTAAATGGAACGCCTTGATGCGCATCTTTACGGTAGAATACCTCGGCCTGCCTGTACCCTCGTCATCACCGGGCGAGGTGGAACAATCAGCGGGGATGGGCATGGCGGCCCGGACGGATGACTTGGTGAGTCTCTCTCGGAAGGAGGGGATTATGCAGCGCATGAAGCGCAAGGTAAGAGTGCGTGCTGAACTGGTCTTTGTGCTATTTCGGACGCGGATATGCTCGGGGTATGTCGTGATGGGATTGGTTTGTACGGCTTCAGTAGTTATAGATCGCGACAATTCTATCTCCAGTCATCAATATCTTCTCGATTCAAAACTTTCTGGAGACTGTTTGATCTATCGTCCCAGGTGTTGAATTCCTGGATCGATTCAATCTTGACGGACGGGCAAGGTCAAGGCCTTGTCTTTTATCTCTTATTATTTCTTCGTCCAGAAAGCGTCGTCGATAATTCATGAAAACAGAGAGAGATGGGTCGATGCGTCGTACTGTACATCCCTGTGAATCCATGTGTAGTAAATGGCTATACCTAGCTATTTGATATTCTGGTTGCGGCGCATATCGCTTCGGTCACTGGAACCTTGACCACGTATAGGCTTGCATATTGATATTGATACATCTCGGAGCATCATCTATCTGGCGCCCAGCTATCTTTCATTTTGACTCGATTGATACATTCGGTTTCATCTCTCTTTTGCCATCCCTCGGTTTGCCTTGTTCTCGTCCGATTCGATTACTTCGACGACGTGGTGCCCTCGAATTGAGCGCATCCAGGGACGATCTTGTCTACATCCGCCTTGGAGTAGTAAGGAGCACAGGCGTACTGTGCTTGAGCGCAGCTGGCTTGAGCGATGTTGCTCTCGACCTGGTCGGAAGCAGCGCTCTCGAGGGAGGTGTAGCAAGAGCTGAGGTCACACTTGCATTGAGGTTGCTAGGAGATGCGAAGACCCTTTGTGAGACCGAGAAGGGAGATGCACGCATTTATCAAGGTGCTTACCAAGTTATTCAAAGTAGTGGCCAACCCATACAGTGAGACACCAGCGCCGTCTGCAAGGGTCGAAACAAGACCTAGGGTACCGGTCTGGAGGATCTCGGTAACAGCGTTCCCGTTGGCACCGATGGCCTCGTTGACGGTCTTCAAAATTCCGTCGACGTTGGAGTTGATGTTGTTTGCCTGTGCGGTGAGGGCAAAGGTAGTTTGAAAGACGGGTCCACAGAGGGCAGCGTTGCCTTCGCCGTTGGTGTACTGGTCGCACTGGGCATTAGACACGCTTCCACTGAGAGCAGGAGGTGCGGCGGGAGCTGCCATGGCTGTGGGGAGGTAAGATCAGTCTCCAGCTTCCGTGCGAAGGTTTCAAGTTGAACATGCACTCACCACCCATAGCGGCAAGGGCAGTGACTAGGATGGTGGAAGAGAACATTTTCACAGAGATGATGTGTTTTGACGACCGTGGTTTTTTCGGGTGGCAGGTAATTGTGTTGGCCAGTGACAGTATAGGATGGTGATCTTTCCCGACTACTCGCCAATATGCTCGACCTATATAGACATCAGAGCAAGCGGTTTCCCTTTCTTCGATCGATCCTCTCGTGATTGTTGAGTTTTACGAATCGGGGTTCTTCATATTTCGATCGGAACCCAATACTCGGTGTGATCTATTTAGGCCGGCTAGCGCGCGCTAGTTTCCCATGACCGATGACCGGTAGCGCACTAGTGACACGTGAACTTTCACGGATCTGGGGTTGGAATGGCCACGTATCCCTGCCTGCTCGTTGGAGATTCCATGTCATTACCCTTTTCCTGATATAGTGCCCTTATGAACGTTCATTAATCCATCGATCATTTCGAAATAGCATGCAACAAGCGATCGCGGACATCACTTTGTGTCGCTGGAATATATCGTGCCGAGCCGCGGACCGGGTCGAACGGCAAATGCCGAAGCGATACTGCTAGTTCGATCGAGTTGACGGTATGACTGTTGTGAATTATCGAGGCCCGAGGTCAATCTGGACGTCATACCGAGTGAACGTTTGTGTGCTTCGGTTCAGCGTCTTCCGGTTCATTACTCCACTAGTCATTAAGTCACTCATATTGACCGGTTACGCGGTGAGGGTAAACACTAACCAGAATCTTGCCGACAACCGTCCGACCTATCAATATCTCTCACGAAGCCTTTGTTCCGTTCTGAGAGCTCTTTTGGTTGCCGCCGCTATCGTCCCCGTCAGCCAGTCGACAACCAATTCTCCTCTCACAGGGTTAATGCAGACCTTCTCTGTCTCTGCATTCAGCCAGCCAGAGGCGAGCGTCGCCTGATATCCGGTGTAGGCTCGAAGTTGTGTGCTTCGGGGCATGACTACTCAAGCTCGGATACTCTTCATTTCGGGCGGTGTCGATGAGCTATTGCTCCGGGAGCAGTCAGCGCGGCGGTTTAGTCAAAATGACAAGTATATCGACATCGATGTCAAGAGGCTCTTGTCTGAAATTTCTGGTCCGTCCGTTCAACCGTCTGACACCTGTGACGACTATGTAAGCTTCAACTAGGGGTCTGAATCGAGAACAGATTGTCGCTTTTGCTGTACATCGTCTTACGAAGCGTCTCGGTGAGCCCAGATATCCTTTACGTGAACAGCCTGAGCAGGATGACCCAGACCGGTCTGTCGCAGAGTATCTGCAGATCTTTCAGCGAGTGATGTTGTTCCGGTAAACTAGACTGGAATGTGCCCCGCTGTTTTGCTTCTGGTGATCTCAGATGAAATTGTCTGCCGTGAATAGGAATTAGCGTTGCATAATACTCAAATCAAACTGTATCTTCTTTTTCGAAGCGATCACAGAAAATACTCCTGAATACATTTCCCGCGCCCCCGCTCAATAAAGCTGCGCACGATACGGAACGGGTCGACATCCCCTCGGGATCCTAGTGTGTCAAGGTCAACTGTCTGAATCAGCTTGACGGCTGAGACCTCGTCGAGGCGAGCAAGGCGATCATGAAATGTGCTAGATCTGAAATGGTACGCTGTGTGCTAGTGCTGATCACATGTAGATATCTGCGACCCCAATATCATCACCCGTCGCTCTGTCCTCCCTTGTCTGACACAGAGAATAAATTGTTCGAACGATCGTTTCCGATCTTGCACTCATGGAAATGGGGATAGAGGGGGCCAATGACGATGGCCAGGTGTAACGGGTGCTGTGGTACGAACCTCGGCTTCCCCGACCTGGCAGCATTATCGATCACAGCCATCGTGGTGATATAGCTGAAGAGTCTCTGATGCGATGTTTCGTTGGCAAGCCTAGCGGTGGAAAAGAGGTAGAAGAGGTCTCTGCCGCTCGTATGTATGCAAAGAACGCTCGCCAAGCGGGGCTCGAACTGGTACAATCTTCAAACAACATGGCGCGTTCCACCTCTTGCATAATCGCCGAGGGGAAGAAGGCGCTCCTGACGTGGACCATACTATCGACAGATCCCAATTCATCATCTCCGGTCATGCCGGTCACCAATGCTTCGCAAATTCGAGATATCCGGAGGTTGGATACGGTATCAAAGAGCCGTTGCCGCTGGAACCGGGAAGGCGTCGAACGCGTTCCGAAACACGTGCGTGTGTGCGCCGGTCATCCCCCCTCCCTTCCGGATGCAAATTAGCGCCTCCTCCCTTCTATTGTCCGCTCCGAACGCAACGCGATTATTGTTTGGAGTTTTGGGCCAAAGTCGATTAAAGTTGGGCAACTCTATGTTGGTTCACATCGACCCCGTCCAACGTTCACCTCATTCAATCCGGCTGGCGACATCTTAGACTCTCATTATCTTCGTCTGGTCGTCTGGTGTCTGGCGATCCGGTGGTGACACAAAACATAGATCATAGACCAGATAGACCTCTCGGCCAACCATAGAGACCCGGGCATCGACTCCACAACTCATAGAAGATAGAAGATCGACCTTTCCTCTTCGGCCGCATCACCTCCTCCGATCTCTACTTGACGTCATCCATCATCGTCTCCATACTCTGAAACACTCAAAGGATACCTCCTCATCGCCCTTCCTGACGCTTCTCGTTTGCGACTCGACTCGCCCGCTTCGAGAGTCCCCGCAGTCTACATTTTACCGTCTGGGGTAGAGATCAAAGGGACGCCAGGTCATCGATCTTTTCGGTCTTGGCGAATTTGGCAAACCATTCCCGATATACAAACGAAGAATCGAACACTTGGGAGGATACTACGATATCACAATAGCTTGTCGTTCCCGGACAACGGTACTCGTACCTCCTAGAATCGAGTGCAATCAGAAGGAAATATCCGCTACATACCATCGACGAGACGCTACGAAACACCTACCACCATGTGGTCCATCAACCCTCTTACTCTTGCCACCTTGACTTCCCTCACCCTCCTCACCCCCACTTTGGCTCTCGATTCGTGGTACACTCCCCCAGGCGGTCCCCCAACCGGCTCGGGCTTCAACTCCACCCTCAACCCCTCGTCAACCAAGATCAAGGGGGTCAACCTCGGAGGATGGTTGATCCTCGAGAACTGGATGACACCCTCGATCTTTGGGGTAGCTGGTCTACCGGGAAAGGGAGACGAGGATAGTGTGATGGATGAATGGGGCTTGTGTGAGAGGTTGGGGAAGACGAGGTGCGAAGAGGTCCTGGAGGAGCATTGGGAGTCGTTTTATACCGAAGACGATTTCAAGAGGTACGTCCATGTTCATATCACTGGCTTTACGACGGATCATCACCACGAGGATGGATAATTGATTGCTCGTCCTCCCCTCCTTTTGTTTGTGTCTCCTCAATCTGAACTGACAGGATGGCCGATTACGGTCTCAACACCGTTCGGATCCCCGTTCCATACTGGATATGGAACGTCACCGAATCCGAACCGTTCATCACGGGATCCCAGATCCCTCACTTGCAACGGGCTTTGAACTGGAGTTATGTGTATGGGCTAGATGTAATTCTGGATATGCACGCTTTGCCAGGTGAGTTTGACGAAGCGTTGTATCTAGTCTCGGGAGGATATGGGCACTGATAAATGTTGCTTGCCAGGCTCGCAATCGAGTTATCAAGTTCACACAGGTCTCTATGCTCAGGAAGGATTTTCCAACTCGACCGAAAACATGGACCGAGCTTTGAACGCTATCGAACAGATGGTCGCTGAATTCACCAAACCCGAATACGGCGGTGTCGTCACAGCTATCGAACTCGTCAACGAACCCTGGATCGAAGCTTATATGCCCAACAACATGCCTTGGGAGCTCCTGGAAGAGTTCATGGTCAAGGCTTATGACGTCGTCAGATCTACCGAAGAGATCATCCCGGGGCGACACGAGGTCATGGTCATCGTTCATGATGCGTTTGGTTCGCTCACGGACTGGACGGGTGGATTCTTTGCCCCTGGCGGGAAGGGACACAACTGGACAAATTATGCGCTGGATACGCACGTCTATCAAGCTTGGTCAGGGATCACTTGGGACGAGGGGCATATCGAGTCGGCTTGCGCTCAGGCGAGCTATTTGGAGGAGGCCCAACGTAGTGTGCCCGTTGTGAGTCCAGGTCATGGATCCGGAAAGGAAGCCGGCTTCTGACATGGATGGCTTGTTACAGATCGTCGGCGAGTTTTCGCTGGGAGTACAGACTTTCTGCGTCGACTACAAGGACTGTTTCAACCTGGTATGTTCATCGCGCCCTCTAGAAAGTGTCAGGCGGGCTGATTTACCCTTACATCCTGGTACTAGACGTTGGCCGATGCTTTGGCGAATATCACTTCGACGGGCGGGGACAGGGACATGTTCCTCCGAGCATTCTGGGAGGCACAGATGCATGCGTATGAGCATTCCGCTGGTTGGGTGAGTCGTGGCACGATGATCCTAGACGACGTCGACAGAAAGAAGCTAACTTCCCCACGCGTCTTGAACGACTCAGATTTTCTGGAACTTCAAGACTGAGCTGTGAGTTTGTGTTTGTTCGATGTTCTGCGAGAACGCTTCGCTGATACCCCAACTTGCGATGACAGCGCACCTACTTGGAGTTACGATCAATCCGTTGCCCAGAATTGGGTCCCGCTTGATCTTGCAGACCGGGTGTAAGCCATCTCTGCAAAGGCTCGTTTTCGGTCGACGACGAAGCTGACGACGACTGGATCATCATCGCAGATGGCAATACGACGCTTCTCAGGCATACTGCCTTCAGAATCAGAACTGGAGCAACATTCCCGACTTTACCCCTAATACCCCTGCTCCCCTCAAAGATGGAACCGCTACCCCAGTTCGGGAAGCCATGACTCTGGCAGTTCAAGGCGCCCTTCTCAACTCGACCTCGACTTCGATCTCGACTTCAGCTACTACTACCGGAAGCGCCACCGCTATTGTGACAGGAGCAAGCGCTTCCTTAACAGGCACTCCCAGTGAAACGGGTGTTCCCACTTCCACCGGCGCATCTAACGCCGCTTTACGACACTTGATGACTTCTCCCTGGACATGGCTCGCTGTAGCTACCTCTGGGATAATCCTGATGACCTAAGAACACCCCACCGGCGGACGCTGGTTTCAGATAGAGTGTGATTGAACATAGAGATGGATCTTAGATGCCCAGCAGTTGGTATAGATAATGTAGCTATTAATCTTGCTTTTCCTAGTTGGTACGAAATATATACACGTGACACGCCCTCATGTGATTTGCACCTATGATCGGCTGTGGATCATACAACGATGCTGTTATCTATCTGCGATCTGCGATTGGTGACACGTTTCATGGAGATCGAGATCACCCATGACCCCATGATCAACTAGCCTGACATCCGAAAGGCAAGTGCTCGCGCGTGACTGAGGTCGCCTCTTTGAGCAAGAGCGCCGCCATCGACCACCGACCACCTGAACGTTGAGCTACTTTATTCGCTAAGAGAGAGGACTCCGCCCACTTTCTCCTCGCAGTCTCTACGCACCACTTTCTTGCAAGAATATATCGATCCATGATAGAGTCCGGGTTTGGACTGCATAGGCGCATGGGGCACAGGATCCATGGTAGGTAGTATAGCAAGGAGCCGACTGATGACGAAGCGGGACTCGGGTTGTTTACGATTCCCGAGGTAGCAAGGCGATACGCTCGACACCAGATATACCTACAACCTACACTCAGACCACAGAATCGTCACCAAGTAGAGCGATAATCGCCTGCTACTCTTGGGTAACAGCAGTTGGATCACCTCAATGTCCTCGCCAAATCCAGGCGAGAGCCTGGACGAATCCGACGCCTTTCTGTCGCCTCGTTCGGCGGACCCGTTTGCGGCACCAGACCCGCTGAGCGACAGTGACGAAGAAGCGGACTCGACGATAGGACGTGCAGCTCGACGAGCAAGACCTACGATACAAGAGAGACTGGACCTGGAACAGGGTGTTTCCTCGCAGACGTCGACTTACCGCGAAGCCGATAGCTACGGTGACAGCGGATCTGGGACCGCGAAAGGGGTCGTCCGCGACGAGGATGATCATGACGAAGATGATGACGAGCCTCCTCAGAGTCTGCTCTACGAATCTACCGCATCAGACAGGGACATATCGCCGAGCAAGAATCCTATACGACAGAGTTATCCTCAACGGCAACCCGAGATACCTGATGCCAGGAGAAGGTCACTCGAACAACGCTTCCATGACACCGGGAGAGACAACGCGGGATCTCCGTTCATCGCACCGGTTGAGGATGACGAGACTGGAGCGCAGGTAGATGAACGAGACCTCGGATCTTCTTCGACTCCCCAGCCATACGAGAGAAGCAGAACCCGCTTTGCTGCGACTGGAGATGCACTATCTATCAGCCCCAACAAGCGTGTGTCGGGCTCACCAGGATCAGCCAGTCCTTCCAATCCTCATGCTACGGTTGCCCAACCGTCGCCCATGCGAGGGAGAAGTAGCGGTAAAGCTACCAGGTCGACAACGACATCGACTTCCTTGTCGACTTTTCGATCGAATTCGGCGTCTCCCCCTCCTGACCTGTTGGAATCCGGGTCAATCTCCTCCGACTTGGAATCGCTAGAGCTGGGCAACAACAGTCGACGAGCCAATCGGCGAAGCACAGTAGCTGAGAGAGACGTACAGCAGCCACTGCTACCGATGCCGGTGACCTCGACGCAAGGAATTCAGCCTCAATTGATGGAAGACCGACCAATGGAGGCGGGGTCTAGTCGTGCTCGTGCTCAGGGAGATGCCGTCGATCTGGCTTATTCAGTTGACGCATCGAAACCTTTGAATGGGAGAGACGATGCCAGAGACGACGTCAACGGCCCTGTGTCGTTTTCGGAAAGAAAGAAGAAGCAACATCGTAGGCGGCGGGATAAAGAGGGAAACCGATCGAGAATGAGCAGCCGATCGGCAGCACGGCTCAACTCAAGTCGGGGTGATACAGGCTGGATGAAAAGTGCCGGCAGGAACCTGAGCGAGAGGGAAAGGGCTCTGTGGATATGGGTCAATGTGGTCGATCTCGATGGGTATTTGCAAGAGGTAAATTGCAGGCAGGCAAGTCTACCGGGTGACACGCTAATGATTGACTTTGTCCGGGGCTGCAATAGGTTTACGAATACTATGTCGGCAAAGGGCTGTACTGTATAGCGTTGCGTCGAATCCTAAATCTGCTGTGAGTCTTATTCTAACAAGTTACCCATTGTATCCGGTATAATGACTTGACCGGCACACAGTACTTCGGGGTTTGTCATCGTATTCTCGACGTTTCTGTTCTCATGCATTGACTATTCCAAGTTCCCTTCGGATGGTCACGGTGCCTTGTCGGAAGTCATTGTACCACATTGCTCCAGCAGGTAGGTGAGAATCGTTCTGCTTAGCCTCATCTCACATGCTGACTCGACCAAACGGGTTGCGCAGGTGGTCGGTTCCCCATATCGCGCTGACATGGGTCCTGGGTATCGTCTTTGGGTGGCGCCTGCTCGTCTTCGCCCTTGGTACGCGCAAATTGATCGAGATGAAAGCCTTCTACGAGCATCTTCTGGACGTTCCGAATGTAGGTCATGGGCATCGAGACACTCTTGACTAAGCCTAGATTGACATATTTTGCATGTCTTGCAGAGCGATATCCAGACTATACCTTGGTCGGAGGTGGTCAAGAGGATCGGGCAGATCCGCGACGACAACCCCACCACAAGCCTGAAAGACCCGGATGGTGCCGAGTCTATGAATATTGGTGATCACATAAAGCTGGACGCTCACGATGTCGCAAAGTCAGTAAACGGCCGTTATTTGACATCGAAAAAGACCGCATGAAGTCTGATCGGTCGCCGCTGCTACAGTCGTATCCTGCGCCAAGAGAACTACTTGACAGCACTTTTCAACAAGGATCTTCTGGATCTTTACGTACGAATACCACTTCCCAAACAAGCTGCAGGCTTATTGCCGGGTCGTCTGATTCAGTACGATTCAGAAGAAGACCGGTTCTATCTATGCTTCGGTCGCAACAACTTGACTCGGGCATTGGAGTGGAATCTACGATTCTGTCTTCTCGGCTACTTCTTTGACGACCGGAGACATGTCAGAAAGGAGTTTATCCGCGGCAGAAACCGAGGAGAGGCGATCCTGAAGTAAGTCGGGGAAGCCTTGCGATGGTGGTTATCGAGCTTGACGATATACCACATTCATCAGGCTCCGAAATCGGTTCATTTTCATGGGTATCCTCAACGCGATCTTCGCGCCCTTTATTGTGCTCTACCTGCTGATGTATTCCTTCTTCCGGTATTTTGAAGTGAGCAAAATAGTGATCGCATAAACCCCTTGGGGTCGAGACTAACCTAACTTTGCACATCCAGGAATACCACAAGAACCCTTCCTCCATAGGCTCGCGACAGTACACTCCTTACGCGCGCTGGAAGTTTCGCGAATTCAACGAACTGCCCCACCTTTTCGAGAGAAGACTCGATGAGAGCTACGAGGCAGCAAAGGAGTACATCGATCAATTTCCCAAGGCTATCACTGCGCTGATCATGCGGTGAGCTATTTCTTTCCTTATCATCCTTGACAATCAGACTGATCATTTATTCTTAGGTTCGTTGCCTTTATCGCCGGGGCTTTTGCAGCGGTTCTCCTACTCTTGTCAGTGGTCGATCCCGTCTTTCTTCACTTTGAGATCACGCAAGATCGGACCGTTTTGTTCTACCTGGGTCTCTTCACCTCCGTATTGGCGGTATCGAGAGGAATGATTCCCCAGGATACTAAAGTCTTCTCGCCCGAGGAGCTCATTACCGAAGTGGTGGCGCATACGCATTACATGCCCGACGAATGGAGCGATAAGCTGCATTCGCAGGCGGTAAGTCGAGGTTTCGAGCTGGACCAATATACCGGAGGCTAACAATTTCGCATGCTTCAGGTCCATGCCGAATTCTCCAAGCTTTTCGAGATGAAATTGTCGAATTTTCTGCAAGAACTCATCTCTGTTCTGTTGACACCCTTCATCCTCATCCTCTCCCTGCCCCGCTCGGCGGCCGCCATCGTGGACTTTTTCCGAGAGTTTACGGTGCACGTCGATGGAATCGGGTATGTCTGCTCTTTCGCCGTCTTCGACTTCAAGCGGCAAGGAAAGGTGCGTCACGGATAATAGGATGACCAGTCAAATATGCGCTGACTGAGCGAGACGTTACCTTCCGTCAATCAGCTGCCTGAACTCCCTTCAGGAGATGAAGACGCGAGAAAGTCATTGTTCAATCGGAATCGCAAGATGGAAAAGAGTTTTCTCCATTTCAAGGTAAGCTATACACGGCGGCTCCTCCCTGTATCTTCGTTTCACTGATATCTATTTTGTCTCGTCAGATCACCAACCCAGCTTGGCAGCCTTCGGATCCGGGCGCGTCTCTCTTCCTCTCCAAGGTAGCCGAATCAGGAACTATGCGACGAGGAGCGAGACGACCAGACTCGGATGCCAATGAAAAGGTTTCTCGATCACCGCCTTCGGAAGAGCAACAGCTGAGGGACCGATCCAACATTTACGAACGTGCCCTGCAGCGGAGCATCATGCTTCGCAGTGGGAACAAGCAGGTCCCGTCCATCTCACCTACGACTCTGCGAGGCGTCGGACGACCTCCTGGGAGTTCGGGAAGTACTTATCTCGCAACGATGAAAGAGGCGGAAGACGGGCTCGAAGAAGCGGACGAGGAAGATGGCTGGGAGACCAAGATGATCAAGCGCAAGGGACCCGGTTTGGAGTATTCGCAGGAAGAGCCTGATGGACGGGATCATGGTGTGCTGGATATGCTTCAGGATGTCATTCGACGCTGAGCGATGGTACAACTATACCATGGGCGATATATGTGGAACCCCACTGGTTGTATTCGGTATCTATCTATGAGCCTACGATCAAAGCAGATCTGATCCGACTTAGCAGGGCCGGAGGGCTTTTGAGGTTGTTTCCGTTGTTATTTACGCGTCGCCCCGCTGACGCCGCTCTCGGGGCTTCTTTCCTCGATGGCGAGGTCGTCATTTTCTAAAAGTCGAGGACGACGATCTCATCGAGCCCTTCCAGATTATCATCATCTCCACTCCTAAACCATCATCAGTATACTAAGCGTGAAGGGTCGAGAGCTTCATTGATCGGATCATGTCTTTCACATCATTTTTGAACGACCGGCAAACTCCCGGAGCTGCTCAGCCCCAGACCGCCAACCAGCTCTTCGGGTCGGCCACCTTCCAAACTCAACCTACTCCTAGCCCCTCAACCGGATCATCTGAGTTCGCACCAGACGCCCCCGCTGGTATCACCACTGCTTCGGATCTCTTCAACGCATCAGCATATGACCCTGCCAAGCTCCACCCTCTGGCTGGGCTTGGGGACAACTTGGATTACCTCTTGCTGGACGAGGCCAAGCTGCAGGAGTTGCCAGGCGGACAGAGTGCCCTGCCGAGTAGGGGTTGGTCAGACGAACTGAGTTATGGAACTGGGACTACGTACCTGAGTGGTGATTCAATCCATTGCTAGATCGACTCTGCTGTTACCTGATCGAGCTAAAGTGCCCCCTTCTTCCTTCAACGTTACCTCTATCTCGTTCGGTACAATAAATGATCCTTTCGCCCTCGTCTGACAAACGCCTCAGGTCTCGCCATTGGAGGTCTTTACGGAGTGCAAGAGGGCATGCGTCGTAATCTCGGGACGTCCTCCTTCAAGCTCCGACTGAACAGCGTGTTGAACTCGGTCACCCGAAGAGGAAGCTTTTTGGGGAACAGTCTGGGTGTACTCGGTGAGCAGCATTCACTTTCTTATGTTCTACTTTAGTATGAGTGGGAAGCGTCAGTACTAATCGATCGTAATCATGCGACTCTCTCTCTGATAGCCTTGATGTACAATGCTGTCAACTCGACGATCGACGCTGTGCGAGGGGAGCACGATTTTGCCGGTGGGATGGCCGCAGCAGCGATCAGTGGAGCCATCTTCAAGTCTACAGGTGAGTTTGGTCTATTACGATTGAAAAGATACATTGCTTCTTCTGTACGAGAGCTTGTGGCTGACTTTTTGGCTTGCGTTCTATAGCTGGAGTTAAGCCCGCTCTTGCTGGTGCGACGATCATGATGGGTGCTTCGGCAGCTTGGACCGCTGCCAAAAAGACTCTGCTCTAAGAAGATTCTCGAGATACAAAAGAGTCCTCGACGTGAATATATGCAGGCTACAGAACGACATCTCTACCCCACCTTTTCCCTCTCATGTGCCCGGTTGTCAGATCGAATTCGTGTATCATAGCTAGCGGACAGTAGCAAAGCACTCGGGCTGTCCTTGTAGCTCTTGCGACCATGACAATACATCATCCCACCTCTGCTGCATCGTTGCACTTGCTTTGGCTAACGAGGAGAGGTTCACTCGCTGCCGTAACCGTTTTCTATGTGCGTCGCTTCCAAAGTGTAAACAACCTCGAGCGTACAAACTCGAATGCGATACATACTGGGATTGAGATGTCAACATCAAGGGCTGCTAGGTATACAGCACCAGCCCATCAACAAGGAAATCCAGACATCACAAGTAGGATAATAATACATATCTTTCGGCCTCTGCGCAATGTCGGCCAAGATCGGCTTTGTAACGCCGCCCAAAGCTGCACCTGGACCGGGTCTGAGTAGGGTCGAGAAGCAGCGATTGATCGAGAACCTGGAACTCGAAGGTGAGCCCGAGACCGCAAATCAGCCGGATGCTCGATCATATGTGACCTTCTGACCATATCTCGTTCTCTCGAGCAGTACAAGATCGGACAAGACACTTTCATGGAGCTCTAACCGACATTCTCAACTCGTTCTTGGTACGACAAGAATCCGAGATCCTGCGCATCCCGAAAGATCTCCGTAATGTCAGGATGAAGGACCTGAAGACCATGTGGGGCGGAGATTGGGCGAGTACCCTGCGACATCTGAAAGAAGAGACTCTGAAAGGGAAAATAGAGGGGGACCGGACGGAAGAAGGGAAACGTATGGAGGAGGGTCTGCTGAGCGAAGGCAATGGCGATAAACGGAAACGGAAACGGCCTGAAGCGGAAAGCAGGGAAGGGTCGATAGATATAGGTGCGGAGAGAGCCAAGAAGACACGTAAGTACTTTATAGAACACAGGTTTCTGCCGCCGTCCACGAGAATATCATGTCTTATATGCACCATCTTGGTATGCCTACAGCTCGTCGAGCGGAGAATCTCAATGCTGCACTTCTACCTCCCGCCAGCACAGCGAAAACACCGACAGGGACCGGATCCCGACTAGCCGGTTTCTTTGGTAAACGTCCCCTTCTGCCGGTCGCAAATACGCTCTCCCCCGCTGTCAGCAGCCCGTTCAAGCGGTTTGGGTCTAGGCCAAACCTCGCTGCAGCTTCGACGGCTTCGCCATCGAAACCGAGCCGTTTCGCCGGGTTCAAGCTCCCGACCATGTCGTCATTGAGTAGGGATACCACTAAGAGCCAAACGCCCGCTCCCGCGATCAGGACGTTTGAGCCCGCCATCCCAGAGGTTACGCCAAGGTTTCCTCGAAAGATGAAGGACACGGATGTAGTGCTCAGCGCCAACGGAAGTCCAATCGCCAACCCTTGGACGCTGAGGAAAGAAGCATCGGAGACGAGCGAGGACGAGAATGAGCTGCCAGACCCGGAAGCGCTGGAGAAGGCCATGATGGCAAGAAATACTCCCAAATTTGATCCGGGACCGTCCCGGCCGAACAGAGCTGCCGAACTACCACGCCAGATGGCAAGAAAGCGGATCTCTTCCATCCGAATAAGACAGTCGATCTCGATGGCGCAGCCAGACTATTATGATCCTTTCGTGGATGCCACGCCGACAAAACCTTCGCACACCGAGAAACCCTCGTCTTCACGGGTTGCAGGAGGCGGTACACTGGGGTTGAATGAGTCGCCAGCTCAGATATCCAGTCGAGGCGCCATGTTGAGGTTGACGACCTCTTCCGGGTTGACGATCGATTTCGATCCGTTCACGGACGATCCAGAGATGGTTGAAGAGGAGCTTCGGGGCAAGGGTGTCGGCGAAGACGTACGGGGACAGGTCAGAATGGAGATGGCCAAGAAGGTCAAGGAGCTAAGAGAACGACTGGCCAGGTATGTGATACGGAGATGGTGTCTTCAATCTCCATTTGCCCTGCTGATGGGCGATGCCCCTCATAGCTTCAAGATATAATGACCCGGGCAGCAGTTTCTCTTCCTTTCACTGCTTTCCATTACGACGCCACACGACCATTGCCCACGAAGAACGAGACCACATTATTGTACACACAGGTTGTAGAGCATAGCATAACCTCTAATGGTGTGACGGAGAAATGAAACGCAGGGTACCATTTACAAGGCAGCGATCACCGCCCCTGCAGCTCTTACACAGCGACGAGGCAGATGACCTAGAATGGGAGCCTCTTTGGTATCTGTTGATAAACCGCCTCAGCTAGATGGCAACTCAAATAACATTTTGCATCTATCCCCGTTCCGAGTATATGCAGCCGGCCTACAGCTCCTCCCTGACATCCATCCCAGTAATCTCGGTCAAACAGCGCTTTTCCATTTCCTTGTCATTCATCTGACCCGACTTGGTAAGACCGTTGTCTCTACACCATGCGTATGCGTCGGACAATAATGTGTCGCTCAGGGGGATCGAATATCTTGCGAAGAGCATGATCAGGTTGGCCACTTGAGATATCGCTAGCCGGGATGATTGAGAGATGTCCTATTCCATTCAAGGGGGAGAGAAGCGGTTAATATCGGTCTGAATGTAATATAAGCCAACGCAACTCACATCGTTGACGTCCGAGTAGACTCCTTCCGCATCCACGAACCCTTCGACTGCGGCGTTGTTTCTCTCCCCTACGCTGACGCTGACCCAGATGTAACCGTTAACACCCATGATAACATCGACTCCCAAAGGTCCACACGGTGGTGGCAAAGTGTGGAAATGGGATTTCAAACGTCGGATGAGGGACGGCGGTACGGTCAGGAGTAGGCCGTTACGCAACTGCAATGCACGAGAGCGTGTAAGGCAGGTCAGCCAAGAAGCTCGATGATGCAGATTGAAGCGGTTTTGAGCTAACCTTGCCGTATCGCAATGATCGAGTATGCAGCTGCGGAGCGTTCTCGACTGACTGTACCTCAGCCACTAGCAGCTAAGATCGGAGATCAAACGAATGCCTGTGGGATCAGCACATTGTGGAGGTTCTGAAGTCGTTAAAGACTTTGAAGGCTCACATCGCCTTCTGCCAGAAATTCTCTCATCTTCAGAGCATCCGTCTCTACTTTTCTTCGCTAAAACACCGCGATCGCATATCAGCCATCGAGTTCACTTTCAAGTAGATTTCAAGGAGATGATCTCTTGCTCACCTGTACTCCTCCGGGAAGGTTCACCGAACTCAGCGCGAGGATGGCATCCTGCCGAGCGTTGGTATCGACCTTCCATCGTTGCTGGACGACCTCGATCACTCGACCGATGACTAGGTCACCCTTCTCCGGGTTGTATCTACAATATCAATATCGCCATTGGCCTCGTAAGCACAGGATGCCTGATCTCGCCTCGACTGTGCTCAACGCTCACCGCTGCCTGACTGATCGTACGGAGACGAGCTTGTTGACCCGCTCGATCGTCCCCGCTACCGTAGACAATACGTTGTCCCCTTCGGTATATGTCCCGTGTCCCCTCATGAACTCCTTGGCACTGGTCACAACCTCTCCTGGTGATGTAATATTCTTCCCAGCTCGGGAACTGCTACCGACGCCCAGACCGGTGCCGTACTCGTCGTCGACGTTCATATCAGAATCGAGATCGTCCTGGACGTCCGGGTGGTGTCGAGTCTTGCTGAACTCTGCCTTGACATCGTCAGCGTGAAATAGTGGGATGGGTGGGACTGAGACTACTTGGAGCATGATGATTCTAGGTTGTCTTGAGGGTCGAGTGCGTCTGTCCAATTCTTGAGACGGTGATAGACATGTTGCTTGCAAGTTGCAACTTGTAACATCAAAGAATTGTCGAGTCCCTCCTGAAAGGATGTGTTACCCTAGGGCCGGCTCTCGGCGAAAAGTGGAGGTTAGTAGATCGAAATGATCGTCGTGCAATGTCATTTCACCTATCACCTACTCGTATCTCGTCAATCTCTCCTTGCATACCGAGAACTTCTAGACCTCGAGTATTCTGGAGTAAAGTCCTCCAAATACTGTACGCCACAAGATTTCGCTTCCAAGGATGTTCGCACCGAGGATCTCCAATATCTCTGGACAAGTCGCTCGGACCGGGCTAGGATCTACCTCTCGTCTCGCTCGAACGGCCTCTGCTTCGCCTCGCTTCCCAGAACCTTTCGCAAGCTATTCTTCCAGCACGACTTGGTCAGTTTCCGGTCCCTCGTCTCCTTTACTATCATGCGCGAATAGTACGAGGTTGCCCAACAAGCGTCTATCTATCGGCTACCTTGAACGATACTCGACCAAATCGGCCGGTTCCAAATCCGTTCTCGGCCACATCACAGCGTTCTCCACTTCAACTAGACAAGCCCTGAGAGAATCATACTTTCGTCGTCCGAACGGACGTTCGAGCTCAAGCGGAGGAGGATCAGGAAGGGGGAGCGGACCAGGATGGTTCGAGAATCTGCGGAGGCGGATCGATCGTCTTCCACCGATGTACGTTATCTATGGGATCATCGGGGCGAATGTGGGGATCTTCTTGGTGTGGCAGTATGCACAGGCTTCGTGGGTGAGTACATGCAGAAAGCAGGGGTCTAGTGTACTCTGGGTTTGGTGGAAGCTCATACTGCACGCCGGCTGTTTTTTACAGACCCGTTTCCGCGATCCCACTCTATACCGATGGATGTCGCAGAACTTCATTGTGTCCGAGGCGAACCTGGCAGCGGGGCGGCTGTAAGTTTTTGTCCCCGATTGTATGCTCAAACGGAAACTTGAAGCTGACAACCTGCTCCCGAACAGCCACACCCTTCTGACATGCTGTTTCTCTCATTCCAACACCGGGCACATCGCTCTCAATATGCTCGGGCTGTATTTCATAGGCCCTGCTACAGCAGGGTAAGTCCCACTCTCATTAATCTAAACTTCTTTGTACATCACATTTGGCGTGAGGCTGATAACAATTCCTTCCACTGTCGTCAGTCTTCTTGGGCCTGCTAGTTTCCTCGGATTATACCTCGGTGGCGGGATCGTCTCTTCCATGGTCTCGCTCGCATGGCATAGAATGATGTCGAGTAACCGATCCAAGTCGCACGGTAGTGAAGGAGCTAGCGGTAAGTCATGGCGCTTCTGTTCGCTACTTGCCACGTAATAGCTTTGCTCAGTAGCTTCTCCGCCTCTACGGGAATCATATAGGTGCCATCTACGCCTCTCTAGCTTACTACGCAGCCATGTTTCCTCAAGCGCAGTTTCTTCTCTTCTTCGTGGTTCCTCTGCCGGCTTGGGCTGCGGTAGGAGGTATCTTCGCAGTAAGTCGCTTTTCACACCACTGCCAGAACGCCGTGCGACGCTTATTTAACCCTACTTGGCTACAGTATGACCTGTATTCCTCGATTCGATCGCCCGTAAGCCCCTCTTCATGCATCATTCTGGCCTATCATTCTCGCAGCGCAGATACGCTGAGACGCCCGCTTGCTTCGTTTCTATAGATGGCAGTGACCGACTCTGCTGGACATGTCGGAGGTCTGTTGGCAGGTGTGGCCTACGCGTTCTGGTCGAGAGGTCGAGGCGGGCCCAGGATCAGGGGCAGGTGGTGAACTGAGGTTCTGACCTGTGATTGTAATGTAGCGATGTAGCGAGTATGAATCAGAATTTAGAGCTTCAGAACACCAGGTTACGGGCCATAGCCGTTCGTATTCATCGAATCGGGACTTGGACACACCGGAACCAAATTCCCCGGAAGCTTGTGTGAACGCGCGATCCGACCACGCGCGACCTTCGGGCAGGGAGAGAGAGACGGAGAGCTGCTGCTTGCGGTCAATAACGATCTCGGATGATCAAACCACCTCGATAAAGTCACACACCATAGCAGCTACTTGAGCCACCGACCCAGATCAACAAGAGTGAAATCCTTGCAACAAGCAAACATGTTCAAGAAGTCCGCGAAACAGGTAAGCAGTCTCCCATTTGACTCGGCTCGCTCGGCGGCTGATCCTGATCACCGAATCGGCTCGCAGCTCGACAAGTTGTCCCAAGTAAGCAGATCCTTTCCGGTCGATCTCAAGCTTGCTATCTGAAATCAAAGTTCTATCGATAGTGGACAGGAGAGACCTTCTTCAAGGAGGGCAAGACCGAGTTGTCCCCCGAGTTCAGAGAGTTTGAAAAGGAGGTAGAACTCCGAAAGAACGGTATCGAAAGGCAAGCAGCTCATGAAGCTGGAACCGGGATTCAGTATCGTGTCAGCTAATTTTCCTTCGATCGTTCGATCACACAGACTTCATGCCACTTCGATCCCTTATCACGCCGGTTTGGCCAAGAAGAAGCCGACCCCCGATCCGTACCCTACCGACTCCCACTCTGCCAAAGAGAAGATCCTCGCTGGTGAAGCTCTTGGGCTGGTGATGATCTCACACGGGGAAGACCTTCAGAACGCCTCTCGTGGGTACGGCGGTATCTCTGGCGAAGGTGGAAAGCTGGGAGAGATGCTGGAAAAGTTTGGGCGGGGACGATGTAGGGTCGCTGCAGCTCAAGAGGAGTTTACAAACCGGCTGGGAGAGAATTACGTTGCGGGGATGGAGAACGCGCTGGAGGTGGTCAAGGAGTACCTCGCACAGCGGAAGAAGCTCGATTCAAAACGGTATGTCGACGAATGCTTGTTTTCTTCTTTCTTTTGGAGCACGTGCGTTTGCTGAACTTGGTCTGCTCGTGGTAGACTCGCTTTGGATGCCGCTACTCGTAAGATGAACACGAGCAAGAAGGAGAACCGAGGTCTGGAAGAAGAGGTCAACGTGGCTCAAGCTCGATAGTACGTCGTGGTTAGTCGAAACTGAACCGCCATCTTGAGGTAAAGTTGACGTTTGAGTGCCTTTACAGTGAGGAAGCTCAAGAGGATACCCACTCCCGGATGGTCATGGTCCAGGATTGTGAGGCCCAGCAGATGGCCGAGTTGACGGATTTCTTGGAGGCCGAGATGGAGTTCGTCCAGTCTTATTATGAGATACTGAGCGAACTCAAATCCGATTGGGAGCGAAGGTGTGTGCCGATAGCTTTCGGCTTGGATCCGTTCTGCGATGCAATGCTGACGTTGACCTTTTTCTGAGCAGCGGATCGAGCGCAACATCTCGACCACGATCCAAGTCGACATCTGCTGTGCCCAAAACGCAAGCGCCTGCTCCTAGCCGGACGACCTCGTCTTCAAGATTGAGTAGCATGCTAGGCGGGGGCCGACCGGCTCTCCCCTCGAGGCAAAACAGCTCGAAGCCCACATCAGATGACGACGTCAATGGAAACACTCGTGGGAACCGAGATCGAGCGTTCTCGAATGCCAGTGCTAGCAGTAAGAAGGAAAAGAAGTCTTCCTTCATTCCCAAGTTTGGCTCTATGGGCAAGAAGAGCACGATAGCTTCTTCCGCGCTTGGGAGCAAAGAGCGGTATGGGTCGTTGGATGATCGTGAAGGTCTGAGGGACAGCTCGGAGCACGAAGTCGGCAGGCTGGGACTGCCTAGGGATGTCGATGATTCAGACGAGGACAGCGATGACGACCGATACGGCAGAAAGGAGACATATGGTAGGGCATCGCCGGCGGCAACTTATGCTAGTGGGGGCAGGTCTAGGAGCCATTCGGATGTTTCCGGTGCTCAGGCTCGGTTTGTCGCGGGGAGCGCTCCTACCGCTCGGACCAGCACGCCGCCGTTCAAGCGGACCATCACTGTTCCCGCTCATAATACGATTGCGGAAAGCCGAGAGTCTCATGAAGGGGGTAGAGCACTGGTCAAGGTGCTTTACGACTATGATGGCAAGGCGGCCGACGAGCTATCGATCCGGGTGGGCGATATAGTCGAAGTCACTCGGACGGTCTCGACGGACTGGTGTATCGGCGAGAATGAGCGGGGCGAAAGTGGGCTGTTCCCCTCGACCTATACCGAGCCTTATGATGCGAGCGCGACGGTCAAGAAGGCCCCTCCGGCGTTACCTAGCAGGACATCAAGCTCGTTGGCTATCCCCACCGAGGGGGCTAGGAGGGCGCCTCCGGTATTTGGCGCACCGATGCCTGGTAGCAGGTCGCCAGGTGGCAATTACAGCAATAACGGAAGTGCTAGATTAGCACCCCCGATCGTCACTCGTCACGCCTCGTCTGATACGGAGACTGATGAGGATCCGTTCAACTAGGCCGTGGTCAGGTCCACCAGGTTTTCGGGACGTTTTGCATTTCTTATATCATTCGGCTCCTCTCGATTTCTATACCCTTGCCGTGCCATTCTGTACTGTAACGAGGTATCACGCAGGTAATCTCTTTTGTTGCGCGAAAATTGTATTTTACCGACCGATACATGCCATGGTCACGGACTACAAACAGACTCTTGACGAGCCTAGGGGTATGATAGCATGGTGTTGTGCCATGTGGTAGTCCGTCTCTCGCGACACGGTCGAGAACAAAGAACAAGAGAAAAAAGAAGGGTGATGCCGCTCCGCGTTGTTTGTGCGTTTCACCCCCTTGCCACGCGAGCACGCGAGAGGGTGGATTGATCCGCCCGACGCCCGAGCCTCCTCCTCATCCCGTGTCTCACCCGCGCCTCGAGTCGTTCTTCCGTCTCATCAATCCATCAATCCATCAATCAATCCATCATCAAAATCACCGACAACAACGTTCAATACTCTCCTCTTCCCGCCTGAACCCAGCACACGGCGCTCCCGTGCGCAACAAGGATGAGTCTGGCCGGGCAAGACCTTGACGTATATAAAGCTGGCGTGGTGAGGGTCTTTCTCCAATTCAGCCATGGCGATCAATCAACAACTAACTTCAAGTCCTGCCATATACCACACAAACATGAATTACCTAGCTCTCAGGAAATCAACCGCTTCGATCATGCAGCGTCAGTCGATTCATACTTCCTCTGTCACCTTCAGTCAGAGGAGACGGGAACACGATGCTCTTGTTCGACAACTCGGTCGTAAGTAGTTCGGTACATATGCTGCAGATTGATAGAAGCGTAACCTCGCTTATTCTTTCCACCACCGACAGCCAAGTTCAACGACCAGATCATCAATGTCAAGCAGATGGTGGACAACCTCAAGATCTTGCAGGCTGAGAGGACTCTCAAGAACCACCCCGACAGTGAGTCTGATTCGCAGGTTCGATACTACAATCGTGCTCAGCTCACTAGACAGCAAATGGTACCCCTTTTCAAAAGAGGCTGCGTTCTACCGGTGAGTCGCCTGCGACCCACAAAATCAACCACCATTCCCTCGAGGACATTTTCTGATCCCGCTTCCTTTTCGCACAAACCGCAGGGACGCCGTTCGTGACCTCACTCAGGCTTTCCCCCCGGCTACCTACCCCTCCCGTGAAGTTTCCCTCGACAAGGTTAGAGGTGTCCTCTCCGACGAGAACTCGGTAGCATGGCGTTTGATCAGCGGGATGGTCACCTCTGGCCGAGTCAAGGAGATCGATGCGCTCAGCGAAGAGATGCGAGCGGCCATCTTGTTCCATACTGTGCACGGTATCGGACAAGTCAAAGCCAAAGAGCTGTAAGTGTTCGAGTACAGACTATTCTTCTTGTTCTCGCTGACAATTCTTCCGGTTAAATGACGACAGCGCGGCTGAAGGATTCCGATCCCTCGACGAACTGAAGGATATCCCGCATAGGTTGGACAAGTCTCAAAAGGTCAGTCCAGCATGCAACGGTCGGGCTCGAGATACCTTAGGTGCTGACATACATCGTTGACGATGCTTTCGTCTAACTCCTTTAGCTTGGCCTTCAACATTACGAGGTGAGTCGCGCAATAATCTCGGTGTTACATCATCCCCAAATTGACCCTTCTGGATCCGTCTACTCAGGACATGCAATCCTTGATCCCTCGAGAGGAAATCGACGAATTCAAACAACTCTTCTCCGAGGCATTGAAGATTGATCCCGAAAGTCAGTACTTTTCGTCCAAGCCACCCCGATATGAACGCGTTCATCTTCGCTCATACCACCGCGCGCAGTCAAGTTCGAGATCTGTGGCTCCTACAGACGAGGAAACGCTCTATGTTCCGATATCGATATCGTCGCTTGGCATAAGCAAGTCGCGGAACGCTCGACTTTGATCAACCCGATCTTCACGCTAATGCTGACGTCCTTTACGACTCTCTTCCAGATCCTACAATGATCGCAAGTCCAAGAGCAGTGAGACGGGTGCATTGATGGAGCTCGTGTGGGTCGCGCTCCGTAACGCAGGACTAGCTTATGAAGACAAGGCTTTGGGAAAGGGTGGGTTTCCGGCTTTGCTCTGGGCGTTGGCTCGAAACTCCATCTGATCCATGATATCTCGGCCCAGGACCCAAGAAGATCAGCGCTTTGATCAAGTTGCCTAAGGATGGGTCCAAGTGGCGTCAGGTGGACATCAGGCTATCTACTTTGGATTCGCTGCCTTATACTATGCTGGCTATGTCTGGCGACGATACTTTGCAGAAGATATTGCGAAAGCAGGCCAAAGAAGGATTGTAAGTCTCGCGTTTCAGGTTAGAGCTAGTCGTCGGAAGATATTCGAAGCTGACCGCCGCGTTCAATGTTCGCAGCAACTTGACTCTGAATGAGTACGGCCGTCAGGTTCGAGTATGTCCGATTGAGCAAAGCTGACCCAAGCCTGTCTCGCAAACAGATATGAGATGGGTCAGAGGAAGACTGATAGCGTAAGCGCCTCGCTCGGTTCCACTCAACGAGTAAATACTGATCGACCCCGTCTCTTCGCTGCAATCGCCCTGGCACAACAGATCACATCCAGTAAGTTTCGACGGGCCCATTCTGCAGTTTTTTCATCCTTCTACGCCTGTCGAGACTGACTATCCGCATCTCTTCTCGTTTCCTTGGTAACCGCTACTCTCAGCTCAAGCGGTCGAAGGAACCCAGATCTTGGTCAAGGACGAACGCGGCATCTTTGAACACGTCAGTTCATATTTCCCTCTTCTGCTCGTGATTGAGACTGACGACCTGTGCACGCGTAAACAGCTCAAAATCCCTTACCTCGAGCCCGAGCAGAGGAATTACCGAACCTACCAGCACATCATCCCCAGGCACTTCTTCTGAGCACGAGCCGCTTTCCCGCTCGAGCCGATCCCGATTAGGTTTTCCTGCTTTTTCCCTTGCGCTTTGCTCTGTTAGGCTTTCTCTTCCTGCTTCTTGTACTACCCCGTAGACCCTGCTCAGATATCTTGATCATCCCATAGGATTCGCTGTCGCATCCATGCAGGGATTTTGGTGATTGACGCTTCAACCTGCTGCCGCTCAGGTGGTTCGTTAAGCGATGATCTTGTCTTACGGTATGCGCGTATCGTATCTTGACGACCAGTACGATCGTCAGCCGTATTCAATGCAGCTGAAGTCACAGCATCTTCCTTCAGAGTAGCTCAAGCACATCGGTTGAAATCTCATAATTGACACAGGTGGATAACACTTCAGGTTGACTTCTCATTCTCACAAGACATTTCGACACAGCCGTCCAGATGGTATTTCGTACCAGTGACCCTTATGCCATCTTCCGTGGGATTCATACCAGCGCATGTCATCGAAATTCTCAATCACCAACTTCTCAAATATGTCCCCAAAGAACTTCCCGATACAGGAATATCCCGAATATCCCTCAGGCGTCCTCGTCCTTCTCAGGTAGCCCGGTGCGTCGATTAGGTAGGTGCCCATGCCAGAACATTAAGCCGGCTTTCCTGAGCCTTTCTTCAAAGCGGTGACATCTGCGGGTCTTCTTCCAGACCAGCTAAGCGCATAGATCGAAGTCTGACAGGCCGCACCCTCCGGTTACCAAGTGATCCCTCTGCATGTAAAACAAACAGGCCGTTTTGAAACGTTGGAATGCTCGTCTGTCCGCAGACTTGGCAAGCGCGGAATGAAAGGGAATTCTGACGGCTGCCAGAACGCTTTGTGCGTGATGACAGGATCACCATGAGTATGCTGGAATTCGATATTCGGTACATGCCAGAGTATGGTACAAACAGAGTCCGACTCTCACAGTACAGCCCAGATATTCGGACTGAGCCGCTGAGAGGACTCTGTGGTCATTATATCGCCGAGTCGTTTCAAAAGAGGTAGGGCTTTTGTGGAGAACCCTTCGCAGCGCGGATTGAGACTGGGAAGAGGAGGGAGGCGCCAGCTCGAGACTTATCGTCCGACTTCGTGCTCAGCCAATAGCTGCAGCAAGGGAATTAAAAAGGCAACTTCGGATCAGGCAACGCAAACAGGACCGGGTATCGTTAAGACTGACCATGTTGGGGATCCCTGTGGAGATAGGATAGACATGTCCACACCCTCGGCACTTCATCTGCCCTTCTTCTACGTGAATCTTTTGGTGACAAGGCAAGTCGCATCTCGTGAGCTTCTCATTCTACAGGGTTGTCATATCTATATATGACTAGACCAGCGACCACTCACCTCCATCAACACATGATGCAGCTTCTGCAGGAACTCTTCACTCTCTAGTGTCGCCTTGTCCTCTGGCATCTGTTCCGGCAAACTATCCTCCCCTATGCTCCTCGCCGTTTGTACGAGCGCGTCCCATTCGAGTTTGGGAATGAACCGTTTGATGAAATCCAGGTTGGATTCCGCCGGTCGGACTTCGAGCTCTACGTTTTCGAATACGAGGGGGAAGTTATCCTTGGTGCAGTTTTCTAGCAGGGTGAGGGGGTGAGGTTTAGCTCTCGAGGGTCGTTCAGTTCTCGATACAGCTCTGGTACTCACTGACATGGCACGTCAACATGTTGTGAGTTATCAGTCGGACCATCGTAGCAGAAGTGACCCAGAGACGACAAGACTAGGTTGATCTGAAGGTCGTAGCTAGTACCTAGCAGAGGTTTACACGGTTTGCATGTCAAGATATCTGCTCCAGTTCAAATGGTCCCATCAATCGAAATCTTGTGAAGACCGAGCGAAACCGCGTTCGGTCGGTCTACGGCGAGTCTCACCTCAAATATGGGAGAGAGAGAACAACAGCGAGCAAGCAGCAGTGGAATGGAATGTCGACACAAGACATCGCAACTCAAAAGCAGGAAAGTCTGGCCAACCTATCCATTCCGACATACGCTCTACCTGCGGAAAGTCCAGGGAAGATATAGACCCGAGCATTCAGTCAGCGAGAGGGCCAGGAAACAGCGCCGATCAGCCGTGAACGAGCACATTCCGGTCGTTGAACTCAATCACGTCAAGGTCTCGGAGACAGAAACGACCGCGACGAGCTCTGAACTACGTATAGAAGGAAAGACGGGAGATCAAGAGCTAGAAAGACAATTCTCCTTTAGTCTTCGACTATCGGACGACTAGAGGATCGTCCGCTGGGAACTCATTTGACGATCAAAGACACGACATCGATCGACTTGCGCTCGTATCTCCGAGAGACACCAAGCCATACGACCTACATCACGACCCCATTCTCCACGATACCGACGACATAAATCGATCACGCACGGGCCTTAGCTAGGATAATCTCGTCATGTCCAACCCGTATGTCAAAGATACCCAGATCTGGGTGCCTACCGGGCCTTCCGACTGGGTCAAAGGAGAGGTCATCTCACTTGACCAACCTGCCACCGCCGACTCGGAGACTTATGTGACCCTGCGAATCCGATACGGCCCCGAACAAACCGAATTGGAGTATTCTTTCCCACTCGGAGTCCTTACCGCTGCTGGACAGGCGCAGTTTTCTGCTGGAAGCCCGACGGGGACGAGTTCGGCGACACAGTTACCTGGCAAGGACGCGGATGGCAAGCCGGTCGCGCTACCTCCGTTGAGGAACCCTGATGAGTTGGAGAGGTCGGAGGATCTGGCAGATCTGAGCAATTTGAACGAACCTAGTGGTATGTCCAGCGATGAGCGAAAACGCGTGCTGAAAGGTGTCATGCTGACGTTCGAGAATGTGATGATACCACCTCCAGTTCTGCACGCGTTGAAGGAACGATATCAGCTCAGGGATCCTTATACTTATTCCGGAATCGTCTTGGTGAGTGTGAACCGTGTGAACGGATCAACAAAAATCCCCTATCTCATCTCTCTCTACTACGTCATTGTTTAGGTCGCGTTGAACCCCTTTACACCTCTCAACATCTGTGAGTGAGCCGAGGCTGTTCCCAAAAGCGAATTTTAACGATGTCATCATCTCAACACAATCAGATGGACCTGATATGATCAAGTCGTATTCTGGGCGGAAAAAGGGAGATCTTAGCCCTCACGTGTGAGTTGAAGATATTGCTCAGGACCCTGCTGCATGGCTGCTGATCGGCTTGGTCTGCATTCGGGACGGAATAAACAGGTTCGCCATCGCTGAAGATGCCCTGGAGTGCATGCGGAGAGGTGCAGGCGGTGGTGGAGCAGACGCAACGGGTGCAGGGGATCAGACGATTGTGGTCAGCGGTGAATCGTAAGTCTCTACGTTTGTCCCAGGGTGAAGCAGCGCCTGACGGATCAAGCGTCCTCATCGCAGTGGTGCCGGAAAGACGGTCTCGGCCAAGTACATATTACGATACTTTGCCTCGGTTGACGACCCAACGAGGGACAACTCGGCCGCACGGAGACAACGAGGACGAGCTGGAGTTGCAGATGAAGGTGGAATGAGCGAGACCGAGCGACAGATTTTGGCGAGTAACCCGATCATGGAGGCGTTCGGAAATGCCAAGACGACGCGGAATGACAACAGTTCGCGGTTCGGAAAGTACATCGAGGTGAGTCGAGCGTCTGAGGTAGGTCGGTGCTCTAAAGCCTTTATGTTGACGCCGTCATCCGGTTATGCAGGTTTTGTTTGACAAAGAACACGATATCGTCGGAGCTAGGGTGCGAACGTATCTACTGGAGCGGTCCCGTCTCGTATATCAACCAGAAATCGAGCGAAACTACCACATCTTCTATCAACTCCTGGCTGGCGCACCCGAACAGGAGCGGAAAGATCTAGGTCTTGATCGATCGACGGCGGACTTTGCATATCTCGTGGGGGGTGGACCAGCCGCTACGCCGATCCAAGGAGTCGATGACGCTAAAGAGTTCGAGTTGACGCAAAAGGCGCTGAGCACAGTGGGGATCTCGGTCGAGAGGCAATGGCAGATCTTCAGGATGTTGGCCGCGCTTCTCCATCTCGGAAACGTGTCAATTAAAGCGTCGAGGAACGAAGCTACGATCGACTCGGATGATGCAGCGTTGGGACTCGCCACCACGCTTCTCGGAGTCGATAAGGACGAGTTCAGGAAATGGGTCCTGAAGAAGCAGTTGATCACAAGAAGCGAAAAGATCGTGACTAGCTTGAACGCCGCACAAGCATCCGTGGTCAGGGACTCGGTCGCCAAGTTTGTTTACAGCTGTCTGTTCGATGTGAGTTTGGCCGTAGTCGTTACTCGTGGCTTGTCACCGCTGAGACTGACGGTCTGATTCGACCGCAGTGGCTGGTTTCCATTATCAACGAGAGTTTGTCAGGAGGTGGAGCTGCGGACCGGGCTATCAAGTTCATCGGAGTCTTGGATATCGTAAGCATGTTTGTTGATCATGAACATCTTGGCACAAGTTATTCACTCCACGTACGACGACAGTATGGATTTGAGCACTTCAAAAAGGTACCAGATACCGTTGCCGACCAGTCATCATGACATGGTGCTAATTTTTATATGCCGCAGAACTCTTTCGAACAATTCTGTATCAACTGGGCGAACGAGAAGGTGAGCTGCTGCACGGTCGGAGGGACCCGTTGCCATCATGCTGATTGCGACTACCCTTTCCTTCTCAGCTGCAACAAGAGGTGAGACCGTCTCACGAACCCTCTCGTTCAAGAGTTTGTTCACTGACCTTCTGATACACGTCCTTACAGTTCAATGCTCACGTGTTCAAGGCAAGTCTCGCTCAATGATCAGTTTGAGCAAACTGGGTGCTAACCGAAAGACTTCGTATGTTACAAAACAGCTTGAGCAAGAAGAATACGTCCGCGAAGAAATCAACTGGACTTTCATCGAATTCTCCGACAACCAGATGTGTATCGACGTGATCGAAGGCAAAATGGGCATCTTGACGCTGCTGGATGAAGAATCGCGCTTGCCTGCTGGTGCCGATCAGTCCTTTGCCGGGAAGCTATTCCAACAGATCAACAAGCCGGAACAGAAGGACGTGTTCAAAAAACCGCGTTTCAACCAGAACGCGTTCACCATTGCCCATTACGCCCACGATGTTACGTACGATGTCGAAGGCTTCATCGAGAAGAACCGAGACACTGTGCCGGACGAGCATTTGGCCTTGCTCCAGAACTCGTCGAACCCCCTGTTGAAGGATTGTCTCGAAGCAGCACTCGCCGCCGCTGTTGCTGCCAAAGAGAACACTTCTGCAAACGCAGCGCCTGCGTCCAAAACTCCCGCTGTTGGTCCGCCCAAACGAGCCGGAGGCGCTGCGTCAACCAGGAAGCCTACGCTCGGTTCCATCTTCAAGCACTCTCTTACAAATCTGATGGACACAATCAACAACACCAACGTTCATTACATCCGATGTATCAAGCCGAACGAGGCGAAGAACGCCTGGGAGTTCGACTCGGAACAAGTTCTGTCTCAATTGCGGGCTTGTGGTGTGTTGGAGACGATCAAGATCAGTTGTGCTGGTTATCCGAACAGATGGACGTTCGAGGAGTTTGCTGAAAGGTACGAGCGATGTTATCCTCTGCACCCTCTTCCGAAGCCAGCTGACAGATTTTCTCGCAGATACGAGATCTTCATCCCTCCAAGCGATTGGCAGAAATTCCAAGGCTCAAATGACCTTCGACCGATCTGTTCAGCTATCCTCGAAAAAAGCATCGCAGATCAGGAAAAGTATCAAATCGGTCTTACCAAGATCTTTTTCAGGCCGGGCATGGTCAGCGTGCTTGACCGTATGAAGAAGCAACGCCTGGACGCCATCGCTGTTACTGTACAGAAGAACTACCGTCGGTACATTGCTCGAAAGCATTACCAAGCTCTGCGAAATGCTACTATCCGTATCCAGGCATTGGCGCGCGGCAGGTTTGCCAGGCGCCATGCGGTCGAGATGAGGAAAGAAAAGGCAGCGATCACCATACAAACTCTTGGGAGAATGTATGTTGCACGACGGGCGTTCTTGGAGACGCGACAGGCCGTCGTAAAGATCCAGGCTGGTGAGTACAATCTGCATCCTCGTTGATTTTTGTAATCTCGACTCATCCGTTCGACTTGTGACAGCCATCCGAGGACGACAAGCACGCGTCGCGTACCAGGATACCCTCCGCGAGAATGCGGCTATAACATTGCAAAGACTCTTTAGGGGATCGTGAGTGGCATGTTGATTTATGCCGCGACTATCCCTGATCGCTGATGAAGCCGGAGCAACAGGATTGCAAAGAAACGGGCTCAGTCGGATGTACGAAAGGTCGTTCTATTGCAAGCCCTGCATCGTCGCCGTCTCGCCAAGAAGGAACTGGTATCACTGAAAACAGAAGCGAAATCGGCGACCAAGTTCAAGGAGATATCATACAAGCTCGAGAACAAGGTCGTCGAACTGACTCAGACGCTTCAGAAGAGGACTGCGGAACGCAAAGAGTTCCAGGAACGTGTCTCCGCGCTGGAGAGTCAGATACAGCAGTTCACCGCAAAGCAAAGCGAGGCTGAAGCGCGTATCAAGGACCTCACAGCCGAGCTGAAGAAGCCTACCGTGCCTGCGGCACAGTTTGAAGAGCTCGTCGCCGCCAAACAAGAGGTCGACCGCCGGGTGGACGAGGCTCTGGCCCACATCTCTCAACGAGACGCAGAGATAGACCGACTCAACGCGGACCTCGCCGCTCAGCACAAGCTCGCTCAGGAGCAACAGATCGCCTTGGAAGCGGCAACTAGCAGGAATGTCGAGAGTTCATCAGCTGCGTCTGGCATGCAGGACGAGATCACTGCGCTCAAGGAGCAGATCAACCGGGCCAATGCTCTGTCCGCTCTCACGCGAAACACTAGGGTGCCTCAGCCTCCTTCTCCGACCGTCACTCACCTGAACGGTTCCAATGTAGCCTATCGGGGAATGGACTCCCTGCCAAATCTACCTTCTACCGGACGGACGCCCCGTCGACACAGCATGACGGGTGTCCTGCATGATGGTAGCAGTCACCGCACCTCGGCTGACGAGCGAATCTTAGAGAGCAAAAAGGACGCAGCTCAATCGCGAGCCATCTCCATGGCCTTTCCACGAGACGGGCCACCGAATGGGAGAGATTCTCAAGGCTTGCCGGTATCGTTCGAGAACCCCGGCCAAGAAATCATGCGCATGCTCGAGGATGAAGCCGCTCTCGAACGGGACGTCCTACAGGGTCTGATCATGGACCTCAAGATATTGACGCCCAGTCTCAACAATCCGCCCAAATTCAACGAGGTCATGTTCCCCGCGAACCTTGTCAGCCTCATCGTCAACGAAATGTGGAAGTACGGCTTGATAAAGGAGAGCGAAAGGTTCTTGGCCAACGTGATGCAGCACATACAGAAATTCGTCATGGTGAGTAGCGCGGGACCCTACCGATGACCCCGAATGACCCGTTGACCAACGTGCTCGTGTATCGCAGAGCTTCACAGGGGAGGCTATCATCATACCCGGTTTCTTCTGGTTGTCCAACATTCACCAGCTGCTTTCGTTCGTGTGCTTGGCCCAAAGCGACATGCAAGAAGGTGTCGGTCCCGGCGCCGAGGGGCTTGGCCGGTCTTTTGAGTGGTCGGACTATGAAAAGTTGGTAACGGTCGCGAAGAACGACCTAGACAGCCTCGAGTACAACATCTATCACACGACGGTGTCCGAGATCAAGAAACACTTGAGCAAGATGGTAGTACCCGCCCTGATCGAGAACCAAGCTCTGCCCGGTTTCGTCACCCAGGAAGCATCGGGACGATTGCTCGGCCGTCTGATAGGTCAAACGGACAAGGCGCCTTCGTACACGATGGATGATGTCATCAACCTGTTGACCAAGGTGCACAAGGCCATGAAGAGTTATCATTTGGAAGAAGGCGTCATTGGTCAAGTCTTCATCAACGAGCTCGTCAAGCTGCTTGGTGTCAACAGTTTCAACGACATGCTTATGCGTAGAAACTTTGCGTCATGGAAGCGAGGTGAGTGCGCTAGGAGGGTCAGCTCGAGCGGAGTCGACGTGAGCTTATTCGATGAACTTTGTGTCGCTAGCGATGCAAATTCAGTACAACATTACTCGGTTGGAAGAATGGTGCAAGTCGAACGATCTATCCGAAGGGACGCTATCGATGGAGAGCTTGATGCAGGCTACCAAGCTGTTGCAGCTCAAAAAGGTGCGGCTGTTCCCGAACAAATCGACTTCTCGGATGACAGATCGCTCATATGTCAAATCCTGTCCGCCATAGGCTACTGCCGCCGATATCGACATCCTCTTCGATGTCTGCTGGATCTTGTCACCGACACAGATCCAAAAGCTCATTAGCCAGTACCATGTCGCTGAATACGAGGTGCGTGTCGACGTCTCGTATGCATCTAATCGATCTGTGATTGACGCGTTTGAACATTCAGACTCCCATCGCACCCGAGATCCTAAAGATCGTCTCGGGCCGAATCAACACCAACGACAAGGGGGATCATCTGCTCCTTCCACCAGAGTCTGACGAGGCCATGCCGTATGTTCAGGGTCGAGGTTCCGGGCGCTCACAAGTTGATACTGATACGTTTTGGCTCTATCAGTTTCCAATTACCTCCCGTGCGAGACATTTTCGACATAGAGACTTGTGAGTTTGGCGCTTAGACGGGCAATCTTCCCAGAGCAAGTTCTGACCCGGCACATGTTCCTTCTTGTTAGACGTCCCCGCTTATCTGGCAGTACCTCACGTACGCCGACTTGCCATGTTTGCTGTGAGTCTGTCAGATCTTGCTTGTCGTTCCGAATGACGTACTTAAGCACCCCTCTCGATAGGCTTGAGAAACGAATTATTTGGGACGATTTCGCACGCCACTCGCCGTCAACTGAATGACTTTGATTTTTAACGCCCTTTGCATGAGACGTACCCGGCCGAATCGCTGCGGTAGACGATGTATCTATATGGCCTTCATGAATCGTGTAGAATCCGATACAATCCGCGAGACAAAACCATGGGTCACGGCAAGGAACCCTGATTATATGATTGTTTTGCGTACAAGCAAGAGGCAGGTGGGAGTCGAACACCTCGATCCAGACAAGAAAAACAAAATTGACAAGCTCGAGCGAAAGCGAAAGGTTGAAGAAAGCAACAGGACACGAAAGGCTCAAAGCAGGTGCTAAGCGTGTTGTTGAGCAAACTTTGTAAGCTCGTTCAACTTGTCGGTGACGTATTGCTTGGCCCGGATGATCTGTTCGAGCTGGAACATGATTTCTTGCTGAGTCTTTTCCCTCGTCGCGTTGCCACGGTGGATCATCTCTTGACGTCTACACGCGCAAAAGGGCGACAGGTTTTCAGTATGTATCCCGGCGGCGATGATGGATGTAGCGACAGGCGAACATACTCGAAATTGAGCTGCTGGATCTCGGTCTCGACGGCGAGCAGCTCTTGATCGCTCGACATGGACATGGCGCCCACATCCGCCTCGAGCTTGGCCAAAAGTTGCCGTGTATCCTGAGTCTGCACCGATAGTTTCTGCAGATTGCGACGTGCAAGGGACCGTCAATGACTTGGGACATTCCCCAAACCTGGCCGACATGTGTCTTACCTGCTTCTCGGCCTCGGCGGCGCTCTCCAAACTGGCCAGCTTCAACTCGAGCGCCTGCACCTGATGCCGTCGCTGTTCGAGCTCGGAACCCAATCGGTCGAGCTTGTCGTCCCATTCAATCTTTTGGTTCGAATGCTGCCTCCATTCCGTCCTCAGCTGTTCCCCAAACGTCTGCAGACCGGGTCTAATCGATTCCTTGATCCGTTGACCGACGACGTTGACCGCGGTCAAGTCGGACGAGGCCATGTTCACGTCGACGTTGAAATCGATATCGAACTGTTGTTGCACCGAACTCGCGTTCAAACCGATGACGGCCTTGCCGTGCATGTATTTGCCGACGAGGGAATCAATGTCGTCCATCCGGCGTGTGACGGCGATCTCTTGTTCCCCCAACTCTCTCGTCTTTTTATGCAACTCGGCTGACAATTCTCGGATGGATTCACTCAGCGTCGAACGCTCGCTGTTCATCCTGGCCACCTCGTCCGGGGTGAGGTTCTGTTCGGCGACCTGACGTTCGAGCTCGGCCTTGTCCTGCTCGAGCTGCTGGATCTCGGCCTCTGTCGCGCGATTCGCACCATACCTCGTTAGCCGCAGATCACCCATATAACCGATCCCCTCGCTGGTTTGCGACTTACCGACATTGACCAGAGCCTGTCGACCCTGTTCGATCGCCTGTTGATGTTTCCTCGCTTTTTCGCGGTACAGATCGAGGTACTTCAACTGGTCCTGTTTATGCTTGATCAGGTTCATCTCCTTGTTCTTGGCTTCCGTCAGGGGGTTCTTTGGGGCGCAAAATCAAGCATTACAAGCCGTGATGAGCCTCTTTGCGTTGGATCTTGAGGAATCTGAACGGGGGAAACGACTGGCTCACCGGCTCGTGCTTCAACAAGTTCAACTCCTTGTCCGCCTGTTCCTTTTGTTCCGACAATTCCCTCAGGCTCGTTATATCCGCCGCCTCGATCGCCTCTATGACCAACCGAACGCATTCAGTCGATTACAGTATCAGCAATCCTCACCATCGCTTAGACCCTCGAACCTCGACTCTTCTGAAAAGCTCACCAAACCTCTCTGTCAACATCCTCTTCGGCCCCTCAAACTCGACCCCTTCCCCCTCCTCGTCCTGAGCCCACCACGCCGCATAAGCCTCGGTGAAATATTCCTTTTCGAGCCGCGAGACAACGTCGCCGACGTTTTCCGCTTGAAGGTCTTGCGTGGACAAGGTGGAGAGCGGGCGGATGAGCGGGTCGGTCGAAGTGTAGGGGTTGGACCATTGACGTAGGGCCTACAGGTGTTGAGTTGTGACAGATGGTTGGAACAAGATGAATAGGAGTCAGCGATTGTCATGACTTTACAGGTAGTCAAGGAGCGCATTTCAAGCTCGGCGCGCACCTTTGCCAACTCGCTCAACCAGACGAGCATGACCAAGATCGTCGGCCAATTCGTCGGACTCCCCGGTGCTCCCAGTGCCGTCTTGCCCACATCCGTCGGATACTTCAAGTCCTTCAAGACCTGCACGCATTCGGCTTCGAACCCTTTCGCTCCCACTTCCAGACTCTGGGTGTACCCGGACGAATAACCTAGGGCGTCGGGGGAGGTGATGAGCCATTTGAAGATGGATTGGAATTCCTTGGTCGTAGGCGAAATGAGAGTCTTGGATGTGAGAGGGAGGTTGCAACGGGAAGAGAGGAGGTATTCGGAGAGTTGGTCTCGGCATTGTTTTTGAAAGGTTGGGTTACGGATCTGACGAGGGTCGGGGAGGTTGTTGTTGGAAGAAGATGAGGAGAGGGATGCGTGGTGTGGGGTGGAAGACAGAGGGGCTAGGGATTGGCGGCCTGCCGAGGCGAACGAGGAGGAGCGGCGGGCCGTGGCACTGGCGCTGCGAGTCGCAGATGTCGAGGGGTCAAGGATGTAATCGATCGCTATCAGTACTAGGCGAGACGACAGATCTTGATCCACGAAAATGCTCACCTCATGACAGACTGTCTGCCGCCAGGCGTCCTCCCATAGATACCCGCGTCTCCCCTCCCACCGCTAGCCATCAGATCATCCCGTCTTCCACCTTGCGCTTGACCCTGACTGCCCCCTAGTCCGGGCATCATCGTGCTTCGTCGATTCCCACCCATATCCATCCCCATTCCCATCCCACCCATCATCGGCTGTTGAGGTTGTCCCAAACCCATCGAACCCGGAGCCAAGCTCATCCTCGATTGCGAGCCACCCGCACCACCTCCGCCGAGCAAGCTGGCTCGCATGTTGCCGTTTGACCCGGAAGAACGGAGCGCGCCTTGAGGTTTCGAGGTCGAGGTGGGCAGTCGGCTGACGGGGTTCATGTTGGAGATGTTGTTGTCCTGTGCTAGCGTACGTCTACGTGTGTCCATCGTGAGGTGGAATGGTGATGTGGCGAGTGTGAGATGTGAAGCAGAGTTGTTCTTCCTTGCGATTATCCCGAGGGTTGTTGACGATTCGACCAAGTTGTTTACACTTTGGCTGGAGGAGAGAGGGCGACGTGTATCCAAGCCAATCACGTAAAGGGTGACAATCCAGTACGTAAGCAATGCCGGCATTGAGTCCCGCTGCTGATGCACCGCGGACATCCAACCGTTTCCCTTCGATGTCGCGCGTTGACCGAAGCTCTCTCTCATCTCTCAAAAGTTCAAAGCACAGAAACATTTCGATGATCCCGGTCCATATCATCATCATTCATACATCCCATACCATCTCTAGCTTTGGAATCAACAAGCGATACCCCACTCAAAAATAAACTATCATCACCATGTCCGACTCTGTCAAGGTCGAAGAAAAGCCCAAGCTGGAAGATATCACCATGGAGGACGCCACCTCGTCGACTCCCGCCGCTGCGTCGACCGTGTCTGCGGTGGAAGAATTCGCTCCTCAAAAGAACGCCGATGGAGAGTTGATCATCAAGGAACTGCCCGAGGTTTTGAAGGGAAAGAGCGAGGAGGAGGTTGCCGAGGTCAAGAAGGCTATTGTTGAGCAGGGTGAGTCGGCGGGGTCGATATCCAACTTTTATATGCGCGTGTTATTCTCGTCGAGGAGGTATGCGTCGTATGTGATATGCGAGAGTAGGCTAAACAACTCGCACCTCGCCGCTTTTCTACAGTCGAATTCTACTTTTCCGACGCCAACTTCCCATACGACAAGTTCCTGTACACCCTCTCCCTCCGCGACACGCTCGGATGGGTCGACCTCCCCGTCCTCCTCTCTTTCAAACGTATGAAGGGACCTTTTACCCAGGTGTACGGGGACCAGTTCATCATCGGCTGTTTGAGGGAACGGGAAGTCAAGATGCAGGGCGTGAAAGACGGGGCTTCGAGGGTGGGCAGTCTTTGTGTGATCAGCGAGGATGGCAAGAAGATTAGGAGGAGGGAAAAGGAGTTGGTCAAGGATGTCACGGCTTGGGATAGGACGGTCTACGTCGTGAGTCTTGGGCGTGCCCTTGACGGGCTTATACGTTCGACGCTGATTTCTCTCGAACAACCATTTCCTTCTTCATCTCGCTCTTTCCCCCTCTTCTAAACACTTCTCTTTGCGTTTCTTGCAACTCGTTAGAAAGGATTCTCGACCGGCTCCACCCCGCACAACTCGCAAGAACAGCTCGAAGCCTGGTTTAAGCAGTTTGGAAAGATCGACGCCCTCCGAATGCGTAGGGCCGAGCGGGAGTACAGGCCCAGGGGCAAGGAGGAGGCTGGAAAGAAGGAGGACGTGAAGAAGGAGGAGGTCAAGGCAGAGGCCAAGGAGGAAGTCAAGGAGGAAGTCAAGAGCGAGGACAAGCCAGAGGTCAAGGAAGAGACCAAGCCCGAGCTCGGAGCTGGTGACGCGGCGATCAAGGCCGAAGAGAACAAGTCGAGGTCTGACCGAGAACCCCGCGGACTGGGAGAGTTCAAGGGGAGCGTCTTTGCAGAGTTCCACACGTTGGAGGATGCCAAGAAGTTTGTGGCGATGGAGAAGAAGCCGACGTTCCACGGCGAGGAGGTCGTCGTCATGTTCAAGTGAGTTTTCATGTGTGACGGGAAATGATATCGCTCTTCGCTGACCCGCCGATTATTTGTCGTGGACACTACCTGCAGGGAGGACTACGTGACGGGCAAGGCCAAGGAAAAGGGAATCGACCTCTCGACCATCCACCGAGGTACCGGAGCTGGTGGTGGTGCTACGGGCGCCAAGTACAAGTTCAACGCTTTCAGCTTCAAGAACGGAGGTGTCGCATCCGCCGGATCCAGCCGAGAAAACAAGAGGAAGAGGGAGGATGGCGACGACGAGGACCGAGAAGGAAAGAAGGAGAAGAAGGTGGGTAGCGCATATTTCCAAGGTTTGTCAGTCGAAATCGTACTGATCGTGGTTCATCCCGCCCCACAGCCCGTCTTCCTCTACATCGAATACCTCGGCAAGAAGCTCGCCGTCGACCGTGCGGCTGGTACCTTGGCCGATGCGGACGAGCTCGACTACCCCCGACAGACCGTCTTGAAGTTTAGCAACCTGCCCGAGGACGGTGACTGGAAGGAGCTCAAGACCAGCCTCATCGACGGAGGCTTCCCAGAGACGTTTATGAGTTACCCCAAGGGTGCCGCCGCCGGGAGCTTGTGCTTGAAGAGCAACGAGCCGATCTCGGATGAGACGCTCGAGAAGATTCAGGGATTGAAGTTGGAGCTCGGAGGCAACACGGTCGATTGGCGAAGGGCGACTGGTGAGTGTTCCGCTAATTAACCATGACCGTTTGAGCTAGTCGGCTGACGATTCCGGCGATACGACCCGCAGACGAGGAAGAAAAGGCCTTCTGGTTGACCCGGGCCAACTTCCAAGCCAGTCAGGCCGTGCGAAAGGCCGACGCCGAAGATGCCGAAAGAGCAGAACGCAACGCCGAGGCCATGAAGGATGGAAAGCGAGGTGGCGGTGGACGAGGTCGAGGCGGTCGAGGTCGGGGTGGTGGTGGTGGTAGGGGCCGGGGCGGTGGGCGAGGCAGGGGCGGACGGGGCGGTAAGAGGGATTGAGCGCGCAGTTTATAGTTCTCTTGGAATGTGGGTTTTTTAGTTTTCGATCATGTCATGCCGATGTCTTTCGCATTACCCATAGAGCGCAGGGGTTTCTGTCTGGCATATCAATATGCTTGCCAGGTCGACAGCATGTTAGGTATGTCGAACGATGTGATGCCTGATTAGAGACGCCAGGCGGGAACTATGTTCGATCGCAAGATATGGAGTAGCCCTTGCCCTTGCCCTTCCCATATTCTTGACATGTTGGGCGAGCGGGGGCTGAATTCGGGCTCGGGATAGAAGGTGTCGAGGGGGAGGTTGCCGTGGCGCAATCGCGCTTAGGGGCAGAATCGGGATTGGGATCAGGATCAGATATCGACAACAGCATAGCGGCGAATCCTATGCTCGAAGATCAACCTCTCACAAAGCGAACAGCTTCCGTTGTTGTGGCGGTTCTTCGCACATAGCTCGCTGGTTTTGTTTTCCACCTGTAGAGGAATATAGATCATATGTCTTGGCTATGACTGTCTGTGGGAAAGAGTGGATGGTAGAGTATGCAACACAGACAACAAGCAACAGGCCTGATGTTCAATTCACCACGCTCGCTCAAGGAAACTGGGCTCCAGATCTAACTACCTATCTACATGTGGTCTGAGAAGTCTTGGTGCATACTCTTGAACACATGACGGAAAAGATGGTCAGGCTTGGAAAACTCCTCTGGACACCTGTAGCATACATGTCGAAACCCGCAAATTCATCAATCAGAGTTGAACTTGAACCGCGATCACATGCTATGCAAGAGTTTGTTGAAGTCAGCGTCAAGATCAGCAGCCCAAAATACTGAAGCCTTGTGGTTTCTTCGCACAAAAGGAGACATCTGCTGCAAATGAGTCTCCGAGTCGGAAAGACCGAAAACGGTTCAAAAAGCTACACGTTATGATCAGCCCAGAACGCTTCCGGAAAGGTCCACATGGAACTCGAAAAGCGCGGAACTATAGGTATATCGCTGTCATCATGTCGCTTGAACCACTCGTGGTAGCAGGTTTGTTCGTCTCATGGATACAATAAGGATCTTGTGAGGAACAAGGAGAAGTATCCCGGTGCACTCGAATCGGTGTCATGACGGTCGTGATTGCGTCGTTGTCGTACTAGTAGGTGTTTGCGCCACCTCTTGATAAGCCGGTGGTAAGTGACTAGAGCGAGACGGAAAGGAAGAACGTTCATCAGCCCCATGCGATCGTTTGTTGTGGGTTGCAGGTTTCGTTGCGACTCACATGATACCCTCGGGTCCAGCGCTCGTGCCCTCGGTTTCCTCGACGATTCCAGCATCGCTATGCTGTACGATCGTCGTCGGTCGTTCCGCTCGTAGGAACTGGGAGTGTCGTCTGGCCTTTTCGCTGACCCCCCTCGATGGAGGATATGCAGACGAGGCCGGGGCTGGGTCCATCCGATCGTCCGCGTCCACCAGGCGCAAGGGAGAAGATCTGGTCGTCCCGGCTATCGGCGAGGGCAGCGTCGGAGCAAGCGACTCTTCGCCGTCATTCGGGTCTAGGTGACGTCCCTCTCTTGGGCTTCCCGACCGATCGAGGCTGCTATATCTGCTCGGACTCGCCACCCCTCCGAGACCTCGCATCGGCGTCGGACTCGTCGGCGAGTCGAACCCAGAGTCGTGCATCATATAAGGAGACAACTCGACGTCCTGTTCCAAACCATCATCGTGATGCCGAGCGTCGAATCCGTAATCGTCCGACACCTGGCTCTGCCCTGTCGGAGTGAGCTTGTTCAGGCTCGAACTCAGACCTCCGTCGGGGGAGAGGAAAGGCTGATTTGAATAGCCTTCCGGGCTGGACCTTCCCCTTCCTGCGGTGTTGCCGTGGTTGTTACGATCCTGCTGATCTCTAGCGTACCCAGGGATCCCACCGAGAAAGACCGTAGCGTCGCGATAAGACTTCCATGTGGATTGTCGAGGATGGTCGGGATCCCGGACTTGTCTCCTTCGATGACGCCACAGGAAGAACAGGGCGACAAGGGTGATGGCTGCCAACCCTCCAATGATGCCGCCTACGAGCGCCCCGATGGGGACGTCCGATCTAGACGAATGTTGTTTGGTCAGTCACCAGGTTCTTGCTCATCCGCTTCCTTCCGTACATTCAAGACTCACTTGTTCGACCCGTCTTTTCCCTCACCTTCTCCCGACCCAGCAGAAGCAGGCTGCGTAACGACCTGCGTGATCGTCTGCAACACCGTCCCTCCCGCACTACTCCTAATCACCGTCGTCGTCACGCTCTCATCCACCTTTGGTAAACACGATGAATCTCCACTTCCTCCGACCGTGATCAATTCTGAGCTGCCTCCGTTCCCCAGCGGGCCTTTGTCAAAGATGACGATAGCAAAAGTCTCGCCGGAAGGGACGTCGACTTTCCAATCGAACTTCGATTGACCCTGATCCGAGGTCGAGTACAAGCTTCGCAGTTTGCCCTTGCCGGAAGTAGATGACGAAGGAGGCTGGAGAGCGACGATCTCGAGCGGGGCGGTATAGTTCGCTTCCCAGGTAATGGAGAGGGAGGAACATTGTGTCGGGTTGAAATTGTCAAAGTCAAAGAAGAAGTCGACGTAGGGGTTGCTACTGGGGATGAGACAAGACGAGGATGAGCCCGGGCCGGTAGCTGCAAGGAGTGTCAAGAGCAACATCGTATCAGCTCGAGATCGCTATGGTGGCTTGGCTTCATAGATGGCGGCCGATGAGACTAAGACTCACTCATTGTCCCCGTAGGTATGGAATCCGCATATCCCCCCTCTTCATCCCACAGAGCAGCCACAAAGTCGGCCCCGGCGGGTAACAAGAAGTTCTTCAGTGTATACGGAGAAGATACTGTGGAAGGGATTGTGAACGTCTGTACGACATTGGATCCGCCGTGCGTGGTCTAGCAGGTCATGTAAGACGCAGCAGAGTTCTCGATCAGCGTCGGAAGCGAGTGACGTGAAGCATTGAGCGGAAGACGAGGCTGGACTCACCGGCAAGACCACCAGGCTTAGGTCCCCGCCCTTCGCATCACTCCAGGTCACTTGCAAGTCTCCGCATTGACTAGCTTGGCCGAGAGAATACGTCAAAGCTCTTGTTAGGGCCGAGAGGTGGAGGGTGGTGAGGATGATCTTGTGGACGAGATGCATGGTAGAGTCCAAGACCGTCGACAGCACTGCTCTTGCTCGGGTAGCGACTTTGCGGTAGAGGACGGAATGTTGACGATGCCTTGTTCGCCAGGTAGTTGTTCCTTGCGGGAATGTTGATGATTGATGATGAAGCTCAAGGAGGTGATCACAGTCCAAGAAGGAACGTATACCGTCGTCAGGGCGTCGAACGAGCAATGGCTATGTCCTGATTGTATGGATGGGTTGATCGGCCGGCCGAAAAGTCACCCAGAGTGAATGGTGATCGTCTATCGCGAATCTTTCTTGTGATGCTATGGCTACAGAAAGTCACAGGGACTACAGGGCTGACGGTCTGGTGTCGCCGGTGTCGTGTTGTCGACCGAGGTTGATGAGATGGCGATTCCTTTGAAACTGAGCCCTCACGTGAGGAAATAGCAGCGGTTTCCTCGCTGTTTCATGATTCGAGCTGATCGAGCTGAGGTTCCACCCAGAATTCCGAGTAGATGTTGATCGAATCGAAACGAAATGAACGCATCCGAACCGCCAAAAGGTGGATATGGGATGACGAGTTTTATTTCCACTCTCCCTCCCTCCCTGGCCTCCCTCCCCCTTTCCTTGTTGCTGACGCTCGCAGCCCATGGATATGGAAACGATCAAAGCTTCTAACGCTTGAACGCCTCAGGGGCACATGCACGAGGTGGGATCAACGGCAGGCGGAGGGAAGGGGGGAATCGATGTGCGTTTCAAGTTGGAACGAAGCAAGGAATCCCAGGGCGAGGGTCATCGATTGCAACAACGTCAACAAACAAAAGAAACGAAGGGGCAAGGGGTGAGCACCCCATTTCCGGAAGCTAATTTTAGGCGATCGTTCATCGCCGAGCCAGCGGAACGAGGAGGGAAGCTGTCCGGAAGTAATTCTTGTTGTTTTGATCTGGGAAAGCCGAAGGTTCAAGCAAATTCTACTCGTGTGATTCACATCGTAAACAACTCATAGCGCCTCGACTGGAATCGCGGCTAGGGGCAATCGTCGAGGCACCAAGATTACACGACACCAGATCACAATCACCGCAGCGGCGCCCGTCGGTTACCGCACGTCTGAAACGCCGATGTGAAACCTGCACGCCTCGGATGCATCGCTTCAGGGATTCGAGGGCTGGTGCAAAGCGACGCGACTAACCAACGATTCTTCGCAGACCAGCACGAATCCTGCGACACTCGGCCATCTCCAAGACCTTCAATATGCCAAAGCGAGGAGCGTCGGACGACTGGACACTTCCCGTAAAGGAATGTTGTCGTCTACAATGCCATCTGCTACCAAAGCTCCAGCCTGTTGATGTTATCGATCCGAAGTCCTTATATGCACCTGTTGTGCAGTCGGCCATATTCAACATGTGTCTAGAAACTGCATAGCAGCAATTATCCTGCTTTCATAGTTGATTATTGCAGTTGGTGTCAGTACAGCTGAGATCAATGAGTTTTGTATCGTTCTGGAGCCAAGAAGAACCTGCTTCATGTCCGCACTCGTTACAAGGAAGCTTGGTATCTTTCGCCGTCAAACCCGATATTTTTGTAGCCATTTCCCGCCCCACTCTACATCGTGTTTGAATTTCATTTCTGCGCTCTCTCTCTAACTCAATTAGGATGCCAACGATCAATTGTATGTGACTGGACTCACGATGGCGTTTGAGTTCTTCTTGTGTGAGATATTGAGACTCGCAGCATTTGCAAGCAAACAGCTGTTTGGAGTGTTCGTCTACTATATGTTTCTTCATCTTGCCGTTCTTATTGGCGACTTTCGACTCCGCCTACATCACCACCCACAAGGTGGTACGGCTTTTGCTCTGTTTCACACCGTTATTGAGAGGGTGCGCGCCGGTTCATTGTATCTCTTGGCCCATCTGCTGGTTTACAAGACCGAAGTACTGTAGGAACTCTTTTGCCGTCAACCACCTTGGTCGACATGCAAGGCTCCCAGGCGAGGACTTGGCTACATCGGGATTTGGGTCGGAGCGATTGACCAGATCCGACCCTGAGGATCGGTTCGAGCCAGCGCACTCATGGGTACCACCAATCGGAAACTCGCCTGATACTTCCAGCACGACGAGATTAAGGTGTCCAACAATGGGTTGCGAATGGGCGACTGGGTCGAACATCCGGAACCCGATACGGCGAAATTCATCGGCATCGTTGGTATCGGGATCCAGCGAGGTCCTCCCAATGCGTGATGTTATGTATGATGTAATGAAATGTCATACGTGTGGACAGAATGCAAGTTGCTACAGTATAGATACGAAATGACAACATAGAAATGCTCGGAAGGAAAATGTAAAGCTGTTGATGTAAAGTTTTGTTCCCCATGTGGACCGTCACCCGGACCGAGTGAGTTAAACCTCGTCGAAACCGAGCTGACCCCGAGAGGCGTTCCGCTCCAAGGTCTCGGCTTGCCTCGTCTTGCCCTCAAGAGCCCGCTTCCACCTCGACTCTTCCCTCGTCCACATCCCCCTCATTTCGCTCTCCATCACCCCCGAGGCTGGTGCCGGTAAGGTCTTTCCCGCCGCATCAGTCGGCGGCGGTGTCAAACCTAGTGATCGGACCAGGTCTTCATCCTTGACCATCAATTCGACCGTCCGGTCTTTACCCGAGCCTGACCTTTTGCCTCGTCTCGAAGGAGTCTTGGTCGGGGTCAAAGGGCACGAAGACGAGCCGAGGGAGACGAGCCCGATGACTTCGGCTTGCATGAGGAGGTCCATGAAATCGGTCTGGCCGACGGGAGGAAGCGAACTCGAGGCGTGATTCAGCAAGTAGGTGTAGGTGGGCAAGAGGAGCTCGAGCGTGACTCGGTCAGGGTTGGTGATGACGTTGCCGTTGCTGCTGGATGACGAAGCGGTGGAGTTGTTATTGGTGGTGAACGACGATGACTGCGCCGAGACGTATGCAGGACGCAAGCCGAGTCGGACTCGTTGACGGGCGATAAGCAGGGCTAGCAGGATACTCTTGACCTGGACGTTGAGCGAGCGAACCTTGGTGTCCAACGCACCACCAGCCGAGCCATTACCGGACGGAGACGAGCTAGCGACATTGGCTTTCAGCTTGGCGATCGAGCTCGTCAACGCCTTGAGCACGTGATGCAGCGCGACCTTCGTTGGGGGAACGATGGACTCGAGATATTGCCCGGTCGTGGATGTGCCTTTCGGTGTAGCGATATCGGCTGCTCCGGCGGCAGACTTGCGCTTCCAGTCGGCCTCGGCCGTCCCGACGGCTTCCACCATGACATTGAGGCACATTCTCAAATCACCGTTGCTGACTTCGACCTTGCGCCCCACGAGCTCGATTGCCTTTTCGTCCAGTTCGACAACGTCACGTCCGTCACGCATGGCATCCGTCTTGACCGCAGCAACGCGCGACTTGACGATGGCGATCATCTCCTTGGATCCGTAGGCGGTAAAAGACAGATTGTCGGGAGAGAGCTCGGCCAGGGCCGAAGAGATCGATCGACGAGCTGTTAGATCGAGAGAGTTGGAAATGGCGACGACTCGCACCGTGGTTTGGGTATAGGTAGAGGGGAGTGTAAACAGGTTTCGAAGGGTGTTGTTGGCATTGGCCGACGAGGTAGAGGTTAGAAGCGCGTCAACTTCGTCCAGGATAAGAAGACTATGAAGCAGCGTCATGACACCGTCAGCAAGGCAACGCACGACATGTTTCGAACCGCTATGCTCACCGTCTGTCGGAAGCAGAGGCCGCTCGCAGACCAGTCTCTACGGCCCGTTCACCCTTGCCTTCCAGTCCCCACGCCATGGCGATCCTGTTCCAGACGTCCTCCTTGCGTCCTCCAGTCATTCCCATGCAGTTGACAAAGGCGGTATCCCAACCTTGTTCACGTAGCTCGTTCGAAATGCAAGTGACCAGAGCGGTCTTGCCAGTACCCGGGGCGCCCGAGATATATAGCGCTCGAGGTTTGCTCAAGGTACCGTCGATTCTACCAGTCTCGAGGTATTTTCCCACGGCGGCCTTTTCATCTTCACGCCCAACAATAACGCTACCAGCATCGACACCGGCAGATGAACACCTAAGAGCCATCTTCAGCGACTTGTACGGGTTTAGGCTAGGTCCGCTGATAGCAACACCTTCATCCTCCATCGAGTCTTCCTCCTCTTCCTCCTGCTGGCGGTTGGCGACCTGCTGCAGCTTCTGATCGAGCGTCAACTTGGAAACGATCCGAGAGATTTTGGGTGTGATGATCTGCTCGCTCTCTTGCGATGCTGAAGGTGAAATGTCATCGCTGATTGACATTCCCGGTGTCCTTGTAGGCGTGCAAGACCCCTCACGATTGGCTTGCAGTCGACGAGTTCGACGAGGCGTCACGTTCGGATCGACAGTAGCGTCCGGGTCGACCTGACGTGTAGGTGTGGCAGGCCGGCTGGGCGAGAATAACCTGCCCGCCTGGGGTGAAGAGGTGGGTATATCGTCGACCGCAGTCGAGCGAGGCTTCCTGCTACTCCTTCGGGGAGACGCGGGCGTCTTTCTTGTCGAGGGTGACGAGGGGAACAAGAGGCGGTTCGCTTGCTTGGCCCCACTGATTGAGCTTTCGCCCGAGTCGACATCAATGTCGACATCCATGTCAGGGGTAACCCGACGCTTTTCTCCCGAAAGTGATCCGAAAGCCGATGCGAACGGGTCCGAAATGCTCGATGTGGACGAAGAAGTCTGTGCCGGTGCGAAAAAGTTGAAGGATGACGAGGTCATCGAGGACGATGAGGCTGGAGGTACTGTACACGGCACGGCATGTCAGCCGATGTCGAAATTGTGATCGCACCATGACTACCAAACTTACCCGACATGTTCTCACTCCTGACACTGATCATGCTGCTCACGCTCATTTCTCGATCCTTGCGCTTCAAACTCATGCTCGACCTGGAACTGTCGCTCCGGCGCAACGTCCTGCGCTCGCTAGCCTGGGACCCCCGTTGTCCAGATTGGCTAACAGCTGACTCGCCCGAAGCAGGAAATCCGTAGGCGTAACTGACACTTCGAGAGAGCCGTCCCGGGGTCGTGTTGTTGCCATTGGCAACGCTGCTACTGCCGTTGTTACCTCCCGAGCCCGACGCAGCGGCGACCTGCATCATGACCCCGTTCAGACTCGAATGGCTAGAACTCTGAGACAAAGTCCTTGGCCTCGACCCTAATCTAGGCGCTCCCAAGCTGGTCGATCCAGAGCCAGACGAGGTCGAGGCGGCCGAAGGCGTGTCCGCACCTGTTCGGCTCCGCCCCGTTGACGATCGCTGCAAGGGCATGGGCATGATGGTTGTTCCTGACCTCGTCCTCATGCCACTCGACGTGGCGAACCTAGATCGAGCCGAGCTGGGGTTGCCAGTCGGTCCGGGCAGATTCAATCCACCCTCTGCAACCGCTTGCAGGTTGGTACTGCTGATCAGACCCGACCTGGACCTGCCAGTAGAGGTCAGGGTCGAAGATGTAGTCGAAGTCAAGGCAGAGTTGGCCGTAGCTCCACCCTCGGTCCTTCGACGCTTCCGGCGTTTGGCGTCCTCGTCCTCTTCAGGTACGGTCTCGATGACTGACAAGACGACCCCTTCATCCTCGTCCTCCTGATCGGTCATCTCGAAAACATCCCCATCGCCTTCCTCATCGATATCCATCCCTGAATCCCCGTCCGTAGTCGTCCCGGCTACTTTACCCGACCTCGTTTTGATCCCACGCCCATCCGATCGGGACCTGGTCGAGATCAATGCACCGGATAGAGAACCCATAGTCCGCGATTTCCTGAGGACTTTTCTCCCTGTTGAGGAAGGCGCAGATGGCGAGGCAGGAACGGACGGAGCTTGACGGGACTCGGGTTGTTTCCCCGCCCGACTGCTCGACATGCCGACAGGGGAGGAACAAGGACCTACGTCGACGCTCATCCCTGCCGTACTGGCGGTAGCTCGAGGTTCTCGAGGTTCACGTCGGCGGGTCGAGCTCGAACCGATGGCGGGCCGGAGGTTCAGCTCATCTTCATCTTCGTCTACTGGATTGTCGTTCTCGTCCTGGTTGAGTTGGCGCCGTTGCTGATGACGAAGCTGATGATGCTCGTGATCACCCTCATCATCACTCCCATCGATCCCGACAAGCACATGTCCATTCAGAACGAGCGGAGGAACATTCTCCTTCCCCGGTCCACCGAGCTTGATCGGTCGGCCCTTTTTTTCCGATTTCCCACAACCTCCCAGCAACTGGGCTGCTGTTGATGACGACGATCCGCTGGAGGTAACGATGTGTTGATCTCGCTGTGAAGAAGGCCCGGCAGTAGCAAGCACAGGGACTTGGACTTGAATGGTATCTTCTTCCACTTCGACCCGTCTCAGGCGTAAACGGGTAGATACGCCCGGTCCATCGTTGTGCACGTCCTGTTGATGCTGCTGATGTACGACGGTGACATCTTCTCCCTCTCCAGCCTCTGTATGCTGCTGCTGCTGTCCCTCGTGGCCGTCGGGATACTGACAACCTGAATCAGATCCTCCACCACACCCTTCCGTCTCGCAAACTGGACCAGCCGACCGGGTAGTAGGTGCCATTTTTGCAGTTGATCTTTGCTACTCGTACCGACTCTGCTAGTTCAATGCGTCTTTTGATGGTGCAATACAATGTGGTCGTATTTCAGTCGCCTGATCGTTTCGTTTCGTGTTGATGCGGTTGAGCGGTCCTAGTATACGTCGGACGTTTGACCTATTCCAAATCCGCCAAAAATTGACTAGAACAAGCAAAAGAGGGCAAGAGTGAAATTTATGGTATCAGCTTTCAATTTCCCGAATTTGAAGAACGTCTTCTGGCCAGCGCAAGCTCGACCCGTCATCCCATTATCGGAAGAATACAGCTTCCCTTCCGCGCTGGTAGCTCGAGTACAGCCGGACCGTGATGGTAAACCGAACTCACGATACGAGGATCTCAAGAAGAGGCGCTCAATGAAACTGGATGTTTGAGCTGATGTGATAGGTAGAGTTGAATCGATCGGTTTTCGGTGAGGTTGTGGGCCAATACGGCACGTTATGCGGGGGTCGTACGTAAGACGAATTTAGGTGTTTTGAGCCGACCGGTGTGTAGTGATATCGACGGCAAGGATATAGTGGGGAAATAAGCTAATATGGTGACTGTAAGATGAACGAGTTGGATGTCGATGTTTGATGGAGTAACAAGCACTCAATGCGAGTATGCGAGAGAGAGGTGGTGAGATGAGCTCAGCTGCGGTGTGGGATGCAGCGAGCGTGTTTGTCGTGTGAATAGGACGAGATGAGGGAGAGGAGCAAAGAGGTATGTGTGTTTGGTCCACGATGTCCAGTGAACGATGCAATCCTCTGTCCTAGATGCTGTTGTTGTATGTGAGGAGAGGAGAGAGTAGGAGAGATCGAATTGTATTCGAGGTTGGATGGACGAGCTAAATGAGCGATTCCCAGTTGCTTAGCATGACCCGCCCTCTCTCCCCTGCCTTGAGCTGCCTCGCGGCGCGCGTCCTCAAACGCGTCCGCTTTCATTAAGCTACTCCTCCAGAGGTGAGACTCGACGTAAACCCACTTTGCGATGATCAAACCCGCGGTCCGTCGATCGATCGAGGGATGATGAGCCGACGAGCCAGGTGGTACATGTTTCACGTCGCCGGTGGCCAGTGGTGGTATGATTCGACTGATCGGGCAACAACGCAGGTGGAATAGACAGTATGAGACCGAGACAGGAGGAGAAGAACAGGCGACGAGCGTTTCACTGGACAAAACTTCTGCCGCGGGATGACACCATCTGAAGATGAAACGTCAGCTCGACTTCTCTTCTTTGTACGCCCGATCGGGGAGACCGACTGCGTTCCTCTTCCCAACTTCTTTCCGCGTCTCAATGGATAGACGTGAGGCAAGAAGGAAGGATGTTGCTTGTGAGTGTGCCTAACGTGGTCTTCTGATCACCCTACTCTTCAATTCTGATCTTCAAAGATCGCCAATCCCAAACGAATCCATCCCACGAATCAACGCGTTGCAGCCTCGTGGCAGGTGGTGAGGCGCTATGGAGCTCGACCGATCATTTGGATCATCTCCGTCTCACCTCGTCTCATCTACCTTCGCTTTCTTCTGCATTCAAACCTGCTCGAAATCGAAGAAGGAAGGACCCTTGGCCAATTGACGTTACAAAACGCGGCCTTGCATTTACGAAGCTGACCTCGGGCATCGGTCAATCGCCGGAGGTAGAATTTTGATTCCGAGAGTCGATTATGCGATGACGTAAGCGAATTTCGGGTCGGGGTTGACCTGACTCGGAGAGTCTACAGGGTCACGAACACCTCCTTGGATTGTCAATGACCTTGGGTCACGCTATACATCAAGAATATCATACCCGATAGAGTCATAAACAGCTTGTCTAAACCAAGCATGAAGCGTCCTCTCCCGCTGATAGCCATCCCGGGTAATACCCAGGTCTTTCCCCTGGGCACACCGACACCTCCCAGGTCGAACGTCTCCCCACTCCTCCGGTTCTCCGCCAAGGGGCTTCAACTGAGTTCAGAGGGAGATGATGGTTTGGCCATCGTTGGACATGGAGAGGGAAGAAGGAGGTTGGTTCAGGTGAGCTTTGTCATGAGTTGACGTCGACTCGGTACGAGAAGACGAGCTGATCCGGCTCGAACTTCGAACCTCTGCCCATTCACAGACTTTGCTGTCCAAGCATAAGTTCCACCCAACTCCACCCTCACCAGGCCCGTTTCCCTACACTTCCTCCATTCCCAACTCGCCCTATCCCCTCATCAGGCACTTGACATTTTCGCGACCATCTCCAGGCGGGGAATTTACGGACTATACGGCGAGGTACGGGGCGTTGCAGGACGAAGACAGGGGGACTCTGTTGGATCACTATCTCTCGCTCTACCCAGAGGCCGAGAACGACAACAACATTCACATTGGGCTATCTCCATCGGCGGATCACACTAGTAAAGAGAAACTACTCGAGATCGAACGTATAGCAACCCAAATCCGGGTCTCCTATCTCCTCCAAACCCCGCTGATCGGCCTCAGTAGCGGACAGACGAGAAGAGCGAGACTAGGAGCGGTCCTTCTTAGTCGAGCTAGGATGGTTATCCTGGAAGATCCCTTTGCTGGGTTGGATGTGGGGAGTCGGGAGGACATCGCCGAGCTTCTAGGCAAGGTGAACAGCGGTCAAGGCAACCAGGGTGCGAACGACGTCGACGTAGTCGAAGAGCAGAGGCGGATGAGAACGATCCTAGTTCTTCGAGGCGCAGGATTGGTAGGTATGCCAAAGTGGATTAATAAGGTCGCTCAGGTCACTGAGGATGAGGTCTGGACGGGATCCAAGGAGGAGTACGTTGAGCGGGCCAGGGAGAAGGAGGCGGGGAAGGTGTATCGCTCGGCCGAGGTAGCAACCAAAGAGAGGAATAGGAGAGAAGAAGGAGGTGTGGTCGATAAGAAGGAGGAGAGCGCTCAGAGAGAACCGGTCGTGAGGATGAAGGACGTCAATGTGGCTTATGGGAGCAAGAAGGTAAGTCGTGTCTGTCAGATCTAAGCATATGCAAGGATTGGTCGCTCACTTCAACTTCATCATGCCTAGGTCCTTGACGACGTCTCCTGGTCGATCTACCCTGGCGACAAGATCCACCTCCAGGGCTCCAATGGATCAGGCAAGACCACCATCCTCTCTCTCCTCCTCGGCCATCATCCCCGGTCATACGCCATGCCAGCGAACAACCTACTCATCTTTTCCAAACCTCGACGAGAAATCCCGATGCCGTACCTCCGAGCATGGATTGGACATACCTCACCAGAAATCTTTGCCGCGTTCCCCAGAAACATGCGGTTGACAGCTGGGGAAGCTATTGGATCGGGGTACGAAGGCGTATTTTCCCGACGAGAGTTCACGCCCGAACAGGTCAAACGGATAAAATCCCTACTACAACCTTTCGTTGGACAACTCGCCGCGCCCGCTCGGTCAGGATCGGGCAGACAAGCCTCTCACAACCGGACCGACGTCGACTCGATCTACGACTGCGAATTCTCACACTTCCCGGCTAGTCAACAGGCCGTGCTCCTCTTCCTCCGTTCGATCGTGTCTAGACCGAGATTGCTCGTCCTGGACGAGTTCAGCCAGACGATCGACGAGCACGCTTGGGAGGTGTGTAAAGGGGTGTTGGAGCGGGAGTGGGAGGAGATGAGACGGGACGAGGGGGTGGAGCAGGCTGTGGTCGTGGTCAGTCATTACGACTCCGAGGTGCCTTGGGACGCGGGTGAGGGCAAGGTCTTTCGGCTGAAGGATGGGAGGGTGGATCATTCAGAGTGACAACGTGACGGAAGCGGCGAGTCGACAAGGGGAATGAATCGCATCTAATAAGGGTTGTAATCGTTTGTGCGTAAGGCTACATGCATATTTTCTATAGATGACGAGTCAGAGGCTGGATGATGTCGAGTTCAGGAAGAGGGAGGTGGAGGATTCAAGGTCCTCGTGTCGATGCTTTGTTGCGTGTATTTAAGGTGGTTCGAGCTGAACGTCCGGCTCGGCCGAGGCGTTTTGTGTCGTTAAATCGTCGGTGGCGATCATGATGCCGCTGTCGTTTCGGTCCAAGACCTTGGCCTACAGCCCGCCCAGCCCGCTCGTCAACACGTCCGCCTCCCAACCCCCCGCCAAAATGTCCTTTCCTCGCTCCTTCGCCTCCCCGACATCCATCACTGCCGTCCCCCGGTATCCCAATCGGTACATTCCCTTGTACACGGCGATGTTGAACAACCTCCCTGGCACCCCGGCGGCGAGCTCGGAGGTGAAGCCGATCATGGCCAGCTGAGCGACGAGACCCGGGGAGGAGATGTACGACTTGTTGGCTAGTTCGCCGAACGCTTTGGAACCCTCGATGGCGGGTGGAAGGGGTTCTTCCGAGTGAGAGAGCATCTCGAAGAGGGTGGCGAGGAAGAGGAGGATCTTGATATTGTCCGTATGTAGTGCGTGGGGGCAGGCGGTGTGGAGGATATGTCCTAGCATGCATAGCGCAGCGTTGAGAACGAGGACGGTGATGCCGACCCGGACATCTTTATATGAAACGGCCTGGGCGATCAAAAGGATCGCGAGCGCAAGCTGGGCGGGACCCGACGAGGTCCGGCTAACGAGAAAGAGCCAGCTGAATTGTTGTATCGGGATGACGAGTCCGTGTACGACCTTGGCAGTCATCGACCCGTGAAAGGTCTCGTAGAGGACGAGTTGGAGGTCGAACCCCCTCCGACCGAGGTTATGAATAGGTTGATATGCGTATGGGAAAGATCCGAGGCTGAGAAGCCATTGGTGATCGATGACCGAGAGGAGGTAGAAGGGGGCGAGGAGACCAATTTGAATGTCGATCATGAGGACGAAGAGGTCCTTGAGTGTGAAGTGGCCGGATAATGTGCGCAAGATGCACAAAGGGCTCTGTACAATTGCGGCGATGATGCCAAGAGCAAGGAGGGCGATGCGCATGACGACGAGGTTAAGGTGGGCCATCGTAGATGTGCTTCAAGTGTTTGTGGTTTGGTACAGGTTTTGGTTGGCAGGGTTGGAGTTGGAAGAGGTGGGTGACGCTCGAGGAGGTATGGGTTATGAGTATATACTCTTGGGGTATTTATCTAGACCGGCTAGGTATCAGCGATCTGGGCCAGCTCGATCTGGGCTGAATCGTTGTTTCTCGATCTCGATGATGATTAGGATGGCGGCACAGCATATGCACAGCCTCATCGATGGTATGGCGATACATCAACACAGGTCGGGGAGTTTCCTGACATTGTTTTGATTTTGTATATTCTACGATCTTGCTCGAAACCTTCTTTTCTCCTTCACACGGTAAGCGCAACAGATCCCGATCGAAACATCGGGGTTTCAAATGTCTCATTCAGATAAATTCTCCGTGCTGCCGTCCCTGTCATCGGCCTCCTTTGATCAAATATCAAACGCCGGGCCGGCTCGGCAAGGAGAAAGCGAGATCGAAAGGACCCCCCTCTTCCCCTCGAAACCTTGTCCGATGATCTCGGTTACACGCGCTGTGTTGTTTCGGGTTGACATCCGACGTGGATCAAACACGCGCGTAAGCATGAAACTCGCGACGTCCGATCGATCGCCTGCTTCGCTCGTGTACTTCATAAGGAGAATTTCTCGATAAGGTTTCCTCAAGTTCTTTCCATGTCTCATACCTCGGGCTAATGCTGACGTATCGAGCACAGCATCGAGTCCTAGCAATTATCAAGCTGTCATTCGGGGGGTTGCTCGTCCGTCAGCTGTCTCATCGCAAAGGACATCGTCGATGCGAATTTACGTCGTTGAAACCAGAAACAATCCCCTGAAGTTCGAGGGCTAGAGGTGGAGGTTTAGATGAAACGCCGCCGATCTTGTCATGATTCGAGGCTTTCTTCATATGCTGCCTGAAACGAATTTGGAAGATCCCCAAGCGTAACACTCTGACGTGCTTCTCTGTGGCAGGGTCGTGTTGTCAGCCATTCGGTGGTGTCATCATGTGGATCTTACATCTGATATGCTGAGCGAACAGTGTTTAAGAGGCTGTAGATGTGCGCTGTAATTCTCGCTGAAGTCGTAAAGATGTCAGCAACTACCGCGAGGCAGATCATTGGAACTTTATGTGAGGCCATCCGCTCAGACATCAGCCGAATGTGTCATGTGTAGACTTCTTTAGCGTGCCTCGAGAATGATTTTATCGCGCATGTAAGGCTTCCGTATGCTCGAGTATACAAAGGAGGCCCATATCGAGCTGCTGGCACGGAACGAAGGGAATAATATATCTACTTCTTTGAATCGCACTTCGCTGGCATCTCGGCGCATGTGGTCTCACTCGCAGTAATTTGGTCGCACGGGCAATCGAGCGGGACAGGTGAAACCCGTTCGATAAGGAACATGCTGTTTTCCGAAGGCTTATCTCGACCCCCTCGAGATGTTCGTACAAAATTGTGCCAGGGCTGGACGACAAAGGGAGTGCGAAGAAGCTGTTTGACGACCGAATCACTCAAAGGGACTTGTATATAGCTACTGTACCGTTACAAGGTCCTGATATGTTCTGATATGGGTCTCGGGTCATCTCTCATCGATCATCGAAGTAAACCCCGAGACTATGCCCTACCATACACCGTTCCCCTCTTTCCCGCTTCACGTCCAAAACCAAAGCGTCCCTGTCAACCAGCAGTCGCTGCCTACCGATAACGACCCTGCCAGGCAAAACAACCCAACAATGGCAATGCCTCTTGTCGGAGGAATGATGAGTCCCAGGTCGATGCACCAGGGAGCGGGTGGAGGATCTCAGATGGGGGCGTTTCCTGATACCCTGGCTGCCGTCACTATGCAACAGCGAGGAGGATCAATGATGGGGATGTCACCTCCAACCATCTATCCCTCGATGATGGGCAGTGTCCCGCCAATGTCACACCAACACATGCACAATGGAGGTGCACGACCGATGATGGGCAGTCCACCGCCCATGTCGCATCACCAAGGACATCAAGGAGGCGGCCGATCGATGATGGGCATGTCTCCGCAGACCATATACCCCTCGATGATGGGAAGTCCTGCACCATTATCTCACCATCAGACCGCTCAGCAGTTTTCACCCCCTCCTTTCCCCGCCTCTCGATCGCCCATGCAACAACACTCGATGATCGTCCTCCCCAACCGCACCATCCACCAGACGTACGGTACTGTCTTGCCTCAGAACCAGACGAACCAGGTGTACAACGATCTTCCCATGGATGCCCGGACCATGCAGGCGGAGATGATGTACGACCCCACGATGCCGCATCAGGAAGCCCCGGGGCAGTTGAAGACCATGAACGAGTTGGCGAACCAAAATGCTGGTAATCATTCTTATGCGTACGGGATGCAGCAGTACGGACCGGTAAGTCAAGCCTTGTCCCTCTCGTGTGGTACAACGAATCGGACAACGCTGAAGTTGATACCGGATTTGCAGTTTCCTTATCGGCCTGAGGGCTGCGAACAATTGAACAAACTCAACACATACGTGAGCCTCATCAGCTCTCATCTGCTGGCGATATATTTACTTAACGAGACTCTTTCCCGCATCGACAGGGCCGTGGCTTTCCCTATGGCTTTTACAAATCCCTGTTATAAGGCCTCCTCCACATGTATAGATCTTTTCTTACCAATATACCCGTCATCTCCGAGACTCTCACAGCGTCCTTGCGTAGTAAACAAGCTTCAAGTTAAAGGTATCGGGGGGAAACCATCAGCCGGTAGAGAGGCATACCGGTCTTGTCTTGATGCGGTATTCCTGTTCACGGTCAAGCTCGACTCCTTGGGCCTCTCTCTTCCTTGAGAGGATACACCAGACTATCTCTGGCCTGTTTTCAAATGGCAAAGAAGGTCCGGTTATTCATATCATCACACATTCATGGGGTATCTCTTCAGTACAAAGAGTCGTGTAGGGTCGTTGCGCGATCGTAAAGGCTTCGTGTGTGTTGTCCATCTCCGTAGATTTGGCTCGAAGATGTCGTGGTTAAGTGCCTGAAGTAGAGAGCATTTCACGGTGAGCTGAGTTAGCCTGATCCTTTGGCACGAGAGCAGATTGATCTAGACTTTTTGACACTGCGACTCACTTTCCATGATATCACATGCCCAGCCTGCTCTCCCTGGTCATCCCGGCCCGAGCCTCCCGGTTGGCTTGAACCATGTTGATTGCTTGACCAGCTGTTCCAGTCTGACCCTGATGTTGTGTATGGGGAGGGTTCGGCTGGCTACCACCTGTTCCGGCTGGTCGATCGGTCGCCGAGGAAGGCCCCGACTTTTTCTCTTGGAGTCTAGCGACAAAGTCGGCGATGTCCTCCTGACGGAGGGGGATTTCAGTCGGAGATCGTCGAATCATCGCTGGTAGTAAGGCTCTTTATGTAGTATTTGTACGTGGGTTTGACTGTAGCTTCGTAGCACTTGCTTGCAGGAGTACAGGGTACAGGAGTGTTTCGTAGTGTCAACACAGCTCAACATCGAATGTCAACAAACGGCGATATGCGAAAATAGCGGAGATCGTGAAATGCAGCATGTCCGCCCATCGTACAACTATTCGACTGATGGTGAAATATAGCTCGCCATCCCAATCTTGGCGATATCCATCAACACCGATTCGCTACCCCACTGACCCGTCAGACTTGCACCTACTGGCCAGCCATCCGCACCTAATCCTATAGGCAACGAAATACAAGGCAAACCTCCGAGAGATGCCGGGACCGTCAACAAGTCTTGAGCGTATCCTCGCGCGTCCTGGCTGGTCGAGCTCGTCGAGTCGAGGATCGGAGCCGTCTGAATGGCGGTCAGATGCATATAGACGTCTACCCCTCGTGAAGGGGCGTCCGTAACGTCGTCCAGATCTTGAGGTTGACTGGACCGGAAGATCGCGTCCAAGTCCGATCTTAGACGTTGTCTCAGTTGTAGCGCTTTCAGATACGAGTTGTTAAATGCCCTGTATGGCAAATCTCGGATACATTAGTCCGAGTCAGAAAGACGACTGAGAGATGACTTCCTCCACTCACCCTGCTGTCAAAGCATATGTACCGGCCAATATCCGCTTCTTGACCTCTGGTCCGAATCCCCATCTTCTTGTCCACTGTCTTCGATCCACTGACCCTTCCGGCTCTTCCAGATCGCTCTTCTGACCACCATACCAACCGCCGCCAAATCGAGCGAGATTGCTACTTGCCTCCGCACACGCTAAGACGTAGTAAGCGGGCAGGGCCAGGCGTATGCTAGGAATGCTGATCGGTACTATTGTTGCTCCCAATGAACGGAGATGTCGGATGAACGGGGCGAGGTCGAGAGGCGTCAAGTCCTTCTCTAGACATGTTTCCTATACAAATCAAAGCCGAAATCAATCGGTCAGTCCGAGCCAGGTAATTCGCAGTCGCAATCGGATGACTTACTATCGGGATGCCTATCCGAACACCATCGAGCCGTCCATCTCGTAGGCCCTTCATAGATTGCCTCGCTTCATATTCGACACCTTCAGCCCGATGCCGTACTTCCGCGGCCGCACAACTGGGATCCATAGGATCTGGATGTGACATGACGTCTACAAACGGTAAAGAGGATGGATCAGATTCCCTGTCCGAGAGGTCGACCTAGAGATTTACGGTCGCAGACTGACCGAAGAGCAGTCTAGCATCATCGACTTCCGATGCCAAGATACCTACACAGTCTAGCGTATCGGCATACGAGACTACGCCATGTCTATGATCGTCTCGATAAGATGCGATTCACTTAGCTTAAACTTGGCTTGTGTGTGAAAACAGGCGAATGCTTACCGGCTGATCATGCCGTGACTAGGTTTCAGCCCAACCAGTCCGCAGTACGATGCAGGTAGACGTACAGAACCCCCAGTATCCGTCCCGAGAGCGCTATAAAGACGGTAACCATATCAATATTATCCGATTTCGAGGTATACGAGAGCGACTCACGCCCAAGCTTGACCACTCTTGACAGCTGCTGCACTGCCTCCCGAACTACCCCCTGCTGACCGAGCCTGTACTTCATCTCTCCCTTCAACGGCTGAACCGGGTATCCAGGGATTATGAACGGGCGGCGAACCGGGTGGAAGGTTATTCGTCATACTTCCCATCCCGAATTCGTCCATCTGCGTTTTGCCAGTGATAGATGCTGCTGAGGATAACAAGCTCTTTACAGAGGTCGCCGTGTATGGAGATTCGAATTCTAAAGATACGATAACAGAGAACATTTAGCTATTGTGGATCGACATATCGGGTCCAGCGACAAAGCTTGCCTTGCAACATCCGGGATGAACATGTCGTGCGGGTACCTCGAAGCATGAAGTTGTCCTTGATCGCGATCCGTTTTCCCTTCAGCCTTTCTGACCGAAATAGATACGAGAAACCGATTTTCAGCTAGGCATCAAGCAACAAAAGCTATGGCAGAGTTGACGGACGATCGGTGACCTCAGTAGCCCGAGCTTCGATTCCTTCTCCCGGATGCACCCAGGTGAAGGGGCTTGGTTTTATAGAGCTCGCTCTTGCGACATTGAGTATGGGGCGGGTCGACTTCATGGCGCAAGAGAGACGCCAAAAAGTACCAAGGCCGAGTACTACTGGATCAGAATCGGTTGGGCGGAGTTGGAATTCCAGAGGATTGTGATTCTTGAATTTCACCGCTACATCCCAAAGTTGGGCTGACGGTCGATCCCTATGAGATCCTGCGCTTACGTAAACCTCAAAGGCAGCGATCTGACGCCATTAGCTGCAGAATGCATGGTCATAAATTCAGCTCTTGTCCATTCTTCACTTCCCTTCGATCGACAAGGCTGATTAGCTGATTACCTACTTGACAGACATCATCGAGCATGCCTGATCTTCGAGCTCTTGCGCGAAGCTGTCCGCCGGCCTCCATTGCTGACGATCTCCTGGCGATCATCAACGCTCAACTTCGATCATTCCTCACCGCACCCGATCCAAAGGAGACCTCCGATGACGTCTTACAATACGTCGCAATCGGGCTCAACATCCATGCCAGCAGGTCCTTGCGAAACTTGGGAACGCTTCCTCCAGTCAGGGTCGATCTTTTGCCTCTAGAAGCCCTGGTAAAGCTGGTCGACCTAGCCCCTGATGCTCTCGATGATGTCCTCCCGACATTCATCCTAGATGCCATCTTGGCCTATCCTACCCATGTCTCTACGGTCAGGCAACTGGTGACCAGTGCTCTCAAGGATAATGCAGCATTCGGTACGGCACTCAAGCAAGAGGTCATCGAGGCGACCGTGCGATTGCTAGAGCGAGAAAACTCCAGGGTGCTCAAGTGCGAAAAGGGGCAAGATCCCGGCGAATCCCATATCCCCAGACTCGCCTATTCTCTCTTCATCTACGCTCGAGCACATCCGAATATGGCAGCGGCCATCGTCGAGGCGAGGAACTTTTTCGGCATTCTCAAAGTTAGCTACGAGGTCGTATCCGGTCTACCTTTGACATCGCTCGATGCGACCCGGAAGATACAGACCAAAAGCCATCTCTTGCTCCTCTTGCATACTCTATTGGAGCCCTTGCCTCCTTCGGACAGGGAATGGAAGTTGGAGATGATCGACGAGCATGGGGAAAACGAAGGCTCGGATACACTCGTAAACACGGGGATCTGTCATGACTACAACGTCCTCTTCGCGCAGCAAGACGGCCAAGCAGCCATGGACCTTTCGTCTGGCGAGAGCGGGAAACAGGCTATCGGGGAGAAGCAGATGGATGCGCTGAGGTCACTTAGTTCCGGGATGAAGCTGCATACGCACCGAGAAGACGAGTCGGTCATGATCAAGGTATCCGCCGATATAAGACTGAACTACCGGGCTGATTCATATTGAGGAGTCGTCAATCTAATCACAATCATGTTATTTCACAGCACCGGATTGCGCCCATCCTCGTTCTCTTCCCCGACATGCCTCCCGAGCTCTTACATGAAGCTCTGCGTCATCCTCGGTTCGCTCATTACAAAAGCGAGAACGGCGGCGAAGATGATCCGGTGACCGTGTTGACCAACGCCATGCTAGACAGCACATTACCCTCCGAGCTGAAAGAGCTGGGCCGACGTGTACGAGCTGTCACGCAGGGTGAGGAGAGAGAGGGGGCTAGTCGTAATGCCTCGGCAGAGGGTAGCAGGGAGAGGAGTAGACAGCCTAGTCCGGAAAAGACGGCCAGGAAGACGTTCAAGCGAGACAACATCTTCAACGATATGCCCATGGACTTTTCTAAACTCAGCTTTGGAAAAGGAAAGAATGACGAGTCAGTCGGAGGTTGATTGCCATCAATGGTCGCTTCGTAATGCTGATTGAGAGTCAATCTGTACAGCGACCTGGACTCGTACACTAATGCAGTACCTGACCACATTCGTCAGTCTATCATCCGTCTGACCGAACAACAACGTTCGGAAGAAGAAGCCGAACGCGAGCTTGAGCATGAAGAGGCGAAAGCGAGACGATCGAGATCCGCCGTGGCAGGACCTTCCAAGGCAAAGGAGCCTAGGATCAGAACTGTCGCTTTCGAAGAGGAACTCGATGAGGATGATCTACTAGATGACGAGACGGACGCGTTGGAGGCGCGTGTACGACTGAACCTCAGGGAGGGAGAAGAGGGGAGCAGTGATGGGGAGAGTTATGTCAATTCCGAAGAAGATGTGAGTGTCTCTCTTCGTCTAGACGAGACTCGCAAGCTGATTACCTGACACCTTCAGGACGATGTCGGCGCGGGGGGGACGGAGGATGTGTATCTGGAGCAGCTGTACCTACAGAATCCGAGCGCGTTCGAGCGGAATGCTGCGACGAGGAGGAGCAAAATGCGCGAACAGATGCGTCAGCAGACGGGTGAGTCTAAGCTGGTCACGTTGCCCGATCAAATCAACTGATCGCAATGGCCTTTAGGTTGGAGCGATGAACAGCTGGAGGGTTGGAAGATTATGCTTGAGAGAAATGTAAGCCGGCCGAGAACGCGGGTGAAATGACCACCGAAGGATAACTGAATTGATGAGCTGTGCAACTCGTTCGCAGCCTTTGAAAGACAAGATCTTGAGTCGTCATGGCGACCCAAGGGGTAACCGAGCGCCTGCCGATCGCAGCGGTAACCAACCGAATCGAGGAGGCGGCGGTGGAGGTGGTGCAAGGGGAGGTGGTCACGGTGATAGAGGTCGAGGCGGGAGCGGAGGAGGTCGCGGTGGAGGTGGCGGTCGTGGCAGGGGCGGTGCCAACAAGAGCAGCAGGGGTCATCAGAATGCTGCCAGGACTAGAGGGCATGACCGCAAGATGGCCAAGATGGGTGCTGCCTAGCTTGCTCCGGTATACTTGTCATGAGAGAGAGAGACCGTTATAATGCATATTCGCATAGAATCATCATCATGCGTTGTCAAGTCGCGACTTGGTTGAACATCCATCTACCCCTACGCCCTTGAAGCCAGAAAGTGTCAAAGGCTGCTGCCACCTGCTAGCTACTCGGAATCGTCTTGACATAGCACTCTTCATTCCGAACAACAAAAACGACACGGTATGGCGTTCTTTCTCAGGGAATGCACCGTCGGTATCGTCCATGTCGACGACAATATCATCCTGGGTGCCCGGGGCATCGCTGAATGGCTCGATCAACCTTCACTAGTATGCACGGGAATGCCAAGAGATGGTATAGATTCGAGCTCATGTATACTACCTGTCCTCGATACAGAGAGTCGTACCTCGCTACGGACTGAAAAGATCGACGACACTGCTTCAAAGTTCGGAGACCAACGGCGGGGAAGGCTCTTCCACGAACGCAGGGATCGAGAGGGCTCTCCAACATTACCTCGTCGGCTCTGCACTTGAAGAAGCGTTGGAAGCAGATGCAAATGATGTCGAGATCTTCTGGCCATTCAGATCGAAGAATGAGGTGGTTGCGTCCGAAGGAGGGCTGGAAGAGCTGAAGCGGAGAAGGATTGAGCGGGAAGGAGATAAGGTTGATTGGCGGGGTCGGGAAGCTATCCTGTAAGTCCAGGTCATGTTACTCTCAGACTCTCATCTTAGCTGATTCCAGGAGCATAGCCACCACATCTTCTTTCGAGAGTGGGGTCTTCAACCTCAGAACAATACGACCGCTCTCCTTTTGCTCCTTCCGCCCCATCCTTCGGTACTCTCCCCGTCCACCCTCGAAGACTGGTCACGATTAGCGTTCGAATCCTTGAACTGCCCCGCATTCCACCCCATGCCATCATGTGTCGCCGCTGGATTTGGAGTCGGCGTTGCTTCAGGACTCAATGTCCACATCGGGTTGGAGGCCACCGACATCGTCCCATTCGTCGATAGCGTCGTTCGGCCAGAAGCGCACGTCCGAGTGAACTGCGGGACTCGGGACTGTATCACCTACTTTGCCGAGATCCTCTCGAAGGATGAGTCTGTCAGGCGTGCCATCGAGGACCTAGCTGCCGAAAGCTCTTCAGGCGGATCAAGCGAATCACACATCAACAGCTTGTTTACCGAACTTGCGGAAGCGGTTTTGAGGGAAGATGCACCGAGGTTATTGGTACCTCTGGCAAACGGTCAGACAGTGCCGGTCGGTAATGAAAAGGAAGAAGAATCGGAAGAGGGCGTTTTCGATGTTGCGAAAGAGTGAGCGTTTGGGCGGTAGACCACATCCGTGCTGTTGAATGCACGCTGATGATCATGAACACCCTCGCAGATTGACACGTTCCGATGCCTCGAAAGCGATACAACAGCTCAAGGAAGCGAGAAGCAAGAAAGGGGCAAGCGCCCAAGCTCTTGCTGATAAGCAGGCGAACCAGCGAGCGGCGCAAGCTGCGGCTCAGGCAGCAGCAGAGTTGGCTGCGGATATCCAAAAGTTCAACCTGAGAGGTCGGGAGATCGGGATTGGTCCGATCAGGCATCGAGCTTGCGAGCCTCTCTACAGGGCTTTCGATAATCTACCATACGGGAACGGTCGCACGGTACAAGAGGGTATGGCGCTAGCAGTAGCTGCCATTGATATCCGTGAACGACAGAATGTTTGGGATGGAGTGGTGTTCACCGGCGAACTGTCCAAGATCCCTTGTGAGTCCTGCTAGGACCGTTGGTGTTCTCGAAATATAGGCTTATGCCCATATCTTCCTCTTCCTAGCGTTATCATTTGCTATTGTCTCTTGGTTGAACGTTTTCTTGGTATCTGATCCGAATCGCGACAACGATGGCCAGCCTTCGAGCGTTCGAATACTGAAGTTACCGTGAGTCGTGGCGTGATACCTCATGCTCGTATGCATAGTCTCACCATACATCTATCGCTACAGAGAATATTTCACCAACCTTCGGGGTCAGGCGACCAATCTCGCGCCTTTCGTTGGTGCTTCTCTCGCTGCAAAGGCAAGTCCATGTGCTAGTAACAATTCCGTGCAACCTCAGCTGATCCTCTCGATCGTACAGATCATCTTCAGCGATAGCAACAGACATTGCGTCACCAAAGTGGATTATAATAACCACGGGCCCGCTGCGATCCGACTTAGTGGAGGGGGAGATTAGCGCCCTTGTTTTTGGGACTGTCGTCGACTGATGATGAAATTGTAATGCAAAGTGTACAACGTCTACCCATAAACCCTCTGGCCCATAAGCGCTGTCTGAAATCCCTATAGTTCCGTGCTGTTGTGGGGCCCCAAAAGCGCGAGTGCCGTCTCTAAGAACCACGACTCGTGCTTGATAAAGTGCACGACCATGGTACCTCCTCGCTCTTTTGGGTCGTTGCGGAATCTGACCTGTCGTGTTGGCCGGCGTTCGTAAGTTTTTATAGCTAGAGCTGCTTCGTCCGCATCGGTCTTCCATAGGGGGACGCTTTGAGCATGAGGATGTTTGGCGGCGTGCAGTCTTGAGAACAGTGACATCTCGCTTCCTTCCACGAGAGCCTCTACTTGCTGCAAGGCTGTCATGTGGTCGAAAGGCGGGGTGTAAGGTGTACCGAAGTGCGAGACGGTCGAGTAAGTCGCAGCCCAATGTTTCCCTCCCCTCCATTGTAGTTCGAGAGGGGTCATCTGTTCGGTGTCTTCGGCCCGGACCTCGTCGATTGTGTTGGGGAACAGGAATCCGTGGGAGTATCTGTTCAGAAGATGCTGATAAGCGCGAGCTGTGCTGGAATGAGCGTCGTGATACTCACACAGTGCCAGCCTTCGGGTGGTCGTAGATGGCACATCTCTCGCTAATCCAGACGATATCTTCCCGCTGGGGATGCATCTTGATCCACTTGGTAGCCAATTTGTCCTCCTTCCCTTTCACCATTTTGCGCAGCGGCTCATAATCGGCGATGTAACGTACGAGATCCAGCGACATGCCATAACATTCCCCGGCCATGAACGTGTTCTTGACCAGATCTTTATTCGAGACATAAAGCAATGGGCAGGATCGATCAGCCAGGAATTCTGGGATTTTGAGACGTTCAATGCTCACAGCCAAAGAAGGTGAGCTTGCGAGGTGCTACCCTCAACCTCCGCTCCATCTCGCCGAGGACGATCAGAGCATCGTCATCCGCCTTGAAAACGTAGTCTGGACGTTTCTCGCCCGCGTAGAGCGCATGCGCGGTAGGGTCCAGGGCATCCAATCTTCGTGACCGAGTTCCAGACTCGGATCTGAATGTAGTCTCGCTACCATTTGGCGGAACTTGCGCTCTCTCCGAGGGTACGAAGAAGGTGTATTCCGGAACCATTGCGTGATCAGCCGCCCAGCTGAAGTACTTGTGTGTCTTGCCAGAATTCATGTTCTCCTCCATGTCTAAGATGACGATATCACCAAAGGCTGTAAAGCGACACCATATGAAGCTCATCTAATCGGTCGACCGCTGCAGAAGCTTCTCACTCACTGTCGTTCTCCAGCTCCACCTCCTGAGCGTACCTGTCCTTCGGCCTACCCATGATGAACCGAATACTGACGCTCTCCGTCCCTCTCACCCGACTCTTCGGATGACTGCCATACGTCTGCCGGATCAACATCCTCTTTTCCCTCGCTCTATCCATGGTCATCACCCCGATAAAGATCCCCACGGGTTCAAGCTGGTCCACACTATCGTCCTCGGCCGAATGGGGAGGTTTCGTTTCTGACGGACCCCAAGGCCAAGCCGGGTGCGAAGAGTCAATCTCGACGAGAGGTTGTTTGGAAGGGCTAGCGAACCCTCCGGATATCCGGGCTAACATTCCAGAACGGCGCGCAGGGGAACGGGAGAGGGCATGGTAGCTGGGTTGTTGGGATGCGCAGTATTGGCGCCAGGGCAGAGGTGCTTTGTCGGGATTGAGCGCGTACATCAGGAATTTCGTCAACGAATAGGCAAATATGCCTAGAGCTATGAGAAAGATGAGCTGCGAATATCACGAGTCAGCGTTCGACCATTGGTCGCAGTGTCGATGCCATGCATGATGCACTCACGAGCGATCGATAAGGTCGTGTCATGACAGCCACACCTAGCCGTCTCCACATCCGTTTTTGACCCATCCCTCCCGGTTCCGCCTCGACCAGCCGCCCTTTCACATCTCTCGATCGTTTCGTTCGTTTTCTCCGTGCGACGTTGGCATGCTTCGTCTTGACATCCCCGTCGACCTTGGAAGCTCCCGATTCTAACAGACGGTATTCGTCATTCGAGGCAGAGGGTCGGCCGGTCGAGCCGATCCAGTTCCATATTCGGGTGATACTAGGATGACCTGGTGATGTATGATCAGAGGCTTCGCCCGTAGATAGAGGTTCTGAGCGAAATGGCTGCCTGCTTAGACTCTCCGAGTCCGAGGTACGTTGTGACGCAGGGGTATCGCTCGAGTTGGGTTGTAAGGCGGACGATATGGATCCCGTCGTATCGTCGTACAGCACCTTGTGAGCTTTCCCAGATCCAGCTGTTGAACTGTGCATTGCCGTCTGCATACGATCTGGGTTGGTCATCTTTGATGTCATGTTCAATTGCCTAATATCGCTGTCCCGGAAGCCGAGTGTGATATTGGCAGCCTCGGCCTGTTGTTCCGCGACGAGATCCTCTTCCGTCGAACCTGTTCTCAAGCCGGAGCGACCTCTTTTCAGGCCACTCTGACTAGTACGATTCCTAGCTAGTGTGAGAGAAGGCCTGGAAGTATCTGACAGGTCGAGCTGTGATGTGCTCGCCGAGATGTTGGTGACGTCTGAAGTGTATCCCGTGAACGGCTGCTGGTGGCCTGGTGGTCGGTACGCTCGGTCGTCCAGGAATTTGACATGCGGGACCGAGGGTTACGGAGCTACCGGGGCGATTGATGAGCTAAATAGCAGCATGTGCTGAACGTTCTGATCTCTATAGTTGTTCCTACCGAGATGTTAGATATGACATGATATACTTGACGACCGGGCGGCCGGCGCGACAGCCAGAGGGTCTCCCCCTCCCCGTCGCCGACCTGATATACTTTAATCGTATACAACTTCTTACATCGAGCATCTACACAACCTCTTCCAGCTATCGATTCGTGTCTAATTCATAATAGTATAATCTTGGGAAACACAATCCGGAGCTAGCCTTTGCGTTCCGTTCTGCGAAGAGAAGGGAGATGGCTGTCGCTAGTACGACGTTTTGATGTCGACATCCTCGGAAAGAAAGCTGACCTGATTCTCATCTACCTCAGATGAGTCGTCGACGGTCAAGCTCTTGGCTGCCGTAGGAGTGACCGTACTATGGACAGCGGTTTGGTCCGTATCCTTGCTCGGTTTGCACACTGCGTACGGCAATCCGGTCGCTCTTCCTATGGCCTGACCAATCTTGCTAAAATCGAAAAACGTATCCTTTCGCTCACAGACGGAAACGATATCAAAAGAGGCCATACCCTCATCCAAGACTCTTATCCCCGAGCACAGCACCTGAAGAAATTCCCGGCGTAACGATCATCAGACCGTTACTCGGACTGGACCCTAACCTCTTCTACAATCTACAAACGACCCTAGCGCTCGAGTACCCTAGCGACAAGCTCGAAATCATCTTTGCGGTGCAAGACCCTTCGGATCCAGCTCTTGGTGTTGTTGATCTCTTGTTGAACGAAAGAGTCGGAGGAGATCCTTCTGGACCGAAACGTTGGGAGCATGTCGACGTCAAGGTCATCGTCAACCCCGAAGTCGTTGGAACGAACCCAAAGATTAACAACCTCGTCAAGCCTTTCGACGAGGCCAAGTTCGAGATCCTCTGGGTGGTTGATGCCACGGTCTCTATGACGAGCAGTATGCTCGCACGCAGCGTGGAAGCTCTCATCACCCCGCCAAAGTCCACCAACATTGCCTCGGCCCGCGGCAAGCTTTCTGCGGAACGGGATGGTCTGCTTAGTACCGGTGTACCGGTCGAACACACGGCAGAATATAGTGGGGTGGGAATCGTACATCATCTCCCGAACGCTTGGGTTCCTAACACCACGGGGAAAGGAACGTTTGGATCTAGGTTGGAAGCATGCTATCTGAACGGAGTTCATGGTCGTATGTATCTCGCAATCGTGAGTTTTCACGTTACGGCTTGGATGGAGGTATGTGGAAGAGCTGACGCTCGGTCTTGCTGCAGAACGCAACTGGCTTGGAATCCTGCGTCGTCGGCAAATCCAACATGTACCGCAAATCCACCATCGCTGCGCTTTCCGGCCCATCCGGCGCGGACGAGCCCAAAGGCCTGAAAGCCTTCTCTCCATATCTGCCAGAGGACAACCTTATCGCCCACGGTATCATGCATCAGCTCAAACTTTCTCATGCGATGACTCCGGATCTCGCTATGGATTGTCTCGGGCCGATGTCACTCACACAATATATCGCCCGACGGGTCCGCTGGATCAGGGTTAGGAAAAAGATGGTCTTTGGTGCTACCTTGATTGAGCCATTGACCGAGTCGATCGCTTTGGGTATTGTCGCTTCCTGGGCTGCGAACTATCTATTCGGGATCCGACCGCTGTGGTTCTTCGTGATGCATGAATCGGCCTGGACATGGATGGACATCATGGTCGTGGCCGCTCTGCGAGGAGAATACATGAAGGGCCAAGAGTTGGTAGATTGGTTACTGGTCTGGGCCGCGAGGGAAGCGTTGGCTTTACCCGTCTGGCTCAAGGCGATGCTCGGAGGGGATCAAGTGGTTTGGAGGTCGAATACATACAAGATCTTGAAGAACGGTACGTCGGATTCAGAATTACGAACGTAGTCATGTCATCTGACGGTCATCTTCGATGTGACAGGCGAAGCCGTTAAAGTACAACAGTGATGCAAATAGAAACGTATATAAAAGACGTGGTCGTGGATGTAGATGGGAGTCCGACTTAGGTGGACCGGTTGGACTAGCAAGTGCCGACTCGGTCTTGGAGATTTTTTCGGATGTTCCGGTCGAACCGATTCATACAAGACTAGAGTCAACGCATGGTGGTCACAGTATTCAGCCTCATCGCGATAGGATTCCGCAAACATAGCATTCTCGAGTCTCACCTTCTTGTCCCGGCCAACCGCCTTGGCCACTTCGTCCCAGTTGAGGTTATCACGTTTCACGTAGATGGCAGAGAAGAGGTTCCAGGTCTCTTCGGGAGTCCAAGGGTTACTCTTGCCGTTCTTAGAAGGGGATCCTTGTTCAGAAGAGGCCTTCTTTTTGGTCGGGGTGGTAGGGTAAGGCTTCTGATCGACGGCCTCGGCGTCTTCAGTCTTGGCTTTGGGAGCGCGAGGCATCTGCGATCGCAAGAGTCAGTCGAGACCTCGTATTGGTTGTCGTGGCATCGACTCACTTGTTTTTGATCTATATGTCAAGAGCCGGAGAGGTGTTTGAGAGCTGATGTAGCTGATTGAGCTTTTGTGTTGTGCGGTACAGACAGTTGATTATCAGGATGAGGCTAGATGTCGGTCGAGCCTTCCTAAACTTCTCATTCGGACGGTCTATATACTGATTGTTCCAGCGTTGGCTTCTCCATCCTCCAAGCTCTCGACCAACCAATCCTCTGGAATTATGGTTTACCCGTAAATCGTATCAGAAGGCTCGTCACAGCGAAGAAGAAGCTTCCAAGACCCAAAGGAGGGTGAGATCCGTCGTTTCGCCGAGAAAAGGATCGTCCGCCGATGAGACCGGACTTCGACTTGGACGACAAGCCCGAAATATACAGTTAGGGGTATAGGTGGATTCGTAGTTCTCGATCATATGACAACAAGGAATCGTTCTATTTCATAGTTCTACACAAATTTCAGTAGAATATCGCGACCCGCTTTTTATTGCGGATCGACGTATAGACCACCATTACAGGTAAGATCCGCTTAAGTTCGCACGCTACGAGTACTTCGATCGCTTTCTTGCATCTGTCCACGTTGAGATCAGGATTTGAAACTCTGTGCGCAAACCAATCCCCCTCGGTCGAGCACTTTGGTTTCTAGTCGTCATGATCGGTGTGGTGAATGGCGCCGTGATTTCGGTAGAAATTTCGTATGTGGATTGCATCGATTCCATCCCACTCTTCACCGGAATCTTGGTATCCGATCAGCGCATGCAAAGTCTCTTGCGCTTGATCCGTGAGATGAGAACCGATTGGATAAAGGCTGACATTTGAGCCTCCGATGTTGAAACACATCCTGCCGGCGGAATCGTTGGCCTGAGCCGTTTCGACGTGAGTGGCTTCACTCGAGATGTTGATTTGTACGTTGAAAGATCCAGCAAGATCGATCAGAGTGTTCAGATGCGTCACTCCAGCCGTTGGCGCGGATGTGCGTGTACGTCGGATCCGGAACTCGATCGGGCAGAGGTTTTCACGCTTGAGGAGGGAATCGAGAGTTGGCTTCTCTGGAGACAGAAGAGAAACGACATAGATTTCTACGATATCCCGTTCTTCCAGGTGCTGAGGTACCAATATCGCGACCTGGCGTGTCCAGGCCTGCATCAACAGCGTCTCAGAGATGGGCTTATTCTCTGCGTCTTGTATGGTAAACTTTCCGAAATGGGTGAAATTGATCCATCGGCATCGAGACCAAGCTTTGATTTCGGGGCGGTTTGCAATATCGGATCCAAGCAGTTGCTCAAGCCATTCATGAGCGTTCGCAACCCAGAGATGAGCAGGTAGCCGGCCTTCCATGCGCGGACCCGACCGTGACCGATTCAAAACCCGATCCATGGCAAAAGACATGACGATAGTGTAGAATTCCTCGTTGTTGTTCCTGAGTCGCATGTCCCCGAGATACAAGGATTTGAGCAACACCGTCAGTATCGCCGACCACGTACTGTCCGGTTGATTTCGGAATTGATGAGCAACAGCGAGACTATCTGATCGTAGATTAGTGACCTGGATCATGATTCCGAATCTCGTCACGACACTAACCTCAAGATAGGTTCAGACGGATTGAAGGCCCGGATCAGAGCTCTAGAGCTTCCCAACCTTGTCAGAAGACGGAGACGGGTTTTTATCTGTTCCTCCAAGAAGCTGAGCCCATCTCGATCTCCATATTCATCATCTCGGCCTGATGGTGTGGATCGTCAGTGAAGTCTGCGATACGAGCTCCACAACGACCTACTCCGTATCCCTGCCAACTCCAAGGGAAATCTCTCAGATGCAGCCGCCACGAGTTCACGTACTCCTAGTATCTGCCCCCGGTTGACGATTTCGACGGTCCCGGCGAAGTCTCTCGATGAGGCAAAAATGAGCTTCTCGAAGACGTATCGAAGATCTCGACCGCATAGCTGGGACTCCTTGTCACCTTGCAGCCACAGATCATCGTTCCAAAGCGGTCTGCCCATCAAGGGAATGAGTTCCAGGATTTTCTCATGTGTGACCTGTCGTCTTCCCCAGAGGATCGAATGGTAGTACGGCAATCGGTCGGGGGATCTTAGAAAAATGTCTGGGAGTAGCTCCACGAAAGGCTCGGGTAAGCGGGTGCCATCGCTTGATTTAGCGATCTTGGCATCTGTATCGACCAGCAAGACCCAGAACTTCGTGTATCTCATGTGGCCGAGCAAACTGCGAAGACATTCCAGTCTGTGCTTCATGGCCATAGCGTTATCGAAGACCAGATGAATGTAATGTTCGTCGTTGTCCTGTTCATTGGGAAATAGGTTTTGTAGAGGTTCGAATTCTTCTCGTAGCTTTCCTGCGAAGAATTCCAATTGGCTCGGCATCCTCGTATCGCTTGAACGGTCACGATGGCGCAGAACAAGTTCACAACACCATTCTGATTCGTTGGCCAAGAATTCTTCGGCCGCCCGTTTGATTTCAATTGTTAGCCGGTCGCGTTTCGAATGTTTGTGTACGCGCTTGCTCGAACCGCCTGAAGAGAGACCAGGTTCACCCGCAGGAAAGTCACGCACGATGTCTTTCCTCAGTAGGCTAGCCAAGTGGATGGCGAGCTCTTTCCGAGCGCATCTGTCTCCGAGCTTCCTCTTCTCCCTCTGGCAAAGTTTCCCATAGGCGCGAAAGAAACCAGCAAGCCAGGAGGCTACCGCTTTCAGGATTTCAAAATCATCTTCAAGTTGGCTAGTCAAGTAGTCGTATACAATTGTATCCTGCTTCGGAGCGGATACCGTGGAAGATCCCGGAGAATCACGGATGCAGGTATAAAATCCCAGCTCCAAAGTGCTCAATTCCAACGTAGTACGTGTTTTTCCTGTTCCAGACGACTGAACGATCGGTAAGACCCGGGCCTTGAAAGACGAAGGCTCGCGGGAGAAGAGTCTGTCCAATCCTACGATTCTGTTGTGGAGACGATGATGGCTATCGCCCTTGAATTCCCGTTTGAAGTCTTGATCTACCCGTGCTTGGTTTCTAGCGAAAGGGTAAAGTACCAGTCTACGTTCACACCAGTCGAATGCCTCTTCGAAGATGTCAGCGAGGTCCATCTTGTAAGGGCCGGAGTTGAGAGCAGTTCGAATGCCCTCTGCATAGTCCCATGCGCTGACCGGTTCACCTCGAGCACCATCGCTCAGCCCGTACACTGTGCGAAGCCATCTTGGCCATTCTTCGTGGGGTATTTTCCGTGGAAAGACCTGTTTCAGCAGTCTGCGTAATTTTTCGGCAATTTCGACGCAGAAATCGCCCTTCAATGTTTGTGATTCTACTCGACGTTGACCTTCAAGGGCAAATCTTCTTGTCATTTTGTATTGGGCACAATCCTCGCGGGGACATCCCCCTACCAGATCGTCATCGTTGAGCTCAAGATCGTATGAGCAGCAACCTGGCAGTTTGTGCTTGACGCATTGATCAAGCCATTCCGCGATCGAGATTTCTACTTCTGATCGCTCAGTATCGCTCGGTGAAGGAGGCCTTTCCGAGGTGACATCATCCACCGGATTGACCGGAGTATCCTGGTCCACCAACATGCCGAACTCTTCGATACCCATCTTGGAGGCAGGGGCCACCCGACACTCCCGGGCGTGATGTATGAGTGATGATTACCTTATAGACGCACGCCGGAGCTATATGTGTTTTCCAAGCTTGAAGTTCGCGCATGAGAGAGTGATTGAATAGATACTCAGGATCAAGAGTTGTCTGGGGCCAACATCGTGCTGCCAATACTCACCTCAGAAATAACGATAGCTGGTCGTGCCCGTCGTACTCCGACCACCGTCGACTGACGAGGCTGATTCACTTTTCAAGATGGGTGTGAGATCATGATGGATCGATGATAGACCTACGAACCAGCCGCAAGTGATCCGGTCCGGACCGACGCATCTACGCGTCACGTGACCCTGGCTCTGACTGTTACTTCCACGGAAGCGAAAGTTGGGATCGATACATCCAAGCGCTCAAGCGATATCCTGTCCCGACGCGAAGATCGCCTTTCACAGTCAAGGAACCCTCTCTTGGACGACGATCATGCAGAACCGAATATATGAACCCTGTTCTGGTCCTGTCTCTGCAACCACCATGTTGCTTGTGTAAGCGAATGATAATGAACCTGCGCAGGCTTACGAACTCGGGGCTATCGAAAGAGATGTCTTGCGTGCCCAATTGAAGCCAATCAGACGAGCAACAAGGTACCCGATGATTCCAGTCGAGGTCAGGTGGCTAGCGGCCTCTCCTCGAGGATATACTTCGGGCGAACGAAGTCATTCATTTGTTCTGTTTTGTCTGTATTCGCGGTGTTGTTCGCGGCAATCAGATGGCGAACATCACAAGCGATCTCCGTACTCGGGGTTCCCGCGAACATGGGCTTTTGTTCTTCCGCTCGATCGGTTCCAAGGATGCATCTGAGAAGGCCGCTGAACTCCATGATAGTGCGCAGGGACATTTATATAATATACTTAGAACCCTGCACCTGAATCTTGCACAGCCTAGTCATTCCACACGCCACTACCGTTACTTCATATCTCTCGCGTCATCATTCCGCGACCTCATACTCCCGATATGCCCAAAGCCAACAAAGCCGTTAAAGAAGAAGACTCCAAGCCATACATCCAACCGGAAGGCAAAAAGGCGCAAAAATCTCCGCAGAAGAACTCGGAAGGTCCGTGGACGCCTGATCAAGCTTGGCTGCTCTTCAATGCGCTATACAAGAAAGGTAAGCCGATTCGTCTCGCTCCATTCTCGGTGAGGAGACCCTTCCCACAATCCGGATTGTAAAGCTTACCACGGTACATGTCTGCTACGTAGATAAGGTGGACTGGAAGATGGTATCTGAAGCTGTCGGAAGGAGTTCCAAGGTAAGTTGGGGATCCATCAGACGCAAAGTTAGCGAGCAGTGATAACAGACTGGACCCGCCGCAATAGTCGTGCCAGAACGGGTAAGTAGTTCCGACAGCGCCGACTCTGCACCTCAACTGCCAGAGTAAGCTAAGACCTCATGATTATGTCACTCGCCGTCTCATACGGGGTTCTTCAGCTACGAGGGTTTATTCAAGAAGCGCCTCGAAGGAATCATCAAGGGCTCCGTAGGGCGTTCAGCCTGAAACACGCCTGAAAGCTTTCAAGGCAGATATCGCTCGAGATATTTTGTAATAACGCTTTCTATCATGAGTCAATGACAGCTACTAAATCCGTACGATATCAATTTGGTCGGTGAGAATGGTAGTCGATCCGAATAAGAAGTCACTTGCGTACCGTCTTGCTGCCGGTCTTCGGGATCTTCGAAGAAGCTCGAGTATCCTTTGGATATGTCTCTGATCTCTGATCCGTCCGAGGCGAGATTAGCGCGACGCAGATCTGGAACGCGACCGAACAAGTTATGCTTCCGTTCACTTCCCTCTTCAAGATTGATCGGCTTGTCGAATGAGAAGCCTGAGAGCCTGAGAGCGCCGTAGCAGGATGGAAAATATATACCAGACACGCCGCATCATAATGTGACTGCGCTACTCCTCACCGGAAAGCATTGTAATTACAGCTAAAGATATTTCAACCTTGCAAGCAGACAGGCTTTATACAATATGCCGAAAGCGCCAAAGACCGCCGTGAAGAACGAGGAGGACATCAAGCCCTATACCAAGGACACAGATGCACCCACCTCGCCTCAGAAATCGAGTAAGAAGTCCACGGGGGAAGCGTGGACTCCGGAGCAGATGTGGGCGTTGTTCAACGCGATGCATCCTAAAAGTTCGTTCCGCTTCGACGCCGCTTCCATGGCTATGTCGTAATGCTTACCTTGTGGTCATCGACCGTCAGAAGATAGCCCGAATTGGAAAGAGGTGTCGGCCGTGGTCGGACGAGACGTGAAGGTACGTGATACTCGTTGCTGGGGGAGTTATCGATAGTGTAACTGAGTCAGATACATCGCTGTCAGTCCTGCAAGAACGGGTACGTAGGCTGCCATTCCTGCTCGCGGTCTCACGATCTGACTGAACCCTGATTTCTCTGTGATCTGTAACCGCTCCCTTGGACCAGGTACGATGGAGTTTTGAAGAAACGATTGGAAGGGATCGTGAAAGGCACTGTCAGCCGAGGGGGTTGAAGTCGTCCATTTCGTTGGACGAGTCCTTGGCGACCAGCATTCGTCTTCGATCCACCGTGTAAATTGTGATATTTTGATCAAGCGTAAAGATGAACTCCCGAATGCCCTTTTGTTATAACAAGAGCGTGCTTTTGTGCTACGATCCGTACGCAGTCATCTTTGGCAAGAGATCGTTAGAGTTGTCGACCAGCTTTTAGCGCAACGACGATCTGGAACAAGTGACGGATACAAAAGGGAAGGCGACCTTGTATCATTTGGCTCGTCAAGGTGGATCAAATTTCGGGTGCGCAGGGGAGAAGAGCAAGAAGGCCAGATGGAGCAGTCATATATCTTCTAATCTTCTATCCAGATGGTACACGATACCAACTTAATCTTCTACAACAACTCGTGATCAGAATCAATCAGACGTACCGCTTTCAACATGCCCAAAGCCGCCAAACAGCAGACCACAACTCGTCCTTCTCCGATCGCCGTGAAATCGGAGCACGCCGACGATGAGGCCATCAATACAGCGTCGAACCTTCCTGACAAAGGCAAGCCATCAGCTTCTGAATCCCCATCTCCCAAAGCCAAACGAGAACCGTCGTCGAAGAATTGGACGGCGGAGGAGACTTGGCAGTTGTACCAGCTCATTCATCCTAAGCCCGCCGAAGTGTCTTGGAAGGAGCTTTGCAAGCAATTTCCCGGGAAAGATGAGCAAGTGAGTCCGTTGTGTTCCGTATTTGGGTTCACCAGGTTGACATCGCCGAACTTGATGGGCCTGCAGAGTTGTCGCAACAGGTGTGAATCTATCGTCCAGGATGCCGTATAGCTAATATTAACCCTCTAACCCCTGCGCCTCACAGGTACCGTCGTACTATCGCTCCTGTCATCGAAAGAGCTATTAGGAAGCCCTGAAGCGAGGGACGCCTATCAAGATGGATTGTTAGGTCCCGGTTCTTTTGGGTCTAGATGTTGCCATGATATCGTGGGACAGGATGGATAGACGATACAAATGTAGCTTGTATAGGATAGGCAAAGAGAAATTATCGTGTCGTCTAATCTTCCTGGACCTCTGCAAGGGTACCGCGTACGACCTCTCCCCAACCTGAAGTACGTAAAGCAATGACGATGACGACATCAGATCCAGACCGATATATGAGCGCAATTCATCTTGCTGCTTGTACTTACCGACCAAACGCCAATGCTTGTCGATACGTCGCGACAAGGCCACCTTGTCCTTGGCCTGGGCACAAGCGGGAGCGGTCAAGGCGATCTTTGCTAAATCTCCCTTGACACCCAAAACACGTCCTCCAACCTGAGATGCTCCGACGTTGACAAAGAGCTGCTCTCCTGCGGTCAACTTCTGAACCTGTATTTGTGCAAGAAAATGGTGGTTGATTCAGTATTCGAGTCGATGTGGAATGGTTTGCTGGGATCAACTTACCTTTGCCTGCTTCTTGTCTGTAGTCTTTACTCCCAACAATCGTCGCAGCAAGAAGACTATTTCCGCGACATCTCAGCATCTGTAGCTCGACGAGATGTCGCAGCTCCACAAATTCACTCACAGCTGATCTCCAACTCGACGTAGATATCCGCACCCTTTCCGACGGCGGTCATGACATTACCCAAGAGCTTGTCACCCTTGCAGAGGATGGGGTCCACCAGGGTACCGACACCGATAAGACCTCCGGGCACGGCGAATTGCAAATCGTTGCCCTCGGCAAAGAGTGAGACGATCCGGGTTCGCAAGGGTTGACAGATGAATTTCCCGGTCTGGTCGGTAAAGACCTTACCCGGTCTGATCTCGACCTCTTGTCCGATCTTCACAGATCGAGTGGCACGACGTCAATACCTGTGTCGATAGTCAGAGAGGACCGATCTACTGGAAACCCACCTTGAACACTCCGCTCAAGATACTGCCTCCTGCTACACCTCCCTTCAGCTCGTCCACGGTCGAACCGGGCTTGTTGACGTCGAAAGATCGAATCACGATCAACCTAGGGTCGGCCTCGAAATCGTGCTTGGGAACGGGAATCTTGGTGCAGATATATTCGTTAACGGCGTCGATGTTGTATTTTAGCTGGGCAGAGATGGGGATGATGGGTGCGTCTCGGGCCACGGTAGCTGGAAAAGAGACGAAATGACGATTTCAGCGGTCGTGCCGGGAGGAATTAACCGATTCGTGCTGACACCCACCCTCGATAAACTTGGCGATAGCCTTTTGTTGCTCCAAAGCTTCGGCCTCTCTGACGAGATCGACCTTGTTTTGCAGGATCAAAATATTCCGCAGCTTCATAATCTCGACGGCGGCCAAATGTTCCGACGTCTGCGGCTGAGGACAGGATTCGTTACCGGCAACGAGGAGGAGGGCGGCGTCCATGACGGCGGCACCGGTCAACATTGTGGCCATGAGAATGTCGTGTCCGGGACAGTCGACGAAGGAGACATGTCTGAGGTAGGATAGTAGAGCGGTGACGATCAGTCTCAAGAGCGATAAGGATTCGCTGAGTAAAGGCTCACCTCTCGAGATGCATAGTGCCGCCACATCCTGGACGTTCGCAAGCGGGGTTGGGGGGAGTAGCAGATCCGTATGACTTGTAGTTTCCAGGTCGGGGACAAGCTTCATTGTTACACTTGAAGATCTATGTGTCCAACGAGTCACACCAATCCGTTAGAGAAAGCGAGCAATATCTTCGAGCTTGGGTATAGACGTGCCTTTGCGTTGGCGTATCCCAACTTGATGGTAATGTTTCGCTCCAATTCGTTCTTGAACCTGACAGTCTGAACACCGGAGATGGCCTTGACGACAGTGGATTTCCCGTGGGCTACGTGACCAATAGTACCGATGTTGATCTGCGTTAGATAGCAAATGGTTCCATCGGCATCAGTACCCAAGTAGCTCAAGCAGGTAGCCAGTGCTGGTCAATGTCCAAAGGGGGGAAGAACCAGGTAAACTTGTCACCGAGTCACGGACAAGCGATGACAAGCTACCCGGTCACCGATGAACCCTGTCAAACCCACCGTTGCCTGTCGGCTGATAACCTCCTGACTCAACGCCGTCAACTTTGATGAGTCAATCTCCACCTTCTTGACACCCTCAGTCACGGCCTCTACGTTGGTATCGGCAATCTTGTCCATAATTACGAGTTCGCCGCCGGGTTTTCTCTTTGTTGCGTGGTTTTGTTTTCTTGAAAGGCGAGCGGGAACGGCGAGAGGTTCCTTTTTTGAGCTGACGAACGACCGCAGAAGATCTTCTATAGCTACTTCACGAGATGGTTTGAGGGCTTCGTGGCTATCGATCTGGCACGATCGAGATCTTGCATACAACATGCAATTGAACGGCATATCTCGTACATCTCGAAGAAGAGAAGGGGTGAGTGCGCTTCTAATTGGCGCCGCCCGGATGCGCTTGGTCATCCACGCGTCTCGATGAGGGTCGAGGGCTCATCGATCATCGAAGAGGTTGTATTCGTCATGACTATCACGGTCGATACCTGACTTTTTGAGAACCAGCTCAGGCAGGTTCTGACACAAGCAGCATAACTGAGTTCGACTCTTCTAAAAGAGCTTTGAGTCATGGTGAGTTGACCTGGTTGTCCGTGACATACAGCCATGTGTCAAAGCTAAAACAACCTCTTACATCAGGGTCGAACGTGAGTCGGAGAACGCCGGACCCCGGAATGCAGGACCTGAACCAAGTTCGAGATCTCTTCTGGCTTCGACCTTGACAGTATCCTTTATGTGAATGGATTTCATCCGAATACACGAGCTCGGGATCTGGCATGGGCTTTCGAGAGGCAAGTCTGCATCATACCCAGGGCTGTCCACATGACAAGCTGCAGTAGCGCTGATCGAGGTCGGCTACGCTCTTGCAACATCGACAGATATGGCCGACTCGTCAGGTGCGATATCCCCGCTACGCACAATCCGCAAGCCAAGCCATACTCTTTTGTTGAATTCCGATACGAAGAGGATGCCGAGGACGCTTACAAGTATATGTAAGCTAGATTCTATATAATTCTGGGCTACTCGGAAGCGGGGGTCCGACCGCTGACCTTCACCTCGACTATATGGTATCTGGACACGTAGGCATCACAAGGTGATCGATGGATATGAGATCTCGGTACAATGGGCCAAAAAGACTCCGAGCCGAGATTGGCGTTACGAACAATCTGAAAGCCTTCGTTCTCGGTGAGCCGATTGTCGTCTGACGTCAAGTATCACCCGAAGGGCAATGTGGCTGACGCTGTAAACGAAACAGTCCGAGTAGGCATGGCGACAGGCGGGCTGATAGACGTAGACGAGAAGAGCATTATCGGTCGCGCGAGGGGGACAGGAAGCATGATTGTCGCCAGAGGTCTCGATCTCCGAGAGGTGGTGATGGCGGGAGGAGCCATAGTCACGACGAGAGAGCGTCTCGAAGTCACGGCGAAAGGGAATCTCGAGGTCATGACGAAAGGGGATCTCGAAGAGACAGGGAGAGGGATTCTCGGGAGCTCGAAGAAGAAGATTATCAGCATGGCAGATCTCGTCCACTTACGAACGGCCACGAGCATCTATCAAGTCCCGGTCCTTCTCCTCGACACCAAACTGAACCGAGCATGAGAGGCCAGTCTCCACATCCTCAGGATTACCAGCATGACGACCCGATGGACGGTACTGAACGATGAAGATACGTCAGTTTACATCGACAACCGATATAGAGACTGGACTGCCGACGACCTCGAACTAAATCATTGACGACCCCCTCCTCTTACGAACCAACTTATGCCATCGATTGTATGTCCGCCAGGGACGAATCCGAAACTTCGACGATATATCATACATTAAGCATGTCCCATTCACATCGGTCATCCGAGACGATCGCTTCTGGGATCATGTTCGTAAACGCTTGAACAATGAATGCAGAACGAGACCTCCGTCCGGCCCCCATCTAAGAAAAGCCGGGATCGAGGTCAGCCTGAATATGATGAGGTAATATCGTCTTCTCGGTCTGCTTACAGTCCGTTCGAGACCTCCTGTATCGCCGCGAGGAAAGCGGGCTGCATCGAAAACCGTAAAGCTTGAGCGTTCACTGTCCTGCTTCTCTGTATGAATAGAATCGATCGACTCACGTTTTGCTGGATCGCCGACCAATGCTCGACCACATACGCCTGCGTTTCCGCATGGAGCTCTCCATACTTGTAGGACGCCAACAAGAGCGAACAAGCCGTGCTCGGGGTAAGTTTATCAAGCAGCACGCTCCGAGCGACTTGTTGTAGGCCGACGAGGTTGTATTCATGCGCCAGGACGTAGATGGCGAAGCTGGATGCTGAGGGTGGGGCTGGTGTCGGATGACAATGCGGGTCTCGCGGACGATGGGTGGGAAGGCGCGATGGTGGGGAGGTTGTTACTGCTGTTGATACGGGACGACGGGTATTGATAGGAGGAGAGGCGTTGACAGGACGGGTCTGAGAGGGTGCTTTGATCCCGCCGTTATATCGCGATGGGGTATTTGAGGGCTTTGCGGCGCTCGGCCCTACTCCGCTGGGGAGCTTGCTTTCCCCTGCAGTCGGTCGAATTCGAGTTGGAGTGACCGCTGGAGATGGCCTAGACCCGTTGGAAGTGCCGGTCAACCTGTCACGATTCGATGCCCCTGGCGACTTGGATGCTCGCGACCCAGTCGAAAGTACCGAGCCGGGCAGCGACAGTATAGAAGACCCCATCTGGGGACTCGTGTCCGAGCCTAGCCTTTCCATGTCACCACCTAGCATTCCGATGGTTTCCCCGTCAACATCTCCTTCTGCATGGGAAGAGTGCCAGGCCCACTCATCCCGCATTGGAACGACTCCTTTGACACCCAGGACCCTCTTCGCCTGCAGATCACCCGACATACCATTCCGGCTGACCACCCGCCTTACGTCATCCTCCTCTGAAAACTCGAGATCATCGGTATAGATCCACCGAAGCATCCAGTAGAGTGTCTGATAATCTGTGTCTTCACAGTGGATCGTCTCTACTTTGCGTTCCGCATCCTGATCTTGCCCTTGCCTCGGAGCGGTCGATGGGCGACACGACTCGTTGAATTCCAACATGTCCTTGAAGTACTCGCTCCGATGCTTGAGGATATCGGAGTGGGCGTACAAAATGCGTTTACGGAATACGAACGGGTCTTGGTCTGCTTCCCGTTCGACATGCGAGCTCGAGGTCGTCCTCGATTCCGTCCGGGACAGAGGGCAAGTTTGGCTCATCAGATTCGAGGTCGATACCGAAGCTGATGATAGATTGGTTTCATCTCCGTATTCCAGGCAGACGAATTGCACGTCCCCGGTGTTCTTGTTATCCAAAGAATTTGCTAGCCCCTTGAGCAGATCAGAGGGGACGACCTGTAACCCGTCTTTCAGAGGTTCCACAGCGGAGTCGTCGGGCTCTTTGACGTGGAGAGTTAGAGTGAAGGCGTTCTGTTCTAGTACGAGCGCGTTGTTCAGAATCTCGCTGAGAGGCAGGATCTCGTATTCTGAACAAAGAAAATAGAAGGTAAGAACAGCGTTCATCTCGAAACATGTATCGCCTTTCGCGAAACCCGAATCTGCCGCGCTGAAACGAATGGCAGACTCACGGAACCAATCCGTCTCCCCGCAAAATTGCCACTCCTTCCATTTCTTGTACATCCATTCCGAGGTCGAACTACTGGTGCTCTTTCTCGAACGTTCATCCCCGGCTTCGCCTGGTTGGAGACCGAGAAAGATGGAGGTGGAAATGGCCCGTTCGCGAGGGATATCCTGTGCGCCGATCAGGCCGAGGTAGAGATGAAGCGATAAATTGGGCTGTCGAGGGGAAGGAGAGGGAGGCACCGGGTTGTCGTCGTCCGAGTCGAGACCAGGTTCCTCGCTGATCATGCCGACAGGAAACTTAGAGTCGGCCACCACTATCATACAGGATCAGAAAAAGGTCGGTCAGGCTGGCTAATCTAGTTTTGGCCAAACGGGACTGACCGAGATCCAAGTGGTATCGGCCATCTCCGATCTCGCTGTGGAACAGCTGATATTCCCTCTCGCCCGTTGCGGACTCGCCCACATCCACATATCCCTGGAACAGCGTGGACACGCCACGAAGTGTCCACGAGATCGACTGGGAGGTACAGGAGAACACGCAGGTCAGGTCACTCGTCCATCGTTGTAGGGATCCATATTAGAGAACCAATATCGACCTACGTTTGAAGACCATTCTTTCAAGTCCGGATGCTTCGGTGTCCGGCGGTGTACCTCTGACGGGCGTCGATGATGCGTCCGCTGTCCCGAGTTGCTCGTTTGGGACGACCCCAGGACGCTACGATTGGCTGGAGTTGCAAGTGCGGGTGTCATCGGTCACGAGAGGTGGGAAGGGAGAGTACAAGGTGAAGTGATGAGATAGGCCGAGCTCGATCAGTACGGCTGTGCAATCGAGAGACGTCTCCAGGTGACAGTGAAGCGTCACCTACCTGGATTGCTTGCCATGGATGCTTCTAAGAGTAGCAAGGAGGAAAGAGACTGGCGATATGTACCTGCCAGTCGCCAGTCGAGTTGGCCATGACCATGATCTGTGACCTCTTTTGACCTCCTTTGACCGTTTTCTGATGTGACCCGTTGACCTCGGGCATCTGACCCCGAAGCCTCTCTCGTAAGGGATTACGTTATGAAACAGCGCCACAAAGAATTCATCTGGTGGCGGTAACTTTTACTACTATGGCGGCAATCGACTTTACATTTCAAATAGCTCGGGCGTATGTGCCAATGGCTTTACGCCAAGGTACAATACAGTGAAATATCGCATGGTATCATCGCACGACTGTGTTCCGTTGGATTCGATCGGTGAAGTTGTCAGATGAATTGAAGTCGGTGAATTGTTGCATAAGGACGATCGTATTATAACGTAGCAATGTTTAAGTACAAAAAATCAAAACCAATGGAATACAACAAAGAACTATTCCGTCTCGTCAAACCCAGCAACAATCGCATCGATCGAGACCTTAGTATGCTTTTCGGGGGAACCCTCCAACCCGTGACAAATCTCGTCGCGCAAACAGTCGAGTCCGTATTGGGCGATCCTAATGCGATCGGGCTGTTGCATTTGCCCTTGGTCCCGAATGATAGTAAGGGCCCGGCGGGCTCGATCGATGGGATGGACCGTTGGGTCATCCATTCGGACAGCGTTGGCGGGATCGACCTTCTTGCATTTTTCGCCGACCACACGACAAGGACCACAGCTCGGCAACATCCCCTTGCCCTTGGTAACCCCGATACACCCGCGGCAAATGATAAAAGGCCCGTACTCAACTAACTTGACCAATGTAAGATAGTTCTTGTTGAGTCCGAGGCCCTTCATTTTCGCAACGGGGATCGTTTGATTGGGACCGGTGTAGACTTCGGGGATGAAAAGGGCGAGGCAGGTGTCGCACGCGAGTCGCCATCCTCCTTGATATTTGGCCTGATGACGTGGCAAACAACAACGCGTCAGTTCAGTGGAATCGATCAATGGAATAGATCGTTGAACTCGAGCAATGGAACTCACCAATGCAGCGTCGATCCCGGGAGCATCCTTACGACCGGAAGCCATGGGAGTGTTCATGGCGGAGAGGGTGGCGGGGCACTGGACGGGGAGGACCGGGAGGGAAAGTTCGTCGAGAAGATCCTTGTGGACTAAACAAAGAAAAGACGCAATGAAATCGATCAACGATCTAAACCAATGCAATCGAACGATGAAATAGACCACTGCAAGCTTACTCCTCTTGTCGTCCTTAGCTTGAGGACCGGGCTTCTCGATCCTGGTGATGTACGCTCCAGTGGAGCATCGGTATGCTTTGTCGGAAGCCCTAAACTTGGGGACTTCCTTGTTCTTGCCCTTTTTACCGGGCGATTTGGGTTGACGCTTGGTCGGGCCCTGTGCGTTGTCGAGATCGGAGTCGGCGTTGATCTCGTTGTTCCAGTCGTCGCACCACTGCTGGAAATTCTGGTATCGGCCCGGCCAAATGGTGCATTGCGGGACAGCGAGGGTCCCGTCCAACTCGAGAACGTTGGGAACGTCGAAGGGGGTGTAGAGAGGGCTATTCAAACCAACGGAAAAGTCAGATGATCGATCGCAATGGAATAAATCATTGGAATAAGAAGATACTTACGTTGCGTTGGGAGCCATATCGATACTGCTTGCGATGGAAGGGGAGACGGGCATAAAACGATTGCGAGAGCTATGTTTGTGTGATGTAGAGGAGAAAAATGATGTACTCGATCAGTAGGTGATTCCTTTGCGAGAGATATAAGTACTTATCGAGATGTATGCCTCCAAGACGTTATTCCATTGTTCTCGACTGCTGTATAGATGAACAAAAGCTGTTTCGAAGCGATGTTCCATTGAAATCGACATTATAAACGATACCTTTGTCCAAACAAAAGCAAATCGACGTGAGTTTCAGTTCGAAAGAGGTTTGCCTTGAAGAATGTCCTTGTTCTCGTCCATTGCAGTGTTTCAAAATGAGTATTTCATTGTCCGAAAGCATCGAACAAGACCTATGTCTATACACCTTGCGTCGATCCTAGAAACGAGTTCGAAACTGTATTGTTCTCTGTCGATGTCGATGTCGCCGCCCACAGCGCTGCTGCAACTCTCTTCTCCTTGTTCTTGTTGCACTTGACACTATTACTGCGATGACCAAATTGCCAGCAACCGTGGCATTGCTGCTCTGCAGGTGGTACGACTTTGCGTTTCTTGAGAACAGTTTCCCCGCCCGATTGGGTGCGACCGCTAGAAGCAACTGGTACGATGATGTCTCCCGGTGGCACGTAGCCAGACAAAAATTCACTGGTCGTTTGCGATGGAATAGACGCGTGCGAGGGCGCCGCGTATGTACGAGTTGGACCTGCTTCCGCGCGCGCGACAGGCCAATCCATTGCCACGTCATTGATAAGGGTGGCAGCCTCCGCGCGCGAGGGCGCTGTTTGCTTCCGCCCTACGCGTACCCGTCGAACAGGTGGCAGGATCGTCGCCGAGAGGTCGTCCAGTAGTAAATCACCTGGGAGTCGACGTTCGATGTAGGTGTTCTGAATCCCTCCCATTGGAATAGGTACAGGGATGTTTGCATTGTCAAGACCCCTGAGAAGAGCTCGAGGGACCTCTACACCCATTTGTACCGCTGTTTCTTTGAGTTGCGCGCGATGAACGATATGCCAATGAACATGAATCTCGTGGAGTTGTAAAGGATGTCGTCGAGTGCCATTTAAGAACGCCGCGAAGTCATGTTTGCAGGGCAGACCAGTGGATTTTTGCCATGCACCTGTGCAGGGGTCTAGTTGACCGTTGCTAGCCTTCACAGCTTTTGCAAAGAGGTACCCCCGTTGATGCATAAGGTCGATCGCGTACGTTGAAACTTTCCCGTGGAGCTATTGTTCGAAACAGGTCAAAAAATCGATTCCAAGGGAACGACACACTGCTCGACTCCAACTGACCTGCACAAAGCACTCAGGCAAACTGATGTTCCTACGAACAGGTCCATTGGCATGAATATCGAAGATCCTGAGCTGCGTACTCTCCATGTGGTTCAATACCGCGTTGGTCGCTGCAAAGAGATCGCCACTGCCTTTGATTTGCCTTTTGACAGCGCGATGGAACAATTCACCGGTCGAGGTAGCTAGATAGTTCAGATGGAACGCTTGTCCAGTAGCGTAAAAGGCAAAGCGTTCCGCCTCTTCGAATCCAATGATCAAGTACCCCACCATTTGTTGGGTGTTCGATCCATTTTGACCGTACCGATGAATTAGATCGACTTTGGCGTTCTTGAACTTCTCTTCCGTTGGTTGTCTTACAACACCCCACCAGGCTCGAAGTAATTCAATGAACGTGTCCTGTGGAAGACCTTTCTTGCAGTTCTTTACGATGTTTTGTTGTATATGCCAAAGACATAGGATGTGTTTCCAGCGAGGAAATTCTTGCTCGATCGCATTGCGCAAGGCCATTTCGGCGTCGGTCATAACCGTTTCCACTGGAGTGTTCCCTAGGAATCGTTTGAAGCACTTCATTGCCCAGATGTAATCCTTCTCCCTTTCCCGAGACATGAATGCAAAGGCCACAGTAAATGTGGTATTGCTCGCGGTCGCTGCAACGATGTGAAGCATCGGCATGTTGTATTTGTTTGTTTTATAGGTGCAATCGATAAATAACAATTGCCCGTAATGTCGAGCAAGGGTCATGGCCATTGGTTCAGTGACAAACAAGTGTGTTAACACATTGGCTGCACCGAAACAGGTCTCGAAAGGTATTCCAGCGGAATCGAGTTGTTTAATCAATGCGTCGGTGCGTGTTTTTCCACTCGCTGCATTGGAATAGAACTTTTGATGAGCGTTATAGATCTCTTTAATTGAAACCAATGTTTCTCTTCCCTCCTGTGCTGCTTTGTGTCGAAGCTCTGCTAGGGTCGCAGAAGGTAGATGATTTGCCTTGCAACCTGCTTCTACAATAGCTGCTTCGGCTGATGTCATTTTTCGATTTTGTCGAAACACTCCAGGGGTCTCGGCCGGTGCATGATTGTGAGTCAAACACCGCGGTGAAACAGACCATTGGCCAGCTTTATCGCAGCTAACATAGATCTTGAATCCACAGCCACATCGCTGGGTAGTAGTCTTTTTGTTTCGGGCAAGTCCCGTTTGTTTGATGTAGTCGTGCGATGGGGTATATTCTCCTTCGCGAGTACATTTCAAGTTGAAACTGCGAACGACCCCTTGGTATTTACTAACGTTCGACTTCCTTATAGCATACCCGTGGGCTTGGCCATGGAGATTGATCTCTGCAACGATGGCATCCATGTCGATCGTGGGGTCGAACTCAGGGAGTTGAACAGAGAACGAATCCCCTGGAATCGATTGTTGAGCGATAACAAGGGGGGAGGGCGGGGGAGAAGCTAATTGGACCTCTTCTTCGGCCTATTTCTCTGCTTCGTCCCTTATAAACAGGTCAAGTAGGTCTTCCTCCATACCAATGTATTGGTTGAGGACGTCGGGGAGCTGATCAATGTCGATTGCTTGGGAAGAGTTCATTGTGATGATGTATCGATTTTGAATACTAATGCAATTGCAAGGGCGTGTTTCTAAGTGATAGATCAATGTGGAATTTGATAGGGAAGACTTCTAGGCAAACGTACAGAGAACAGATCCAGTGGAATGTTGTACAGTAACATCGTAAGGGTCTTGACAATCAACAGTTGATCGTCGAGACGTTCCAATAGGGGTAACAAAGAGGTTTATTCCCCGAGATCGTTTTCACCGAGCCGGATGCAAGGGAGTATTACCAGGGACTCGTCCATGTGGCTGTTCCTTGGCGTCAAGCCATAGGGAGAGAGTGTAGGTATTTGAAATGTAAAGTCGATTGCCGCCAGGCTAGTAATTTTTACCGCCACCAGATGAATTCTTAGCGCCACACACAGGTACATCCCATCGCCGAGGCTGCCTCGCGGATCCGAGGGCTCTTCCTGCAACACTCACTCGGCACATGGCAGATCGAGGAGGTATCGACCCATGATGGCATGACCCATGATGATGGCGGCAACGATGGCGTCTACACATGCTACACAGCTACACAAAAGCTAGTAGCTGGTATAGCTGGATAGCTAGCATCACTCTCTAGTCTGGACTGCGGACGCCATGATCTCATGAGCTATAAGCGATAGATCGATACTCACACCAGCAACTCGCTAATCGACAAGCGGATAGGATACGGACAGATCGGTACACATACGATCGGGATATAAAGCAGGGCAATATCACAGAGTATATATACACCTATCGCCCGAATCGATACCTCGATACAGTCCTACCGATGGCCCTTGGCTCGATCTAGTCTTCTGCGATCTTACATCCTTCATAAAATACCCATTATCGAGCGAGCAAGCACGACGAAGAAATTAAGCCAAGGGATATTTCTGCATAACCATAATCCTACCAAGATGGTCGACGACCCAACACCACCCGGTGATCCTGACCAGAGCGTCCTCTACACCCTCCCACCTCCGCCAGAGACGATCCTCTCCGTCCGTAACCTCACCCTCGTAGCGAATCGGGGCGGCTCAAAGTTGGTCAGAAAGCTCAAAGCTCGTCGTAGACGACGTGGGATCAAGGCGGATGGGGCGGACAAGATCGAGATCTCGGATGGGGGTGAGAAGGGGGATTCTCAGGCTACGGACTTGAGACCGGGCAAGGGAGTACATCGGGATGACATCGAAGAGGGAAGTAGTAGTGGACAACGGGGCTATGTCGGAGAAGATGGCAACGATCGGCCAGTCGAGGAAGAGGCAGAAGAAGAGGATAAGGAAGATGACGATGCGGAAAAGACGGAGGATGGGAGGAAGATCATATTGAACGACGTCTCTTGTGAATGTTATCCGAGGGAGATGCTCGCCATGTGAGTACAACCATGTCCTCTCGCTAAGTCACCATGAAATCTGCCGATGCTCTAGATATCCGCAAGCTGATCCTACGATCGACTTTGACCTTGTCCGGCTCATTTCACAGTCTGGGCGGCTCAGGAAGCGGCAAGACCTCGCTGCTCCATGCTATGCGAGCCTCCCCTACCTCGTCTCTGCCGATCGAATCTGGAAAAGTTGTCGGACTAGACTGTAGCCCCGAATCCGATTCGGGAGCGGGCGCCGGGAGGTCTTTGGAGGACAGAGAGTATAGGAAGAGGATCGGGTTTGTTAGGCAGCAGGATTTCTTGGTTGAGCATCTGACTGGTAAGTCTGCGAGATCCAAGCGATTTCGACGGCAAGAGACATGCGCCTTGTTGTAACTCAAGCCGACCGTTTCAATGCTTTCAGTTCGGGAGACGCTCTACTTCGTGAGTGTGCCTGGATCAAGGACCGTCTTCAGCATGATCATGTGACTGATTTCGATGATTGCGTTGATCAGGCCGCAACACTCCGGTTACCTTCGACGGTCAGCAAGACCACGCGTAAACAGATTGTCGAACAGACTTTGCAGGGTCAGTATTTACTTGCTCATCTAGCCATGGAAACTAAGAAAGAGCTGAAGATGATTGCTGGCGTCTGTGTCGCTTGTGTCGCTTGCAGAACTGGGTTTGTTGGAAATTGCTGATACGCTTGTTGGAGGGGCGTTGCGGAAGGGTATCTCGGGTGGACAAAGTTAGTCGTGCAAGTACATCAGAGCGTACCGACAATACTAACCTTTTTGGCGTTGTATTGTGCTGACAGAGAGACGGTTGTCTATCGGATGTATCCTTGTTACGTTGCCATCTGTCTTGATCCTAGATGTGAGTCAGCCCACTAATTCCCGGACAGAAAGGGTTGGGTTAACATCGTTTGCAACATCGCAGGAAGTGACCTCTGGACTAGGTAGGTCGTCCCGATTGGGATGCCAGTGACTATCGACTAACTCGACTCAGACTACAGATGCCTTCACCGCTTTTCTCTTGCTGCAAAACCTGAGCGCGCTGGCCAAGAAAGGCCGCACGATCATTCTATCCATCCACGCGCCCCGATCGGATGCGTGGAAGCTGTTTGACCGGATCGTCTTACTCACCAAAGGAAAGGTGGCTTACAGCGGGAAGAGAGACGATTGTCTAGGCTGGTTTGAGGGGTTGGGACATACGTTGGAGACGGGTGTCAATCCGCTTGGTGAGCCAGATTCCCGTGATCGCGTGTTTCTCCATTTCGACGTGCTGACGAGCTTTACGTCTGCAAGACTTTCTCATTGACATAACGAGCGTCGACAATCGAGACCCGAAACGTGAAGCCGAGACCAAGGCCGCCGTTACCAAACTCGTCGGCGCCTGGGCGAAACGTCAAGAAGCGTCATCTTCCGCTCCATCCCCTACTGCTATCAGCAATACCGGTCTTGTCCAAGCGAAGGGTGGAAAGAAGACTAGCAGAGGGTCTAAAGGGCCAGCTAGAAGAGCTCGGTTCCCGAATCAGGTCGCCCTCCTGATACGGCGTAATCACATCGACGTGTACCGCAACTACCCTTTACTCTTGGCTTTCTTGTTCCAGAGTGTTCTGACAGCGCTCGTCACGGGACTGGCCTTTTACAACCTGCAAGAGAATCCGACGGATATCCAGAGTCTGAAGACCCTGACTTATCAAATGTGTCCGATTTATTTCTATCTCGTTCAGGTTTTCTGGTAAGCGTTATCGATACGGGATGTGTTGTTTCGATGCTGATATAAAAGAACCACAGGACTTGGAGATATTGTGACGAGCTCATCAAATTTGACCGTGACAATGAAGATGGTCTCTATGTGCGACAAGCCCTCTCCTCGGTCCTCCTAGAATTCGGCTGATGTTGTCTTTGCATAGAGTCCTGCCGCATACGTCCTTGCCGACTTTGTGACTTGGCTAGTACCGGGTTTCGTATTTCCTGCGATCTTTGCAGGTCAGTGGCTCGTGATCATCCTCTCGCGATCCATCAAAGCTGATGGACAATCCTGGTCAACAGTGATTACCTTTTTCTTGGCCAATGTGAAGACCACACCTACGACCGTTTTCACGGCGTGCGCAGCGGTGTGTAGCTACAAAATGGCAGCACCTACAACTATCACTCACGCCCACCTTGGCATAGACTTTCATGGCTCAACTCGCCACTCAAGGTCTTTCCTTCCTCTGTGTGAGTGTAATGCTTGATGACGGTCGTACAATGTGGTCTTATCCGTATATCTTTATGTGTCCGTAGGCATCTCTGATTCGACCCTATGCCCAAGCCTCGATCATCGCGAACGTCTGCAACCTTTTCCAGACCATGTCAGCTGGTTTCCTGCTCGTGGACGTGCCCGACTATCTGGAATGGGTCAAGTAAGTCTCATCCCACGCGTCTCGCCATCCTAAATGTTTCCTTAATCGAGCCTATCTCTAGATACCTTGGACCCCAATACTACGCCTTCCGTATCATCGCCATCACGCAATTTCGTGGTCGTAGTTTCGATTGCCCTACCGACACCGAGGCCAGTCTCACGCTCTGCAACGGTGACAACGTTCTCCGGTCCCTCAATATACCCATTGGCGGAGTTGGCATATACTTTGGCGAATGTATAGCGTTGATTGCTGGGTTCTGGATCTTGTCAGGAATCGCTCTGACAGTAAGCTAAGAGGCGATGGCAGTCCTTGACCATAATCTGATTTGGGAACCTTGCATTCAGTTCTGGAAGCCAGGTGGCGTCAAGGTGAGCGCTCTCGGATTTCGCTACTCGACAAGAAGACCGTATGCTGACGCTGTCCGATCACGACGTACAGCATGCAACCGCCGGCAAGCGCAGATTATACAACAGAGGTAGTGCAGACGACGACGCCATCGCACAGCTGAACAAGGCGAAAATCGCTGTAGAGGTCAGTCCTTGTAGGTATCAACCGTCGAACGTCGTTATGCTGACGCAACCCTCCCTGATATTAAGGTATCGTCGTTGTACTGCACCTGGACCAGATGGCGTCCCTTTCGACCACCTCGTCAGCGGGCGATCTTGAACGATATCAGTAGGTCGCTGTTGGATTGACACATGCTTCATAAAGCTAACGATACTCGTACATTATAGCAATGTCTTTCCCTGGTAAGCCGCCATCCAATTTAGACACGCTTGACAAAGCTTACATCATTCGTAAATCGTAGCTGGCGAATTGACGGCTATCTGCGGCCCATCTGGGGGCGGGAAAAGTACGCTGCTCCAGATTTTGGGCAGGAGACCGATGGCCGCAGGGGGCTTTGCCCGATTTGCTCGCTCCGGTCAGGTTCTTTATGGCAACTCGAACAGTCAGCAGGTCAATCCGGAAGATATCCAGGTCGCTTATGTGGAGCAAGAAGACGACTGGCATCTGCCCGCTTTGACGGTCAGAGAGACGTAAGTCCTGCTGGGAGCCGGGTCCAATACCCTCGAATTTCCCGCTGATCTAAGGATCTCTTTAGTCTCCGATTTGCAGCCATCCTTCGACTGCCTGAGGACTTCAGCCGAGAAGCCAAGATCGCACGAGCAGAAGACGTTATGGTCCTGCTCGGCCTGAAAGATGTCGCCGATATCAAAGTCGGCGGGGAACTGGTCAAGGGTATCTCGGGGGGAGAAAAGCGGCGACTATCGCTGGCCGTGGAGATGATCAACAACCCGAGCACGTTACTCGTCGATGAACCCACTTCAGGACTAGATGCCAGTATCGCCTTGAACGTCATGCAGGCGCTGAAGGATATTGCGGCTAGCGGGAAAACAGTCATCGTGACCGTCCACCAACCTCGTTCAGATATTTGGCAAGCGATCGATAACTTGCTGCTCCTATCGGGAGCAGGTACCATGGTTTACGGTGGCAAACGCGAAGAAGCGGAACGATATTTCAAGGACATCGGTTACCCCGTTCCACCTCTAATGAACCCGGCCGACCATCTGCTGGACGTGGTCTCTGTCGATCCTCGCCCTGCCAACGAAGAGGCTTCGAGAACACGTCTGGCTACTTTGACGGCGGAATGGGACAAGCAGAAGGACAGGACAACGGCAGAGTCGCGACTTTCCAACTATCAAAGCAAGATCGGCTCTCAGCGGTCTACCAATATGCTGATCGCGCTGCCCATCGTCCTGCGCCGGATGTGGAAGAATTTGTTCAGACAACAGGAGGTGGTGAGTTGTCAAACTACCGCGCGCTGCAGGTTTCCGGCTGACGGACTTGTATATAGTTCTACAACCGAGTGACACAACCGGCCGGATTGGCACTCGTCTTTTTGGTGAGCCGGAGCATGATTGAGACGTTTCTACACGATACAAGCGCTTATGTCGTTGCATTCTTATAGGTTTACTACCAGCGTCTCGGGAGGGGCCCGCAAGATCCGCAAAACTTTATGGGAATCATCATCCAGACAACCAGTGCTGTGGGGTTCGTAGGTCTGATCAACTCGATCCCTATCTACCCTCGAGACAAGTTGCTGTTCTTGCATGGTGAGCCCGTGATATCTCGCCGTACCAGCGTAAGAGACGACGTCTGACCCCTAATCCGTATTATCCCTGCAGAACGTCAATCCTCGGCCGCCTACTCCCCCCTGACCTTCCTCCTCGGCTACACCCTCATCGAACTCCCCAACGAACTCATCGGAGCCGCCCTCTTTGGCTTGCTCATCAACGTCGGCGTGGGGCTCCAATCGAACGTGAGGACGTACTTTGAGTTTGTGATCACCATCTGGGCGCAGATCTCGTGGGGAGAGAGCGTGGGGATCATGTTTTGTTCGTTTAGCGATTCGTTGGGCTTGTCGGTCTCGTGAGTTCCCGATCGATCAGGGATCTATCAGTTGGGGGTTCGTGTTGCTGATAGACTTGTCTGTCTGAGATCATAGTATTGTCTCGACGGTCTTGACATTCTTCACCTCGATCTCTGGATCCATCTCGTTGAGCGTTCCCGCTTGGCTGGCTGGTATCGCTTGGATAGGGCCGTTGAAGGTCAGTAGACTCTCGGAATATGGCTTCGAGGACTAGGCTGATGACGCGCATTCCGCAGTCCGCCGTCAAGGTTCAACTCATCAACACTTTACAAGGCTTGGAGGTGAGCGCTTTTCTCGACAGGGTTTCTTCCCGAAGCGACTAGCTGACGAATAGATCTCGCCCGACAGTTCAACTGTACCGACGAGGAAGTACAATCGGGAGTGTGCATCGCCCAGACGGGTAACCAGATCTTAGCGCTCTACCGGATCGAGGACCGGTCGGTAGGCAAGTTTATGGGGATCATGGTCGCTACCGCTGTGGCGTGGAGGTTGTTGGCGTTGTTGTTCGTGGTGTATAGGGTTCAGAGCGTCAAGAGGCTCTAGATCGGTAGGTTTGGGATGTTGTAGCAATAGGTCGGTAATGGTATAATAGCTGTGCATGCAAGAAGATGCAAGACAAGTGTGAATCGGAAGCTTTATTTGACATCCGGAAGCAAATGCCTTGACCTGATACTCTTGGCTGACCGTATCTCTCCTTTTGCTCGTCCCCCCTTCCTCTCTCGAGATGTTGTTGAGGCCAAAACGTTGCGAAAACACGAAACACGGACGTCGCTCCCAGAGCTCGGACATTGTCACAGCAGCCGGGTCTCATTCCGAGTGCACAAGCTGAAACACTTAGCTCCATAGCTCTATCAGCATCTTCGATAGACATATCAGATCATCATCATCACCCTTCGTTATACGAACGTCATCCGGAAAATCGACGTGGCTTGCTGAAAAGGTCGTCAGACGAGCGCGACTCGAGCTTTGAGCTTTTCAGATGGCTACCACTCCGATCCCTGCCTCTTCACGGACGGTAGCCAACCATCAAACTTCACCAGTAACGACAATAATACCGCCGAGGACGCCCACGCCTACTTCCACATTCACATCTACGGTTCCCCCACAGGAAATCAAGAGGATTCAGCTGTCGGCCCCTACCGATATTTCTCTCCCAAGTCCAGGACCTAGTCGGACGAACTCGACGTTCCCCCCGAATCTACCTACTCCCCCGGCTTCGTCGAGTAGCAAACCTCTAAGCAACCCGAGTAACAGCAATGGTAATGCCAACGCAACACCATCCACACCACAGCCGCGCCGAGGTGTCAAGCTAGATCAGGTCGCCGAGAGACAGGCGAATGCGGGAGGACCGTCTGGAGCACCGGCAGGGTTGAGTGCGAAGGCTTTGGGAAAACGTAAACGGACGGTGGAGGAGGAAGAGATTATCCACAGCGCTGGTCAAGTGTGAGTGTATCTTTTCCTCCATCACGTCGACCACCCCATCTGGAGCTTATTCTGACGATTTCTTGGCGATATGTAGTTTCAAGGACAATATCGACCGGGACACCTCCTATTTCACATCCGACTACCTCCCCGTGCACCCATTCGAATCCGGTCGAGATATCGTGGACAGATTGTTGCCCTTTCATCTGTGGCAGATACACGATCAGGATCTGGATTGTCGACCGAAAGATGCTAAACGGCGGATGACGGGTGAGTTGGGTCGTCAATACACTTCGGTTAGCGTATCGCTAGGTATCATTTGAGCTGATGTAGAGCGGGTATGTGGGATTGTGTGATACAGAGCGGGTGGGCGTGGAAAAGCTCGTAACACGGCATATCTCATTGATGGAACGCTTGAGAAAGGCTCAAGTGCGGCAAGATAATGTGAGTCGCCCGGCGCTCTGTCCCAATTATCCGCGAAATCTACATTAACTCTCCGTTATTACAATAGGTCACTGACGGGGTCGACTTGATACAAATCTCGCAAGCTGTCGTCCAAACGATGACAGACACGAGGAACCAGCTGCAATCTCAACTACGTGACGTGAGAGCGGAGAACGACCGGTTGACGTACGAGAACCGACGCAAGGAAGAAGCTAGGAGAGCGGCGATGATCGCTGCGGGGGAGAAACCGTTACCGAGGACAGGGCCGGGGAGACCACCAGGATCGGGTACAGGGACAGGAATGGGAATAGGGACGCCGACGATGAGTAGGACGGCGAGTACGCATACGAATGGGGCGAGTACGCCCGGGACACCAAGTGCAAACAAGGGGTCGGGAATGGGAGTACCTGCGGGTCAGCTTGAGGTGCCGCCAAGCCCTATTGCGGTTACCGTGCCATTGTGAGCAGGACATAGCGGATCCGTTTCCGATTCCATCCCGCTGATCTGACTTGAATCCCTTGTCGTTGCGTGAAGTAATTTGCGGGCCGACCTGATTCGGCTCGAGATCATCACCAGCAACAATGGGAAGAGTCAACCCCCGGGCAGGGTCGTCAAGAAGACGGACGACGGGACAGGTCTCATGTTATCAGTGTACGTACCGAGGTCTTCGTCTAGCATGCTTTTTTTTTCCTAACTCGCCCACTCGATGCTCTACCTAGATACCCAGCAGCGCTCAACCCTACCCAGCTCAACTTTCTGGCTGGCGTACTCACACGTCAACAACAACAGGTCCGGAAAGCGGCCGCCTCCCCTTCAATACCTTCGTCACCAGCAACATCAGCATCGTCGCCTAAGACAGTCGACACTTCGTAATCATACTTTCCATCCTGCTTGCATCATGTCACGAATCCGCTTAAATATTTCGCATTCGCCTCGCCGGAGGCGACCGGTTTGTCCAGAACAACCATTGTACCGGCTAGATGTTGTCGCCGTAAATATCATAATCTTATTCATCGCTATATCGGTCGTATACAATCGCAATCTCTATCGCGATGTCTATTCTATCGTTCGCGTCGTGTGTTTTAAGTCCCGTATCGTCGTAAGGTATATATGCATGAACGTATATAGTAGTCTTGTCGTATGGCTTTCGACACCAGATTGTGCCACGCTTGCCGAGCTGTCTTTTACAGGGCTCCCTGCGCTTCGTAAACACAATTGATGACTAGGCCGTATTTTTGGTCAAATTCGGTGGCGGCCAGCTCCATGAATTGGGATTCGTAGATGATGGTATCGGCATCCTCGTATTTGATAGACGCGATACTGAGCTGAGTACGCATAGAGACGAGCTGTTGCCGCAGGTTGCGATGGCTCTTGCAAAAGGCAGTGAGCCATTCTTCTGGATCACCTGCATCGGCTCGCGCGACGGCCTTGTTCAGCAGGCCTTTGCGCGTAGTAGCCCATCGGAGAGCTTGCTGAGCTCTGCCGAACACCACCATGGCGATGGACATGCTGCCACAGGCCTGGTTGAAGATCGCATGCCGCATGAGAGGTCTCATCGGGATTTGGTCCAGTCGACGGAACATTTCCTTGTCAACTTTTTGTAGGTGCCTCGTGCGATATTTGATCGCGTCGATTCTTCGTTTCCATCGCATAATGCACCTTTTCACAACAGGACCAACCTTGATTTTAGGTCCTCCTACTTGCATGCTGGCGATGGTCTTGGAAAGTGCCGCCAAGTCTTTCGAGATGAGGCGATCATCTACATTGAGCGTAGTGTCGTCGAATTCGAAAAAGTTCCCTCGAAGCTGAGCGTCTCCGATGAGCTTCTGCCACATCGGATCGGCCATAAGGGTATATGCGTTCCCGATAATTTTGCAGGCGAACCTGGCTCGAGTCAGAGCGACGTTAAGCCGACGAGCATCCTCTACAGAGGTTCTAGGTCAACATACGGAGCAATCCGCAAGGATGGCGTTGAACTCACTCAAGAACCCAAGCTGACGCCCATTGTTGGCTCGCGTCGTAGCAAAAATGATGATGTCGCGCTCTTGGCCCTGGAAGGCGTCAACCGAGGCCACATCGATGACTATGGAACACCTCGAGGTGACCACAATCCTGACCTTTTCAGTCTTGGAAGCAGTCTCGATTGGAATGGACCCGGGTAGCCTTGAGAGGTTCTTGACTACCAAGCGGACCTGGGCGGTGTACCCGGTAATGCATCCCACTTCGACTTCTCCTTCGTGATCGGTTCTGATCAAGGTCGTGAGCAGACGCTGCAAGAACGATAGCACAACGTTCGCTTCGGCCTGATTGCAGTAGCTTTTTGTGCGCAGGTTCTTCTCTTCAAGCCCGTGAATCGCGATGAACGAATACGGCGAGAAGAGCTCCTCTCCGTGGATCTGCCAAGAAGGGGTACGTCCTGACATGATCGTGTTTCGGCCATCTTCCAACTGGCCATCGTAGTACGTATTTGCAGGCCATTGCGAGATGTCCGGGTGCATTCGATACTGGGTGGCTAGAAGCAGGTGCGGCGAGCCTGCGTTCAACAGCCTTTCGAAAAGGGATATCGAATACCCCTTGGACTCCAGCTTGCGGTTTGCCACCACGCCTGGGAGTTGTTGAGGATCCCCGATCGCTACAAGTCCGACGATGTCGTCTTTTAGAAGGATCGACATTTCTGGTTCTAAAGTCTGGGTCGCTGTATTGGCGGATTTAGTACCGAATGCTCCGCAGGCGAGATCCAGCGACGAGCTTACCTTCATCGAGGATAATCAAGCGCGAACGACCCACGAACATGTCCAGAATCTTGCCTCCGGCCGAGTTGACGGTAGAAAAGAATACCTTTGTTGACTCGGCGAAGGCTTGCTCTAGCACCTCTGGGTCATTCGAGATGGTCATGCTGATATCATCGAGCATACTCTCGAGCTTCTCTAAGACCACTCCCACGTTGGGCGGCTTGTTCCCGATTATGGCGTTCAAATCTCGTTTCCACCTGGTGAGGAGATCCACGCAAAGCGGTATGCCTTTCCATCCGTCAACGTCCTTGTGATTGAAATCATTGCCGAGGATCGTCAAGACCTCGATTCCTTCTTCGGCTAGGTCCTTCAAGGGGGAGAAGGGGTCGGTATGCCAAGTGGATTGAGTGCCCTCGGGGTTGTCCTGTCTAGCGCTTAGTACGCGAGCTTTGAGATCATCCAGACGCTTCGAGACGGTCTTGCCGCGCTCGAGTCGAGAGTTGAAATAGATGGCATCGATCCCATCTGAGAGGTCAATCTTTTGTTCTGTACCGAAGAGCAGGATTTCGGAGGGATGTAGAATTCGCGTATGAGCGGCGTCCCGGAGTAGCCTCACTGCGACCTCTCTCATAGCGGCGTTTGATGGTGCGCATATATGAACGAGTTGATCCGATTTGGCTAGCATGATGGCTAAGATCATGCTGGACAATGTGTGCGTCTTCCCGGTACCGGGTGGTCCTTGAATAAGGATTGGATAGCTGATAGGGCCAAGTAGAGGTTGCATTCCGGTCAGGACGGCATACCTTTGAGAAGGATTGAGCGGTTTGCTCCTCCTACGTTATCGTGGTTTCGTCAATCACAAAGGGCGAGATATACAAGCGACTATGACGCGAACTCACGAAACGAGATCGGCGATAATTCTGTCGTGAGCTTCCGATTGCATCGCCGTTTCGGCACCCTTGACGGGTCCGGGCGCAAGAACATGCTTCATGAGCATCTTGGAGTGGTCAGGCGTGCATAGAGCGCTGTAGATCCTGAGCTCGGACGCAATCGATGAGACCACAACGATCAGGAGATTTCGGGCTTCAATAGCGTCCTTTATCCTTTCGAGGTATTCTTCTTTGATAGCGACAAGTATTTTGCCGTCGGTTTTCCCTATCTGCTGGACGATGCCTGGAGCACAGAAATCTTCTTCGTCGTTGGCTTTGACCTCCCACGGTTTCGGAGTGGTCGACAGGTAGACAAAGTCGCTCGGTCGGATAAACGAGCTCGAAAGCGTGCCGAGGGTGATGATACAGCAGGTACTGATCCCACGAAACTTTTTCTTCTTGCCAGCGTGCATAACCTTGGAGCAGGGCAAACATCTTTCGGCTTTCTCCGGATACTCCAGGATGGTGCTCAAGCTAGAGTGCATCTCGGCGAGAACGACGATTCCGTACGTGTTCATGTAGTCCTGTTCCGATGTGGTACATGGCAAGCGGGGAAGCTTGTTGACTTCTGCATCATAGAAGCGCTCGTTCCTCAGGATATCTGGTGTCCAGCTCAAGACTGATGTCGCGATCTCGAGAGAACGCATGTTGCCGTCGTTCTCTTCTTCGTCTCCCCACGTGGACGCAGCTGAATCCTTAACAATAGCTTTGCGAACGGGTTTGGCTATATGTCGAAGAGAAATGAAGAAAGCGTAGGTTATCAGTGAAAAGATGTTCGAAACGTATATTCCGCTCTTTGTTGAGCTTCTCGCCAGATCCCCCATACAAGTTGGGTACTCACTCTCCCATGTTGCTGCCCAGGTATCAGCTCCAAACGTCGTTGCGACATCCCAACCCGAGTCTGATACTGCATCATCATCTTCCTCAATGACCGACTCTGCCTTCTCAATCATCGCATTCGGCTGATCGGCGTGAAAATGATCGTCTTGAGAAACAGCGCTCAAAACGTCCTTTCGCGACGATCGTCGCCCATTCTCAGGTCCCGTTGCCGTTGTCGTTGTCTTCAATGGCTCGTATCGTTGAGTAGAGTAAGACGACGAAACTCTCTTTCCTTTCTGGGGAGGGGCTGATGTCTTGACCCCATTTCCAGTCGTCGCCCGAGACTTGGGTCGACCGGCCGGACGTTCCATACCGAGAGAGGAAGTTGATGGCTGGATACTACTTGGCTCAGCTATGGCATGAATTTCAAAGATGTGTGGATGCTTCAGTGGGAAATACGAACCGTGATGAAAAAGCTGACGGTTCTGCCGTCTGTGCGATTAAGTGTACAGCATTTATACCCTGGAATATGGTCGAGACTCTCATAGCTCATAGATCATAGAGGACAAGCTTAAGGGAGCCTCGGTCATTACCGAATCGGCTCAAGATGTTAACCGACCTGACAACTAAACGACTTGAAACACCTTGTGGCAGACGCTGTGAGAGCAAGGAAGAGATGACAAGCATAAAGATGGTATTCCGTATAGTGGCCTCGAAGGGACGCATTCGTAGTAGTAATACAACAGAATCTTTAGCATAGGTCCGCGTACATGGTTAGCGGATTGAGTATCTGAATCAGTCATGCCCCGTGTCCTATATCCTTCCGAGCGACGACTTCCCTCGTTTCCGTGCGTTCTGCCATCTCATCACTGCTCCTCCCTCACGATGCCCTTCTTCTTGTAACATGCATCGATGATGCGCTTGTTCTCCTGCTCGAAAGCCTTGACAGCCCCGACGAGCTTGTCAGAGCGAACAATGATCTCGAGAGCGTCGAGTCCGGCCTCGCCCTGGACAACCAAAAGGGCCCGCAAGTCGTCCATCAAGGTCTCGATGACTTTGAGAGCGGCACGGAAGTCCTTGAGCCATTTCGCCGGACTACCTTTGTTGTGGCTCTCGACGATAGACTTCTGGAAAGCTCGATCCGCCTTGAACCACAGCAAGACCACCCGCGCATCCTCGTAGCATGATTCGCTCACGTGCGAAAGAGCTCGGCACGCTTCGCTGAACAGAGCGAATCGTTGGGTCGGACGCAGCTTCATCCCGTTCAGTTGACGGAAAACCTTGCGATCCGCACCAGTCAAGCGATTTGTGACTTTCTGGAAGACTGAGTATTGCTGGATCCACCGACGGAGATATCGAAGCACGATGGGGTTTTGCTGAGCATTACGAACTTCCGCCTCGATGTCGTCCAATTTGCGTGTCGATGCTTGAAACGTGTCCTGCCCTTCTGCTTCGTCCGTGACTTCCACCTCATCGCCTTCCACTTCCGCAGACTTCTGGTTTGTAGGGTTGGTCTGAACCGCACTGTTGAGGAACTGCTGGGTGGTCGAAGTCTCCAGCTTCCCTTCGACAGCTCGTACGAATATCTTCGGGATGGCGGACCGAAGCCAGGATCCAGTCACGTGTTTTTTCATCCACTTGATGGGATCTATAACAACCTGCAAAGGGTCTCCGAATGCGGCCGCAACCTTCACCAATCTATCGATGAACGGTCCGATTCGTTCCTCGGCGCCAGTCAAAGAGCTAAGAATTGGCCGGAGAGCCCTCCATTCGAAGCTGTCACATAGACGTGGTAGAGCTCGAAGTGAAAAAAGATCCGTCTGTGCGAGTTGGCCGTCCTGGCCAGAGAAGTTTTGCGAGCAGCAACAGCAGATTGCCAGTACGATCAGGCGTTTCACATAAGCGACTCGGTCTTTCGGATCAATCGTTTCGGTGATGCAGGCCAAATGCCGGTGGTCTTGAAGGTGTCGGAGTAGGAATCCTTGTAGGTCCCAACGAATTTTGCTGAAGGGATCAATCTTCCAATAGTTGGTCGCGTCCGCGTAACAGGAGCTCCCGACTTGACGTTTGAGCAGTGCTGCGATCCCAGAACTATGCCCGCCTTGGATGATTTCGGCCGTGACGAGCCTTGCAGGCATCACCGTTTCATAAAAGCGATCTGTTAACGCTATACTGATGAAAAACAGTTTGTCGAAAACAAACAGCTGGGACTTGGCCGAAAGTGCGTTCTGCGCAGTCGATCGCGACCTTATACCTTCAGGTCTACCCGGCTGCGGAAGAGAGCGAACCAGCGAAGGCAGACTGTTGTGGAAGAATCTCGACAAACACACGGCCGCTTCTGCCATGGGACGTATGTTATCGTCCGGTTCGCAAACGCTCCATCGAACAGCCTCCATCAAGTTGGTCATGAGGATGTGATTTGGATCCAGATGCTCGAGCGAGCGTTCTCGGCATGTCCATTTGAGCGCAATGACGGCAAGATCCGGGCGAGCGGCATACTCGATCCCTTGGCGGTACACGATCACTCTACGCAAGAAGTCCTGACTTGTTTGTCGTGATAACCATGAGGATGCGTGACATGCGCGAGGGGAAGCGGGATCGAGGGGAAAGACTATGTCATCCATGTTCTTGATGAACTTGTCTGTGGAAGGTCCGTCCGGCTTGCAATGTCTCATCATATGGATTCCAAAAGTGGTCTGTCGAAGTCCAAACGGTATTGAAGTCAACTAGGATTCGAAAAGAACGGCCACAGTGAAACTCACGGCTATCTCGACCAGCAAATCAAAGTGCCCTTCGGTGGCGGGGAGGGAGTTGCAGAACCTGGCCAAGAAGGCCAAAATCTCGTAGGCTTTCCGCTCGGCCTCTTTAATAACGCGTTTGCAGAAGGCGCCTAGCATTGGTGTCAGCTGAGCTGTGGTCATCGGGAGACGATGCATGGTCCCTTCGACGCAGGGCGAAGTGTCGAGGGCACGCCATTTTTTCTGTTGACATTGCGGCACCAAATGTATGGCTGTGCCGAATCGAGCTGGATAAATCCCTAATGCCTTCATGTGGTCGGGAGTGGGGACGCTACCACTACAGAGATGTGATGCGTATTCACTCCAGTCGTCGAATCTTCGGTGCCACTGCTGAATCAGGGAGAGGAGAGCGCGAGCAGAGGCCGCACTCGGTTCCACTTTGCGAACGCTCAGGAGGTGATGCTGACTCTGAAGACATCTCGAAAAATCGCATAACTCGAAGTAGGGCTGGCTGGCCGCGTTAAGTCCATCTTCTCCAACGTGTTTGGCGGTTTGAATGAGGGTTGTTTCTCGAGTCAGAAGATGTCGCGCTCTCCAAAGCCTAGCGTTCTCTTGAACGAGTTCCCAGTCGCGGAGAACGTCATCTCTTCCAGCAGACTTCCAAAATTCCATAGCCTTGTCGAGCTCGAGACGTTCCTCGTGGATCGCGGCCAGCCGCTCCCATGCTTTGTCCACTTTGAGTAATTCTTCGACCAAGGACTTCCGACCCAAGTCCTCTAGAAACGATACTCTCTCATCGAAAGTCTGGAAAAGACTTGCAAGTCTGGTGACGTGGCGGTCGCTCGCTTCTTCTCCATATTTGTAGGCGAAGTCTTCGAAGATCCGCTTGTATTCTTCATCGCGAACAATCCAGTCGAGCTCTAGAGTAGAAAGTAGCCTGGAGTATGCGGGCGATCCTGCTGCATTCAAGCAATACAACAAAGCTCTGCTTGTGCCCGTCGATTTGCCGCAGGATTCCCAGCAATCTGCGGCTGTGAGAAACAATTGTGTGCTAGATAGATGCAGGGCAGCCGTTTGGTACTGTGTTGCAGCACGGCGAAACATCCTTAAGATCGCGAAGAGCTTCGCCGCGCTTTCTCGCTCACGCGACGCTTTCTTCTTGTCTGAAGGCTTGCTAAGACCTTCCAAGCGCAATGCTTCCCCTATATGCAAATATGCCCGCGCCTCCTGCTCTTTCTCCACGTTTCCGGCTTTGACAAAGCAGGCAACTGAGCGCTATACAAGAAAGCATATTGGCTGCGTTTAGGTCTTTCTGCTTTCCAGCTAACGAGAATCTGCTCACCTCGTAGTCTTCGGCGGTCATGAAGCGGAGCCCAGCTTCGAGCCACTCTTGCGGGGTCGATCTCTTGGCAAGTGGAATTGACACTTCACCGTTGGCAGCTGGACCGAGGGTGGTAACCAGCTGCTGCTCCTGTAGACCGAGCCGAACGACCTCTCCCCTTTCGCTCTGATCATAGATCCATAAGTTCGAGCGCGCTCTAGTCACGGCCACATATAGTTGCTTCAGCTCAAAGAGCAGCGCCTGGTCGCCCATGCGATCGAATCCTGTTTCATGTCCCTCTTGCGAAAACAATATTCGCCATCGCTGGAAAGGCGAGTCAGCGAAAAAGTTGTACAAAATTACATCCTATAATGATGGTGTCAGTCATACGGTAACCAACACGAATGACACAACGGATGCATAACTTGCCTCGAATTCAAGCCCTTTGCACTCTTTAATATCTAGGACGATTGCGCTCGGTCCGATTGACGCCTTGACGCACTTCTTAGCGGCCGCGTTTCGAACTATTATGGCTTGATCCGCCCCGAACTCGATATTCTCTACGTTCACATCCTCCACGGCTCCTACCACGCGCGCTAAGAATGCCTCAACGCTCATGTTTTCGAGAAATACAGGCAAACCGCCACCTGCTAGGCCACGATCTGGCGCAAGCCGATCGATGCTGGACGGGAAGAACTTGGTGATAGACTGCAAGACAGCATTTCCCAGCGCAACAATGGGTTCGACCGAGCGATAATTCATGGTGAGCGGTTTCAGCTTGGGAACCAGCTCTCCGGCTCCGCCAGTCTGTAGAAGCTTCCGTGCGACCATTGGATCCGACAGAGCCAGGTGCGGCAGGTAGTTCGTAAAGTATAGACTTTTGAGGTCCGCAAACCGAAAGTTCGCCGCTGAATTAATCACTTGGGCTGCATCACCGGCATAGTGGATGATTTCGGAAGCGCCTGGGCCATTCAAAAGATATTTGAGCAATGCCAAGGAAGCCGTGTTCTATTTTGAACGTATTTCATCAGAACCTGGTTACAGTCTGCGATCGCCCTTGCAAAGAGCTCACCAGGTCCTGAACCTCTTCTATAGCGAGGGTTTCCAATTCAAACGTTTGGCATACCTCTGGATGGTCTCGGCAGCGAGAGTAGAGATTAATGACCGCGTCAGTGGAGTCCCACTCATTGTCGTTCTGAGTTGCTGATTTGTAAACCTCAAAGCAGTCGTAGACTAAATTCATGTCTGCTTGGCTCAACATGTTGTCGCGACGATTGTGTGTCTCGAGGTACTGCGGCCTTGACAGGGATCTTGCCTTTTCCACGGCTTCCAAGGAACCTTTAATCACCGTTTGGAACTCGCCGAAAAGTACGGATCCTCCAACGAATTTCTTTTGGGCCAGCAGCGGCATGCGATGCATGTAGTGCGTTTGGAAACGCTCCCAATCCACTTCGGCGGGATTACCGAATCCTGACTCAATTCTCTTGAAGCCCCAGAATCTATGTCCAGGAATAGACTGATCCAGGACTCGAAGCAGGTACCCGAAGGTCCAGAAAAGAGGGAAATCCTGGTCCTTTAGCTCCTGGAACATCGGCACATCTTCCGAATCCGCGAACACATCGTCATTAGCGTCATCGGTAAGTGTGACTCGTTGTGAAGATTCTGGGCACGTCTCCCAGCTTTGTCGCAGTCTGACGAAGTGCTCTTTGATTGCTAGACAGAGTTTCGGACTCGCGGTCAAAAGCATCTGCGGACATCGCTTCCCTTCTGTACTTTCTGCTTTTACGAACATCTTCAAGACCATGACGGTGGTTTTGCCCTGCAAATCGAATGGAATCGTCAGCAACCACACAGCGGCATCTGATAGGCTTGACACTCACCGTCCCCGAGCGACCTATAACAAAAGTGCTTGAAGAGTCGTGCACCAGGGCCGTTTCCTCCGAAGATAGCACGAAAGGGAGCTCCATGCGGGACAAGAAGCCTTTGACTAAAGCCTTGTGAACACGGGGTGTGAACTCGTAAGCTTTCGCAAGATCTAATTCGTTGATCTCCGTTGGGAGCTTCCCTGGAGCTTGAGCGTCACAGCGTGTCCTCTCGACGATGCGCTCGTCGCGGGCAAACGTCAAGGGCAACGCCTTCCCATCGACCCAATTTTCAGCCGCACAGAGATCCAGATACTCGTCCGTAAAGGCCTTACAGGCGTTGGCAATGCATCGCATCGTATCGTTCAGTGCGCTAGTTAAGGGAAATGCCCAGATCCAAACAGTTTGGACGTAGATGTATTTGTTCTCGGTGGAGACAACCGGTTTGGAGCTGGCCAAAGCTTTGACGCTCCACAGCAGCGTGCGATCGTGGATTGGCACGCGCTTGACGAACGCAGGCCGACCCCTGATATCATAACCAAATTTGGCTGCACGTCTAGAGTATCCCTTGAGGAAAACGTTGAAGCACTGGACTAGATTGTTGACTGCTCCCTTGTCCAAATCTTGCGTTTGCTGTTTACACGCCTTGGTGAAGACTGCCCGCCAGGCCGAGTCGGCTCCCAGATCTAGATTCACATCCGCAAGTTTGTCGATCCCATCGGCCACCCGTACCGGCTGGTAAGAGGGCTTAGCCTGGAGTACGGCGACTCTCTCGTCCCTTTTCGCAGCCACAATTTTCTTGGACCCGATGTGTAGGTCTACCAGGTTACTTGAAGCTTCTTGGTAAAAGCCGCGCTCTCGAGCGTTCTTGATGAGAGCAGCCCATGTGGGGGACGAGGACAGCGTAGAAGCGTTGCCGAATACTTTGAGTACATAGCGCGCTCTCGTTAGCGCGACGTTCAATCGCCTGGGGTCGCCTTCGGAAGAATTGTTGATCAGCAGGCGGGTTACGGGCAAGAAAATAACATTCCTTACTGAGAAAACCGATGTTTTTCTGCGGATTCGCTCGGGTTGTTGCGAACAGCATAATATCACGTTCCTGGCCCTGAAACGCATCTACCGATGCAATGTCTACAATGACAGCGCAATCAGGGGGGCAGGAGATCTCGATCCGATTGATCCGAGACGTAGTTTCCCAAAACTTGGCTGACGGCATGGCGCTGGATATCTTTCGATTCAACAGTTGTACCTGTTCCGTGTATCCCGTAACGCAGCCGATTTCGATAACGCCATTGTATGCGGCTTCCTTGAATTTGGCCATGAGGCCCTTCAAAAAGCCGACAATGATATCTGCCTCGACAACGTTCTTATAGCTTCGCGTGTCGTCGTTGCGTTCCTCTACTCCGGGTATGTTAAGAAATGTGTAAGGCGCAGTTATGAGCTCTGAGGTCTTCTGCCAAGTTGGAGAGCGGCTATCAGATCGGACGTTGTCTCCGTTTACGATCCGAGAGTCGTAGAAAGCGTCCGAGGGCCACATCGAGATCATCGGATCCATGCGGTACTGAACATCGAGCAACGTATGTGTGCTGCCAGCTCTTAGGAGACGCTCAAACATAGAGGTTGCGAATCCCTTGATGCGTAGATCTTGGTTTGAGATGACGGACGGTAATTGCTGGGGGTCCCCGATAGCGACTAGACCGCGGATGTTGCGACGAAGCAATATCGCCATTTCCGGCTCGACAGTTTGGGTAGCTATCGAAAGTTCGCGATCAGAGGAGGATATTTCCAGGACGCCTCAACTTACTCACCTTCGTCGAGTATGATGAGCGGGCGTTTCTTGAACGACGATTTAAGCGCTCTGCCTCCGGCTGAATTGACAGTAGAGAAGACCACTTTAGCGGCGTTGCTGAGCACGGCATCAAGATCCTCCGATCGGAGAGGTTTCCGAAGCCGGACTTGCGGCAAGAGTTCCTGGACCTGAGCGATCAAGTTTCCTTGAAGATCCGCCAGCGACTTGGTATCGACCTCGACGGCATCGCGCCATTGTTTCAGCAATGACAAGCATTGCTCGGCTTGTTCGCGACAGCTGACATAAGTTTCGGTCAGATCGGTCACGATTGTCAGCATCAAGACGCAACCTTGGGCCACAGTCTCGATCCGCCATGACCATGTTTCGGTGATGGAAGGCTTGTGATCGGTTCCGTCGCTCCTGTAGACGTGAAACCCGTCCATATTCTGCTTGAATTCCGCAAGTTTGATGTCGAAATTGCGAAGGCGACGGTACCTCATCTCGTAAAAGATCAAATCGATGTCGTCGGCAGTGTCCACACTATCCTCGTTTCCGTACAGACAAAGCTGAGACGGGTGCAGCAAGCGCGTCTTCTTCGAATCGCGTAGAAGCCGAATTGCCACTTCTCTGACAGCTGCGTTACTAGGAGCACAGACGTGAATAGTTTGTCCGGGATACGACATGCTGATCGCAAGAATCATGGTCGAGAGCGTGTGGGTTTTCCCTGTACCCGGGGGACCATGGATAAGAATGGGATGCTTGCAGTCGACGATGAGTGGACGCAATGCTGCGTGTACCGCCAGCTTTTGGGAGTGGTTGAGTGCCTTGTTATTGCTGTATAACGGGGAGCAGGCGTCAGTGATTACGTTACCGCAGAAACTTCCATTAGTACTCACGCTGCCAAGTACTCAATGACATCCGCATGCTGGGGGGAGATGTCGAGAGAAGCGGTGTTTTCGACTGGACCGGGACGAAGGACGTGCTGCATCAACAGCTCGGAGTGCTCCGGATCGCAGAGGGCTTTGAAGATTCGGTACCCAGACGCGATCGAAGAGACCAGGATGATCTTGAGCTGTCCGCCCGCGCCAAGCATCTCAAGGACATCGGCGTAGCCGCGCGAGACCTCGACTAAGACCTCCCAACGTTCTTTGAAGGAGGAATTGTGGTTGCCAGGACCATACCTATCCGTCATGTCCTCGTACTTCGTTTGGGTGTGGACGATGCCGGCCGCGCACATGACCGCAGTCTCCTCCCAAGGTTTGGCCGAGGGAGAGACGTAGACGAAGTCTTGCGATCGAAGATGAGGATCTTTCTTGAACTCGAATTTGAGGACTACGGCTCGGTCTCCCAGAGTTTTGATGGTGGATCTGATGGTGGCGTCCTCGATGTCGGTAGCCCACATGGGACGGGTAAGCTTGTCAGGTCTCTGAATGGCTTGACAGAGTCCGCTATGAAGCTCGACTCGAATGGCGGGCTTGTACGCCGCCTTCCAAGCTTCGGCGGATTGAAGCAGCGGGAAGTGTGGAAGCTCACGGATATCCTCATCGTAATGGTGCTCATCCAGCAAGATCTCGGGAGTCCATTCGAGGAGGGAGGAAATTAAGTCCTCCGGAAATAACAAAGCATGGTGCTTGCCGGGAGGAGGTAGAGGCTCGTCGACAAACGGCATTCCGAGGGAGCGTGTTGTTTCTTGTTAAGCTTGATAAGTTGGCAAGACGATGAAGATTCGGTGTTGCCGTTGTTGAAACAAGAAGTTCGAGCTTCGATGGATGGGGAGCAGGTAAAGTTGACCTTGACTTGGTTTCCTTGGAGTGGAAGTGATATCTAAAAGTGGTATTCCCTCGACCAAAGAGCTTTCTCCCTTTTCGTAAGCTCGTGCTTCCTAGCTTCTTGCTGAATTGCTGGCATTGTTGACTTCCGACGATTTCCAGCTTTTCATCATCAATTTCGTCCGGAAGATTTTTTGTTGTCGTCGTTCCTGGTCGTCCGTTGTTTAATCCTTGATTGTCGCTGGTCGTCGTCTTCTGTGCACAACGTTTTACATGTTGCATGTTGCCTATCGTGTACTCCTGCCGCTCCTGCCGCTCTCGTCATCGTCCAACACTTGATTTCTCCATCATTTGTTGAAACCTGCTTCCCAGTCTGTGCGCAGCTCACAGTTGAACGTACGACAGGAACCCTAAATCGGCTGATCGATTGAAGATGATCATCGTTTCGACAATCATGGTGGATCTGACGACCGTTGTCTCACTCGGTCGTCCAGTACCCCATTTTTCCGGTGTCGATAATCAGATCTCCTATCGGGCATATCGGGCGAGGACAGAAGTTGGAAAGAAAATCGCTGTGACATCATCTTCTTGTACCTTCCTATCGATCTCAGGTCGCGATTGGCCGGTTGGAAGGGGTCGTGCTTGAACTCACAGCCTTGGGAATTATCGCATTACAATCAGTAGAACGTCGAGGTCGACCGATCGGTCATGCCCGTCTGTTTTATTGTCAGGCTCGCTGAACCTGACATTTTTTGATATGACTTCGTAAATAAGGGCGATCATCTCGATCACCATTGTCGCTGAGTAGTACCGGTCAATTCTGTCAGCTATGGATGTATGAATACGATATACAATCGTTGAGCAACAGTCTTAGCTAGCTAGCTAGGCATCCCTATCACTGCGGCTTGAGCCCCCGACACTCGCCATGAACGTGAACGCCGAGGCGTCTTCTTCACGCAGCGGCTCTACGAGCGGGACTCGACCGAATACCAGCAAAGATGAAGAGGTACCGGTGTCGGCAACGCAGAAGAAGCAGAATGACTTCAGAAGATATCTAGCGGGACAGAGTGTGATGAAGAGTGGTAAGTGTTTTCAGATGCCCGGCGTATTCGAGTCTCGTCTGAGATAGTGATCGCTTTATGACCCATCACCACGCATCGTGCAGGCTTGACAAGAGATCCACAAGGTATGTCGCAAGCGCCCCGGGGTCTCAGTGCTACAGCTAATAGTAGCACACGTCACCATGCACAGAGGTTGAAGCGATCATAGCAGAAGCGAGCAAGAATTCCAAATTCTACCTGAGAGAGGTAGAGAAAGATCGGGTGCTAGGGAAAAAGATAGAACAACTGCTCAAGCTGGTAAGCCAAATTCGCCAACCCATACTGGCTCTCTACGTTCGTATTGACGTTTCTGTCCATCTTCGCCTGAATAGAAAGACCAGATGGTAAAGACTGCAAACATGGAACGCTTAGAACGGGAAGCAAACGAAGTGGTAAGCCCTAACAAGCTGAACCTTCAAAGAGCCGACAGATCGGCAAGCTGAGATTGTCCCTCTCGTAGCTGGCACAACTCGAATCGACCCGTGATCTCACGCAGTATATCATACACGTCGATATGGATGCATTTGTGAGTATCAGTTCTTGTCAATCGCTCGTGTGCTATACTGATGACAGCATTCCGGTTGAACGTATAGTACGCAAATGTAGAAGTCAAGAAGGATCCGAGTCTCAAGGGGAAAGCTTTCGGCGTAGGATCGGGTGTGCTGACGACAGCTTCTGTAAGCTAGACGTGACGAAAGAATAGGGTCCGATTCGAGCTGCAACTAACAGGTACTTGTCTCTTGGTGCGTAGTACGAAGCGAGGAAGTTCGGTTGTCGATCGGGAATGGCAGGCTTCGTCGCGAAAAAGCTCTGTCCTCAGATTATCTTGTGGGTCGGTGCGGTGAGATTGACCACGAAACGACAGCTGACTCGAGTCCCCCAATCCATCTTAGCGTCAAACCCGACTTTGCGGCTTACAGCGAGGCTTCCAAGGCGGTCAGGGAGATCTTGCTGGAAGTGGGTGTCGTTACGATCATTGGCTTGAGCTCGGCTGTAGCTGCGAGCTGATTTGTTCCGCGCTGCGCAGTATGACGAGAATATGGCGATGGCAGGCATGGACGAAGGATACCTAAAGTGAGCGCGATGGCGTCTAGGCGTTCGAACTTCGTTATTGATTATCCCTCGGACCTTAGCATCACGCCCTACATGGCCGCCCACGAGATGACGGCAAGCGAAGTCGTCTCGCACCTTCGAGCAGAGGTCGAGTCTCGAACCGGCTTGACAATCTCCGCTGGAATCGCTCCAAACACCATGCTGGCCAAGATTTGTTCCGACAAGAACAAGCCAAACGGACAGTACGAATTACCTTTTGAAGGCAAGGCAATCAGAGAGTTCATGAGGGACCTGCCAGTCCGGCGGATACCAGGTGAATTGTGACCCGTCTACATTTTTGAGAACGAACTCGCCTCTCTTCTCTGGCTCAACGCTGACGTTAAGATACTATCTTAAGGTATTGGCCGGGTAGCCGAACGCTATGCCCAGGCATTAGGGGTCAAGGTGTGCGGGGACGCGTATACACATCGAGGCGTCATCAAACTGATGGACCGGTATATCGGGTTTCGGTACATGATGTGAGTTTGGCCTTGCGGTGATGCCAGTCCGAGACTTGCGCTGAATCGAGCTTCTCACAGGCGTGCATATCTTGGACTAGGAAACAACGTGGTCGAGCCGGGCAAGCGGGAAGACAGGAAGAGCGTTGGCTGCGAAAGGTAAGCTAGATTCCTGCAGACTCTTGAAACTGCTTGTGACTGATAGCGCGCCTTCACAGAACGTTTCGAGAGAAGAGCAATTCGGACGAAATCCTAGACATGCTTCGGGAAATCGCCGACAGCTTGGAGGAAGATCTGAAACGGACGGGCTTTTCAGGGAGAACCGTCGTGGTGAAATATAAGGTGAGATCGAGGTCATCTGAAAGGAAGTATCGTCTCATTGCTTACCTAAATGATGTATTGCAGCTGCATACTTACGAGAGTGAGTGCACTCGTGCGGTTTGATGAGCAGATCGTAGCTCACACACGGCCAATCAGACTTTACCCGCCAATGCGGAGCTCCGCGATACATCAATTCAGCCGAAGATATCTTACCTCTCGCTCGGTCGCTCTTAGTGAAGGAACTACCGTTGAAGATCCGACTCTTGGGTACGTCCGCCCTCGGATGGAACGCGTGCACCAGGAAATTGCTAACTGCGCGGTGACTTCGCTGTAGGGATAAGGATGACCCATCTTAAAGATTTGCGTGCTGATGAGAAAGGTATTCAGAAGGTAAGAACATGAATACTGCTCGAACGGAGTATCAGGACTGACCAATTGAACAGTTCTTCAAAGGAAAAGAATCGCCACCAAAGGGTGTCGCCGGAAATGCAAAAAATACAGGGAATGAGAGCGACGATGATGAGCCTATCTGGCTGGACTCGGACGAAGAAAACGAACCAGCGGCAGGCAACCAGGAGCAGAGCGTTGATCGCAAACGAAAACGCCCTGATACGATCACCACGATCGACGACGATAGCGAAGATGACGGCATCGAGGTGGTTTGTCCGGTCTGTGAGAAATCTTTTCCTGCAAGCACGAAAACCAACAGTATGAATCATCACATCAACGCATGCCTCGACCAGCAAAACGATACAAGCAAGACGAAGGGAAACAAGCATAATTCGCCAAGGGCAACGAAAAAGACCAAGAGCAAGAAAACAGCGAAACCTAAAGACGTCTTCGAAATGCTCATGAGAGGACGAAAATAATGAACAACACCTTACGACACCAGCACGATTCCACACGCGATGATCTATATTATACCAATTTGTATCATTTATCCCTCTACCGTGTATCCCAAAGTTCCCGTTGTACCGATGCCCGCCGTGCGGGCCCAAAGCGAATGTCTATCGTAACGCCTATCCTCCTCATCGATCGATAGCGACATGCTCGGAAGCTGATCGGCGTTGAGCGAGAGCTCTCGGAAGTAAGGGACGTGGGACGTAGCTGAGTCCGTACAGCGCCAAGCCTGAGGCTGTATCGCAGGCCAACCCGGTTGCCCAGCCTAGACTGGTCGTTCGATTGCGACGTGACACGGCGTTGTCAGGCGGATAACAGGGCGCGACGTCGCTTACAGAGGCTGGTTGTTTCTGAAGACTTTCAGGATCGCCTTGTTCAGTTGAAGCGATGGTGATGGCCGAGGGGACGCTCATGTCGTCCCATGCAAAGTTGATAGCGAGTCTGGGTCGGAGTACTCTGGGGAGAGATGACTTGACCGATCGGCCCGCAAGGGAAGCAGGTGGCAATGCTTTCGGTTCGGGTAGCCGACCGATCGTCGCATCCGTGTCTTCGAGAGGTCCGCCAGTCTTTGCGCTGTCTCGCGGTGACAACGTAACAGAGTTGACACCTGCCTTGATAGACAACTCTGAGAGCGCTTCTTCATCCGGTGTTTTGACGAGCGAAAGCTCCGTTTTGACAACCGGACTCCTGCTATTCGCTTCATTCAACTTGGTAACGCTCTCGACATCCTCATCCTCTCGGGGCGATCCGCATCTCGAGGTCGGGAATGATACTTGAAATCGATCAAATTGGGGAGGAGCGATGATAGGCGAGGATGCGAACGGGTCATGCGTGTCGTCGAAAGCGGGACTTGTTGCAGGCGAAACGACGGGAGCTGTTTCGAGGTGAGGCTTGGGTGCGAGACGGCTAGGTCCGGATACATCCCAGATAGGAGGAGCCAGACGGATAGAGTTCGTGTGAGATGGAGAGGCGGTCGGAGAAGGAAGCAGCGACTTGTGGGTTCCCAAGATGGCCATCATGTTTGCAAGCGAGGGCTGTCCTGCGACGAGCACTTCCTCGGTCATGACCGATCGGGGATCGTCAAGCGAAGCGGCATCCGAGATATCTTCTCTACTGGTCTGATGCCTTAGACTGTGACCACCGGGAGTACTACATAGTCTGCTAGAAGCTCGACTAAGACTGTGCGGGCCGGCGTGGGACTCCTGGGATGAAATGGAGATCCTTCGAAGCGCGATCGGAGTGTGAGGTGGTGATCTGGACCGAGCCACAGGGGAGGAAGAACGGGATATCCGGCTTTCGATATTGGAGCGGTAAGATGCGGGAGAGTATGAGATGTAGTCTTTGGCTCCATCTAGGTTGACGGGTGGACCAGGGGAAGTGCTGGTAACCGTGATGTAGCTGCGGTTGGGGAAGCACGTTCGATCAGTTTCTTGAGCGCTTCCCGGTCTCTGTAATACACTGACTTTGTGTGGTTTCCAGCTGGACTCGCCCATACTCCAGCAGGTCCTGAAGCGATATATGAGGCTCGAGTTGCCAAGATCGGAGTGTTGGGGGCAGTGTAAGAGCCGGAAGGCCTTCTTGGAGGTGGTGTAGCGGGCATGAGAGAGGTTTCTTTCTCGACCGATACGTCGAGCAGGCCGTCGCCCGCCATCTGGTCGGAAACGTTTGCTGTAGAGGTGTCCAAGGTTGAGAAATGGTACGGGTACTAGAGGTGTCGATTCAAAGCCTCGAGTTGATGACACGGATAGCGAGTAACTTAGTGACCAGTGCACCAGTGTAATCAGAGTATAATCTTGCTGACGACAACCTTGAATCAAAGGATATCGATTCTTAGCTATCGACCATCCATGACGAAGCATCCGCTCGGAAGCAATATTCGGATTCCAGCTCATGATATGATAAGGATGCTCGAGCACTGATCACTGATCACTGACGATGCTCTTTTCCTGGTATCCGTTACAAGATCAAGACAATAACACCCCAATGCCTACAGCTCTTGCATCTCAATCGTCTCCTTCCGCCTCAGTGTCTGTGTTCGGTTCCCGCCGTTCACCGCATCGGCATTGACATCCCCTCTCGAACGCGTCGGTTCCGGTTGCTCATTGAGTAGCTCGCGTAGCTTGTCGAGTGCCCACGTTCGGAACTCTTCGAAAAAGGCTCGACCCGTTCGGATGAGCGGTGACATCATCCCCAACGAGTACAAGAGGTATCTATCAGGTTGACCAGTCAAACATCAGTAATGGATACGTGCTTCCGAGGGGAAGGGGGTCTGTCTGCTTACACCCCGGCTCCCAAGATGGCAACCATGACGATCTGCAACGGATTGAACAGGATCCCCTTCAAGTCGTTCCTCCCCAATACAAGCAACAACCCATAAACCCATGTCGGGATCTGCGACATGGTCGAGACGATACTCCGCTTGGCTTCCACATAGTAGGCGTCGGCGTCCTTCTTGAACCTGTTTTCCAGCTCCAGCTTCTTTGTCTCGGACAGGATCTGAAGCGAGGATTCAAAGTCGAACTCGGTGTCGGGGTCGGAAGAGCTGAGGTCTACTGGTAGACTAAACTCGGCTTCCTGGTCTCGGAAAGTGATTCTTGAGAACAGCGGGATCAAGTCTAACGTCTAATCATAATAAGTCAGCGTCAGCATACCTCTCCACACTGCCCAACCCTCGATCAAGAGCTTACCTCCTCTTTTGCCCTTCGGAACTCCCCATCGATATCATCATTCGGCGTCCATACCCGAGGTACGCCCGAAGCGTCGTATCGGAAGCTGTCCTCGAACTGATCCCTCAACTTGGCCATGATCGCGTGATCTGAAAGCTGCTCCATGATTTTGCCATGCAGGGCCGTCCACGCTCGTCGGCGCAATACCTGGATGTTGGCATCGTTTTCCTCGTCTGTACAGTTGTAGGCTGCGAGAATCTGGACTTCAGCTGATGTTCCCTCTCAACAAGAGATCGTGTCTAGCCAGACTAACTCTTCGCTCGTGCCATGTAAAGCTTCTCGGCTCTCGCAAGGACCGCCTTGAAGGTGATCAACAGATCGTCCCACATCTTGTCCGAAGGCTTGGATAGTGACACTTCCACCGGCTCGCCGAGTTGTTTCTTGACGGTTCGCTGTGAATCGAAATGCGTTCAGCTTTGCTTTCGAGATCATTCTGATTAAAGATGACGGCTTACCTCGATTAAAATGACCATCTTCTTGGTCTCGTCTGATCGGCACTGGTCGGCAATGGCCTGGAGATCCCGGCGGAGCGATTTCAGTTCGTCCTCATGACTCCAGTTGACTTCCTTGATTTGCATCTCTGAACGAAACCCTGTTTAGGTCCACCTCGAGCGGAGAACTGTACTAGCCCTTGTTACTCACCTTCAGCGCCCGCGATGAACGCGTTCTCCGCCCTAGCTCTGCACTCCTTACTGGCCACAGCGAAATCGCTACCTTCCCTCTTGAGTGCCGTCTCGAGATCGTTCTTGAACGCAGCCTGTTGTTTGTGATGGAGGTTCTTCAGTTGACCCAGGTAGAGCGGCATCAACGAGCCTTCGATAGCTTTGGCGACTTCTGCCCGCTTGCGCATGTAGACAGCAGGGTGATATCGGGAAGCGTCCTTGTCGAATTTGCCTATAACACGACGGGGAGTCAGTCTCGTTCCCGCTACTCAAACGCTCCACGCATGCCTTCTCACTCAGTGCGGTGGACCTCCAGTCGCCCATCATCCCACCCAGGCCATCCATCACGGAACCAGTCTCAACAGGCTTTCGTACACCTTTTGAAGCCTGCTCGAACTGTTCCCATACAACAGCGGCAATCTCATCGCATCGGAATTGAGCCAAAAGTTCTTGCTGAGTAGGCAGATCCAGGTCCTTGTTGGCCAAGACTTGTTGCTGTGAAGCGCAACGAAATCAGCTCTATGTCAGCTACCGTCATTCACTTGATGGTACTGACCCAAATGCCATCCAAATAGAACCCGACACCGTCCGCGGGGATCCGTTTGTGGTAAGCGGGCTTGAAGACGAAATCGTCCCTCTCTCGATCGGTAAACCTCTTTCTCAGGTCGACCACGGCCTCCTCGAACTTTTCGGGCATGAGCACCTTGTGCGGCAGGGCGGCGAATGTGAGATCGAAATAGTCGCCTAGCTTTGACTGTTTGAGGTGGTCAGGCTGAATGCGAAATAGTGGTCAGACCGCAAACAATGTTGACTAAGGCGAGATTTATACGAAACTCACCTTGGATAGACCATCCCAGATCTTCTCCATGTCCTGCGTCAAAGTTTGCGTCAAGTTCGCCAGGGGGGTCGAACCGACGAAATCCCGGATGACGAACATCAATAGCGTCTTCTCGTGCCTATCAAATCGGGATGAGTGCGAGTCAGATCGCTGATCTCCACCACACCACGCTGTGGAACGCACCCCTTAGCTCGGATCGCACCGTCTCCTTGCTTGTCCTTTCCAGGTGCAGAACCCCCAAACAGACCGAGGTTGACCTCGAAGACCGTCTTCAAGAGTCCCATATTGGCACCCTGGTACAACCCGATCTGATGTTCCCTATCGACCCGACCCCGGCATTTCTTCAGCTTTTCAGGATCAGTACGAGGCTGGGCAAGTGAACATGACGTACCAAAGGTTGACAAGCAAGACTTCTGTCCCGGCCAGACTGAAGAGCGCGCTCTTTCGTTCGAAGTCCTGGTCTTCCCCTCGTTCCCGTCCGTCGGTACCTTCGACGTCCATCACGATCGTCGGCGAGTAGATAGAAGGAGACAGCCAGATACCTGCAAGACAGATGAATAGAGTTCAGGTTCGGTCTGGCAAAGTTGGCTTTGATAGGGGTTTAGCGACGAACCTTTAGTAGTCTGTTGTCGCCTAGTCTCATCCATCACATCAAAGTTGGTTCCGAACAACCTGTTGAGCAGGGTACCTGCACCCGGCGCACGCAAAAAGGCACGTTCAGCGAGATTAGCTTCGGATACTATCTAGGCGGCAGGAAGATATTGTGAGCGGGACTGACTCTTTCCGGTGCTCTGAGAGCCAAAGACGGCCACGACATCGTAGGCGAAACCTTTATCCAGCAGACCCCACTTCCCCATATACTTTGACAGATTCGGGCTGACATCGGCGCAACAACATATTCAGTTACAATCCCTTTCCTCTATATGTATACTGAGGCGGCTCGCTCACCTGAACTCTTGTTTCTCGTTGACGACCTGTAACCGCCCGTCCCCTAGATCGCTCGTCCCCTCTCGCTGTTTATTACCCTTGCTCTCCGGCTTGAACCCTTCGGCTTTCATAGCGTCCATAGCTTTTGTAGGTACCCTCGGATCGTTCAGTATGTCCTTGAATTCGGAGGAGGGATTCTTGAGAGCTTCTTGAGCTGCGTCGATGGACAGGTTCATAAGAGAGGGTATGAGATGGGTGTCGATGAGAGGGGGAGAGTGTCGAGACGAGGTAGATCGATGGATGTCGCAGCTGCGTGAAAGCTTCTTGAGATCCAATCGATTGCTATGAATGAGCTTATCCCTTAGTTATCGCAGTGCTTGATTTTTGTCTACGGTCGAGGATCGCTAGGATCGAGGTTCACATACCGATACGACGAAAGAGGTTGTTGATGTTGAGGCAGTTGCACCTCCTCCCCCGCTTACGGCATCGGTCGGGGTATGACGCGAAGCTCGGCGCTCAAGGGAAATGTTGATTGACCCCTCCCTCGACAAAAGGTCATCTCGGGTAATGTACCTCCTCTCACTTCCTGCCCCAATACCTGTATCACTTGAAGCTCCTAGCATCGCACCTAGAGGGTCCGGGAATCCATCACCCTTGGCAGGATGTTCCTCATCCCGTCTCATCTGCGCAAAGTACTCCAATCGGTCCTCACCGAAAACGCTCACGAAGGACCACATACCGCTCTCCTCCTGCTCGCCCACGGACAAGTACTGTGCACGGCCAGTAACGCCGATCCGGATTGGTATTCCTCCGGTAGTACGGGAGATGACGATGGGGACGATGATGGTGGATCGGATGACGACGATGAAGACGGAGAGGAGGAAGACGAAGACGAAGAGAATAGCCGAGGTGAAGGAGGGGAGGATGACGAGGACGAGCCTTATATACCCACCCCGGAGAGGAACAGGATGTTACGTGGGATCGTCAAAAGTCAGTTGTTAGAGACGGACGCCTTTCCCGATCGATCGGTACCGGGTGGGAAGAAGGAACGGGGGAGCATCAAGATTGAATGCGATGTGAGTCGGCTCGAACAGTCTCCTTCAACGAGATTTGAATCAGCTTGATTTACTGATCGGTCTCTATGCTTAATAGCTCGGTCGGCTATTACTACATCCGCTCCCTATTCCGATTCCCACCCCTTCTTCCTCTTCGCCTTCCACCTCAAACTCCTCGACAACTCCTCATCACCACCACTCCTACTCTCACCCGCACCCCGACCCACGGATAAAACACCTTACCTCCATCCCGAACCTATCCCCACAATCGTTAACTTATACGCTATCCGCCATCGGAGTGGAAGAGCCAGAGGACCAGACGATCAGAGGCAACGGGAAGGGCGATAACGAGAGGGAAGGAGTCGTAGTACTCGTCTTGAACGGGATCAAGTCGCTCGAATGGGACGTCCTCGAACGAGCCGTAAGTGCAGTCTGCTCGTCCTTTTCTCATGATGGCTTCAAAGCAGGGATATTGATACGGATCTTGTTGGCGTATAGGCTAAGGCGTTTGAACAGGATTTTAGGACCAAGAAGACGAGCTGAGCTGAGCTCCAGCTGGTCTCGTCAAATTCCGACGCAAGCCGACGCTTGGGAATCTAACTGGCAGCCAGACATGGCCTTGGGCATGTGCCCTCGCTTCTGGGTGAACTGAACATGAAGACACAGAGGGAAAATGGGATCGGCACAAGCGTAGTCCGAGGTTCGGGCAGCCGGGCGGTGGGGGATCGGAGTGGCAAGATATGGGCATTATGATAGATGGGTTAAACGTTGTATAAGCGGACGGGAGTTCAATATCTTGGGAAATTATGTGTATGGGATTGTGGGCCGTTCCATCGCCCGATGGCTGCAATCAGGGAATAGCGGAGGAGAGGACTTAGAAAGCTGTTTCGGCTCCGGATGGCGCACGGCTTTCCTCGCATCGGCAACCCTCGACCCTTGATGTATTCTCTTACTCGCTGTGTTGATGAAAGAGATAGAGATCGAAGCCTATTCTCGGAAACAGATAAGCAGGTGCAAGTCTCATGCATCTGAGTGGACTTTGGTCCCCGCGGCAGTCAAAATCAGCGACGGCAGGACAGTCCCGTGCTCATGGACATGCGCGCCGTAGGCTATCAACCGTTCATGCACAACCTCTAAGTCGTCAAGCAATGCAGTGGGAAGTCGAACGATTCTACCTCAGAGCAGGGAGTGGATTCCTTTGCCTCACTAATCCCAGAGGTATTCTGTTTCTCATCAGAAAGAGGCAGACCTTTCCGCCCACTTGTCAAAAGCTGGACAACCGAATACGTGGTATCCTGTTTTCGGCCAGATGTTGGTCCTCACGGCAATCTGCGAAAGAACGAAAAGCGACTATTGCTTTCCCAGAGGCTGTAGAAGCTGTTCGTGTCCGACATCTGCCGGGATCGATGATCCAGGAGGAGGAGAGCATTTTAGCTCAACCTCTTGACGTTGCTCAAAATAAGATGTATGGGTCACACGCCCATGCCATACCCAAGACGAAAGAAATGTGGACCACCTACAAAGCTGAAATGGATACAGCTGGAATGGATAAGGAAGATCGCTTAGAGGGTTTCAGAGTGACGCTCTTCATCTGCCTGGATGTACAACACGAAGAGTGGAAAGATTGTTGGCCTAGCATCTTGATTCGGCTTACAAGTCTCCGGACGATTCTCCATAACGGGTGCCACTGTAGTGGTCGAGTACAGTCGTTTTCGTATCTGGTAGATCATCAGCGCCTAAACTCTCGCCTCTAATATTCCCTTCCGATGTCAAATCCTGATGCCCTGCCAACGAGCCCGAATTGCGACATCCCGATACGTGAACAACCAGCCGTTATAATTGGAACTCATATGAATTCCGGGACGATTGGTCTTCGTCTCGTCGTTAGTGTTCTGGGATCAGCAGGAGCATATAGTAGGAACCAAGGTTCGAACGGCCAGCGTCGATAAGAGACCGCCACCCGTCGCTGACGCTTTGGCCAGTGCGGCGCATCTTCGGGGGGCGACGACGTTTCAGGCCGCCGGCAGTGCTTTCGACATGTGATACGGGTTGACGGACGCAGACAAACGATGCGGGGAGATTGGGAATTGACGAGTTGCACAGAGTGCGGGGTAGATTGTGACTCAACCAGAACGTTCGAAAGATGCGTGCCAAGCGGGCGGTCTGTTCATCACGTGACTGATACACAGCGAATCAGGCGAGCGAAGATGGCAAGGGCTTATCAATCCCGGAAGCTATTTCCTTGCTTTCTCACGCAATAGCACGGGCAACCAATCCCACGTCACTGTTCGTGTCGCCCCCAAACGTCGTCATTCTGCTTCCGTCATCGCCTCTCGCCCCTCCCATTCCACACCTGCGACTACGCACGGGGGGGGGTGCTGCTAGCCACGCCCTGGCTCGCTCGCTCGCTCCTATATACTCGTCTCGAAAAATCAGACCATCCCGACCATCAACACATCTCCGTTCCGCTCTTTCGGTTTAAATCGGTTCAAACCACAAACTCACTTCAACTACTCCGTAAGTTCCGAAGAGTGTTCAATTCGTCATCCTGCTCTCCTCCCTCCTCGTCTCCTCTGCCACCTGTCCTGCGACCTTTGCTCGGTCTATGCGGGTTTCGATCTTAATCGGTCGGAATGCACGTCAGGTCACCTCGACTCCAGAGGTTTCGACCTAGACTCGGGTGAACGAGGACGATGAGCAGCATCAGAGGCCAGAGGAGAAGGAGGCCGAGGATGACAGACTCGTGGCAATACCGATCATGAGCGCTTACCCATGCATTCCCATCTCATGCTCGCCTCCGCATCCGCATTCCTCGTACCCGGGCTGCCCTTTGGCAACGTTCGACGTCGACGTCTATAACAACATGACCGACTACACCTCGATCTTCGACTCTTTGTTACTTCCACCTCGACCTCAACCTTCATCTTCTGCTCATCACCCATAGCTTACCACCCCCAAAAAACTCATCGAAAATCAAAATGGCTGTCAAGGTCGGAATTAACGGGTAGGTTCTACGCTTCATTCCCCTTTTTGTCGGCGTGCCTTTGGCATTTGGCATCTCTCATGAACCAGGAAGCTCATACTGTCTCTGCTTCACTCTGCTTTTCTGTTTATTCTTGTCGAAACTCCTGCCGTCTGAATCCCTATCGTCACGTACAATCCATCGCAAACGCGCAGATTCGGTCGAATCGGACGTATCGTCCTCCGAAACGCCATCGAGCACGGTGACATCGATGTCGTCGCCATCAACGACCCCTTCATCGACTCGGACTACTTGGTGAGTCCCGGGGCGAAGTACAATCATGAGATGGTCTAGAGTACTTACTCTTGCGATCCTCGTTGCTCCGGAATAGGTCTACATGTTCAAGTACGACTCCACCCACGGTCGATTCAAGGGTGACGTCTCTTTCGAGGACGGCAAGCTCGTCATCAACGGTCAGAAGATCAACGTTTACGCCGAGCGTGACCCCGCTTCCATCCCCTGGGGTACCGCCGGTGCCGACTACGTCGTCGAGTCCACCGGTGTCTTCACCACCACCGACAAGGCTTCCGCCCACTTGAAGGGAGGTGCCAAGAAGGTCATCATCTCGGCCCCCTCTGCCGACGCCCCCATGTTCGTCTGCGGAGTCAACCTCGAGGCTTACAAGTCCGAGTACAACGTCATCTCGAACGCTTCGTGCACCACCAACTGTTTGGCTCCCTTGACCAAGGTCATCAACGACAAGTTTGGAGTTGTCGAGGGTTTGATGACCACCGTTCACGCTACCACCGCCACCCAGAAGACCGTCGACGGACCTTCCAACAAGGACTGTGAGTCGCCGTCTACCTGTGGCTTTCCGTGACTGTCCGCTGACCCATCTTCACTCGCTTGCCTGTTCGCGCGATTGCAGGGCGAGGTGGACGAGGAGCCGGTGCCAACATCATCCCCTCCTCTACCGGTGCCGCCAAGGCCGTCGGCAAGGTCATCCCCTCGCTCAACGGAAAGTTGACCGGTATGTCCTTCCGAGTCCCCACCCCGGACGTCTCCGTCGTCGACTTGGTCGTCAGGCTCGAGAAGGGTGCCTCGTACGACGAGATCAAGGCCGCCATCAAGGAGGCTGCCAACGGTCCCCTCAAGGGAATCCTCGAGTACACCGAGGACGAGGTCGTGTAAGTCGAGCGCCGTGGAACGTACGCGACAAATGCCCCCCCCAGACGCTGAGTACGATGTCGCCTCACCTTCGAAACTTCTCTAGCTCCACCGACTTCATCGGATCCACCGCCTCGTCCGTCTTTGACGCCAAGGCCGGTATCGCCCTCAACGACAAGTTCGTCAAGCTCATCGCTTGGTACGACAACGAGATGGGATACTCTCGACGAGTCTGCGACTTGATCGCCTACGTCGCCGGTGTCGACGCCAAGTCCGCCTAAGTCTTCGGTCTTGAAAACTGAACGGCCTCTTGGAGGACGGGGCCGGATCGTCCTGTGATCCGGTCGGACGTGGGATGTGATTGTTCAAAGTCTTGTTTCCCGTATTACGTATGCAAATCGATCTATAGAAGTTTTGACGTCGAGATTGTGCTCCCATCTGCACGTACATCGCAGTGGTTGCTTCTCTTACTTGTCAGATTGTTGCCTCGTCTTTTGTGTTTCGAGTTTGACGTGATGACGCGGGCAGCGCGACTTTGAGGGATCGGATATGGTCGAGGGCGACAGGCTTGCTGCGTCTTTGTAGAACTGCTTGAGAACAGATCGAAAACCTTGCCCCTATCCATCCTCAGCATCTGGCTTCTGGATATACAGGATATTTCATTCAAGCATGTCTGCCAACACCACAGCCCTTCTGACCGACTTTCCCAAGCTTGCCGAGCTGCAAGAGAACGACCTCAAAGACGTGCTCTCGGACGACCGGCTCACGAATGCGGTCCTGTTCACCGTGCCGGCTGTCACGGCGGTCATGGATGAGCAGGAAAAGCTGAGCAGGGATAACGAGGAACTTGCCAGTAAGTCTCACCCCGGCAAGGGAATAGAATAGCGATGACATTCTATAACGCTCGAGCATTCGTGCTAACCCGACTTGTTTGGGGATTGCAGAAAAGAACCTCTCATTGCAAAATGACTTGATGGCGCTCCGATCATCTACCGCGTCGGCCTATGCCACGGCTCAGCATATGAAAGATAGATGGGCAGAGTTGGAAGCTCAACAGGCGGCTCTCTATCAGGCAAGTCCACTATATCTTGCTTAACATATCGTTGCTGGGGGGCATCTCGCTGACGGTATGTGTGGGTGGTTTATAGCGTTACCGCCCGTCTTTCCTTCATATGCGTCTGAGACACTCTGTCAGCGATCAGGATAACAAGACGGAAGCCCTCGCAGCTTCTTTCATCGGGAGCTCGGATTCCGAACAGGTCAGCCTTTTTGCGATACTCCGCCACAGACTCCGAACGACGTCAGCTGACGATGTGAATGCCGCGTTCGTATTGGTAGACGGTTGATGCGTTTGTCAAGGCTTTCCGGGCGGAGAGAAAGGTTTACCATAAACAGGCTTATTGGTGTGAAAAGTGGACCAAGGGCGAGGTCGCTTGGAGAGAGGATTGATCAACGCTCAACAACTACACCTCGGCTGAAACAGGAAACGTCCGGAAAGAACGTTTCATGACTATTACGACGACTCAACAACAATTCAACGACAACACACGACACGACCACCATACTGTCGGTACTTATTCCCATCAATTTCACTTCCCTCTCCACCTCGCCATCGACTCGGCAACTCCACGACCCGCCTTCAGGTCCTCTGTAATCCTCTCGTCTGTCTTCTTTCCCTCTTGGCCCGCTCGGGCGATTTCCCACAACCTCTCTTCCGACCACGAACGGGGAAAGAGCAGGATACCATCTTCGTCGGCCAAGATCAGGTCTCCCGGGTGTATCTGTCCGCCAAATATACCACCGATGGGGGATTCAAAATCGACCCTAGGGCTTGGATCGTACTTCTGTGGAAACCATATGGGGACTTGTTGGGCTTCTGGTCGGGCGAAACCTTTTTGACCGAACGTCGCGGTGCCTTTGGCAAAAACCTGCAGAGACAAGTCAAGGGATCGACTTCAGCCAGACCGACCGGCCCTACACGACAGGCAGCAAGTCAGGACTTACGGGAAATCCGACCTCCCTCAAGCCTCTGATATCTCTCACCCGACCATCGATGATAGCTCCCTGCAACTTACGAGCTGTCGCGGCCGTAGACATCAGATCACCCCATAGGGCATTCGGCCCGTCGGTTGGCGGCCCCTGGATGAACATGACGCTGCCTCTCGGCGCATTGTCGATCTATATATGCGAGCATGATATGAGGTTGAGCTTTCGATAGGGTCGAAGATCGGATTTGTATACGCTGGAGGACGACTTGCGTGGTGTCCTTTAGGCGGGTCCGGTACCGGTTCGTCGACTTGGACCATCTGGGCGGTAAGATTTGCGCCAATAGTATTTGGATGGATCTCAGAATGTTGCTTGATGCTTATTTACCACTGAATCTCGAAGATTCTACTACTGACCTTGACGGTGAACGCCTTGCCCAGAATGTCTAGCCCGGATCCCGGCTGATCGCCCTGACCGTTTGCGACCATCATCTTGATTCCTTCTAGGAGGCGCACCTCCTTGGATAGTTCCAGAGCTATCAAGGCGTCTGAGATCTGATGAGCAGATGAACTGCTTCAGCTGTGAAGTACCGTTAAGGGAATTACAGCGTCGGCAGAGCTCACCTCACACGTCGTCAAAGACGATAGAGCTCGACGCAGGTCTTCGGGCAAGTCCGACATGTTTGGCTGTTGGCTCATTGTGAGCACGTTGTCTCCAGATGAATAGTAAGAGATATCTGGATGATGTTAAGTACGACCAAATTGGATGTAGACGAGGGGCAGGATCAGTTCGACGAAGTGGCCCATATAAACTACTGCTGCCAAGACGTCGATCGATGATGATTCACCGATCACTCCGACCGGCTTACTCCGATGAGCCGCGACGCAAGATGTCGGACCCGAAACCGTCCCCAGGCTGGACCTTCAAACGGTCGTTGAACATATTATCTGCATCAAGAAGTCCATCTGCCTTGAGAAGATCGCAAACTGCAGCGCGAGGCGAAGATGTGCAGATCTGGACCGTTTTGGGATATCAAATAATCATCTGGACTACTCTACAACATCATCCGCTCGAAATCGGCCTCAAATCCTAATCTCGCTCACTGCATTTCGATGACAAGAACTCTCAGCAAATTGAAACGACAACAAGACCGGATCCCGCTCGCATGCGAAAGCTCATTCGGCCCCGGTCTATACTTCTTCAAACTCACTCCTCCTCGTCAGGCCCTTGGCTTTCTCCTTCTCACCCCTCTCCTCCGCTGCGGCCGCCTCTTCGTAGTCGGTCGTCCCAGTAGGCAGGACGTGCGTCATGTCAACGACTCCCTTGCCAACGGTAGCCTCGGCGAAGTTTTCGTACAGGTTGGCTCCCGATTCATCACCACGACCTTCTCCCGACCTGTCGAGTGATTGTGAAGTATAGATCAGCAAGACGGTTTCCACGAACTCGGTCACTCAACCCTGAACTGACCAGAAGTGGAAAGCTCGAGAGACCACTCCGTAACTGGCAGGCACGACCTCGACCAGGTCGCCCCGAGCGATTTCGACAGCGGGGACCTCGTTAGGCGGCAGCCCGACCAGGTAAGCGAGCTGTAGCAGTGAGCATGTTTCCCTTCAGTGAGCCTTGTTACCGATAGCAGATCCATGGATCTGGCTCACCAGACAACGGATGACCGACGCGTGGCCAATGATCAAGAGATCGTCCTGGCACCGCTCGAGCTCAAAGATAATGGGTTCGAGCCGGACTGACAAATCGATTCGAATTAGCCTTTTATGAGCTTGCAAGAACACTGTAGGTCGATGCGTACCACTCAGATCGTGGTAACTCTCGGCACGAGGAGCTCGATGCGCGTAAGGATCAGAGAGGAATCGTTCCCACTCGTCCGGGTATAGCGCCTTGGCCTCTTCTGTAGATAGACCGTCCCAAACTCCGCTACAATGCGCAAAAGGACCCCGAGTGAGTTCGAAATTATCTTCAATCCGTCGGTCCGAACAACGTACGGGTTGATCTCTCCCATCTGAGGTTTCTGAGCAACCTTGTATCCAGACTGTACGAACGGCCAAGCGGTATGATGCGCCCTCCTTCTCGACGACGTCCAGATCCTCAACTTGGTCTCTGATAGATCCTCTTCCCCGGCTTCACGCCGTTCTTCCATGACCTGTTTCCTACGGGACATGACGGCCGCCTTGAGTCGTTCTGCGTATTCCCATCCGGCAGGGGAGAGATCCGAGTCGGCCTTGTAGGAGTGTTCGATGAGAGACTGGCCGGACTGTGGACGGGTGGAAGATGCAGCGGGGTTTAGTTGTTGAACGAAGTATTTGCGATGATCTCCCGGCTCACCCTGGCAAAGTAGATCGTTCGGGGTTGGTTGTGGATGTTCATCAAGAAGAAACAACATCGCGTCTGCAAGTAACCTATCCCGACCCGCAGTATAGTTCTTATCAGTACTTCGATACCTAGCCCCTATCTCATCTCGGATCTCTCGCTGACCTTCGATCCTGTGGATAACGATCCTCTCTCCAACATTGATGATCTTGATGAACGGCCCCTCGTCATCAGTGACCTCTTCGTATTTGTTCGCTTGGACTTGGATACGCTTGAAGTAGTCGGCCACGGCGGCTTCGGGGTCCCATCCTTTGTACTGGTTGGGTCATGGTGCAGAGGATAGGTCAGATGAGCAGTATACGTGGATTCAAGAGGAGCAGATAGAGCTCACGTCGGGAGAAGAGAGTTTGACGGAACGGATGTTGTTCTCGATGATCTCTCTTCGGTCGCAGACGGACTCTGTGCAGGTCAACCTGTCTTATCAGCCTCGATACCGCAACGTCTACCGAACTAGCATCACTGACCCAAGAAGATGACGTGCACTCCTCTCGCCTCAAACTTCTCCAACAAGTCCTTCCTGCTCGCCTTGTCACAGTTATTGGCGTCGTAGATGACGACCTGCCCACCCTGACTCGAGAAGAAATCCCAGACCTGATTCTCTATCCCGTCTTTTATCCGTTTCCGTAATGCTTTAGTCTCTTCCGATTTCTCTCCAGGTTCAAAGTAGTCGGCGGGGATTTTCTCTGCGGCACCAAGGACTTTACGTCGGTAGTCTCCTAGAGAGTAGCAGCGGGTCTTGACTCCGAGCCATCGAAGATAACGTTCGAGAGAACGAGAGACATGGGTCTTGCCTCGGGCTGTCATTCAGTAAAAGCAAGATCGAATCAGTCGCGATCTTGTATCATGTTGCGATTCAAGACATACCAGGAAGACCAACTGTTTACAAGGTCATATGGAAAGAGATCAGCGATGAACAAGAGGTCTCTCAGTCTTCAATTAGGCCTTACCGGTAACGAGCAGGATGAGACCTGCGTGCCAGAGTCGACCACTCTGAGTGACGTAAAGAGGAGCAGCCATGTCGAGATGCTAGCGGCGAAGTCGGTTGGACAGGCAGTGAGTATATCAAGATTGGCTAGACGTTGACAAGAAGCAAAGAAGCAGGAAGGGTGCGATGTACTTGTCTAATGCATGAATCCGATTCCAATGTACTTTACTTGGTCGATACGAGATCTCCAGCTTTATCGCTCGCTCCGAGTTTGATCAGCAGCCGGCCGTCACTCGCGCCAAAGCTTGTCCGAATCATCACCCAACCGATTTGACAAGAAGGATTATCAAAGGAAAGATCGTCTCGTCATACGCGACTGATGATAAATGACAATGACATGCTACATTGGGACTTCTTCTGATTTGGCTATGGATACATAAGGGCCGAGATGTCCCGACGCAAAGCGCATGTGACGGGCGATAAGCGCCGGACGGGGATGGATGATGCTGTTCTAACGATACATTTGATGGGTCGAGTCAACGGGTTCATTTGTCCGTAATGGTGAAGAGGTGCCGAGAGCCTTCCTTGTGATGCTGGTGCAATGATACAGTGTTCGATGTGATGCGATTATTGCTCTTCCTTACATGCTTCTCTGTCGGATGCAGGTTCACGCCGGTGCAGGCGGCGCTTCGGGTAGTCGTGGGACTATCAACGAGACCAAACGGGCGATTAGCTTCCAGCTTCATAAAGCTGTTTCAAAGACTGCTCACCATAGACGGAGACGAGTCCATCAACCAAGGTCGCCTTCAATTTGCCCATATCGGCCGTCTTCGGGTACTCGATCACGCGGTCGTATTCCTCCATATGCGTCTTTTCCCCGGCAATGTGCAGGTTGTACTCTTTCGAGACGTACATGCTGGTCGAGTACGTTCTGTCAAAACGAGATCAAGAAGGAAATTGTCAGTACAACAAACTTCAAAAGGAAGAAGATATCACTCGAGACTGCGGACTCACTGATGCAAGAGCTGCACGTTCAAGACGTACGCCTCGGAGGTGGTCAAGCATTCCGTCCCATCCGCACACTGTATCCGACATCCATCCACCCACAAATCCTCTTGGTCATCCTGGCTGGCCCTGTCACCCGCGGCCACATCCTTTACGCCTTGACCTTCCATGCAGAGTTCGGGCTCAGGCGAAGGAGAAGGAGACGGCGACCTCTGACTGGCCGAAGCCTCTCCGGTACCCAAGATCCACTTGTCCATATCGATCATGTACTCGTCGACCGACCCGGCCGATCCTTCCCGTAGAGATGATGAACCCGGAGAAGGGGGCACGTCCGAGCCAGGGGCGGGGCGGTGCCTAGCAGGCTGACTGAACCCTCTCCAGAGTTTAGGTCGAGGTCGGAGCAGAGATGATTGATACGAACGGTGTTGGTTCCCTATACCGGGTCCCGAGGTGAGAGTGGACGACGCATTAGACCTCGCCTCGGAATCGGTCTTTGACGACAAAGTCCTCGTCAATCCAGGTCGGGTTCTGTACTTGGAACCCCCTGCAACTGCCGACGCAGAGATGGGGGAACAAGGGCGTTCAAAGTACCCGGCATTGTTATCCATGGTGAACAAGGGACTGGTCAAATAGACCTCCTGCTCTTGGGTTCTGGATTTCTTGCTCTGAGGGAGTGCAAGGCGGTACGGGTGGAACATCGCCGTCGTCGTCGTCGGTGAGGTACCGTTAACTGGGTAAACCGCCGCCGAGGACGAAAAGCTCCTGCTCCTCTGCAATCCCGCAGGCTTCGTGTTCAGTCCGCTGGTGTTCTTCCCACTCCCATTGATGGTTCCTACGGCAGTCAACCTCGAGGTCGTCCCAGAAAAGGCGGTCCTGGACCTCTTATAACCCGGCCTAACGAGATTCCTTGCCTCCTTCTCCTGGTGCTCTTTGCTGGAAGCGACACCACTATCGGCACTCCCACTGCTGTTCAACCCGGTCCTTCCCACACTCGCGCTAGCTGTCGCCCAACTAGCAGTCCGTTCCAGTCCGAACCGCTTGATCGTAAACTCCGGGTTGGTTTGAGCGGGGAGTTGGTGCAGGTTGAGGTTGGATGTGGTCAAAGGAGGGGTCTCCGTGCGGGTCGGGTTGGGATGGGCGTGGGTGTTAATGGTAGGATGGGGGTGGACAGTGGTATTGCTGATGGTACGGGAATGGGCGTTGTTGTAGCCGTAACCGAGGTCCAGGGGATTGTAGCTTGTCGATCGGTGTTCGGCGTGACGTTGCAGTTGAGTAGGATCAAGTGCCCCAAACACACCCATCCCCATGTTCTCCTCTTCTGTCTCTTCTTCTTGTCCTTCGTCCTCCCGGACAATCCTAACCTCCCCACCCTCAAATCCATGCTGCTTCCTTCCCATCTTCCCTCCTCCAGCTCTATCTCCATCCTTTACATCTGGCCCGACGTCATAGTCGTCCAGCTCGGCAATCTCCACAGTCTGAGCGGTCGAACCCGTAGTCATCGTCCCTTCGCCCTCGGAATAAGTGGGTGTGGTGGTGTGTGGAACAGGGCGGGATGGAGAGTGGGAGTGGGAGTGCTCTTGTTTGTGGTTCTGGGGAAAGACGGTCGGGGGGAAAGAACCCGACCTTTCCCTTTCGATATCGATACCTTTCCCGACATGCGATTTCCCTCGGGATATCTCATGTTCATGTTCGGCGTCGTGGCCGTCCTTGTCGGACGACACTGACGTCGTCATAGATATAGGCAAGGTCATCCTGCTTCGAGTCGAACCAGGTTCGAGATTCGATCCGGTCTGATTCGGTTTGGCAGTACGGACGAGGGTTGTCGTACTGTGTCGTGTGGAGTGGGATTGATTGATTGCCACACAGAGATGGCGGTCAAGGATGAGGGGCGAGAGGAATAGGAGTAGGATGGTGAGAAAGGGGAAGGGGTTGAGTTTTAGTAAGTCGAAACAAAGTAGTTGAGGTGGTCGAAACAACAAGAGAGAAAAGAAGAGGTGGTGTCGGAAAGTGACTCACCCCCAAAGCGGACCGGGCCAGTTCAGTTTGTCGTTTGTTCGAGTTTCGGGCTTCCTTTGACTTTGCGGAGACGGTGTGACGTCGTCGTCAGGGGAATAGTTGCAGTTTGTGGGTTGTATGTTCCAAGGCGATGAGACGATGGTCGAAGAGGATACGATGGTGATGTGTTGTGACTTCCTGGAAAGCTTTTACTCCAATCGCCAATGGCCACTTCGACTCGACTCGACTCGCAACTTCCAACGAGATCCACTTTGAGCGGCGGAGAGGATGGAGTGATGCGCGCTAATGCATCATCATCATGTGCTCGGAACAACTCGGTGCGCATCAGCCCCACGTGGACACGCGACTATGACGTAGGGAGCTGTTCGAATCTCCCTGCTTCAGCTGCCCGCGCCGCCAGTCACCACAGCTCCCCGCCCCTTTCAGCGCTAGTCTCGCTTCCGAAATTGACCGACTGAACATCCCTGCCTCTCTCCCTCGCCGCAATGGTCTTGGCCCCCACCCCATTTTTAGCCTCGTGTACCTCACGCCCCTTCCAACGAAGCCTCCTCTTTCGGACGATGCACCTTTCCATGGATCACAGCGCATCAATCCTTGTCCCGTGTCGCTGCCTTGCCTTGTGGATCCTGAAACGGGTCGCAGCGGATCACGTCGTCCCTGACACAGAACATGCTCCGTACTGTATCAGGAGGGAGCGCCTCTGCAATAATTGATCGGTGTCGCGGGACGAGTCGCAATCCCAATTTGCCATTTGCAAACTGCAAGCTGACTGACAGAGAGGATTCAGAGAAGGTTGCGGGTGGGTCAGGGGAGCAATGTCGTCGGGAATTCGGTAATCAACCCGGATATCTTTACGAACTCAGATCCCCTGCTCTGTGTTGAGACAGTAGATTGCTGGTCCTGAGTGATCGCGAACATTTTATTGCTATCAGCCACAAACCTGCTTGTCCAGTTTGATCGAATTCCTTCCCTGGCATAAACCCTACATTTGCCCCTCAAATGGACGATCAGCCAGTTGAGCGGGTAAAGGAAAGGGTCAACTGCGCACACTCATGCGTTTAGGCCCATTGCGTCCCCGATATTTGTATGCGGGTTCATGGCAGGGGGCGATCTCGAGGCGATGACATGTTGTGACAGCATCGTAACCCCACTTCTACCGCACAGGTTCCCAGCCACCTCGGATCGCTTGGTGTCAAAATCATCGCAGAGAAGCATAGCTTGACGGCTCAAGAAGGAGAATTGATGGGATATTGACAGGCTATCCATACCGATTCTGCAGGGCTACTTGGGTTAGGTGCGCTAGGAATAGGCGAACGCACTAGAGCAGGTCAGATGGAAGGCGTTGCAGCAGGTTCGAACGTATTCATCTCTTTCACTCGATAACCAGACTTTGGTACTTGGTGCATTACAATTTCACAAACAACTTTTGACCTATAGATTAACTAACAACCGATGCGATCCGAGCAGGTATCCCTTAGGTCCCGTGGAACCGTTGACTATCACGACCTTGAGCCGTGTAAGGTGTAAATGTGTACATTGTTACATTGACGACGACCCCTATGAGTTGTCGTGCGCCGCCTTGCTCTTGTGCTTGGCCAACTCGATAGACCTCTTCCTTGCGTTTCCTTGCAAGAAGACGGCGTCGATCTCCTCCAGCGTGAGCCTCCTGCACCAGGGCGAAAAAGAACAAGTAAGCGAGTCGGTGGACGTCGATGATCTCAAGCTGGACTCGAATGTGGGACTCACCTCGTCTCGACCATGGTGAACCATACGACGAAGATTCCGACGAAATCGAAGATGGCGAAGATGATGTACGTCTTCCAGCCCAGTTTGAGCAAGGCGGTGGGCAAGGCGAAGCTGCGGCAACGGATACAGGTCAGCATCGATTGGCAAGGAGACAGGGTATGTGGCGAGCGACTCACGTGTTGATGCAAGAGACTCCGTTGGTGAGCAGACCCTGCATGGCCAGACCCTTTGCTCTGTTCTCGTAGCTGAATACTTCGGCGGGGTAGAGACCTTGCAAGGGAGTGATACCGAGGGAGAAGAAGACCATGAACAGGTAGATGGAGGCGATACCCGCGCTCGCTCGAGAGTTGCTTTCGTTGCCGACCGGGGAGAGGAGGATGGTGACCAGGGTGAGCCATCCGACACAACTCATCAGGGCGAAAAGCATGAGCTGAGAGTGGTGACGTCGGTCAGCATCCAAGTCGTGCCAGTATCACAAAGAGCTCGACTGACCTTTCTCCGTCCGACCCTGTCGACGATGACGGTACCGGTAGCAGCACCGAACATGCTGGTGACACTGTTGACAAAGTTCAAGACTCGTTGCCTATCCGGAGAAGTGATACCGGCCAATCCAAGCAGAGTTGGCAAGAAGTAAGTGATCTATGAGAGGGGAAACGAATATCATCCAAGTGAGCGGAAGATGTGAGAAGGGGGACTCCAAAAGCTGAGCGCGGCTTACAAGACCGTTACCAGCAAGCTGTCCGTAGATACTAAGCAAGAAGGCGCAGAACAACCTGTATCGACTGGCACTGGTTGCTACGAGCCTAGAGAAGTCCCACCATCGCTGTTCGACGGACAAGCGGTGTCAGCGATCTCCGTCTTTGAGCAGATGCGGAAGAGCCGAAACCCGGGCTGACCTTGTCGGATCCGGTGAGGGAGATGGCCTCTTCGATCTCGGCGACCTGAATCTTGACCATGGGCGAGTTGATGTCGTTGTCCCGCGAATGGAACTTGGCCAAGATTCGGAGCGCTTGTTCTCGCTTTCCATGGGCGTACAACCATCGAGGCGATTCCTCGGCAAAGATCATCCCGACAGCATTGATCATGGCCGGAAGACCTTGGACCTGGAGAAAGGCGGGGTTGAGGTTGTGCAGTCGCGTCAGTCTGGGTTTCCTCGAGGTGGTAAGGCGGAACTCGGGACGAGACTCACATAGAGAGGCGCCCTCCAAGACCAGTCGTTGGTGTATCGACCGGTAGGGATGGTGATACCGGAAGCGAGAATTTGACCGATGTAGTAGAAAGAGTTTAGTCTGTCAAGCAATTCGGATACTTGAGTCAGTTGGGACATTGATAAATTACACGTGAGGCTCGAGCGCGACTCACGTTCCCATGTAAAGACCTCGACGTTTGGGGTTGGTGATTTCGGCCATCTACGGGTTCCAGCTGAGTCAGTGACAGTAATCGTCGACATGTGGAAGGGCTGACGACTTACATAACTCTTGGCGGCGGCAGCGGCGGTGGTGCATCCCAGACCAGTGAGGAATCGACCGGCCAAGAACATGCCCATATTCCTCGCATTTGCAGTGAGAAGAGCTCCGACCCTGTCGCGTCGCAACTGTTCAGTATGAAATTATGTGATACACGAGAATCGCTATCTGACTCACGTCAAGACTACGTTGGCGGTGACCATGGTCCATTTACGTCCGATCAAGTCGGGCATCGTCGAGGAAGGGATGAAACCGACAACTCCCCCGATGGTGTACATTCCGAAGACGATACCGGTCCTCGCGGCCGCGGTGTCGTTGGCACCGATACCAAAGTACTTTCGAATCAAATAAATCTCATGATTAGCCGATGAGCAGTACCACGATACAGTATAATCTGCTGCACACCTTCTTGTATTGTGTCATCGAGTTGACTGAACTCATGACCGTGGCATCCAAACCGCTGTCTGTGAGGCAAAAGAGCGCATGTCGCGCAATTAGCGCCGGCTATGTCCGTTGAACTTCGGTTACCTCGCGACGACTCACCTCCTCCACACAGACAGACACAGAGGACGGTCAAGATATACCATATGAAACGCGGGTCCGAGTATGGAACTCCGGGGTCTTCGAGCTGAGCTTGTTCGAGAGCGGCATGTTTCTCCTCTGCCGTCATGACGCCTACCGGTCGGCCATTGACGAATGAAGGTACATCGTGGTCCGAGATGGGAGGGGTCCCGACCTTGTCATCGGAAAGGTATTCTTGGTGAGAGTAATCGACCTTCTTGGTATCCATGTTTGGGTATCACGGTATTGTTTGGTTAAGCAAGAAAGGTTGTCAGCATCGGCATAGCAACCATGAATCGGTCACTCTGCGTTGGGATTATATACATTGCGAAGAATTTCTAGGGACGTGACTTTTTTCTTAGCGTCGTGACTTTTCTCTAGGGACGTGACAATGTGGGGTAATAACGTAAAAGGTGGAAACAAGCAAGAAAGTTGTTCGGCGCCAATTATCTCGCGATATTTTCCCACGCATAAAGACGTTCGCATAAAAACATGAAACACGACGAGAATTAATACAAGTTGTAGAATATTAAAAAAGGCTAGTTGTTAGCCGCTCGAGACTTTCCCTTGCCCTTCTGCCCCGCGACCTTAACCTCGTCAATTAGCTCCGTCAAGATTCGAGTCGTCTCGGCGTCTTGACCTTCGTGAGGCTGAACGACCCCTTCGACCGCGACCATCGCTTCAGTGTTACCGTGGCAAACAGCGTCGCGAAGAATCTCGAGACCGTGAGCGGCGGCGGAGGTCCTTTCGACGACGAGCTGCTTGCGGCCCAAGGCGAAGTCCCGAAGAACTTTGGCGACGGAGAGCACCGCTGGCGAATCCTCGTCGATGTCCTTGTCCCAGTCGAAGGTGGCGCCCGCGGCCTCGTTGCAGGTCTTCCCGAGAGACTTGCATCTGCCGCAGGCAGAGAACGCCGAAGAAGAGACGAGGGGAACTGTCGAGCGGCAAATTTCGAGCGTCCCGTACTTGACGCAGAGCGCGAGAGGGTTGGCGTCGATGGCGGCCGCGGAAGCGTTGGCGGGGAGAACGAACTGGCGAGCGTCGTCGTTCTGGAACTGGTAGGCGGGGAGGGGGACGGTCGCCGACGAATATTTGGCCTTGCAATGGCCACAGGCGATGCGCCAGCCGCCACGCCATCGTTGCTGCGAAGTTTAGCGGCGGAGAAAATTGTCAGCCAAGAGACGACGTCAAGACAAACAAGAATACTCACGAGCCAACCGTTCACCGCCTGTTCGTCCATCCCGCCCGTTCGACTCGGCGCCATCAACTCGATAAACTCCTCAGGGGGGACCGCAGGGAGCCACTTGCGCTCCTCTTCTTTGATCAACGCCTTGTGGACTGTTGGCGACGAAAGATAGATCAGTGGAATATCGAGAGAAATTTAACGTCGGAATGTGAACTTACGCTCGGCGTCGAAGTTGATGGAGGCGAGCTTCGCACCGCTCGGAGGGACGATAAAGGCGCCCGTGGTGGCCCGAATGGCCTTCCAGTCGTCGCCGATTTTCGCCGCCGGAAACTGACCTCGCTCGTTGGCCTCGGCGGCTCGCCACTTGTCTTGAGCGGCGCAAATCTTCCTCCACCAATCGTGGACCGTACCGCAACGAGGGTTGAAGATCTTGAGGTCCGGGTCCTCGAGGTCCTCGACCAGCTCGACGATCTGGTCGACGTCGAAGTTTACAGGGAGAAGTTCGGCGGCCTCAGTCGGGGCATCGCTAACGTGGGCAAAAATCGAGCGAAATTTAGCGACGGAAAAATTCGATAAAAACTTGACGTCGAAACTTACAGCGCATCCTCCTCCTCGGTAGGCACCCTCTTGGTGAGGGCATAGGGGACGGGGGGGGCGGCAGCGGCGGCGGCGGCGTTGGCGTCAGCGTTGGGGCTACGACGTCAAAGTTCGTTAGATATGCTACGCTGGAGAGAACCTAGTCGAGACTGAACTTACTTGGCGGGCATGTTGTTGTTGTTGTTGTTGTTGTTGTTGTTGTTGTTGGGGCTAGGGGGAACTTCGAGAGCTATTTGACGGCGTAGACTATTGACTGAGTAGTTTGAGAGAGAGAGAGAGAGAGAGGTAGAGAGTAAGTATCGAGGGGGGGGGGGGAAATCAAGAATCGATCTGGTATATATGCTTCTCGAGAATGTTAGCCGACGCTTGACGTCGTGGTGAAATCGAAGAACAAAAGAATCGACGTCAAAAATCGTTTGTTCATTCGCCTCGTCATGACGACATCGATAGGGGTTCATTTGCCTACTCATGACGTCGCTGCTGTTGTCGACGCCATTGTTCAAACAAAGATATACCACTTGGCTCGTTGCCAAAAGTACCTGAACGACGATCGACTTGAAACATCGTCAGCAATTTGGCGGCGGATACAAACTGGCGCTGTACTTACGCTAGAACAAAGAATAGAATATACTACGCAGCCGAGAATGATCAGCGATGTGACGTCAAAGACTAGTACAACAGGAACAAGGAAGCTTCGCGAGGCCATGTTTCACCAAAGGGGTCCTTTGGCGCTATTGTTGTACTGTGATTGATAATAGCCGTTTTGGGAAGCAGGGGCGAGTCCAGGGAGACTTGACGACGAAGGCGTGGCATTGGAGAATATCGAGGGAAATCCTCCGTAGTTAAAGTTCCCCGAATGCAGTACTGGAGCAGATCGGTCGAAGGGCCCTCGGGACATAGGTGTGATATGGGGAGGCGGTACCTGAGAACTAGAAGGGGGCATCTGCATAGACGGCGCCATAAATCCTGGGAGAGTTGACGGGGGAGGTAATCGCGCGGTATTTGGCGCCGGCAAAGATGCCTGAGAACCTTGGGCACGGAGAATGTCGGTCGCCTGCGAATCCGCATAATAGGGACATTTAGACATCGTATGGCCAGGTTTCTTGCAATGTTTGCAGGGCTTTGCAGCCTTTGCAGCCTTCTTGGCTGCAAGCTCCGTCGCTTTCATCCGTCGCTTGACAGTCTCATGACGTGTTTCGAGACGATTTGTCGCCGTGAGATTTACTACGATATCTTCCGCCGCCCCCAAATTGTTTCGAATTTCCTGCACAGTTCGCTCCTTCGCCAGCCGCTTCTCTCTCTGTCTGACCAATTGCGGTCGATTAAGAGGTTCCTGGATAATTCGAGCGTCGGGATCCATCTCGCGAGATATTCCGGCGCCATCGAGGAGGTACTCATTTTGTGGTACCATCCCAATGTCAGCCTGCAGACGAGGCAGGGGGATGAGATCAATCTCATCGTAATGATCGTAGAAAGTTCCCGACGCCAAAGTTCTCTCGGCCCATTGCGTGGCGAAGACTTTGGCTTCTTCCTGCAATTCCCATTGCGAACGCAGGTGCCAGAACGGATGAATTGTGGCGGGGTTAACTAAGGGGTGCAAACTCCCCGGCGCCAATAATTGAGCAAAGTCGTGCTGGCACAGCAACCCCTGAGTGTTCTTCATGGCGCCAGAACAGGGTTCAAGGGGTTTTCCGAGGGCACTGGCGGCCTGTTGCAGTCGAAATGCGCCGTCGCGCATCATCCTCAAACCCCTGACAGCGATGATACCTTTCAACTGTCATTTGACGTCAAATTCAGCGCGCTCTTTAGCGGCGGAAGAAATATCTCAAAACTTACCGGTTGAAAACAAGGAGGGGAATCTATATCCCGGAAAATACAGTCGTTTGCATGCTCCTTGAAGATAGTGCGGTGAGTACCTCTCATATGTATGATGGCGGCGTGTACAGCGGTAAACATATCGGCCGTTCCGCCGCTGATGGAATTTTTCAGCGCTCTGTGGAAGGATTCCCCACGCGACGTTGTTGTTGCACCGAAATTTAGCGTCGTCTGCAATCGATGAGTAAGGAAGAACTCTCCCTGCTCATGTTGAGTCAAGATATATGTCCATGCTGAACGTGTTTTGGGATTGGTGAGAAACTTCTCGCTACATGCCGCGCGAATTCTTTCGTAGGAATCCTTCGTCTTAGCAGTTCGAAGGACATTTGCCGAGTGTTTCAACGCCTCGAAATCCTCCTCCGGCACTTTTTGCTTGTAATTTGTGCTCAGATTGTCGGCAAGATGCCAAGTACACAGCTGTTGCTTCCAGTGCGGAAAGACTATCGTCAACGCGTCTCGCAGAGCGGAGCATTGATCTGTGACGACAACTCCCGTCGGCAAATTTCCACAGACATATGCCAGGGATTGTAATCCCCAGACATATTCCTCTTTTGTTTCGCCTTCAAGAAACGCAAGGCCGACCGTAAAGGATTTATTCGTCGGCGACATACTGACGATATGCATCAGCGGCATTTGGTACTTGTTAGTCTTGTAGGTACAGTCGATGAAGAAAACGTAGCCGTAATATTTCGCCAGAATAATGGCCAGGGGGGTAGTAAAGAAGAAACTTTGAAGTTCTTCATTGGCGTTGGTTCGGTAGCAGTGAGGTATTCCTTTCCTGATAACCTCTCGAATCATAGCGTCGGCAGGAGTCCTTCCTTGCAGAGCGACGCTTTTTATCTCTGCTTTGAGGTTGTATATCTCCTTGGGAGAGACATAGCTCTGCCTTCCTTCTGCGGCAGCCTTCTGCGTCAACATTTCGACGATTGCTGGCGCCGTAGCATTTGCCGCAAGAGCGCTGACAGCCACAGCACGCTCGTCATCAGTTAGACGACGGTGCTGATGAAAAGCGTACGCCGATCCCGTCATAGGGTGATTGTGCTGCAAGTTTCGCTCGTAAAGTTTCCACCGCATGTTTGTTTTCTTAGATCTGGCGGCGTAACATTTCCACAGACAATTGGTCCTCTTTGTTTTAACGTTGGAGTCTTTCCTCATGCGACCTGCCGTGGCCATATATCGATGGCGGTCCTTATGCTCGCCTTGCTGGGTACAGACAATATAGAGTCTGTTTGCAGCGGCACCTTCTTTGCGAACAGCAAATCCTTCATTCTTGGCGACGGCTTGAACCGCAGTAATAATAGCGTCGGAGTCATCATAGCCAGGATGGTCGAAGATATGTTGTAGGGGATGGGGAGCTTCGGTAGCAGGTTGGCGCCGGATCAAATCGACAGGATTAAGGAGCTCGGGCGATGGAGTCCTTTCAGACGATTCAGAAGAGGAGTAATCGGACATTGTGAACGTCTAGATGTATGCAGCAGGATGATTTCTAGGTGTTAATGACGCAGGCAGAGTACAGAGGGATTGTAGCGTGGTTCATTTGTGTACGTTATCTTAGAGCCGGAAGATTTCTGGCGAATGATAGCGTAGTAGTGTTTATTTCCACCTTTTACGTTATTACCCCACAGTTTTGTCACGTCCCTAGAGAAAGGTCACGACGCTAGAAAAAATGTCACGTCCCTAGAAATTCTTACATTGCGACCGCCCCAGGACGACTGTGGTCCAGGCGTTGAAGCATGTCGGCGTTGGGCCCCGGACCATCTCTTCCCGACCCCGACCTCGTATTGCGGGGAAGAAGGCGATCCAAGTCAGAGCCAAGAGAATCTTCGACCTCGTCTTCGGTCTTCACGAGGGGGGCTGCACCACGCCACATCGGTCTTCGCTATTCTTTGTTGTGGCGCAGGGCACATGCTGCTGTCTTGAAACGGAGGCAGATGATCACGAGCGCGAGAACACAGAACAGACAAGAAGGCGACCGACCGCGGGCATGGGTCGCTGCAGCGTGGACTCGTGTAATTTACCGCGCGCCTGCGACACCCACGGGACCGTGGCCTCGTGCAGCTCAGACGTTTGACCGGCGCTCGGCCCGATGAGAACGCAATAGCATTCTTGCCATTCGGAGTCTAGATGCGATCCGGCGTTCGATGCAGTCATGCCAGTCAGTATACCATGCCATAAGACGGGATAACATTTCATCCTGCACGGTGTTGAGCGCTGTTACATCGCACCGCAAGCAGGAGGCCTGTCACTCATCAAAAGTATCCCCGACCAAAGGGCATCCCCATTCCCATCCCGAACGGTGGTCTCATCATCCCCATACCTGGCATCCCCATCCCGCCATACATGCCCATGCCAAGCGGCGGCGGTCGACTATACATTCTATATCAACAAGAGGTGGGAGGCGAGGTCAGCACGAAACGCGCAATGCCTCGCATCGAGCCCTTTGTCTCTCGACCTACTGATTGCCCATCGCTAGATACCCGCCAGGTGGGAACGGCGCTCCCTTCGCCGCCTTTGCAGCCGCCTTCTCCGCTTCCATCTTGCTGAGTTTCTCCTCCCTCTCCTTGATCTGCTCGTAGCTAGGCGGGTAGGCGTACCTGAAAAGCAAAGGAGGGATCTCCGTATCGTGTCAACACCGGTGTTTCCTCTCGTTTCAGACGCTTAATCACGGCACTTCGGAGATATCACTCACTTGGCAAACCGATCTGCCGGAGGGGTCATCTCCGGTGTTGAACGATACACGGGGATGCTCTCCTCGTCACTTCGGCGATGGTGGTGAGGGTCGCGATGGCCGTGGTGATGATGGCTGCTGCGATGGTGGCTGTGACTGCTATGGTGATGATGCGAACGATCATCACCAGTCCCCGTCTGCGGAGTCGATCTGGCTGAACGCCCGTGTCGAGGAGTAGGCACCACGGATGATGTCTCGGTTCCATGATGATGATGCCTGTGCCGATCGTGAGAACGATGACGTTGCCGACTATCCCCATGTTTCCTGCTACCTCGATGGTAATAATCCTCTTCGGCATCGCTCTTCCCCTTGTCCTTGCTGTTGTTGTGATCTCCCGACGATGTCATCTTGGAATCGTCATGACCCGAACGCCTACGATGATGTCCTCCCTTGTGGCTCGACCGACTCGTGAGGTGGTCGAGGTAGTCGTGCTGAGACTGCAACTCTGTCGGAGGACCAGGTGCAGGGTTGGGAATCTGTGGCAATGGTTGGCTCACAATTGGTGGCGAGAGCAAGAACGACCGGTAGTCGACTGTTTCGGTGTACCAGTGAACATATCAGCATACATCCTCACCTCATGGCCTTCGCTGCACATTTCCAGGATAGCTAACGACTCACTTATAGGAATAGGTCTTAGATCCGAGAACCGTCTTCCAGCAGGATACCCATCCACCCCATCTTCCGGTCCACCACGCATCATGACCCTCTCCGTATATACCGGCACGCTGTTCTGCAAGACTGGTCGGACTTCGATCCTCGTCACTCCAGGCGCGGGGTGAGAGGCCGTCACCTCTGGTGGCACTCCACCGACGTGCCCATCACCTCCTCCTCCGCCTGTATCTCCTCCATGAACCGATCCTCCTTTGTTCGAAGAAGATCCCTTTCCTCTCCCGGTTTTAGACGGAGAATTCCCCATATTGTCCGCCGCAGGAACTTCCCGTATGATCTCGGTCTCGTCGGGGAGTACGGTAATCTGCTCCGTCCGACCTGGATGATGGACGACCGTATGCGTATGCGTATGAGAAGGCGGTGATCCGCGGACGCTGGGAGGAGCTGGGGTCTTTTCGGTCCGTAAGAACACGGGAGGGCCTACACCGGCAGGGAACGAGCTGGCTGAAGAAGGCGGGTGGGGGAACTTGTGCGTGTGGTGTTTATGCTGATGGTGATGGTGGGAAGAAGGATAAGTCGAAGAGCCTCTTGGCATCTCGATGATCTGGATGATCGGTCGAGGAGGGTTGACGATGGTCTGCGCGACCGTCTGAGGGTAGTCGGTATCGCTCCCAGCCACCGTGACGTTCGTCAACACGGTAGCTTCTGCGGTAACGGACCCCCCTTTCTTCTTCTTCTTTTTCCCTTTATTCCCCCCTTTTCCCGCGTTCGTTTCGACGATCGTCGGGGGAGTAACAACGACAGTCGGCGCACGAGGTGGAGAGTTCGTGATCGACGCCCTGGCTGTAACAGCAGGAGGAGCTGTAGCTGTGGCTACGACCACCGTCTCTGCCTGTGGAGCTTCTACTACCACTTCAGGCGTAGCGGGAGCAGGACCGATCTCTGCTACAGCGGCGTGTGGGGGACTTTCGGCTTTGGCCATGGCCGCAGCGGGTTGACCGACTTGCATGGGGATCTTGACGGTCGCGTGAAGGCTTCGACGGTGGTGCCCGCCATGATGACCCGAATGGGATCGATGTGACAGGCGGGGGATGGGGAAAGGCATCTCGGCGGTCGATGTCAGCCCGAGGGCGTTCGACTGATGCGAGTGGTGCGAGTGGTGCGAATGATGCGAGTGATGGGAAGGGGCGATCGACCGGGTCTCGACGTCGATGATGGTTGGCGGTACGGCACTAGCTGGCACGACCTCGACGACAGTCTCTTCGACCGGTGCTGCTGCTTGAGGATGCGTGTCCACGATAACCGTAGTCCCCTCTCGTGTCCCCGGAGCGTGTTCGCTCCTCTCGTCCACTACGATTTCTGCAAAGCTAGTAACAGGTGCAGCGGCTTCCACGTCGACGACCGTATGAACACTAGGAGCTCGCGTGGGTAAAGGTCGAACGGTAGGCGGTTTAGGTCGTTCGGATCTGACGACAGTAGGTGCCTTGGGTCCCGCAGGTACGCTCACGTCCACGGTCACTTTCGGTTCTTCTTCAACGACGTTGACGACCGTCGGAGCTTTACTCTTGTGCGTATGATGTGTATGGTGAGAGCGACCCGAGGTCGACTGAGCGGGCTTTGCAGCCTGCATAGGCACTTCGACGTGCATGACCGACATCCTCGCCGGCTGAGTCCCCCCGGTCATGGTAGCGACCGTCTTCTTGTCGTCCCCTTTGTCAACTCAATGTCCAGAAGCCGTACCGTGCGTATCGGTGTTGATATTCAGGAGTCAAGAAGACCTGCTCTGTAGGTGCATGTCGTCGCAAAGGATGATAATCTGGATCAGCTATATGAGGATTGTCAAACGCCAGATATCGAGGAAGACCACTGACCGAGAGCAACCGGCTGAGACCAAAAGCTCTTCGAGAGATACGCCGTATTAGATCCTTGGGTACGAGCTACAAAGCTACAATATCCCTGGGTGTCGCCACAGAATCGCCACCCAGTCTTTATCTACCTGGCTGCTTGCCGTCGGTGAGGTTGTCGGACGAGCTGACATGGTTGATCGATTATCTAGAGTTTCGGTCCTGGGGTTGGTCGAGATCAGCTTTCGGGTGGTCGAGTTCCGAAAGGAAAGGAAGAGAGCGAGGGAAGGGGAACGTGCGCGAAAGGAATAGGAAAGGATTCTGATGGATCGAAACAAAAGGCGGGGAGGTTGATCGAGGAAGGTCGAATGATCCAAAGGACCGGCCTCATGGCTTCGCATGGCTCGGCACAATCCCTTTAAAGGATGTTCGTTTCCATTTCTGCCGCCGGGTCCGGGTCTCGTCTCGTGTCTCGTCTCGCTTAGCGCGTCGAAGGTTCGGCGATCAGCTTGCCCGCACCTCGTCTTTCAAAGGGGGTCTCGAGAGATGCGTCCGGTCTGAATGGCAGGAAAGGGAGGTCGCTCGAAGATACCGTTCCTATGGAAGAATCTGGGTGACATGTTCCGACAGGATTTTACGCCATGGTGAGCGTCAATACACCTGGATTTCTCCCTGGACGCATCACATGGCAGAACCTCGACTACATATATAACCTTAAGATTCGACAATGTGAAGAAGAGAGGTCCAAGCATTCAAGAAGGCACAAAGGAACGTGTAAATCGCGATAGGCTACATGGGATGTTTGTAGTACAGATTAAACTACGTGACGAGAAACCCAGATCATGACCAGACTCGTGAAAAGATCTCTCAAAAACGATACACCAAACCAAAAGAGGGATCACGCTCCCAACCCAACCCACGCCACCAGGCCCATAACCAAACTCATCATCCCGATCGTCGACAAGGAGAGAGCTCCGGGAATGGTCTTCCCACCCGCGTTGATGCTCCCTTTACTGTTGCTCCCCAATACGGCGTTTCCTCCGTTCCCACCTCCTGCCTGACCGTTCCCAGATTGGATCGCTCCGACATCGACGGTCGCCGAACCGACGTTGACGACCGACGTAGCAAACGTTGCCGTCGATGCCGTATCGTCCGAAGTCGACGAGGCCAGGGACTGGTCGGTGAGGAAGACGATGGCCATCGAGGGAGCCTTGAGCGGGATGGAACAGGTGTTGGCGCCGGTATCGCAGTTGATGGTGACCGTCTCCCTATCCCCGTAGAGCCTTCCGTCACTGGCAAACGACGTTCGGAGGGTCTGGTTGGCCCAGTAGATCTCGTACTTTTCGGCGACGGACGAGGCGGAAAAGTACCTGGTTGGATAGCGCAAAATGGAATCTCGCTCGAGTCAGACGAGGCAACTTGAGAACTGTAACAAAGTAGCAGGACCCCAAACTCACCTGACGTCAACAGTCTGTTTAGGGAACGGCTGACCACCCATATCAATCGTGACCGTCAGATCGTTTGCATTCGAAGCGTCCGAGACGAAATTGATAAGCGCGATCCTCGTGGGCACGCCATTCTCGTAGACGGCGTAGGCCGGGTGGTATTCGTTGTTGTTATCGGCGCCTAGGTCGACAATCTGACTCTGGTTGCTCGAACCAAAGAGCTCGGCCATGATAATCGTCGGGTAGTAAACGGATCCGGTGGTCCATTGGTATCCGGACGAGGCGAGATTGTTGGGTGGGGGCGTAAAAGCGTTGTAGTACACGTTCTGTAGAGCATCGCGGCGATGACGGCGATGATTAGCACGGCGGCTCAAGCACATCGAGACACGATCTCGCTCACCTGTCCACCGACGTGCTGCAAGGCGGCGGTAAAGTTCTGAGTAGCCATCTGCATAGCATAGTCGATGGTCCTGCAACAACACAAGCGTGTCAGCCCACCCGCCCGTGCATCGACGCTGACGACCGACCAGCGGCAACTTCACAACTCACCAAAGCGCTGCCCCGAAACTATCCGACAACCCGGGGAAACCACCACAACTGGCAGTCCCAAACTCCATCATCATGATATCCTTGCCGGCCGCCAAGACTTGCGTCGTCCCGTCGATATAAGGGCCGACGAGGCCGACGGCAGAGTTGTGGGTGAGGTAGCTGGCAAAGATGTCTTGCGGGTTGGTGACCTTTCCGTCGATCCCACAGTTGTTTTCCGGGTAACTGGGGCGTGACCAAGAAAGGCTTTAGCACATCGAGGAACACTATGAGGGTGAACGCAGCCTGACTGACTGCTGCACGGCGACGATAGCGAGTGCGTCCAAGTTGTCCGTCAAGAACCCAGCGTTCAGAACGTCGTCCAGCAAGAACCCTTCCACCTCGCAACAGATCGAAGGTCCGATCAAAAAGTTCTGCGACTGCTTCAGATTGCCCTCAGAACGGATCTCATCCTTGATGCTCATCCACTCGTCGTTGAACTGGGTCGGTCCGTAGCCGGGATCCCGCTTTTGGTGGTCCGAGTAGCTAAAAGAAAGCCCGGAGGTTCAGGTCAGCCGACTCGGTCGCGTTTGACGGTTCGTTCCTCCTTTTGTTAGACAAGCCCGACTTACAGATCAGGTTCGTTACCCATCTGTAGACCCAACAACCTCTCCCCCAAGATCGCCTGTGCGGTCTGGGCAACCTCGTAAATGTTGTCAATCTTGTTCTCCACTGCCGACTGGTTGAAAGGCAGTCCAAAGTACCAGTCTACGCCGACGACGGCGGAGATGTTGGCCATGGCGTAGAAGAGATCATCAGAATAGTTGATGGTCGGTGTCGATGTCTACACACGTCGTGCGAGTATGTGGCGATCAGCACGTCTGTAACGACAAGCACCCCAGTCGAGATGAATGCTTTGACGCTCGATGAGACTAGACTTACCACCGAAGCCCCTTCCTCCTTGATCTTCTCGATCATCGACCCATCATCCGTCCCCTGCGTATACAAAGTCGAAGATTCTTGCGTGTTCCCTCCGATCCTGACCAAGGCACCGTGTCCGGCTCGATTTCGGATGTTGGCCATGTAGTTGAGGAAGGGGACTTTGAGACTGTTGGCGTGTTGTCCGACTGAGAGGCGACAAGCGAGCACAATAAGAATCGTCGTGGTCAGTAAATCGTGGTAACGACGGTGTGCGATGTAGGATCTCGGAAGACACCGGATGAGAATCGGGGACTCACTGATAGAAGGCGCCACACTCAGTTCGATACTAAATCCCAAGAAACTCCCCTTTTGCTGGATACTCAGTTGACGGCCGGCCGCGATCAAGGCGTCTTCAGTGGAGGGGACGGTCAGGCCGTACGATGTGACGGGCGTTTCGGGTGGGGCAGGGGGTTCGAGGGTCAAGGGGTCGTAAGCCGGCTGATGAGTGAACGATCGTTTTCATCAGTACTTGATATCGATTTGAGCGTGATCGTATGGTGGCACGTCGATCTGGAGGTTGGATCGAGGTTTATGAGAAGGTGAGACTCACGAGACCGGCATAGTCGACCGTCGCTTCAGCAGGATCAGCAGTGGCCGTCCGTGATGGAATGCCCGTATATACCGTGACCTGGGCGTTGGCCTGGTATGCAGCCAGTACGGCGAGTGGTACCGCCGAGATGGCAGAATACTTCATGGCAGTGTTTGCAGATTAGGTATCGCTGTAGGACACGATGTGATAGAATGTGTTGTGTTGTGGTATGGTGTGTTGTGATGTTCTGGTATAACGATCGTTTATGCAAGGAATTTGTATCTGATCTCTGATTGTGGTCGTGGTCGATCGTTGCCTTGTTGTTCTTCTTCGTGATTGATCGTGTTGATTATATCGTCGACGGAGGTGGGGGTATATCTCGTAAGACGAATGAGGGGACGGGACTCGTAGTGCTGGTATCAAGATGACAGGGTCGTTGTTGTTGAAAAGGCTGAAGGGGGGGGGAAGTGATCGAGGTGATGGAATGAAGGAAGGGTCGGTTTTGGTTCTTGGTACGTCTTGCCTCTGCGACTTTCGCGACGCGCCAAGGCCGCCGGGGCGTACAAAGTTAGAACTGCGCGTTCGGCATACGAGGGCGAAAGGGCGAAAAGCAGCACAAGGCGGCGGTTTTTCTCCTCGAGTTATATTAAAAGCTCGAGCGAGGATCAGCGGCCGTGGGCCCTGTCCAATGAAATGGTCTGGAGAGGTCAAATGGACCTTGGGGAGTCAATCCGTGTTGCTACGTCTGACGTTCGCAAGATCGTACGCTGCGATATGAGCTGCGAGTTTGAAGTCGAATAAGGAAATAATGCGCAGCCAACGTCGATCCTCCACTTTTACCCCGTCGTTCGCCGGATCGCCGGGGTCGCTCGTCGTCATTTCATCAACAACGCGTCCCTCTCCTCTGCTCTCCCTCTCCCGCTGAGGTGGCCACGTGACTGCTCGCGTGACAGGAACAGATGTCGTAACACAAAGCGGGAGAGTTCTGATTAAATTCCCCGATGCTTTTAAACCTGGTCGCCTGGTCGTGTGACGAAACAGAAGATGAAACTCGTCCAGTCTGATGCGTATGGGCGTCCAGTGGCCAGTCGGGAGGTGGTTAGCAGAGCGATTGAGACTGAGGCCTATCGCATGAGTCTATTGGTTGTTGAAAGAGAGGTACTATTCGAGACCAGATGTGAGAGGCTTGCGCTTCAGGTCGATTGCAAATTCAAACCGCGTACCCCATGCTTTTTACGTGCGCATCGACGTCCCTGAGAGCCCTCGATACTGCGCTCTGCGCCGCCTTCTTCTACCAATCTCTTGACTGATGGCATATTAACGGGACATCTTCGGTGCTTGAAGAAGGCTGCGGCGCGTCCTCTTTGGCATCGGTCAACAAGTAACCGAAGCAATTCTTCAGCCGACCCGGATGGTCGATCGAGAGGCCATTCGAGCGATAATGCAGACGGCAAGCCTCTCGAAACGAGTTCAATGTCGATGTATCAGCGGGACAGTAGCGCATAGCGAGATCGACACTTCACCGTTCTGGTACGACAACCCGATCCCTGTCCACCTTTGCTGAAAACAAGCGGATCAGCAGCACTGTTTCCGCGAAGCAGTCGTCGCTCACTCACTTTGTTTGTTCCTCTGGACTCTGGGTCCACTAGGCTTTTCGGATGTAGATTTCCCTTGTGATCAACATGTCCCTAACTGAGAACGATCGACAAGTGACTGTAGACTTATGTCGACATTGGCTTTAGCCCGCTTAGCAGACGAACCAGTAGGAGAAAGACCATGACTATGACACCAGGATCGAAGTGGGCACCGGGACGAGGGGGACGTGGCGAATTAAAGGCGGACGTGGCGAATTGATGAGGAGTTGGGGAGAAGTGGCAAGAGCAAGGAAGAAGACGACACAGTGGAGTACAAGTATGAGGTGGGGTCGGAGAAGTGAAGGTAACAGCGTCTATCCGAGGAGGACTCACAACTAACCTTCTCCCTTTCTACCATGTTCAGTTCGAGACTGTTGATGACAGGCTCAAGGCTAGGCTCAATCAGCTTTTCACTGATCTTGTATCTGCCAGTCACGAGATGAGGAGTATTTCACAAAAAGAGTCGGTGAGCGTGATCAAGCGCCGGGGCATCATTATATGGGTGGTTGTTATGAGGTTGCGATGATGCGTCTCTTGGAATGAGTCCGAGACCAGACAGCAGGACCCGTATAACCGCTGGCGTTAGCCCGGTGGACAAAATTCATTGGCGTCGCTTCGCTTCTGTTCGGCGTATCGACAGCATGCACCGGGATGAACATCGTAGCAGCCTTAGTAAGAATCAACGCGGAACCCGAGCAGCACATTCTGAAGAGGACGTAACCGCTGATATCCTATCGTGCTGAAATCCCCCGCTGATGTATGCATAGGTGGATCTCGAGAACTGGCGATATGTATCTTGCTCTATGCCGTGAAAAAGATAGCTACAACGTGCCAAGCACCCTTTAGATGATCACCTGTCCTGATCACCACAAGACCTGAGCTCTGAGCAGGTGCGAGGCCAACTCCCTGTCCGACTTGAAGTCCATCATGTTCAAGTTCCTGGCCAGTCGATGCGCTTCGCTGGTGTTCTGCAGGGTTATGATGTATGTCGATCGGCGTCCCGAGATGGTCCTACAGTATCCAATGCAAAGTAGAGGATCAGTCTCGCGGGCAAAAGGTCGAGCTATACCTGCAGGGATCCCCAAGACGAGGTTATACTGCACTGGACTGTACTTGTACTCACTTGGGAACGTGAAACACGGCATCCTCCTCGGCCAACTTGTACCCCTTCAAGACCCTCGTCCAGGTCCTCTCCTGTATCGCATCTGGCATGCCCCACATGACGACCTGTCTCCCGCCCATCGGCCGTTCGTTCCTCGCTCGAGCCTTGGCGTCCGTCCCGAAAGGTCCGATCCGGGCTTCACGGAAGGCCTTGACGTACTCTGAGGCGGCCTCGAGCTTTTCCTCGGGGTTCATCTGGCGCAGTGTTGTGGTACCGGACGAGGCTCGTTTTGTATCGGGCCCGCGGACGGGTTTCCCAGTGATCGAATCTACCCTCGGAAAGAGGTTTTCCTGCAAGAAGCTCCGCATGAGGGACCGAGAATACCACATCGTAGGATCGATCTGCTCCTTGCCCGGAAGGTTGATCTGACGACGTTTCGATGCGGCGACGAGATTCCCCCTGTAGGACCGGTTGTTGGATTCAGAGTTGATGGAGAGGAAAGACGACATGTGCGTAGCGGCTACGTCACGGGCGGTCTCGGCTGCGGATTTGTTGGGAAAGGTGACGAGGAACGAGGTGGTCGAGGGGGAAGGGCCGTTCGGGATCGCAGGCGGTAAAGGCTGGAGCTCAGCGGTGACTGTCAGGTCGAGGGGTAGCACAGGGGTACGATAAGCATGGAAGGAGTGGGTTGGGATTCGAGGCTAAGCAGGACTCGCCATTCGATAGCGGGACGTCTCCGTTCTTGAACGCTCCCATCCGTTTCAAAGCCCGGTGCATGTCTGCTGGGGTGTACGTGCGGGGGATCCCACTGAACTTGACAGCGGTCCTACCGTCAGCCGGCTGTTTCTCTGTAGCGTTTGTAACAGAATGACGAGACGTCAATACGCTGAGCAGCGAGATAAGGAACATCACGAAATCGACTTGCCTTGCGAGTTTGTGCTCGCCCATCGTCTCGTCGCCGTGCAGGCTGCCGATAGTGGTACTTTCAAGGCGTGCTTTGATGAGGATGCTATGCAGGATGACATGGTGGGGCAGAATCTATAGATCAACGCTGGATCGTTATGTGCTGTTAGTTCGTCAGTACAGCATGCGAATGTCGAAGTTGAATGTTCAACTTTTGAAATTCAGTTTCAGTCGTTGGTTCGACCTTGAGCATTTCGAGATCTGAGACTCGACGCGCGTTCATAGGGGGCCACCATACTCGTTCCCACAATTTATACATCGTACATCAACAGGTTCATCACAAATGCCTCGAACTCGGGTGAAGCGAAAAAGCACTTCAGTCTACTACAGGTGGCCACTTTAGTTTTCTACAACTTGGCCTCGACCTTGCCCTCGTACTTCTTACCGACCCTGTCAAAGAACGCCTTGGCGGCGATATGGGGCATGACGGGTCCATCGGTTCGTTTCGCGTGTTGCAAGCAGTCGTAGTAGAGTTCTTCCTATGAACGTTCAAGAGAACGATGGAGTTTGTATCAGCTCAGTAAAGGGCGGGGAGCATGTGCAACCCGAGCAGAGCCGAGGATGCCATCTATGACCGAAAACTCAACACGCTGCTCACCTTGATCAACCCCCAAGGACCCTGCGCCGATTTCAACCCGATCTCGTTCCCAAACTCGATAGCCCTGCCCCTAAGCTTTGCAGTGGGTACGATCTCATCGACGACCCCTGCTTTGTGTAGTTCTGGGGCGGTGAATCGTTTGGCAAGGGAGACTTCTCGGAGGAGGTTGGGGGAGGAACGGAGTTTCGTAGAGAGGAGGCTGGAGAAGAAGGGAGGGAAGGGGGCGCCAAAGTCGACCTGTGCGTGCGAAATATAACGAGGAGAGGAGTTGATGTCAGAAAATGGTTTACGCTTCATACCTTGAACCAGACGTTGCGGCGACGATGCCTTCGAGGGAGCGGGACTGACCTCGTTCATGCAGCACCAAGCTTTCCCGTCCGTCATCAACCTGTAGTCGCAGCACAAGGCCAGGAGGAATCCTCCGGCGAACGCTACAGTATCCCCGACCAGCGCGTCATATCAGCACATCGTCTTCTGTTAGCTGGATAGCGGAGAAAAGGGAATTGTGTCGACTCACCGTGTCCGTTGATAGCAGCGATGGTTACCAGGGGGAAGGTCAAGAGCCGTACGGCGACGGGCGAGAAGATGTCTGTTTTTAGTTTCGATAAGATGAGATGTAAATCAGGGATGTCTTGTGATAAGCATTCAGTGGAGTATTTTGGGGCGACAACTTGGGGACAATGAGTGTAAGGGAAAGGTGTTTCGTTCCAAAAACAAGGGGTCCGGATACACCCTGAGGGTCATTCGTTTCCCTTCCTCGATATACGCCCAACTTGGGAGGATAAGGTTCGACGACTCACCCAGATGAAACCTGGGGTTCTTGATAGAGTTCTCGAAATCCAACCCGTTACTGAAGAACTTGGTGATCTCGCTCGTGAGGATCAAGGCTCCTCCCTTTCTCTTCTTGTCAAAGAAGCCTTCCCATTTGTCTACAACGGAGGAGGTGTGCCGTGATTCGCCGTCGGATTGTAAAAGCGGTCCAGAGGCAAAGTCAGCATGGAACAATTCGTAAACAAGTAAACAGTCGGCTTGGAGAACTGACTCTGCGACCTCCACTCGTATTCGACCTGATCCATCGCGGCGGCCAACTGCGCAAACATGTCGTCCGTCAGACGGTTGTCCGGGGCGCTGTCAAAGCTGATCTGCCAGCACAGGTCGGATGGGCGGGTGACTTTTAGGAGCGGCATGATCGGCGGGCGGCAGTTTCTTTGGATGTAATAGAGGCGATGTGAAAGCTGCTTGTTCTCGAATGCTTCGCCTGAACTTAGGTGGTGTCTCGATATGGGTGAAAGTCGAAACAAGTGGTGTTGGGTGGTCACTCCCCGGTTATGGTCCATCACGCTGATCCCGGTGCCGGAAGCGTTCGGAAGTAAATAGTTGAATGCGCGTCACGTCGCTTACCCGGTCGATCAGTTCAACCATGGATCGTGCGTTGATGCTCGATCACCACGGCGCAAAGTGAAGATGGTATTTAGAGGTAGAAGGGACCATGCTATCACAATGTATGACCTGAATACCATCGGTTTTTTTTTGCCGGCGGCCCGCTTCCGGGGGTCATTGATTCGAAAACACGATGGTCTCGATGGTCGCTATGCTTAAATCAGTCGAATTTTGCGACGGTTCACGGCGGGTCGGATTCTTTTCACTCGCTGTATTCTCTGGGCTGGAGGGAAGTCTGGCCTGGTGAAGGGAGAGGATTCAACATCCTTATGTCGTTCCAGATTGATTCGCCGGGCTATAGCCTGGAGGACGAGGACCAAACAGCGCTTGCTCTAGAATACAGCATTTACGTAGACGAACATGGCAGGGCCTACGACAAATGAAGAGGCGCGCGGCGCTAAGTGATATCAAACGATTGGGGAGCTCGAAATCATAAAATACGATCGATACAAGGCATCCCCTCCGTTTCGCCGCGCTTCGCGTCGGCAGTCTGCATACCACACTCATGACGGTCCGATTGCAGCTGACCCACACGTGCTATCATCACAAGGGGGCTCTGGGTGCCTTTTGCATCTATCAAGCGATCCTCCCGTGCCGCCAAAAGAGGCGCGTCAAGTAGGGTCGCGATTTTTCGCGTTCGCCATCTACACAACGCCCACTCTTTGTATTTTCCAATCATTGTTGTTAATTAGCACACGCACACAACCTCCCTCTTAGCTCAGTTGGTAGAGCGCTACACTAGTATTAATCTAGAGCACCTTCGGGATTGCGACATGTAGCGGTCAGCCGTTCGACTCGGCTAGCGGGAAAAAGTCTCTTTTTGTGTTTTTGCCTGGTTTCCCGGCACAGCGGAGGCATAATGAACCGCAAGGCTCCTACCTGCTTCCTTCCCGATCGTACGGAGGCCGACAGGACACAATATGATGAGGTGGGCACTGTAAAGACGATGTTTGCGGGTTAGTCAGTCGTCTACGTCGTGCGAGGCTCGATCACGTCCTTGATCAGAAGAGATAGGCTCGAACCGAAGCGCGGTGAGTGGACGATATCGCTGAGTATGTCTGCAATTACCGTGGCAGCATACATCCGGCTCACTGTCAGTTTGCGGTACAGAAGAAGTCGATATCTGTAGTCAAGAGATTCTTGATGACACGATCGCCTTACTGGACGCAGCCAAGACGGACCACATCTCTGGATACGGACGTCGACGCGCTTTCCGAGATCCGCCCGCTGTAGCAACCCATCTTCACTCAGGGTGACGAACAAGGTGAAAGTCCAGATCCGTGTGAAAGTTGAAAGATTTCAAGCATCGTACTTATTGAACGTCTAAGATCATGTATATGGCGCGGAATACACGGCGAACAACCCTTCCAAAGGATGTTTCACCTGTGACCCGCTTCTATCGGAAGATCCACTTCGGGGCGCGCGTGTTGGTTCCAGGGGAATCGGTGGCGCGTCGATCGTTTCTAGTTTCCATCGGGCAGAAAGTGGTGGTCATCAGCGTCCTTTGAGGCGGATCCCGATCAAAGGGACCAAAGGCCAAAGGAACGTTCGATATCAGGCCAAAGTGTCCAGACGGATTTCAGCCCCAAGTTTGTGGCATCGGGTTTCTGGGGATACATATACTCGCAAAGACCCGTTCTATTCGGTAAGGTTTCCCATGTCATGTGTCGCCTGTCCTTCAACCGGGGATCATACAAGATCTCAGCAAGGTTCATTCGCAATGCCGAGATTCTTACCAAGTCGATATAGTCCCATCGTTCAGATATTGATCTTGAGCGTCATCGCTGCTCTGTGAGTCGGGCGATTCCTCGCGATCCTAATGACGATTCTGAATCACTTACTGGATATCGTAACCTTTTGTAGCGCAGAAGGCGCTTTCATCGCTGCATCCAGTATCGTATGTCATAGGATTCTGCGGGAAGCCGCTACACGGCTGCAACACACTGAACATCATCGCTCTGCCAGGGATCGGGCGGGACATCCTCATTGCATCATTATAACATTTCGAGAGCTCTTTTAAACGGCGCTCAAGCGCTGTTCGGGCCTTTCGCAGGCGGTGTCGTCAATTGTGAGTGCCCATCCTCGTGCTTGCTCTCCCTCATCACTGCGCTGAAGCCAAGGCCATCTTTTGTCCGTGTCTTAGGGATCGGGATCCGTCCCGGTCTATTCATCGGCGGTTGTTCGATGGTGTTGTGTAAGCCTAGCATCTCGCATTGCCCCGCTGCCCTACCGCGCCCTGCGGATTACGGCGATTTTACTAATGGAGATGTTACCCGGGGCGACATGCAGTAATCGGCTCGTTTTGGCAATACAACGTATCCAAAAACACCACCTTCATGTACATCGTCTCTTATGCTACTGGGACCCTCGGGTGTCTATTCTGGACTTCGTGGGCAAGTAATCTAGGTGAAGGGGTATCGCTATCCGAGAGTACTTGCTCATGGCTATCCTCATCCCAATGAACAGGGAAGCCTTTTGGTCGGATTGCCCTCAGAAAAGGATAAAGGGAGAGCTACGTCGATAGCTTGGGGAATGGTGAGTTCCGCGTAACAAGATCGATGTGACACATCTTCACTCAACTCAGTTTAGATACAACTCGGAGTCATCGGCTGCTCTGCCATTCTGGTCGGAGTCTCGAATACCAAGGGCGACGCTGTGGGGTTCCCAAACAGTGAGTTTGAGCGAGATTATGGGGATACAGGGTAGACTTGCTTATTGTCGGTCGACCCAACAGGTGTCCAGCTCGCCCTCATCATCGTTGTGTCCTGTAGCCTGGGCCTGATCCTTCTCATCGTCCCGTTCGACAAGGTCGTCAGAACCGATGGGACCAAAGGTGAGCAAAGGTCAGAGTCATCGTTCTCAAATCTACAATCTGACTAGGGGCGTTTGTCGCAATAGTAATCATACCGAAAAAACCTGCGCTCAAGGACGAAGTCAAAGGGTTATGGAGAGTCATGCGCGATTGGAGGATATTCTGCTTGACACCTGCGAACTTTCTCTGTGAATTGATCTCGATCTCGTCTGTTCTACCGCTCAACAGACAGAGTCTAATTACCCATTGACCTTCTATAAAAAGGTCTACAGTATATGGTCTACCACGTCAGTCGGCACAGCATTCCGCTTGGCGAGCACAAGCTGAAACATAATCTTCCCTTTTATCTCTGTCAGAGCGCTATCAATACCGTTCAGTTTACTGGTCGTACCGGCGCACTAGCGAGTCTGGTGGCGGGAGTTGGATCGGCCTCGGGAGGGTTCATCACTGGTCATCTGCTTGATCGCAAGAACCTCTCGAGGCGAAAATGCGGGATCGTCGGTCTGGTCTTTGTCTCTGCAATCATGTGGATCACCTGGATAGGAGGAGTCGTCAATCAAACAAAGGTATTGGGTCGATTTATAAACAGCTGTTTTCGACACACTAATTAATAAACGCTGTGCGACAGTTCGAGAGGCACAACCCAGGCCCTGCTATTGACTGGACGGACAGTCGAGCTGGTCCGCAACTCGCATTCCGCCTCGCCTTGGGACTGGCTGACGGGTCTTTGCGAAACTTGACCCGTAAGCCTTTAGAAGCGGGTTTCACGCGACAGTGAGACTTATCGATGTATATCTTGCTAGTCTGGACGATAGGAACCTTGTCCAATGATCCATCGACCGGGGCTAGATATTCATCTATCTGGTTGTCAACTTTGGGTGGAGGCGCTGCCTTTTTTCATATTCTGGACGGATACGAGGTCAGTCGGCTGATTTATTCGCCAAACGACAATGGAATCCGGCTGAACGGAGCGCAATAGGTCTCCCTACTGGTCGAAGCTTCCCTCCTATTGGGACAGAGTGTTTTATGCGTGCCGCTCTTGGCCGTCGTACTATGGTCTATCCCGGACGTCACGGTCGAGAGGCTCGAAAAAGAGAAGACAACCGAGGGATCGCTAGAGTTTGGGAACCATCTACCTAGCGAGGACACATGAGTCAAAGCCGAGGAAGAGGTCGCGCAAGACGAACAAGCTGAGGTCCCAGTCGTCGCTAAATCTGGATAGAGGGTCGCTCCGAAATATCGTCTTGTGATTGATGAAGCATCTATGTGATCTTTTGATTTGTCGGTCGATGACGTTTTACAGTCCGCACATCGCCTCCTGGTATCCCTATACATTATCTATCAACTCCGTCTGAGCATCCCTAAGCCCTCCCCTCCAGCTCGGCGTCGACCTCGGCCTGCTTCTTGACCCTGATGACCTTGTCCTCCTCAACGGCGTTCTGAGCGTCACCGAGCTCGAACTCCTTGCACCAGAAACCGACGGGGATGGCGGCGATGGTGAAGATCAACCCAAGCAGCAGAGGGAGCCACGAGGCCTCGTCGTAAGCTGTTGATGATGCGGCGCAGAAGGGGCACGGTCAGTTTCGCATCTCATAATCCTTTACAAGACCGAGCAAGACACACCTCGAATGATGGCCGCACGAGGCTCGGCGACGTGAGCAACAGGTGTGCTACCAGCAATCTCGGCAAGCTGAGTCGAGTTAAGGACGTCTCCAGCATACATGGCGAGACGCTTGGGCAGCTCATGGGTCCACAAAGCACCGGCGATGGCGTTACCGATAGCTCCTCCGACACTGGTCCAGAGCGCGAGCAAGGCGATAGCAGTGCCCATGTCTCGGTGAGGAACAGCAGCTTGAACGGCAACCTGGGTTCCGACGACGGAGCATCCACCCTGAACCATAACACAGAGATTTAATCAGACGCGCCGACCAGCATATTTCGATGAGTTTCCCGTTACTCACGCCGATTCCGACAAAGATCTGACTGATGACCAAGACGGCATCGCTCTTGTTGCCGTTGGCAGCCAAGAATTGCAAACCCATACCACTAAATCAAAGGTAGATCGATAAGCAGACCGCTAGCTTTCCAGTACTGAAACACTTGACTCACATGGCACGAGCGCAGAGACCGAACATCAAGGTCCACTTGTACCTCTTAGTGTATCGCATGACGATACCAGCGCAGAGACCGAAGAAGCAGAGGGCGACTCCCAAACTAGGTCACCGGAAGGGAACAGGTTAGCGGATGAAGTCGGCAAAGCGAAAAACATAGTTGGACATACCATTGACTCCAGTAGTTGTAGTTGACGAAGGACCAGTCCTTGACGACGAAAATCCAAGAGGTAAAGTAGTTGGGAATGTAGGCGGAGAAGTAGTAGAGGAAGTCGATGACGCAACAGCAGATCTTGTAGCGAAAATGAGGTGATAAGATATGCGGTCCATTTTCGGAATTGCGTAAAAGTTGACACGTACCATGGTTCGGTTCATGACACGCTTAGGCATCAATGGGAACCTGGCATATTTCCACTCCCAGGTGAAGAAGGCGATCATGGTAAGACCACCGACGACGAACATGGCGATCAACGATCCTGCAAAGCGAGTCCGATCGTAAGCCAGTAAGTCGCAGTGAGACTAGACCTGGAACTTACGGTTCTTGTATCCATGATCGGCACCAGCAGCCAAACTGAACGGCAAGAGGATCAAGGAGAATGCGAATCCGAGGAGGATCAACCCGAACCCGTCGATTCGTCGCCAGTAGAAGACCATCCAGGACCAGACGGTCTCGGTAGCGTTCTTTCCCTGGATTTGTTGCCTGAAACGGAGGTCCGAGGCGGCGACCGAGACGGCTGTTCAGTTTATAGGTGATTGATGATGAGGATACTATCAGCGCCGGTTTTGAGATGCTTGGAATTGTAAGGTACAAAGTTACTTACTACCAGCCTTCTTGGCTCGATAGTCACCCCAGTAGAGGACGAACAAGATCGGGGCAGCACAAGCGGGGATGATGATGGCGAACATTCCGTATCCCCACCTCCAGTTGTCGTTCCCCGTATTCACGTGCAAGGCGCTGACGATTCGAGGGGAGATGGCAAAGTTGATGACGTAGGGCATGGAAGAGAGACCTTGCATGAATCCTCGCCATTTCAAGGGAGAGAGGTCTCCGAGGAGGATGGTGAAGACTAAACGCATGAAAATATTACTTATTAGCACGTTGCGTTAGTCTAGAGTATGTTCATCGAGGTGGTGGACTGACCGACGTCGACTCCAGTTCCTCCCATGGTGGACAGGACGGAACCAGCAGCGACGGTATGAACGTCTTTGGAAACAGCGGTGACCATCATTCCGATAGCAAGGAGGATGACGGAACCGGCCAAGGCGGACGGTCGGCTGAACAGGTCGGCAATCTGTGCAATGTTCAGCGAGGATTACGATGATATCGTGCATGGCGAAGAAACAGGTTGTTTCAGATCAGAGACGATGCTCAAAAGGGAAACACAACTGAGAGCCGGGAAGGAAGGACTGACCTTGGAGACGAAAGGCTTGATAACACCTCCCATGATGCTCGTCAAGATCCCGATGGTGGACAACAACGGGTGTGCACCGAAGGACGAGACGGCGAATTGTTGATAGTTGTAGGTGGTGTTCCCCTCGAGCGAGTTGGCGTAACAGAACAGACCGAGGGCGCTATACGGGAAAGATATAAGGGTCAGCGGTGGGATAGAGGGGGTTTATTTCAAGGGTGTCGGGGCTTACATGTAAAGAGCCCAGAGCTTCCAGCCGTATCCAAAGACGGTGTCTACGAAGCAAACGTCACCGGACATGAATAATCAGTGAATATGAGAACTGCGGTATGATGACGTGAACGCTACGACTCACACAAGGCCTCGATACGAGAGACACCGGCCTCTTGTTCCAACTCGAACTCGGACGAAGCGGCATCGCTCTCATTCTTGGTCTGGTGGTGCAGCTCGTAGTTGGCGATGGGCTCGCCGTGCCCACCTTCCCCACCATCAGCTTCGAGCTGATACTTTTTGGCTTCATCGCTCGTCCGCCTGCTGTAGTCTTGATCCTTGTCGTAGTCGTTCATCGTGGCAGAACGTCCCCTTGCTGGTCGATGTTAGCGCAATATGGAACGATTTCTGTGGAGAAGAGGGGAGGAGGATAATGCTGGTGATCGGCGCGATGGATGGATAAGAGTGTGCTGCTTATATAGGTCCTGCGAGACGATCGAAACCGGAGCAATGCGCAATGCAGAACTTTTTCTCCGTCCGACATTTCCTCTTCTTCGCTCCAGCATTCCGATCGGGTTCATGGCGCGGTTTGACTTTTTCTCGTTCTCCTTCACCCCTCCCCCTCCCGCGGCTGGCATGGGTCGTGTAATCTGATAAGCCAACTAGCTCGCTTACACCGCGGCGGGCCGGGCCGCTCCGTCTTGGCATTCGAGCGCCGCTGCTCGTCCTGCCCGAGTTCAGCCACTCTCGATCACGCGATGCTGCCGTAAGTTTGATTATTGTCCCTGAGCACACACGCGTGACCGACCTTCTCGCTGCCTCCGCTGCTGTTTGAGAGTTTCGGGTCGACCGAGCTTGAAGGTTCGCAAGGGTCGATCGGTGGATCGGTGGCTATTTCCTGCTTGCTCGGCTAGGGCGAAGGTGGGGTCGTTCATGAAAATGTTTCATCACGATCTCTTCGGATCAAACCGGGGCAACGCCTATACTCGTCATTCATTCATGCAGGGATTCGAACAGCCAGGAAGCGTCCGACCGAGCGAGCGTTAGTGATCAGTAGAATTAGTAGACGGTTATGAGACGACATGATCGACGTTACAGCAGACCTCATATCGCTCATGTATACTACTACATGCTGACACGGAATACAGTTGTACAATAAGTAAGTCATACAGTCTCCGGTGAAGTCTCGATTGGGCAATCAGTCGGAATCACCATCCTCTGTCTCCGAATCGCCGTCCAGAGAAGGGGTTCCTCTGTTGGGGAGAGTATCATGGAGAAATACGACCTCGTAGCTGTGTTCCCCACCGTGCTGGAGTACACCCGGGGCTATAATCTCGGCGATTTTGACCAAGCGTCTCTTGGAAGCATTGCACAACTGATGGCAGCATGTGCGTCTCTTCTGCCAAGTGTCATCGGTTTGAGCATCCGTGTTCGCCTCGATAGCATCGAGGCAGCTAATCAACTGACAATAGGCTTCGAATGCGATCTCCAATTTGCCCAAAGTATTTTCATCATTAGAGGACGAGTTTGTCAGATCTCCGGCGATGTTTTGACGAAGGACAAGGTTGTTCTGAAGCCGATAGAGCCACCGCGCTTGGTTCGTGTGAAGTGCTGTGACAGCGGGTTCGAACTCGTCAAGAGCTGCCCGAAACTCAGGCCCGTAGGTCTGATCCCACTCCCCCTCGACTTTGTCGTCATCAAACTTGGTAAGTTTCACAACCTGATCCAGAATCTGGACCATACTCTCGTACCACATAGCTCCTTTGAACTTCACCCATTGTTGACCATGTTGTTGAGGCTTCAACAGCAATGGCTGTCCGTTCCTATCTTTGGGCATGGGCTCCTCGTTGCTCTGAGTTCCGTTTGACTCCAAGCTGGTTGGCGGTTGGGAGACAGTTGGATCGGTGCCAGTGCCTAGTGTATCGGCAAAGCTAGTCGAAGGCGGGATAGACATGGTTTGATATCTGTGTTTCAGGTCGTTCAAAGAGGGCAAGGGGCTTCGGGGAGGATAGGAAGTTCGATGATACTTCTGTAAGGCGAAAGAAATCCCGGACAGTGATGACGGTCTTATATCCTAATCTGGACCAGGCGCTCCAAGTACTGAGAAGGTTTTTCATTGAGAACCATGAGGCTTCCTTTCATATCGATGAAAGATGTTCAATTTGGTCATCAGACGAAATCAGAACCGCACTATTGCCGGTGCACATCATCGTAATAAGTCAAGGTTTGATACCTTCGATGATGAAATGGATTGCGCAACGCGTCACTTCCTTTCTTCGTTCGCAATGAATCTTGTGACCAGTTGCGGCGGCGAGGCAGGCTACAACTCTAATCACTGGTAGTAGGGAAGGCGTTTGCCAGTTGAGTACGGAATTGAGCAGATGGGCATATCATGTTTCTTCTTTCTAGTGGACGAGTACCGTTGAGGCAGTAGCTTCTTCGGACGATATGATAGAAGGTAGTTGTCAGTCATGCTAAACCAAATTATACCAGGGCTACATTCATGATATGCCCGAATAGCTAGGTGTTGGGAAACAATATGAGACATGGCTCATAGTACAGTCCAACATGATACAGGTGCATCGCACGATAAGCAGTACATACGGAATCGCCGGACCAGGATTATCAGGGGCATCGATCAGGCAGGCGTACGAATGATGTAGGCCGTAGTCTACAGCGGAGTATCTCATGTCTGCTTCCAGCTGGCAATCCTTCGTCTATCATACAGCGGGAGATCATTTAGCTCCAAGCGTGTAGGAGATTGATCCGCGTTCCGGAAAAGATTCTTGAATCCCCTGAAGCCCTTTACAAGACCCGCTTCGATGATATCGCTTCGAACCTCCTGGATTCGATATCGGAAAATATCTGCAAGGATCTTCAGAGCCGACGCATACTCTTGACTCTTCTTGGTTGTTTTGCACGTATCGTGTGCATTGGCATCATTCGTGGCACAAAAGCCTTGCAAGACCAAGTCATGATTGACGATCCTGTCCCATTCTGCCAGCTCCCGAGCACACTCGAGCGCTTCGTGCTACGAACGTGTGAGTTCCGTTATCTACCTACAGCAAGCGCGCGCAATTGTTCTCTGGTAAATGGCGTGGAGTTGGTTCGCTACGCCGCAGTACGCTCGAAGGCTTTATATCATCTCTCCCTTGTGATATAACCAATGCTCTTCTTCAAACTCCTTGCTGGCCCCTTGACCATAGAATTCGGTTTTCCGAAACGGTATCGACGCATCGAAACCGGCGATTTTGGTTGCTGGTCCACGGGATGAGCTCCTGGGCGGAAGCATAGTGCCAGCCGGGACGCTATTTATCAGGGCGGTCGTGGGTTGGGAAGCTCTCTCGGTCAATCTGCCCGAAAATATCGCCTGGGAGAGGAAAGAGCCGGTGCGCATGCTCGAGGAGACATCACCAGGCAAGGAGCTGACTGTATTTCTCGAGTCAGGTCGTCGGAACTTCCTCCGCCCCCGCGACAACGAAATTGGACTGCCTTTTGGGCATTCGCGAAGCCATCTGCGGCGATTCGACCGGAGTTCTTGGGCTCGTTTATGATCTGATTCAAGAACCTGCCTCTTCTCTGGCAACCTTCCTCATGTAAGAGCGGTGCAGTATATACTCAAGGCAAAGTCGGTGGCTCCTTTCAGGATAGCTGGGGTACACCATAACTCGATCATGTCCCATTGGGGGCTTTCATGATCATCAACAACGATGCTCGTGTTCACCGAAAGAGGGCTCAGACGATTGTCCCGTTTGATATTGCAGGCGAGGTTGTGATATCACACGTGGACATGCGAGAGGTACATGAAATCTATGAGTATGAATTGAAATTTGGTGCGGAGAAAGAGCAAGGCTTGTTACAAGCATAACGATCGAGACGAAAAGCGGTCTATTCCTGACTAGAGGGCGGAAACATTGGTCTCGAGTACTCTAGGAACTGGGCAAACGACATTAGCTGAGGATTTGATCCAGAACTTCCGTTCACTGTAACGGCATCACTAGCTTCACCGATGCTCGCCTGAGGGGGTGGATTTGAAACCAACTCGGGAGCTAGCTGAGGGGGCACTTGAAAGGCCCGAGCTTCAACGAAGCCGGGGACCTCTCCGGGCGTGAGTCCCTTCTCGATGATGAGTTCGACCGAACGTTCGTTTGCGCGCGTCAAGACGTGAAACCAAGTCCCGACCTCTAGTCCGATATGCTGAATGTACCTCGGTGTCTCAACGAGTTCCTTGCAATCTTCAGATTGGACAAGATCCGAGGCCCGTACGCAACCCGCCAGTCGCCAAAATACCATAACAGCATCCTTCGTTCTCTTCGCCAGGTCACCGCAAAATTTGTTTCTTTTCCTCGAATCCGACTGACTGGGTGACTGCCATGAACCATTTCCTTTTGGATTGAGAAGGAAAACCTTCAATTGGGCGGAGCTCAGTTCGCTAAGCGCCTGGTAAAATTCTGTAGCATGGGCTTTCCAATGAAAGACCTCAGCTTCGTATTCTCCGATAATCAAATCTTTCAGAACTCTACGGTACTCGTCTGGTAAAACGAATCCCCCAGCGACGATGTTTTCTCGGATCTGTTCCGAGCGAGATGAAGCTGTACTTTCTTCCACAGTGCGCTGATAAGTGGTTCTGCTCATGAGCTGTTCCTCATTTGAGAGATGGTGAGACTGAGCCGAAGTCGAGTTGCTTTTTGTCGCATGGGTGGAGAGGAGGCTCGTTCCGACGGTAGGCCCCCCTGACAAGTCTTTGTAGCTGTGCTCGTCGTCTGCCATTTGCTGCGATAGATCTCCTGCGGCACTATTTTCCCGTTCGATGAGATTGAAAGTTGATCGAAGCCGTGTGATGGGGATAGGATGGCCCAGTGTAGCTCGATTTTAGGCAGGCTTATATATACCTTCACAGTCGCGGCTGATCAAGTAACAGGTCTTCCTTTCACTTGCCTCATTAAGAATAAATTGATTGCGTGGATGCCGGATTGCAGCGCGAACCTGCCAGGACCTCAGCGCGCCCATAACATACCGGCCGGGGCTGATGAAGTGTTCCTCCTTTGTATGCTGACCAAGGTATGAATACTGCTCCAATTGTTTGCTGCTCCCGGGGTTCCTTCATGATGCAAACCATAGCTGGCGTTGCTGAAGCTATCGGCTATGGGCCATGGGTAGGACATACTTCGCCACAATACACATACATTTTGATGTACTTGATATAGATACTGATATAGATACTGAAAACATATCACTCGAGCGACTATCGCCGTTTTCAGCTCGATATAAGACCACAACCCTCGTGAATGGCGCGACCTTCCAGCCATCGTGATCATGAACAAAGATGTGTGCTAAATCACGTTCATAGCAACCAAAGGAGGACGCCAATGACGTGGTGGTGAGACAGGGCCCCTTGCCACCAGCGCGGTGTCGTGCATCATTATGTAGTCAAGAAGCGACTGACTGGCCCTGATGTCTGTCCTGGCTCTCATCACAGATACGACAAATACGCAAGTACAGATCTGGAAGCGACGCGATTGTACCACATCCAGAACCACGTCACTCAGCACTAAATGGCTCGATATGAGACAGCGAGATGGACAAGCAACTGGAATATCTGCATTTGAATTCTACATTACAGATATTGAGTTTCTCTTGACAATTCCTCACACCGGTACGGATCACAAATGACTCGACGCATCTGAATGAGGCCCAATATTGACTAAACTCTGCCGTCTTCGAAGACACCGCCATATACAGCATGTCGTATCATCGGTTTCAAAGGAGGAGTATCTGGATTAGAAGCTGTCGTGACCTTTGAGACATGCATGAGAGAGAACTCGCTTGCGTCGTTGGCAAGGAAGACTTCGTGCAGCCGCTTTGACTTGATAACGATGAGCGACACTTTCCGAGCATCTGACATCATGGACAGCCAAGAGTCCTTTTGATACTTTATTGCATTGGAGAAATCAGGACTTCGCTGCGGAATCTTCTCACATCCTTCAGGCCTCAAGTCGGTCATCGGGTGGTTGCAGCTACGAAGGCGGTAATACTGTATGCCCGCCTGGTCGGTCCACTTGAGCAGATCTTGGACTAGCGGAAGTCTAGAATCATCCTCCTGGATATTGACGGCAGGCCAAGATCCCTGTCTGCGCGGCTTGACAACCTCACCCATCGTGTCTAGGCAGGGGTGGTTCGGTAAAAGCCGTATAGAAGGCGTCACAATGCCTACGCTAATGTCCTTGTTCCTCCTGGTTGTGCCCCAACTGCAAAGCCTGAAGAACGGCTAAAGATTTCGTCGACTCTTTCAAACTGGCTATTCGGTTCCCTCGCCTAGCACGAAGATCTGTGAAAGATCTCATTGCGTCTTGACTTGGTGGATCTAGGCTGCGTGAGAACACAGTTAGCACCGTGCGACTTGTTCCGCTTGCGGCGATCGAGGCAGCGCGGCTCTGCTCAGATTGCCTGAAGTGAGAGTCATAGAGATCCTCTACATAGAACAACATCGTTACAGCGTCCAAGTCTCTTTTGTGATAGGGATTAACAATGAGATAAGCGAGTTGAAAGGGGAAATCTCAACGCGCCTGGTCAGGCTTCGTTATGCTTTTATAGATACTGAGATTACTCTAGGCCTTTGCTCCCTCCTGTCACCTTTTTGAGATATGATCGGTGTTGTGAGGGACCAGATTCGACTCGCTGTGCCATATACTGTATACGGCCAGAACAGGTCATGTCGGCAGGGCTTCAAAGGTGTCGCCTCCTTTGTACGCTGGTTAACGTGAAGAGTGCTGCAGCAGTCACTGCCTGGCCGCCCCACAAATCTGAATTCGAAGCAAGCGGTCGATCGTGGACAACTAGATAGAACAATGACCGTTTCGAGCTCTACCCGTCCAGTTTATCTCTCTTGCGACTACTTGCGTCTGCTCCTGCGCCCCGTTCATATGAAGCGCACAAGAGCGCCCCTTCGGCATCGGACATGAACCGATCTACTTCCGTTTCACCGGACTTTCTCGGTCTCAATACACCAGTAGCCAGTGGCCAATAGGCAGTTTCGAGCCAGACTGGATCGTATTCAACCCAGATTCTAGTTGACAACTACCACGCCTCGATCGTTTGCTTCAGTCAAATATAAGCATAACATGTGGCACATTCTATACAGGGATAAGTAAGCGTAACAGGAAATCGGTACTGTAGGGACGCGCGATGAGCAGTCACAGTAGATCTCTATCGTACAGGTCAAGTACTCTCCACTGACGGCGACCTGGACATCAGGGTCAAATAGCGGTTGTAGTTCCCAGGCGCTGGGTCTACAGATCGCGACTGAAGGCTTGACGGTTCAGTGCAACCTGGAGTGGATCCGGGAGAACGCTGAAAGGCTTTTCAAACCCTTTGGTGTTTCCCGCCGCGTAAGTCCACGTCGCATATTGCACGATCGGCCTTCGACAACAAACCTCCCAGTAAGTGGCAAGAGCTGAGCGAAGGTTGTCACTCATGTGCATCTCACACGTTGGCTCTATGCAGGTTCTTCGTCCATCGGCACACTGCTTCCACCGATAAGCCACCTTTGCTGCTTGCGCGTGGAGCTTTGTAAGGGCTTCGGCATCCCAGAATGCGCTAGACCACCATTTCGAGTTATGGCGATTTGTTCCGGAAGTTTTGATACTCCTGCGCCATTCTGGATGCGTTTCCCTCTTGAAGAGTTTCGATTGTTTGTGTAGCGCAATCAGAGAATTCAGCATTTCTGTTTTGTGGGCTTTCCAGTGCTCTTCATCGGCCGCTTTGTGTTCTCCTTGGCCAATGAACTTTGCATTGGTATAGAATTCTCGTACGTCTTTCATGTATCGGTCTTCTTCATCTGTTTCGAACCCTGCATGCTGTTTCACTTCTGTAGACGATTGTGCCTCGCCCGCACTGAGGTTTTCGTATACAGACGTGTCGTCGAGATCCGCGGATTCGAGAGGTCTGACTGTGCCCTCAGATTGTTGGCTTGAGCTGTTGCCCGGGGTGTCTAGACCTCGAACAGAATATTGACTCGGTCGATCCCTCCGGTCTGGGACGCTACTAGAGCGTTCTTGCTCGGTCGTCATCGATTGACGAGAAACAGATGGTGGAGCTGACATTGAGATTTCGAGTTGTCCCTGAGGTGAAGTATTCAAGACGGTGAGCTGTGTAAAAATGGTGAAGCCGATTTTGCATGCTGATCAATCGGTGCGATGTTTTGCTCTCCGGTCCCAGTCTTATATCTATTCAAGGATACTGAGAACGCTGAGTTCTCCTTTCACTTCATTCATAGACCGCGCTCGTGATCACGACGCCACTCAAGGGTGGCGTGATAGTTTTACATTATCGCTGACCTTGATGTGGCTGCAACATGCCGTCCAGGTCGCCTCAGAGTTCCTTCTTTGTGTACTGATAACCTGTAGATTTCTGCTGTGAGCGTTATCTGTCCTGTAGCTAAGTCTTGTAGCGCTCTCGATTTACGTATGCTAGCCTGCAAAGCTGTCAATCACAACAGATGAACGCGCACGTACAAGCAGTACTAGTAGACCCTACGACAGCCCGCGCTTGGATTCCTTCTGATACTGTAACGTGATTCGCATTCATGCTGTGATTGGGAATGATCGACAGATCACAGGGCACTCTCGCATAACTATGGATTAGTGAAGGTCAGTTGGGTCAGGACTGATTGACCGTTGATAAGGAGGGATACACCAAATTCTCAAAAGGGGTTTACGACCAGCTAGACCCACAATCGAATGTTCCATATCACCATGATTCGGCTCAGGAGGACTAATACGTTGTGCATCGAATGTACACTACATCTCTTAATCAAAAGCACGTCTTCCAGCAAACCGATCTTATAACTGGGATAACGTTCTGTTGCAGGCGGAATGCTCTAAGTACAAGACACAAAGCTGCATGAATCGACTACAAATGAGGAGGAAGCATGCATAATGACTGTATTATGCTCATGGGGAATCTGGCTCCGAGGCCGCGTCGTTGTCGTCTTCCAGGGGAGGGACGTCATCGAGGGGAAGGACATCGCTCCATTCGGCTTGATAATCCTCCAAAGCAAGATTGAAAGGACCCAGACGCTCGTTAGCCTTGATCAGACGTTTGAAGATCATGCGTCTCAGGAGGAACCAAAACGCATGTTTCTGCTTCATGGTGTCAACGGATACCTGGAGCGATGGAGCTCCCGCGCATGTGGAAGGCTTCCAGGGCACGCTGACACATGTAGCCAAAGATTCGAGTTGATCATGAAGGACTTTGTACGCGTTGACGGCCTGGTATATCTTCGAATCAGGGTTGTCCACTGGCGCTGCTTCGAGGGGCAGAGGTTCGGTCCAGTCAGTGACTAGCATGTGGTTTTGCAGTTCGAGCTTGGTGGTTCCTCTTCCCGGAGATTCGCAGGCGTCTAGAGCCTTCCAGCAGTCCTCGAATGCTGCTTTGAGTTTCTGCCGGTGTTCAGTCTGCCAGTGATTCTGGTCATCAGAGGTGGCCAACGGAGTCTTTTCCTCAACAAAGCTGGAGATGTCGTCAAAGGTTCCAACCTCCATGGTGTCGTCAGCATTATCGGTAGGATCCAAGAGGATGTACTTTGACGATTCTTGGGTACTGATCTCTAGATTCGGAAGAGCTGCAGTTAGGTCGGTGATAGAAGGCGCGGGGGACATCATGATGGAGATGACGAGTGTATAGCCAGGAAAGTTCAGATCGTGGAAAAGGGCATACTGCGAGTAAGTCAATACCGGCTGCCTTATATACTGCTGGGTAGGACTTTGAATCTGAAGTCTTGAGGATTGTCCAGAAAGAACCAGGGGGTTCCTTTGATATCGATGTGATCATCTGTACGTGATCTCGAGACTCGATAGCAAGCTGGCTAGACTGTGATTCCTTGTAATTCAATCGAGTCGTTCCCCACCTACGGCAGAACGATCATGGATCATTACCGGCTGTGTTATCTTCTGACTGGGGCTGACCCAATGACTATAGCTTCAGAACGACTTACATCAAGCGATTAAGCTGGTCATTCGCGCTGTCGATTTAACGATTCTACATAACAGTTTAAATTCTCGGTAAATCGAGTTAAATTGGCTTACGTAAGCGCGTGACGAACGGACTTGGTGAATCGTCGACGACTTGCACTGTAGACATCGTAAACATCGATCAACATCGACGAACCTATGTATCACCTCCTTTAGACTCTCAGATCACTCGTACACTCTACTATCAGTGCTATATAGATCCTACAACCTTCCCGTAAACTTATTACTAGTCAAACCCACGAAAATGGCTCAATACAACCTCGAAATGAACGACCTCGACCAGCTCATCGCTGGGTTCTTCGATCACGAGAACCAGCTCGATCAGGCTAGCCTGCAGGCTTCCAATCCTTCCCTGAACCTCCCTGCGTCCTGGGAGATGCAGTTAGACGGTGCGGAGTACCTCGCTCCGGCCTCAGGAGGCACATTCGTCCCTCCGGGGTTCATCGTCCCTTCAGTGAATCTTGGCCCGGCTGCACCAAGCCAGCAAATCGACCCGGTGCTTCTCGAGGAGGCTCAAAGGCCTGCTACCGCTCCCAGTAAACGGGGAAGGGGTAAAGGCAAAGCTCCAGCGAAGAATCCCGCTGCTGCACCCAAGGAGAAGCGACCTCCCGCCCCCCGCAAGAAAATCGACAGGGGTCCTTTCGCTCGACCTACCGAGGTGTCGTATTCGGCTGAGACGCTTACTCAAGAGGCTCAGACCCAGATCAACGATCACCTAAGGGCTGCCACCACCACCAGGTCGTATGCCGGTCATGTCAAGGCCGCTAAGGCCTGGCTTGAGAAATATCAGCAAAATCGATCGATCAACGACCCTGACCTCGGTGATGCGTTCGACGTCCTATCCGATCGCTCTGCCACCGCTATCAGGCTTCACTGGGCTTCTAGGATCAAGGAAGTAGCCTTTCCGACGATCGAGGGCTCCCGATCAGGCTTACGAGCCTACTTCCGGGAGAAGTTCCCCGATCAGTCTTACGTGAGTGAAACTTTGTTCACCTTCACTGAACGACTTCGTGCTTACGATCTGATACGTATCTCCAGGTTGAGGAGTTCCGCTTCCTCAATGGCCGTTGGGAAGGCAATCCTGTCTACTACGGTCTTAATCAAGACCTTTATACTGCATACAAACGAGATCATCTACGATCGAAGACTCCGAAGCAGGTTAGTGAACGTCGGTGATCCTGCACTTGACAGTTTCCAATACTGACACCTCCTCGAGGTCTCTCTCCTTCGTTCTTATAGTCTTCGCCCTTGCTGCTTCCTGCCCTCACCTACCTCATGCAATACATCGACGCTCAGCTGGCTGAAGAGAGGGACCCCCAGACCTATGCCGAGTTGATGTTCGCCTCGGCGTACATCACCCTTGGCTGGTGGCTCATGGCTCGAATGGAGGAGTGTTTGCAGCTCAAGGAGATGGACTTCATCGAGCACGGTCAGGACCCCAACTATCCCGGCCAGGACATGGCTATTATGGTCCTGACGTTCCGGAAGACGAACCAGATGGATCCGTTCGATAGTGAGTGAAGTTACGGCCATGTTCACTCAAGTCGAAAGATCACTTTACAGCTTTACTGATACCTAAACGGCTGCTTCGGGGCTCTATTTGACACTAGGTAACCGCTACCAGATGCACGAGCCGATGGACGAGAACGAGAAGCTATCATAGGCGTCACGTGACGCGCGACCTACGGTGCGCGTCGCCTCGGGGTCTCGTTCGGAGACCCTCTCGGAGACCCTCTCGGAGACCTTTTAGGAGATGTTCTCGTAGACGTTCAACTAGTACCTTGTAGTAGTTAGACATCCGTTATTACATCGCTATGCCTACCGTTACCTTTCCCCAGTCCCGCGACCTTATTACCTCAAGACCCGGCAGGTCGGCTGCCAGGCCTTATAGAATAACGGATCACCAAAGGACCCCGGCTGGGAACGTGAAAGGGGGTAGTGATGGGATCCCGCTGCACATTGGTGCTAGCGGTAACCCTAGTGGTCCGGAGAGCCACCTCACTCTGGTAGGAGTGTTCTACCCGCAGGGGATTCCTGTGCAGGCAGTGATGATGGTAGATTCGGGGGCCACGGGTATGTTCATGGATCGGACGTTCGCGAGGATCCATAACTTTGATGTGATAGACCTAGAGAACCCTAGGACCGTCACGGTCATCGACGGAAGAGAGATAGTGGGTGGTCAGATCACCCAGAAGGCACATGCTATTGTGCGGACAGGATTGCACCAAGAGAAGGCGGAGTTCTTCTTGACGGATTTGGGTGGGTACGCGGCGGTCCTCGGGATTACATGGTTACGACACCATAGCCCACACATCCAGTGGGATACAAATACAGTCACCTTCGCGGACGACTGTTTGAAGAAAGGATGCGTCAAGAAGGTAGAGGTAGTATGCTCCCCCGACGAGGTGGAGATAGAGACGCGGAATATCGATCCGCTGTCGAGAATGAAGGAGCCGATCACGGAGAATCTCGTGGTGGCTCAAATGCAGATGACGAGGGAGGATGAGGAGCGGGCCCGCAGGCCGGACCTGTGGGACTGGGACGTCAAAGAAGAGGATGTTTGGAAGACCGCGTTCACGACACGCTATGGTCTGTTCGAATGTCTCGTCATGCCATTTGGTTTGACAAACGCGCCGGCGACGTTCCAGCGCTGGATGAATCAGGTCTTCCAGGACATGTTAGACGTGTGTGTGGTCGTCTACTTAGACGACATATTGATTTACTCCGCCGATCAGGAGACACACGACGAGCACGTACGGGAAGTGTTGAGGAGGCTACAGGCGAATGGCCTGTACGCAAAGGCAGAGAAGTGTGAGTTCGACACGACGGCGACGGAGTTCTTGGGGTATGATATTGCCCCTACGGGGGTCAGCATGAACCCGTCGAAGGTGAAGTCGGTGTTGGAGTGGGCGGCGCCTCGAAATATTCGAGGCCTGCAGTCGTTCTTGGGGTTCGCGAATTACTATCGCCGGTTCATACAGAACTACTCCAAGAAGATTCAAGGCATGACGGCCTTGACAAAGAAAGGGGTGAAGTACCACTGGCCGGAGTCAGCGGATGCTGCCTTCAAGGAGTTGAAGAAGGCGTTCACCGAGGCGCCCATCCTCGCTCACTACGACGAGGAGCGCCAGGTGGTACTGGAGACGGACGCATCGTCAGGTGCGATGGGAGCGGTGATGTCGCAGGTAGGGGACGACGGGAAACTACATCCCGTGGCGTTCATGTCGAAGAGCCTTACGCCGGCTCAACGAAACTACGACGTACACGATCGCGAGCTGCTCGCCATCGTGTACTGCTGCCAGATATGGCGGCATTACCTGGACGGGAAGTTCCCGGTGAGGATCCTTACGGATCACAAGAACCTGGAGTACTTCAAGAAGGACAAGATGTTGTCCCACCGACAAGCGAGATGGTCTCAGTTGCTGAACCAAATCTCGTACACGTTGGAGTACAAGCCGGGGACAGAGAACGGGAAGGCTGACGCGCTCAGCAGGAGAGAGGAGTTGATGGAGGAGACGGAGCCCAAGCAGGCAGAGACCCTGTTGCGCCCCGTTAATGCAGACGCGCTGGTGGTCAGCGCAGCGACGGTACAACCCCCGTTGCGGTTGTGCGGAACGATCCCCGTCATAGGGGATTGGTTCTTGAAAGCGTTGATCCCTGCGGGACAAGAAGATCCGGTCGCGAGAGACCTGATCAAGGGCGTCAGGGAGGGAACCTTGGCGAATAGTCGGTACAGCCTGAGCCCGGGAGGCGCGCTCATGTACGACGGGCTGGTGTACGTTCCCGATGCGGGAAGCTTGAAGACGGAGCTCTTGAAGAGGCTCCATGATGGGAAGACCGCCGGACACTACGGGCGGGACAAGACGGAGGACCTGGTGAGTAGAGACTTCTACTGGCCGGGTATGAAGGCGTGGATTAGCCAGTACGTGGCTAGTTGCGACAAGTGCCAGAGGAATCGGAGGCCGAGGGCCAAACCAGTCGGTGAGCTGGCTCCCCTGAAAGCGGAGACGGAGCCCTACCAGTCGATCACGTGGGACCATATCACGGACCTACCTGAGTCAAGGGGTTCGAACGCGATCCTGGTGATCGTCGACCGCTTCAGCAAGCGGGCACATTTCGTGCCTTGCCGGAAGGACAACGACGCCAAGGTGTTGGCACAGATGTTCCTGCAGGAGTGGGTACGATTGCACGGGTTTCCCCGGCAGATCATCTCGGACAGGGGAACGCTGTTCACGTCGAGATTTTGGAGGGAGTTCTGTGAGTTGTCCGGTGTCGAGCCTAGTTATTCGACCGCCTTCCATCCCCAGACGGATGGTCAGACGGAGCGCAGTAATTCGACGCTCGAACAGTACCTGCGGACGTACGTCAATTACCAGCAGGACGACTGGACCGATTTGTTGCCCATGGCGGAGTTCGCCTACAACAATTCGAAGCACTCGGCGATCGGCATGTCGCCGTTCATGGCATCGGAAGGGCGGGAGCACGCCGTCGAACTCCCCATGCCTATCGCCAAGGATTCGGCTGTGGAGTCGATACAGGAGTACAGAGAGCGGATGAACAACATCTGGGAGTCTGTTAATGTCGCGCTGAGACAGGCCAGGGAGGATATGGCGAAGTACGCGAATCGGAAGCGTACGGCGGTACCGGATGAGGGGTACAACGTTGGCGACATGGTGATGTTGTCGTCGGCTCACGTCAATACCGTGAGGCCGAACAAGAAGTTGGAGTGGAAGACCTACGGCCCGTTCAAGATCACGGAGGTCGTAGGAGAAGGTCGCATGGCGCGACGTTTGGAATTGACACCGGGGATGCGTAGAATCCACCCGGTGTTTCATGTCTCGCTGCTCATCCCGTACAAGCCTGTTACGGCGGAGGTCGCTAATCGAAATAGGTCCTAAGTCGTAAGGCGTAGGGTGCTTATAGGTAGATCGCAGGTAGTCGGGAGAATGTCGCAAGTTCGCTTAGATGAAGCGGGTTCGGATAAAGGATACGAATCCAGAGATGTATGGATAAGGAAGTGATCACTCGGTGTGAGGTACCGGATTCGGTCTAAGGTGAAACGATGAAGCGTAGATACTTAGCGACGTCCTTGAGTTGTAACCTCTCCGCAACACGTCTTGAAGATGTTGTAACAAGTCAGATAGGCGTGTATTGAATGTGATATCGGAACTTGACCTATTACTATTACAGAACGTCCTCTATCGAAATCGGTCAAGTTCCTCTAGCTATTTATACGGAGACGAGTACGTAGACGAGGCTGGCGAACACTGAAAAGACCCAAGAGAAAAGAATGTCGAAAGATGGCGAAACTGGGAGAACGAGATGGCGAACAGACGAATCCTGTCGAGAGCAACCGGATTCGGTAGAGGAGGCGGGTTTGAGTTCTCATTTGTCCCTAGGTACGTCGAGTAAGGTTGTCGAGGTCCTGAGTAGAGTTGTCGTGTACCTCGAGGTCCTTGTACCTGTGTGTGATATGTACCGGGAACGTATTGTTGTTTCGGTGAATGGTAGGGGCGACCGAATCTGCTCCGAGGGAATCGGATTCGCCTCGTCGAGCCGGACTTAGGTGTATGCTGATGTCCGTAAATCGAGTCCATGTGTCGGTAGTCGGCTCACGTGATGATCCCGTAACAGTATATCCCCCTCCGGAATGGCGCGCCCCGAGCCATTGTGTTTCAAGTATTGATCGCATCAATTTGTTTGATGATTGTCTACGACGCGTTTGTTTTGATTTGATGGCGACCGATTTTTCTATTTCGCTAAGGTCCATCGACTCGCGTCGAGTGGGGGTATAAGCCGGATCCGTTTCGATTGAAGCGAATTGTGTCCTTCCTTTCTCGAAGATACTCAACGATGCCGTCTCCTGACGTATCTCCCAAGATTGAGGAACGCTCGACTCTTTCTCGAGCCTCGACCGTAACTCCAGGAGACTCGGCTTCTCGTTCGTGCGATTCGAGTCGATTCGGTTCCTTTGCGTAAACTGATCCAATTCCGCTTTGTGTATAGAAGTCAACCAGGTCTTTTCCGGAGGAATTTTTGATTTCGAAGAACTCCGCAACATGGACGACACGGACGAGGTCGACCAGAACCTGGCCTCGAATATAAGGGGGCTGTCGGTGACCCGATCGGGGTTGGAAGGTAAGCAGATTCGGTTCCGAAAGGCGGTTTCGTTTCGTTGAACTTGTTGGGTTTTTCGCAGGTGGTGAACCGGCTCGTCGGGAAGGGCTCTACGGGGAAGCTCGTAGGCCGACTGGACGCCCGGTATCGGGCGAGGACGTTGCCATGACCGGGCAACCTTTAGATTCGGTCGACGAGGAACCGGTTGCGGGGCCGAGTGCGGGTGAGTAAAGCGAATCTGCTTGGATTCTGAATCGATAATTCGTAACCTGATACTATGTCTATTCTTGCTCGATTGTAGCTGTCGTGTCGCCGCCCAGGACTCCTCGAGGGAGGTCGATTCAGCGGAGTCGACAAGGACGACACAGCGCGAGGTCGAGTCGAGGGAGAGGAGCCGCATCGGCGGGTGCGAGGGTCGATGTCGAGAACATCGATTTGGGGGGTGCTCTTGTGCGCCAACGGTCGGTGAGCCCGGAACCCGGTAAGCGTTTTTGTTTGGTTTCTACCGGATCCGGTTCGACGAAGCTAATTTGGATAATCGCGTTC